GACAGGTTCGTACATTATGCCCAGTCTTGCCGCACCTCCCACAGCGCCGCGAAGTCGACGGACCAGCCTCTACAGCACCCTCCTCATTTGACCTTTTCTGCCTTTATCCTCTTTTTCAGCGATCAGTTTTTGAGCATCTTCTATAGTAAGTGACCCTCCATCTTGGACACGTGTACGCTTGGCTTTCCGACGCTTTGAAAGTGCTGTGTTGGCCTTTCGAAGGGTACAGACCTCCTCTTGTATAAGGGTCATTTGGTGCGCAATGCGGTCTGTACCCTTCACCAGCTGCTTTACAGCTGAAAAAATTGTTGTTGGGGAGCTTCCTTGATGAATTCCAATTCTATTCTGTACAAACTTAGACTGCAAAATTGCATCAGCTGGGGTTTGTGGCGTTTGAGGGACCCAAGGGTCAGCCTCTAGTAGGGGGGATCCAGTTGGTGTTGGCGTCCGTAACTTGATATCAAGCTTTGAGAGAACTGCTTCTGGGTTGTACGGGACTAGGCCAGTACCTCGAAAGCCAGCTAGGATATTTTCAGTTGTCATTGTATGGTCGTGGGCAGCCTTGAATGCAATAAAGAACTCAATCTTAGTGATATGGGTAATAGAGGCCTTAATGAAGACCTCAAGTTCTCGACCATACATTCGCTTTAGTACACTAAAACACCCAACATCAAGAGGCTGGGTAAGATGTGAGGAGTGTGCAGGGAGACAGAGCGTAATAATGTTGTTCTCCTTGCAGTACATATCAAACTGGGCAGATAGGTGGCTCTCATGGCCATCTAGGACAATCATCCGCCAGACCCCTTGTGTTCGTACACGTGTATGCTGATTAAAGTGTTTTATCCAGTCTAGACCTGTATCATTGTCGGTCCAGCCATTTGGTGAGGTCTTGATGGCCCAAGTAGGTGGAAGGCCGCACTCTGTGTACCAAGGCGCAAGGTGATGCTTGCCTTGTACAATCAAGTATGCAGGCACTACAAAGCCGTCTGCACTCACACATAATCGCTGTTGCCCATTCCCGATTACCAGACTGAAGCTGCTTTGCTCGGCCTTTTCGATCTGAGCTCGTAACAACTATATTCCCACAGATAACACCCATCATAAAGCCCGTCTCATCAAAGTTGTAGAAGTCAGCATCCTGGATGCTGTACTTCGCCTGCATGTTCTTTACCAGCTCAAACCACTTTGTTATACAATCAGGATCTTCGCAGAGGGCTCGCTGGAGGTCGTACGCACGAGAGAGACGCGTCTTAAGCTTTGGTTCATTGTGTACAAAGCGGTAGGGCCAGTTTTTTCCAACTGGGGGTTCGCGACGCGTCGCACGGAGGAGATTCGCTATATCTCGTACATCCTCAATTCGAGGTGGAAATCCTCGCGAATCTAGGTCAAGTACGTATCGTATGAGCTCCTCTTCCTCAATTGGGGTCAATGGACGTTGTTTGTCGCGTCTACCAGCTCGTGGTTGGCTTCCGTGTATGCGACGGGTAAGTGTTACATGTGGGACCTCATATAGCTGCGCAGCACGTCGGATGGACAGTTTGTGGGGTGATTTGGTAGCTTGAATGGCTAGTAAAACTCAGCCTTCATTAGCTTTCTGAGGCATCTTTTTGTTGTGGTGTGGTGGAGTAATTGGGTTTGAGGTTGCGATGCTATCGGAAAGTGTTTCATTTGGTGGGATGTTCCGTTTGGTGGTAAATCACGTTAGTAGTAGTAGAGACTTATAATTGCAAAAAAATTGCGCAACCGAAAGCTTCTAATATTCTGGTGGCCACCAACATTCCAATGGCCATTAATATCGTGATGGCCATCACGTCTCTGTTGGATATACTTTGCTAGCTGGTTTTAGGTCGGCGCTCCTAGCATCAAAGCGGAGGTCTAGTTCTTGAAAGAATGTACTAACTTACTATCGAGTGGTTCAATTATCGCTCTGTGGTATCTCAACAGCAGAATTTGACTGTTTGGCGTACCGCATGAATTTTGACATAAGTTTATCGAGTTCATCTAAAGACTTCCCTTTAGTCATTCTCAAATGCTTCAAATACATCAGTTAAACCACCCATATCAATACAGTATACAGTTACGAAACCTGAGCTAATCCCTCCGGTCCAGCTGCCAATGTAACTAACCCCCGTGTCTCGCTTTACCCTGCAATTCCTTCAAGAACAAAGGCAAGACACAGAATATACAAGGTATAACATGGTTTATCAGTACGTCAGACATATCAGTACCTCAGACACTTTTCCCGAATTTCCTACCCTCTAACTTCACAACGCGTTTTTTCCACCTTTTATTATGTCAGTGATTACCCAAGAAGCAAAAATCATTCTAGCTATCGAGGCTATCCGAACATCAAAAAATCTAAGTCGTCAGAAGGCTGCTAAGCTCTATGAAGTACCTCATTCTACACTCTGTGACAGAATGAACGGCCGAACTACTGTCTACGAACGCCGGCCTGCAATGATGAAATTAACTATACTAGAAGAGGAGGTGGTTATTCGGAATATACTTGATATGGATTCAAGAGGATTTGCACCCCGGCTTGCTGGTGTAGAAGATATGGCAAATTTTATACTCGAATCGCGTGGAGGGAGGCGCGTCGGGAAGCTCTGGGCCCACCGATTTGTACAACGACGTCCAGAATTAAAGACACGTTTTAATCGCGTTTACGACTTCCAAAGGGCCTTGTGCGAAGATCCTGAACTAATTGGCGCGTGGTTTCGACTAGTGGAAAATATGAGGGCAAAATATGGTGTTTTGGACTGCGACTTCTATAACTTTGACGAAACTGGGTTTATGATGGGTGTGATTTGCCCTGCAATGGTTGTTACCCATGCAGATCAACTTGGCAGAGGTAAGGCAGTTCAGCCAGGGAATCGGGAATGGGCTACAGCGATTGCTTGTATCAACAGTGACGGCTGGAGTATTCCTCCATTTTTGGTAGTTAAAGGCAAGAATCATCTTGCAAATTGGTATACAGACGGCGGCCTTCCACACAACTGGGTTGTTAAACCGACAAGCAATGGATGGACAAACAATGAGACGGGTCTAGAATGGTTGAAACACTTCGACAAACATACTGCTGTTCGTGCAAGGGGTCCATATCGAATGCTGGTGTTAGACGGGCACGAGAGTCATGAATCGGCCGAGTTCCAAGAGTACTGCAAGGCACACAACATTATAACTCTTGGACTACCTCCCCACTCGTCTCATTTAACTCAGCCACTTGATGTCGGGTGCTTTAGTGTGTTGAAGCGGGCATATGGTCAGCAGATTGAGACCTTCATTAAGGCTCATATCAACCACATTACCAAGGTCGAGTTCTTTCTCGCCTTTAGAGCAGCATATCTGGAATCCATGACAGCCCAAAACGCCCAGTCCGGGTTCCGCGGAGCTGGCTTAGTGCCTTTCGACCCGCAAGCAGTGCTTTCAAAGCTTGACGTGAGGTTACGGACTCCAACTCCCTCTAGACCCTCTACTGCCAACACCAACCCTTGGGTCTCCCAGACCCCTTCCAACCCAACTGAAGCTCTTTCACAAACAACCCTCGTTCGAAATCGAATTGCCCGTCACCAAGGAAGCTCGCCAACTCCACTCTTCGGGACAGTTATTGCATTGGCAAAGGGTACGGAGCGACTAGCACATGAGAGCACCCTTCTGTCTGCTGAGGTACGTACCCTTCGAGCAGCCAACGAAGCCCTTAGCAAACGCCGCAGGGCTAAAAAGGCTCGTGTCCGTGAAGGAGGTGCACTTATAGTAGAGGATGCACAGGCTATTATCGCACAGAAGGATGTGGATGAGCAGGTACGACGCGACGTACGTGCGGTTGGGGGTAGTCGCAAGGAGGGGCAACCGTCTAGGCGATGCTGTGGGATCTGTGGAAAAGCTGGTCATAATGCGCGAACTTGTCAAGAAGCTATAGATATGTCTAGTTCATCTGATTCCGCTTAGTTATAGTTAATTTAATATGTTATGGTTGATTTATTGATATTCAAAGTAGAATGCCAATGAAAAGTGTCCGAGGTACTGATATGTCCGACGTACTGATAAACCACGTTAGTTGATGTTGAATTATCCAGTGACTACTTATGCTGCTGTGCAAAATGGGTTTCCCAGGTGTTAAATAGTCTTCAGTCCACCTTACCCTGCGATGTCAAACAGAGCTGGCCAAATTTCCCGATGTTCAAGTCCTACTTAACGGTCCAAGAAAATTCCGCTGCTTGGTATATCTCCCAGGCCCAAACCGTTGACACTATGTTCTAAACGATCGATGTCAGGGACAAGAAGGCGCTTGAGGTTACATTCATGTTCCCAGTCGGCCTCAGGACATTTAGCCTCTATTTCAGTATCCCACGACACCGATGGCATCGCTTTCCTGCCCTTATTGCTCATCTTCTTACTATACGATGAGCTCCTTCTTGCCCAAGAATCTTCTGCTGCCTTTATTAAATGTAAATTGGTCTCGGACTGCGGTGATCGTAAGGAGCGTACAGTGCATGCTATCCCAACAAAGCTAAATTCGGTATAGGGCTCCGAGGGAGGTGGCCATAATCCCAGAGGTCGGATTTGCTTTAGAAGCGCACCAAGTGTCATCGAATCGCATTCAAAACTGCACCTATCGCCTACACATAAGCCATCAACAACTCCGTGAATGTTAGTGGTGAGTCGTTCGAGGAGTTCCAGTCGCTGCCTGTTGATTCGCTCTGATTGCCTCTTAGTATCGGAAGACATGGCCATACAAATCACTCACCAGCTATCGTAGGACGTATTGGCAGTTCGAGGGTCATAAATGGACCCGTACTGTGTAATATGGCTGTCCGTGTAGCTGACTTGAACAGACCAGATTGTCGGAAGACAAAGGAAATCAGGATCCAGAGTATAAGATCCCTACCATACTCCTTAGGGAGCGATTTTTCTAGTTGGCGAATCCAAATATCCCCAAAGACTTCCACCTGCTCATAACAATCTAGGTCGTCTACCAATTCCGAGACTTTGGCGAGCATCTAGAGGCTGAGGGATCGGGGAACCTTGCTGTTTTTCCCATGAATGATATTGAGCAGGATCTTGAGGGCCTCCGAATCGAACTCCTCTATGGTCACTTCAGGGCAAGGGAGGTTTGCTTCTTTATAGGGTCCTGCCAGCATCTTCTTAAAGCGCGGAGAAGCCAGAGCCAAGTGTTTCGAAGAGACTTTGAACCATAATTCAGGTGGAGGTAATGGTTCGCCATCTTGGATGTCCGACGGTCCTTCGCTGCGGTTCCAGGGCGCGAACGGACCTCTCGAAGCACGGTGTGTAACGATGAGATCGCCGTCAGGATCCAGTACATACAACTCGGCCATGAATAATGTAATTGATAAAATTACAACAGTTAAAATAAACCCATCTCAATTGTATGAGGAAGTGAAGTAAAGTTGTCTTTGCGGATGAACATAATTTTTACATGCGTGAGTACCTAAATCACATGACCTATTATACGATCCACCTTTTGAATCCCACCCTTTGCCCCAATGTACTTTACTGTAGTAAATTTCGGCCCGGATCGCGCCTGACGCTAACCTTCTTTGATGCAATCCAGTTCGCTCATTTTTGGAGAATGAGTTACGCTCCATATTCAGTTAGTCTGAAAAGGCTGAGATCATATGTGGGGCACTAGAATCAGCCAATGAAGAGCAGATCTCGGTTAGCTTCAGGCAAGACGTGCGACTTGTTGGTTTTCCTGTTCATTGCCCCAGACTTCAACTATCTTACATCTTCAAAACCACACGATGTGTAATTGCTCGCTGATTGACCGATGCCGATAAGACACGTCAAATAGATCCTTGTCGAAGAGATGATAACCGCATCGGAATGATCACCTGGCTGTCGTTGGTGAGGTATGTTGGGCTCGGGCAGCATCGCAACGGCACCTTAACATTTATTTTGAAACCTACCGCATCAATCATCTGTGCTAACCACGTGGAAATAGGCCTTTCTGCCTAAGGCATACATACTCCTAAGAAACCACATGCTACATATTTTGCTGTTGATCCGGGGAAAACCCATCACTCCTTTCTATTGACAGGTCTGAAGGCTTGACGAATATGTTTTCATGGTCGTCGTGTCAGGGATCTAGACAATCTTGAACTTGCCATCCTTCCTGACTCTCAAAGCCGCCCGAGCATCTGGTCGTGGCTGCCTAACTTTGGCTCGCGTTTCTCGGTGCCACTACCCAGCGCAGGAGAAAAGTGCGGCGTTACTTCAGCTGGATGGTGCTATTATGCAGGTCGCCGTGTTGATATTGGCTGCAGGGCGAACCACACAAGCAGCAAGGCTGCCTATTCTGTTCACTCACCGAGGTTGATACATAAATAGAAGGCTTCCTGTCCGAGAGCTCAATATCCTGTTTTATCGAAATTGTATCCGTCTGCTTGCTGTATAGCTATGACACCGTACTAATTAACCAAGCGGGAAGATCCACAGGCAGCTTCCATAACATCCACCATCGCCGCCACCAAGACATCCAGTGATTGGCACGTATTGCGACGGTTGTGGAGAGGGAAAGGGTCTTGTCGAATTGAGTCTGGGCTAAAAGAGCGTGTCCGTAGACGGGAAGTTTGATTCATGAAGCCTGGTTTGATATAAGAGGGCTGATGGCAATCCAGGTGTGGCGAAGGTAATACAGAAGTGTAGAATCAATTGATGTGTGAATGCGCGCGACATGTGGGTGGTGAGCTGAGGCGAGGCTCTTTGGTACGTGATGTTTTATGAGGATAACTCCGACGCCAAGCTCCACTGGGGAATCATTTTACCCGACTCCAGAGACGAAGGGCTGTCCCCACGCGCCAGAACCTGGTCATTATCCCCAATAATCTTCCCTCCACAGTATTTAAAATCGGTTTTGTCGGCATTAGTTTGAAAGACGGTATGTCTTATCTCTTTCAGTCTTCCTGAGGGCCTTACCAGTTGTCTAAAATGATCGACGGTGTAGTCTTATTGTCATTGAAAGGTCGCAAATTAGGTCTCAGTCCCCTCCCTGTTCGTTTTCACAGCAAGAGCAGAAAGAGGAGTACAGATCTCGAAGAAGAATGGCGGAGAAACTGATAAGCCTCGTACAAGGTCAAGGGTGAGATTTGCTGGGCCTTTGAGCTCAACGGAGAACAAATCACCTCTTGGGCTGATGAGTGGGACGAGGCAGGGACTCAAAATGGAATGCCTATAATGCGCTATAAAAATAAAAACGCCTACTTACAAAGTAAGTAAGAACTCCATAATTAGTTGCAGCGTCATTAAATATTCCAGACCCCCAAAAAATAACCAGTCTTGCCTTTGACACTTGACCTGTCTCGAAGCTATGTTTTATTTATGTCGAATATTAGTCGATTAACCATGGATGGGTTGGTAGATTGATCCGGCCGCCACAGGAATCCCTTGATGCCCATGCCAACACTCGATAGGTGGCTTCTATGGAAGGGCGAGATATGATGGGCGGTAGCTTAGTCATTGTTTTGTTGTCGCTGTGTTTTATATCCGGCTTCTCTTGTACTTGCGCGTTGTCAATCACACCAGAATGAAAACATTGCTTCTCATCTCCCAGAATCCAAACCCAACTGTGATACTCTCGGGCACGCCAGAGATCCAAGTACTGATGTAGCTCCGGTTCAATCTCCTTAGCTGATGTACTTCCGAAAGGCTGCCAACCATATGGCAACTCCTCCGCATTCGCAATGTAACGATAATTGAAACGAAGGCGGGCAAGATCACTATTAGATAGCATCCTCATGCCGTTCTCTTCATAGCAGCCCAGTCCAACTTCATCTAAGAATGACTGCCTACAGCCAAGCCATGCAGCTGAAACAGAATCAGGTTGCGACGCGCGAGTAAATTTCGGTTGCTCTTCCAATGTTGTAAGATAGGATTCAATCATGCCAACCCAGTCCAAAGGTCCAAGCCAAAGAACGCCGATCCTGAATGGTGCCTGTCGAGGACGATATATCATAAACATTTTGATAAGTAACTCCGTATTTCTCGATTTAAGCACGGGCCGAATAACATCATATATTGAAAATAGCCAAGCACTGACAACGTTGCAAGCAACGCCTGATTCCCAGAAAATACTCCAAAGACTCGATCCTATCGACCTAGGGCTGATACTAATGGTTATGAGTTGAGATATCCGCCTCGAATATTGAATGAATGCGTCGTGAGCTTGTTTTGGATGATCGCGCCGCAGAAGTATTGGAACAGGCAGAGTAGCCGTTAATTTTCTAAAATTGTAGAAAGGCAGCATGATTGTAGCAGAAACTGCGGCGTCGAGTTGGCTGTTAAGTCCAAATAACCTGCAAAGCTCGGAAATAAGACTTGCCGCCTTTTCCAAAGATGGCGATGTGGCCCATTCTGGAGAAGAATATGTCGGACTAGTAATACGTCGAAAAGGTTCACTCCGTCATAGGCCAATGCCCACGGTGGACTAGGCTTGATCATCCAACGCGAATTGGGTGCGGGAAGGATACATAGCCAACACACAAGGTCCGGAGATGCGTGACGTAAGTCAAGTTGAATTCTGTCATTCTCTGAGCAGCCTACATGGCGTGTTGAAAGTGCCTGAGAAGTAAACTTGACTTTTCCGCTCCTGCATCTCAAGGAGTTTTGCACAGAAATAATAGGAGAGGCATTGTATGAGTATAGTGATGCCATTGGAAGGAGAGGCGGGTGACGCATCAGAATTGGAATTGCATTCTTCTGTGAGCCGGTACCTCGTCGGCTTTGGGATAGAGAGGGTGAGGATTTTCTCGTTGCCACGGGCGAGATCCATGCTCCATTCATCGACTTCGGGGGGTGAGGTTGGCTGCCACGTCGGATCGGAGTCATCCAGGGTTTCTGTGAAAACATCATCCATAGAGCCCATATCATCTGACTCAGCGTGTAAAAATTCCCATGTCGGGTAGCCCCCAATTTCCTTTAAGCCACGGAGCTGAGAAGGTAGGGGTGGAACCCCCTCTGTCAACCTCAAAACACCTGGGCTTTCGGGCATTCTGAGAGTTTGTTGCCGTTCTGCCAGACCAAGGCACTCTCGCCATTGGGATTCACCTCTCCGAAAGGTCCTCTCAATATCCTCAGCGCTTGGAATCACTGGATCATTCTGACATCCTTGCAGTAAATCATCAGCAGTTTCGTCCTCAGCGATGCCACTGCTGACACTGCTGGTACTGCTGTTCGGCGGGGTGCTTATGCCTCCGTTGCTTTCGTTCCTATAAGATGAGGAATGGTTATCATGAGGAATGAAGCTTGCTTTAAACCTGTTCGTTCGAGTCTCTATCCAGTGGGCAACACGATCATCACCCATGTTAGAGGTGGCTGGTATCTCAAGTCATTTATGATGGAATTCGCCCAGATAGATAAAAGCTTCAAATTTTGTCTTGCTTTGCGAAAGTACTCCCTATTTGTCGCCACTTTCAAGTAAATAAATAGTATAATGCCGAGAGATTGATTTTATGGGAGGCGACCTTTATAGTCCCACCTCAGCTCATCATGTGATATAACGTCACGTGCCCACCTCACCTCCTCGCTCTCGAGGTGAGATGTACTTATTACCAATTCACGAAACTCGGCGCGCAAGTGCGGTCAGTGTAAATTGGGGTTGAAGTTCTACTCTATATTATGTGCTTGTAAAGGCTTGTTTGATATGTAGAATTCGAGTGATGTAAAATGCGAGCGCGAAATATGTTCATCACATGATGTCGGGGTCATAGTTTCATTTATGAGGCCCGTACCACGGAATCTATTGCACCACCAAAGATGACTGCAGGTTGCCGTCATCACCGGCTTCTTGCAGTTCTGCTTCGCTTCCATTGATACAACTTCGACTCATGTTTTATAGCAACCATATCTGCTACGTTACAATCTCTACCAGGTATACATATACGAGAGCCTGCGACAGTCAACCTAGGCCTAGCACCTGGTGTTACGAATTCCTCAAAGCGCCAGCTCCACGGCGCAAATATCGAACCAACTTCCGCCATTCCGCCTATGGGCTTGATGACAGTCCAATCTTTACGGTGTACGCCTGGGACCATGCTGATGGTGGGATTCATCATGGCTTCGCACACAGCGCTTGTTCAATATTCGCCGACCACCGCACCGATGGTTATTTGCGCACGACGTGCGAAGGCATGGCGAGCGAGTCCAGGCTAGATGGGATGAAGTCTTGCCTGCCTCTGTTGTAGACTATTACTTCTATGTCCCTTATCCCCCTGGTAGGTTCTATACATTACCACAAGAGTCTTATTGAGAAGGAACGAACTTCGGCGTGTACTACTCAGTTCCCTGCCACCTCTCACTGGGCATTCTTGAGAGCCATTTCGATATCATGTTGTTACGAACTTCCAGGACTGGTCGTTTGGGAAACTGCCGGAGATCTGGACACGTTGCACGAGTATACAAGGTGCTGTGTCGAGTACTGCACCTCAGTCTAATTTGACAGCGGCTAGACCTTCTTTAAAAGTATTAAGGTTGACTTTCTAGAATTTATATAACATTCTATATTTCCCACATTTTCTTCTTCTTATCTAATCTAATCTTATCTAATACTATTCCTAATATAGTAATTACCTTACCTAATTTAGTTAGAGCCATCTATATTCAAATATTCATGAATATTCATGAATAATAATTTTTATTCATGAATAGCCTAGTATTCAAGTTTATATTCGAATTGCTAACCCTACCATAAGCCATATTCAGCTCAGATATATTTAATGTACCATAAGCCATAGCCTGACTCCATGAACCCGATTCTAGACCGTCAATACGTGTTATGATTGATGCTATCTGTATCCCCTCGCAAACCCCTTAGCTCTTTCTCCCCTTCATTTGTCGATTTCGTACATACATACTCATTATAATTCCACCTTGCAAACGCATAACCCCCCGCTAAGACCGTAAACTGATACGACATCCATTGAACGCTGTCACACTCTTCGCCCACCTCATTGCCTAAACCTCGCCAGCTGCGCCATAATATTCTGCAGATCCTCTGCGCTCTGACCTCCCTGCACCTGCGCCTGTGCCTGCTGTCCCAACCCCGCAGCGCCAAGGAGGGCGCCCAGATTCGCCGTTGCGCCTTGGGGCGGGTACTGAGCCTGTTGCTGGGGTGGGTATTGTTGTTGTTGTTGTTGCGGCTGTTGAGTAGGTTTTCCCATTAGACCCCCAAGGATGCCTGCGAGGTCTACTTGGCCATTGCCTTGGTTCTGCTGCTGCTGCTGTGATGTTGGGGATTGGATGGGTGCATTCAGTGTCCCGAGCAGCTTTTGCAGAGTTGCATTGTCGAGCTGGCCGACGATGCTCCCAAGGTTAGGAGCTACTCGTGCAGCCGGAGCTCCGTATTGCTGACCAGCCTGTTGTCCATACGCCGGTGCAACTGGGGCTGGAGCAGTAAGTTGCTTTTGCTTCTCACGTATCACCAGCTCGGCCGCAATACGGGGCTCCAGGTCCTCATACTCGTCGAAACGGACATTGTCCGCGCCGCGCGTGCGGTCAAAGACTTGCAATGGTATCCTGCTAGTCTGTTGCGCCTTAGGAGTCAATTTGACAACGGCAAGGACACCTTCCAGAATCTGTCGGCGGACAACGACATCCACTGGTAGGCGTGCGCTGAGGAACATGACTTCGCTCTTTAAACCACGACCACGGATTTCACCCTCGACCCAGCTAATGAAGTTGCGATCGAGCTCTTCGAGGAGGATGATCTGCACCTCCGGGACGTCGCGGGCGTCACGACGCGGGATACCCAGCGCAGCATCTTCATCCATTTGGCGACGTCGAGGGCTGAGACTTCTCTCGCGGTACCGCCCGCCATCTCTACGATCGTAGACAGGGGAGCGAGACCGTGTGTGCCGACCATCGTGGCCACCATAGCTATCTCGTCCACGGTTTTGGCCGTACTCATCGCGGCCACGGAAACCACCACGTTGTGGTGAGGGAGACCTCAGGGCTCGGTAGTGCTCGCGTCCACGCGTGGTAGCGCCGCGGTGGTCACCTTCACGAGGTGACGTGAGGGCTCGTCCATCGTATCGATCGTAGCCCTGGGGTTGGTTCCGGCCTTGTCCTCCACGACCACCTCCACCGCCTCTTTGGTGCTCTGGTGATCGCGAGCGACGTTGAGTAGCGGGTTGCGCTTGTCCAGGTCCAGCCTGTCGGGTGTTCTTCTGGGGTTTGGAGATCTCGAGATCTGTTGAAGTCAGTGAGGTTTCATGACAAACGGGTGCAACATGAGACTTACGCATTTTCCTCCCCCTGATTTCCTGGCCTTGCTCACGCTGGAGGGCTGCATGACAAGCCTTGACGTCGTGGAATTGGACAAATCCATAAGCCTGCTTGATAGATACCTGTGCCAATCTACCGAACTTGTGAAAGATGTAGAAAATATCACGCTTCGTTACCTTCTCTGTTGGTAAATTACCTGGCACGTTGTCAGTAAGATGATAAATAGTAGAGGAGAAACATAACATACCTATGAATAGTCTTGATCCTGCGGGGAATCTGTCCCATAAGCCTTCCGAGACATACATCCGCTCATCGGCCAAGAATTTATCATACAGGCTCTGGACATCAGCACCCCACTGAATCTCACCTGCATCTTCAGCATCTCCAGCCTCGACAAAAGTCTGTGGCCTGTCTTGTTTGGGATGAGGGGGAAAGGTAGACGATGGAGGAGCTGGCAATGATGGAGGGGCATTGAAGGAGGCGGCTGGGGGTGGGGGAAGGATGTTTCTAGCATCGGTCTTTGTGCCTGGCGCACCAGAAGCAATAAGGGGCATAGACATTCCCGGCGCTCTGTATGCGGTAGAGCCCGGTGGGACAGCAAAGCTGGGGCCAGCATGGTATTTGCGGATGTCATCCTGAGACGCATACGCCGGGTGCATGGCAGGCTTTGGCAGGACTTGCGGTCGTGGAGGGAGGCTTGAGTGAGAAGGGAGAGTTGAGGGCCCGGTTGGTTCGGGTGGCCCTGGTGGGAAGGTTGGAGAGCTAACAGTGGTTGCGGTGAGTGTGCCATTTGCGGGCGTGGCATTGATTTCAGCATTGGCCGTGATGTTATCAAGCAGCTGCTGAATGTCTATCTCGCCTTTGGCAATACTCTCATAGGAATGGGCTGGAGGGGGTTGAGATTTGGCCTGGGCTGTCTCAGACATCGCGGGGTCGGAACCGCCATCAACGGCAGCTAGAGGAGCAGGCTCAGAAGAAGTCGTAGGAGGGGAGGTAATGGGGTTAAGGGAGGAATTGTCGATGGGTCCCGTAGTGGTATTGGTGATGGAAGGGATGGTGTCGAGGGAAGAAGGAGCGGTCTCAGAGCCTGACAACGGAGCAGGCGCTGAATGAACAACTTCATGTTGCTCGACAGCCTCGCTTGAATCTTCTGGACTATCTGAACCCGCCTCGCCATCAGACTCAAAGGTCATCGCATAATCATCGTCGATCTCGCCTCCTGCCTGTGCCCCTGGCGCAGCAGCGTTGCCTTGCTCTGGTTTAGCCTCCTCGTCATACGGGTCTGAGAAGCTACTTGCCGCGTCGCTTGGCTCATTATCGTCATCCGCCGTCGCGTTTGTATTCGTAGGAAGATTGTCGGTGGGCGCGTCTGTTGATGACGCGGTATGGGTGGATGTCATATTGAAGACGGGGTCGATCTGGTTCTGGAGGACTGGGAGATTCGATGGGATTGAGGGGTGAGATGGGACGGGAGAGACTGGAGTGGTTGGTTTGGTTTGGAATTTAGGCGCGTCCCAAATCATAAATCCAGAGGGTCGGGGCAACCTGCCTCGCGACTCGCACTGCTATGGTGATGGTGGGGGGTTTGTTGATGAACGACAATGTGGAAGACAAATCAACAATTGATTTCCGGCTGGAGGGGTGGAGGCGGAGGAAGGGAGAAGGGATTAAGAGGTGGGAAATGGAGGAGGATAAATAGATTGTTGGATTGAGTCGTGGATCGAAGATGTAGAAGATAAAAGTCGAGTTGGGTTTTGCTTGCTTAGCTACATGGATTTGGATGTGGATGTGGAAGAAGGCATTCTAATAAATCAGATTCACTCTTTCACGCTGGGCGGGGGATCTGGGGATCTGTTGCGGGTGGCGTTGGTGCGGGTATGGTGCTTGCGAAGGCGTCGGTTTGGCGTGTGTAGGTTTGCAAGGCAGATGAAGTCGAGTTTGGAGTTTGGGGAGATGGGAAGATGGTGGAAACGGAGATGGAGATGGGGGTGAATTGAAAATAGAGACGATGTTGAAGAGGCTCGAGGTGAAGTCATGTTGCTGGTGCCCGAAAGCTTAGTCAGCCGCCTAAGCCACATCTTTCCGAATCACGTGCAACCTATACCCTCTGGTCAAACAGATATCAATCACATCTCACATCTACCGCTAGCAATTGTCATACTGTATAACTTTCAGATTACAGGACCCTACATGCATCATAGCAGATCTTTACCATTGTATTAAGGGCAGAAAAGGTATACTCGCTAGAATTGCTCTAGTAGGACTCTTGAGAGCACCACCTCTCCTCCCCCGCATCTTTGATAACCTGTCTCATTGACCACCACAAAGAGAACAAAGACGATGAAAGACTCGGGACCTCGAGTCCTAAATGTCCTACCTATGCAGCCGCCGAATGCAGCAAACCATTATGTCCCGTCACATTAGATTATTTGCCATACCACGTCCCGTGGCACTACAACGACAACAACCCGCCCAGAGTTTGCCCATACGCCAGTTTGCAACCCCATCACGCAACGGATCCGGCTCAGAATCTCCCTACTCAGACGAGGAATACGCAGCTGCTCGGGAATGGGCGTCGAAATTCAAGCCGGGCTCATTACCACGGGACCTGGCACAAACACGATTTGACCGGTCATCAGGTAAGGGCGGACAGCATGTGAACAAGTAATCAACTCTCAAGCAATCCATTGATTATCGAGTAGTTCTAACACCTCCCAGAACAAATTCAAAGGCCACAAGTGCGTGGCAGATCAAGTCAATAGCGCCCTATGTGCCTGCTATGGTGACCAAGGAACTGCGTGCGTCGCGGTATTACTCTAGGAATTCTGATTGCCTCACCATTGCCTCTCAGGAAGGTCGCGTGCAGCGCGATAATGAGGATAATTGCCATGAGAAGCTCTATGAGCATATCACGGATATCACTAAGCGTATCATCCCCGGTGAGACGTCGGCGGCTGCGAAGGCAAAGGCAGCAAGGCAGTGAGTATAATAATCATAAATGCAAGGGAAAAGTTAACAGACGGCTGACTGTCTACTGCAGAAAGAAAATCGGAAATGCCATCCGTTTACAGTCCAAGAAGGAGCACAGTATGAAGAAGCAATCCAGGAGCAGCAAAGGGGGGGATTATTAGGACAGCAGGGTCGTCGCAAATGAACGGCATGCTGTCCACTGGGTTTAGTGAAAGGCCCGAAAGAACTAATAGCCAACTGATAAACTGGATATCATAGTTGGAAGTGGGCCTTGGAGTCTGCCGTCGGGGGCAGATTTACTGTAAGGGGATCGATCCAAGGCAAGGCAGTCGATGAACGAACCAAAATCTCAGGCGGAATCAAATGTAAAATAATAGCCACAAGTATAATAATTATATAGATACCCATCTCATAATAAATCCGATTACTACCTCTCCAGTGATCATTCCCCTAATCCCCATACGAAAAACGAGCACTGTATAGTTGGCGAGAACCCCTGAACGGCAAAATTACTCAGCAGGCACGAATCATGGCACCCAAACAGCTGCTACTGCAATGCACCATAAGTAAGTTAGAGGAGCGGCTGAAAAAAAAATGACGCGAACGCAACATAATATATGCATTCCCCCGTGCGTTCCCTCTTTGTTCTTCAGTATCTCGTCGCTCATCTCAGCCCCATCTACCACTCTGTCGCGAACCGATCGCGCGCGCTGCTCTCTTGCTCCTAAGTATCCGTTGGTCGACCCCTCAATCCTTATCGCCCACCGCCCAGGCCGTGATAACCACCCACCCCTCTCCCACCCCCACATCCGCCACAACCTCGACCTCGAACATCTCCTTCCTCTCTCCCCTCCACGCTCGCCACAACTTCGACCTCGAACATCTCCTTCCTCTCTCCCCTCCACGCTCGCCACAACCTCGACCTCGAACATCTCCTTCCTCTCTCCCCTCCACGCTCACCACATCCACAACACCCAGCACATGCGACGATGAGCTACAACAGCCCCGCTCCCTCCGCGTCGGGGACCCCTCCAAAGATCCAGGCCTGCCACTACAAAACCGGCAAGACCCTCGGCGCAGGCTCCTACTCCGTCGTCAAAGAATGCGTGCACATCGACACTGGACGGTACTATGCCGCGAAGGTGATCAACAAGCGTTTAATGGCCGGTAGAGAGCACATGGTACCCCCACCCCGTCCCTCCCTCCCAACGAACCCCCCACTAACCCCCCCAGGTGCGCAACGAAATCGCAGTCCTCAAGCGCGTCTCCATGGGCCACCGCAACATCCTCACCCTCGTCGACTACTTCGAAACGCAAAACAACCTCTACCTCGTCACCGACCTCGCCCTCGGCGGCGAACTCTTTGACCGCATCTGCCGCAAGGGCAACTACTACGAATCCGACGCCGCCTCTCTGATCCTCGCCACCCTCTCCGCCGTCGCCTACCTCCACGCGCACGGCATCGTGCACCGGGACCTCAAGCCCGAGAACCTTCTCTTCCGCACCCCTGAGGACAACGCCGATTTGCTCATCGCCGATTTCGGGCTGAGTCGCATCATGGACGATGAGCACTTCCACGTCTTGACGACTACCTGCGGAACGCCGGGGTACATGGCGCCGGAGATCTTTAAGAAGGCTGGGCATGGGAAACCGGTTGATGTTTGGGCGATAGGGGTTATTACGTATTTTTTGCTCTGTGGATACACACCGTTCGACCGCGACTCCAACCTCGAGGAAATGCAAGCTATCCTCATAGCAGACTACCGCTTCGAACCCCCCGCCTTCTGGCGCGGCGTCTCCGTTTCGGCAAAGGACTTTGTCTCCCGCTGCCTCACCGTCGACCCGTCCGCGCGCCCAACCGCCCAAGAAGCACTCGCTCATCCGTTCCTGGCTGCGCGGCCGGCGGAGGAACAGGAGGGGCAGAGCGATTTGTTGCCTACTCTGCGCAAGAACTTCAACGCTAGACGGACACTACATGCTGCTATCGATACTGTACGCGCTATTAATAAGTTGAGAGAGGGCTCGGGAAATATGGATGGTGCGCGCAGCGGGGAGCCTGAGCGCGCGGCGGCTGGGTCGGCGGGGGATTCCCCCTCTGACGCGACCCCCGACTCCACGGGTGCAGGAGCGGGTCCAGGGCCGGCGTTGGCGGCGATTGCAAGGAAAGCTGCACTCCACGATTTGGGTGTGGAAACTTACCCTTCTAGAGATGCGGAGGGGGATGTGAGGATGGACTCGACGGATGAGCCGACGAGGGCGGGGGCGAGTCTGTTGACGAGACAGAGTGGACAGGGGCAGAGCGGGGCGGAGATTGAGAAGCAGGAGGAGAGGATTAGGGAGGCTAGTCGGGGGTTGTGGCAGGGGAGGTAGGGGTGTGTGTGATAGGGGAGGAGAAAAGATGAGAGGTTGGGGGGGAGGGGGGAAGTGTTAAAATGGAAGGAGGGAGGGGGGGGGAGGAATGAAAGAAATGAATATGCAAATACCCATTCTGTGGCGGAAGCGATGGATAGCTGAGTTGAAATCCGAATTGAATCGAATTGATTTGAACGAACTTCACTGAACTGGGCTGGTCGACTCTGGTATTACAATTCTCACGTCGAATCAAACAGTCACCAAGCAAGTAGTCAATCAAGTAGTGAGTGAGTAATATCTCAATTCATCCCCTCCTCTTCCCCCATCTCATCTCATCTCGGGACCAGCCAAGACTGTCTCTCCCCGCTCTTCTATACATAAAGCGAGTGTTCTATACATCCCCAGCAGCCTGTAGCGACCGTTCCATTTTACTCCCCTTCTTCCCGGCATTATTGTATGTGATTACTATCCCTTATTATCCCCCATCCCTCCCCGCAATCGATACCCGCAACTGGAATCGATGGAGTGAAAAACGCCGTTATGCATGTATGCCTCCTCCGCTTGCTCGCTGCTATGCTCTCCGTTTCTCAGACGCCGTGTGTTCGAAATAAATTGGTTGATTAAAAAGGTGGTGTTATGAAGGTTGGTAGAAGGTTTTTGTGGTGGATATAAAACTTGTAGGTTGAAGTTTTGCGTTTCGTTTGCGGGTCGTTTAGAGTGTGGAGTTGTGGTATGTAGGTTGGTAGGTTGGTAGGTTTCGTGAGTGTCGAGGTGAGGTGGTGTGGGTTGTATGTCAATCTCGAGAGAGTTCGTGACGGTAGAGTAACTGGCCCAGCAAAGACGTGCAGGCAAGGCAGCAAATCTACTACCTCACCAACACAATCTCAGCCTCACTCTCCCTATCCGTCGACTCCCTCCCCCCCAACGTCTCCCCCTCCCACAAACTGTCCCCATCATCCGGACTCGCGCTCCCACTCTCCTCGCTCCCCACCGCCCACTCATCCACCAGGAGGCGCTGCCTATACCCCAGCTCCGCAAGATCATACTCCCGCTCCCCGCCCGCCACCTCCCCGATCTCGACATAATCGTAGTCCCACCTCGTCCACTTGTCCGCCTGGCGGCGCGGTAGGAAGTTCGCGCGCGCGATGTAGAAGACCACGCCGGAAATCATGGAGCCAGCGACGAGATCGACGGCGTAGTGGTGGGAGAGGTACATGGTGGCCCACCAGAGCCATATCACGTATCCCGCGAACAGGGGCTTGAAGCGGGGGAAGCAGTATGACATGAATAAGGCTACAATAACCGCATTCCCCGCGTGCAACGACGGGAAGGCTCCAAAGACAACCGGCGCATTCGTGAAGTTCGTCGAATAAAGATCCACCCCGAACAAGGCATCAATCCTCGCCAACCCCGCAGGGGATCCGGGCATACCGTAATTCGCGGGCGCGAGACCATGGCGATTCTCGTACCAGGGCGCGGCGCAGGGGAGGAGGACCTGGATGATGACACCCGTGAGGTTGACGTAGCCAAAGGAGCGGCCGTAGATGGGCAGGGTGCCGGGGGCGGCGAAGATGAAGAAGATGACTGCGGCGACGGCGGGGCCGCCGAAGTGCACGATGCCGTAGGGGAACCACGCGAGCACGTCGAGGACGACGTGTTGGTGCGCGGAGAGGATGTTGGAGAGGTTGGCGCCGTAGAGGATGTTTTCGAGGGCGGGGAGGACGCGGACCCAGATGCCGGGGCGGGCTTCGCTGGGGATGAAGCTGGGAGGTGTTAGTTGGTGTTCGGGGGGGGATTGGGACCCGGGGGGGCTTACCGAGCGGCGAAGAAGAAGATGACCCAGGTCAGCACTGGGAGTGCCGGAATGAGGAACTGGCTCGTAATAGGAATAACCGCCGCAACGAGAGCCAGCAATATAATCCCCGCCTTAATTATCGGCGCCGACGGCGTAATAGCCGCCGAGAAGAGCAGTATTATGACAAGGAAGATGTTCTGCGCATCATGGAGGTTCCACCGGCGCTTCTGCAGCTTGTGCAGCGTGACGTACGGTGAGAAGGAGGTCTCGATGGAGGAGAGTGCTGAGGCGGGGGACTTGCGCGCGTGCAGCTTCGACCGTAATCGTCGGCGGTAGCGCCGCGGGATGGGGTTGGCGAGGATGTAGGAGGGCCACGCGAAGGGGAGCTTGGGCTTGGTGAAGGTGGGTGACGAGGACCCGGAGGAGGAGTGGACGGACATCGAGAGGGTGGTTTCCGCCCGAGCCGTTGGAAGGAGGGTTGGGGAGGTTGTTGTAGGTGTCGACGAAGATGGGTTCTTCTGGAGGTGGTTGGGCGGTGGTAGTTGTAGGAGTGTAGGAGTAGTAGGAGTAGTAGGAGTAGTAGGAGGTAGAGGAGGAGAGGTGAGGAGAGGTAGGAAAGGTAGTGAAGTGAGGTGAAGTGAGGTGAAGTGAAGTGAAGTGAAAGATCTTGGGAGATCAAAAAAGCCGAGGGAGATTAGAGGTAGGGACGGGGACGGAGATACTTTTGGGACGGTCGGTAGTAGAGTAAAAGAGTTGGTGGTGGTAGTGGTGGTGGTAGTGGTGGTGGTAGTGGTGGTGGTAGTGGTAGTGGTGGTGGTAGTGGTGGTGGTAGTGGTAGTGGTGGTGGTAGTGTAGTGGTGGTGTAGTGGTGGTGTAGTGGTGCTGGTAGTGGTGGTGGTAGTGTGCTGGTAGTGGTGGTGTAGTGGTGGTGTAGTGGTAGTGGTAGTGGTGCTGGTGCTGGTGCTGGTGCTGGTGCTACCGTAAAGTGCGGTAGTGGTAGTAACCAGACGGGTGGGTGATCTTCTGTGTTTTTCCAGGGAGGGCGCTAGTTAGTGAAATCTGAGTAGTGGGTGGAGTATCGGTACATGGTGTGGTATGGGTGTAGAGGTGAAGAAAGAAGTTACGCCCGTACCGTTCAAGTAGGACAGCGGCGGAGGAGAGACACGGAGGACGGAAGACACGGGGCGGGGGGGCGGGGGCGGGGGGCGTTCGCAGTAGATTTTCGAATCGAATAGGTATACGCGTATGGTACGTGTATGGTACTTGGTACGGTGCGTGTGGTGGGCATGGGGGACAGGGTATAGGACATGTACAGCACAGAGCTTTGCGCTCCCATGTCATGCTGTGAAGCTGTGGTAGTAGGGATTAATTCACAGTTCGCCCAGCCGGATAACAGGCAGCGTCTCCGTTCCGTAAGCCCCGTAAACCCAAACGAATAAGGGAAGCCAGCCATAAGAAGAAGAAAAGCTGGGCAAGCAAGGCAAAGAGAGAGAAAAGGGATAAAAGCGAGAAAAGGGAGAAAAGGGAGAAAAGGGAGAAAAGGGAGAAAAGGGAGAAAAGGGAGAAAAGGGAGAAAAGGGAGAAAAGGGAGAAATCCTGCACCCTCCTCCAGCGGGCCGTTGGCTTAGCGCGGGGTCGAGAACGCGTAAGCGTGGCGGTGGGATGGGCGGAGGCCAATTAGGGGTGGGGGGCGGGAGATTAGATGGTCGGTTCGTTAGATGGTCGTCGGTCGTTAGATGGTCGTCGGTCGTTAGATGGTCGTCGGTCGTCAGATGGTCCTGGGTGGTGGAGCCTGGGGGATAGCTCCGTCGCGCGTCATCTTGCTGGGAGGATTTTGCAGAGATTGGAGGAACGGAGTACGGCGTACAGTATTATGCTTTTGACATCAGGACAAGGGACAAAACAAAAGGGAAAAGGGGATGAGACAATGTGAGCACGTGAGACCGCAATTGTGAGTGGTAGTACGTAGTACTCGAGTACCGCGCCATAAGTATACGTACGGGTCTGTGCTCAAATTACAGACGCTGATCAATCACAAAGTTTAACCTTCTAACCCTTCTAACCCTTCTAACCCTTCTAACCCTCCTAGCCCCTAGCCCTCCTAGCCCTCCTAGCCCTCCTAGCCCTCCTAGCCCTCCTAGCCCCTACCTACTGTAAGTTAGCCCTCCCAACCTCCCAACCTCCCAACCCTCTCTTTTCTTTCCTCCGAGGTATCCGGACGGGCCGCATCACATCTGCCATGATCGTCACTCCTGTAGCTGTCCGTTGGTCTAGACGCTATACGAGCCCAACTATGCGTCAACATTGACAACACCAACTAGGAGAAGCCAAGTTTTTCTCAGTCATGCACGTCACACGAGGGGGTTATGCGAGTTATACCCGTTATACCCCACGCATTTTCCCGTCATGACGGAATGCCAGAGTCGACGACATACCACTTCTAACTTCTACCACTTCTACCACTTCTACCACTTCTACCACTTCTACCACTTCTACCACTTCTACCACTTCTACCACTTCTACCACTTCTACCACTTCTACCACTTCTACCACTTCTAACTTCTACCACTTCTAACTTCTACCACTTCTACCACTACCCGGTCCACCATAGAGACAGACACACCCTCGGCGCTGGAAGATACCGCAAGACGAGCGGATAGACACACAGACCTGCATCACAAAATGCACCTCATCCGAGCTCTCCGGCAGTCTCGACTCGTGATCTCAGACATCATCGGCGGTGGTACGGTACACCAACAGGACCCGCCTCGCATATCCAATGCTGTTTAGTCCTCCCGCTTGGGGGCGTGGAAGCGAGGGGATGTAAGTGCCGAGTGGTAATACGTCATGTCATGCCTCTGTGCCGCTGTCACGCATTCGGGTAGGGGCTGTATCAGAATGGCGCCATGATGATGATATTTCCAATGATATTTCCAATCTACGATAATGATGCCAGCTCGCTATCTCTCACCCCGCCGTCGTCTCTCCCACTCCCTCACAGCCCAATCACGAAATCAGTACAGTATCACAGTACAAAGGGCTCCCCACCCCGCTCCACCCCGCTCCACCACGCCTCACAACTACTCGAGTACCCTATTCTCCCTCTCCTGTGCTGTGAAAAAAAAACCCCCTGCCAAGACATGAAACGCCAAGCACAAGCCACAGCACCAACAACCCCACTACACCAAACCACCCAATCCTTCCCACAAGCCCCCAGATGTAATTTCCCATCTCCCACTGAACGTGAGGCCGGCCGCGTACGCCTGTGTCCCAGTAAGGCCAGAGCGGGCAGAGCGGGCAGAGCCCGGGATCGTCAAATATCTTTTAGAGTATAGTCACGTGGGGTGTTGTCACGTGATATACATTCTCACTTCCTCACTCACTCACCCGCTCCTATTACTGGCTCTCATAACTCCAAAGACGTCAGGTCAGGTATAAGGGGATAGTATTTAGTTACCATCTAGCATATCTATATACCCCCTTCTCCTCCCCTCTCCTCCCTTGTCTTCCCACCATCTTCCTATCTTCCGCCTCCTGTGTGTCTGTATACACACCAGAGCACAGCACCCTCAATCCCAGGTTTCACCAAGACCACTTTTGACTCCCTTCTTATACATCATCATCTCATTTCAAAAATATTCACTCCAGTCCCATCCATCCATCCTTCCTTCCCCGTCCGTTCCCCCATCCCCCCATTAACACCAAACAAACCCACACGCACTTGCATTAGCACATCCCCCCATCCACTCCTCCCTTCCCATCACCCCCATTACTACGCTTCATCACTTCACTCTTTTCTTCTTCCCCTCGCCACCCCCATTACCCCCTAAATCCAATACCTCGGCTCCTCAAAAACATGATACCTATGCCCCCTAACCCCCTCCCCCTCAAACTTCCCCGGAAACCTCCACCCCCTCTGCACTTCCCCACCCCCCACCCTCTCCCCCCCGCCCACCCCCCCTTCCCTCCCATCCACCTCCCTCCTTCTTGCCCACCAGGAATTTCCCGACTTGGATCTCCGTATCCGTAATCGTCCCCCTCGACACCCTCGCGTACCCCACCCTCCTCAAATTCTTGTAGAGGATATACTCACACCACCTATCCCAATCACTCTCATCAATATCCTTCATCCCCGACTGTTCCGAGACGTAGGTGTTGTAATTCCCCTCAAACGGCTTCGTAACCAGATACGCCAGCAGAATCGCCGGGCGGTCACTCTTCCCCATCAATTCAGCCAGGTATTCAGATTGTAATCTCCGATCCTCATCGTCCTCTTCCTGCCCACTATGAAACACAAACACATCCACCAACGTCCCATACACATCCAACGTCGCCTTAATCGCCGGCGCCAGCTCGCCCACCGGACTAGGCAGGAGGTGATGCTCACTCTCCACAATGGGAAACTTACTCAACAGCGCCGCGCCCCAAGTATGTTTATCCGGCCCTGGCCCATAATCAACATACATCCCCAGCTCCTCGGCCAGAAACTGCGTCGTATCCCTATTCCCCATGATAACGCGCTGCAGATCAGACTCCAGCAGCCCCACAACATCGAGCTCCAGATCTCGCAGCGCATCACGCATCCGGTACTCGGAGGACCACATGTCGTTGTCGAGGGAGAAGTGAACCGTCCAGATCCCCGCGGTGATGAGCTTGGAGGGGGCGTGGTAGGGCGTATAATCAAAGGTTGGGAAACGGATATACGCCACGCATAGTGCCGCGAGTTGGATGATGCCCACGAGGGAGAGGGTGTGTGCGCGTTGTCGCGGCGCCGGGGGTGTGTAGGAGGGGGGTTTCGCACCGCTGACAGGGGAGGAGATGGTGAAGACGCCGCAGCCGACGAGGAGCATTGTGGTGCTCATGACCCAATCTGTGCGTTCTCTCACTAGCGGGCCACCGGGGACGAAGGCGTAGGCGACGACCCAGACGTGGAAGAGGACGACGAAGTTGTATACCAGGAAGCCCAGTCCGAATACCGTAGCTGGGTTCCGCTTGGCCGCTGCTCCGATCATGGGGACGGAGAAGGCGAGGAGGTAGACTGTTAGGAGTAGCGCGCCGCTGTAGCCTGTCCAATCACCTCTAGCGGTAAGGACAGCCGCTCCAACACAGCCTAGACCGTAGAATGTCCAGCTACGCGCGAGGAGGGGGTAGAAGAGGCCTAGTACGAGACCACCGCACATGGCTGCGATGGTTACGGCGCCGTGGGGAGCGGCGAGGGGGCCGCGGACGGGGAAACCGGTCCAGACCCAGAGGATCATGGTGCTGGAGTCTGAGAGGAGGGAGTGCAGCGCGAAGAAGAGGCCTCCGATGCCAAAGGCGGCTAGGACAGAGGAGCCCTGTTGCTTGCGCTCAACCGGAGAGGAAGTGCCCTTATTGCCATTGCTAGTAGTGCGCAGGACGGCGAGGACAGCGAGCACGAGGCCGGTGAAGTTGTACCCCCCATTCGAGTCATGCACGATCGGCCAGATGGGATTACTAGTCTGCCACGCGAACTTGACGACGCTGTGGAGAATCAAGCCGAGTGTCCAGGCGGTGACTTTTGTTTCGAGCTGCACGGGCTGGAAGGCGGTGGTGGACCAGGTTGCGGACCAGGCGAGGCAGGAGAGGGCGACGCCGAGGCCGACGGCGAAGAGGCGGAGCTCCGGGAGCTCGAGTTTGTAGGCTACGAGCCCGGAGAGGGAGAGGAGGTGTACGAGGCGGAGGTTGCTCAGGACGAGGCGGCGGATGGTGCGGTTGGAGAGGAGGAAGGGGGTGACGGTTACCATTACGAGGATTTCGTAGCCGGAGATGCCCATGTTCCAGAGGGGGAAGTCTGGTCTTTGTTAGCTGATGAATAGTCGGCCTTTTAGGAGAACTTACACCAGACGCAGAGTCCGAGGGACGTCAGCATGGACCAGAAGACAAACTGCAGGTGTTAGTACCAGCTTCATGCAGAATGTAATATCAACTTACGCCATGGTAAACTTCCGCAGCAGCATCAATCGCGTCGCTCCAAAGGAAAGACTGGTTCAGCACTTGAACAACGGGCTTATCCTTACTAAGACACATTTTAGTAAATAGCTTCAACCCACAGACCGGGGCCAACCTACTGCATCTCGGCACCACTATCCTTCCTGAGTTGTCTGCACAGAAAACACTTTAGAACTTTGATCATGAAGACGGCATGACATGCCTTGGAAACTCGTCTATTGCTACTTGGGAAGAAGCCATTCAACGTACCCCTTGCTCGCCCCCGTGACATCTTTAATGACCACTTCAAACGCCTCAAAATCCAGCATCGTGACGGCATCAAAGGCCACATCCAACAGAACAAGAGACCATTCGAAGAAGGCGTATTTGGTATAAGCTGAGAGAAATGTCAGTATCACATGTCAAAATTTCTCAAAATCCGCAGTGTCCAAAAACCACGCCATCAACTTACCTCCTGCAAACTTGTGAACTTTATGCTGGATGAAAAAGTAAACCAGCGGCACGATCGTCGCGAAGAAGGCGCCTCCGAATATTTTCCTGTATTTGATAGTTGTTGGGTTCGGCGGGCTAAGCGCCAAGCATCCTAGCGTCCACGGGAGGGTCGCAACAAGGTATGAGATCATGAAGATGTCGTGCCAGTCGTGGTCATCGGTCGAGGTGACATATGTCCAACCGCCGCAGGTTATAGTTCGAAAGATGCCGACGATCGCCACATACTTGGCGAGCTTCTGCCCTGGGCGCGCTGTGAGTAGGTACCATAGTCCAACGAGGGCGAACCTCGGGCCTGAACCTTGTGTGTTAGCTGCGATTGTACCTGATTTTGACGGCGGAAAGCAGCGGATGGGGCGGGAGAGGCATACCTGATGTGATGGCGATGAAGAACATGAAGAACGAGCGTTCAGGGTAGCGGTCCCCGATTGTCGCAGACACAGAGGGAAACCACTCTTGTGGGTACCCATAGTGCTCGTTCTTGACAATCTTATGATAATGCAGCGAGACCCCGACGATCAATGCGCTGATAAAGGCAGCTGCGCGTTACTTGTCAGATAGAGCTCTTCTCCGATCAATCGATCGCTGGATCGGTGGATACGAGCTGTCGAGCTGCTGTGTGTTTTGTTTCGCGTGGGCTGGGCGACTCACCATAGGCTGTGAAGGTGTGAGCCCAAGTAACCCACTTCCCCGAGAACGCGAACAAGACGTCACCGTCCTTTGTCTTGGGCGCCATCTCATGCAGGAGTCAATGGAGGGTGCAAGTATGGATGGTGTTAAAGTGTTAAACCCTTTGGTAGAAACAAAACCACACAATCGCAAGCCGAGACAAACACAATGGCTGGGCTTCCCATCCGGGGTAAACAAACGAGCGTGGAGTATATGTAGAAGGAAAGATTTTGAGGTATCACGAAGGAAGAAGGAAGGGGGAATGGGCTGGCGGCGGGGGGGAGGTTAGTGCTTCTTGGTTGGCTAGGCACAAGCGAGGTGGAGGGTAATATAACCGGTCGACTTTCACCTTGGCTGTTAGTAAGGTGGTAAGAGTAAGGACACAAACAGCTCAAACGACGAGTAGGACCTGCTGTTAGCAGTAATTCGTAGTAACAGTTTGATCATAAAGCCGAGTGCTCCCGGTGGCGTCGGTGACTGTAACTTACTAGTAGCCAGCTGCTACTAGGATGGGCAGTGGCCAGTGGCGTCAGTAGTCGTGACTGGGGGCTAGGTGCTGTCTATACTGTACTGCTAGCAGCTGCTACTAGGATGGCCAGTGGCCAGTGGCGTCAGTAGTCGTGACTGAGTAGTCGTGACTGGGGGCTAGGTGCTGTCTATACTGTACTGCTAGCAGCTGCTACTGGGATGGCCAGTGGCCTGTTGGATGGGAGGAGTTAGGGGGTTTCCAGTACTCTAAGGTGCCTAAAAGTGCCTAAAAGTGCCTAAAGATGTCCAAGGTGGCCCCAACACCCGCAAACAACGCCCACCCAGTCCACTTATCCCGCTATTTGATCGCTGGGTAGTCGATGTTCCGTTCGCCGTACCAGTCTTAGTGCCTGCGGCAGAACTTCAAACATTTTATATGCCTCACCGCCCGCCCGATGTGACATTTTCGAAGGCATTTTGTCCAATAACGCTAAAGTTTAGTTGACTGCTGGATAAGATACTGCTACACTCTCTGGACAGTTGTCACAGGAGAGCCAACTCAACAACCAACCCCTCAAGACCACCGCTTCCTCACGTTCGACAATGGCGGGCGCAAGTGATAAGGTGCGCTTCTACATGGAACAGGCGGTTCCGCAGCTGCGCGAATTCGAAGAGAAGAAGATCTTCACCAAGGTGCGTACACCCAGCACAGAGCAGAGCACAGAGCGTTTCCTACCCCCAACACTCCCCCTCCTCCCCCCCTCACACCCCGCCTTTGAACCCAACTAACCATTTCTATTTTTTCCAGGACGAAATCCGCTCCCTCGTCAAAAAACGCTCCGACTTCGAACACCTCCTCCTCGCCCGCGGCTGCCCCCCCCCCACCTTCGCCCGCTACGCCGCCTGGGAAGCCAACCTCGAGCGCCTCCGCGCCTCTCGCTGCCAACGGCTGCGCATCAAGTCATCCTCCTCGCATACCGGGCAAGCGCGCGTCCTCGCCATCTTCGGGCGCGGCACGCGCAAGCACCCCGGCGACCTGGGGCTATGGATGACATACCTCGAGTACGCGCGGACCGCTGGTGCGACGAGCAAATTCAAGGTTATTCTGACGGCGGCGCTGAGGTTGCATTGTACGGTGCCCGGGCTGTGGGTGTATGCGGCGCGATGTGCGTTGGAGGAGAGTGATATGGGGGAGGCGAGGAGCTTTTTACAAAGGGGTGCGAGGTTTTGTAATCAGGGGCCAGAGATGTGGGTTCAGTACGCGAAGTTGGAGATGATTTTCCTCGCTAAGATCGCGGCGAGGAGGAGGGTGTTGGGGCTTGATGCACCGGCGGTGAAGGCCGTGGAGGCTGCGCCGGAGGAGGAGGCGCAGGGGTTAGAGGGGGATGAGATTAAATTCCCCGAATTCAAGGCGCAGAGTCTGGGGCAGAGCGCTATGGAGGGCGTCAAGGTAGACGGCGAGGCAAAACAGGACCCGATGAATACCCCCGCCCTGCAGGGCGCGATTCCCCTCGCCATCTTCGACGACGCAGCGAAGCAGGCTTTCTTCAGCGCGGAAGCGGCGCAGCATTTCTTCGACGTGTTCACCGTCTTCACGCAAGTGTCGTGCCTGCCGAAGGTTCTGCAGCATGTGCTCGACGTGATGATGGAGCGCTTCCCCACCGAGGCCGCGACGTGGGATTGCTATGTCCGTATGCCGCTTGTGGGTGTGAGTCCGTTGACGCCGGAGTTTCCGGGCGCACTTGGGGTGGCGCTGGGGAGGTTGGGGGAGGGGAAGGAGAAGGTTAGGGTTAAGGGGGCGATGGCGAAGAAGACGGCGGCGTGGGTGGAGAAGGTGTTGGCGGTGGAGGGGTTGGATGAGGGGATTAAGACGGTGTTGGAGGTTACGTTGAGGAAGCTGGAGTAGAGTGGTCTTTGAGGGGGGTGGCGATGATGTATATGCTGTATATTCCTAGCATGTGGTGTTTTGGCGTTCAGGGGGCGATATGGGAGGGTTTAGATCTTGGGGTGGATTATAACGATTAGGAATTTATATATGGGATCTGTATTTGCTAGAGACTAAGTTTCACTGTAAACCTACTACTATGGGCATATGTGATAAGGGACTCGGTCTTCCAGAGCAGGATAAGACTACAGTTAATGCCATATCCATAGAAAAGCGCAAACCAGACCTCTAAACCGGAAATCTGTGCCAAAACAGATGAAAGTAAACAAAGATTATCTGCGCAAGTTAGGGACTTCCTTGCGCTTACTTCTTTTATAGTAATCACTACAAACTTGCGCAAGGCAGGGCCTTCCTTCTCTGCGCCAAACTAATTTTATAGCAATCACCAGAACTTGCGCAAGACCGGTCTTCAGGATGGAAATTTGCGCCAAAATGGGATTATAGTAATCACTGTCAACTGGCGCAGGGTAGGGTGTTCTCTGCGCCAAACTGAGTTTATAGTAATCACCATTAACCTGACGCAGGACGAGCCCTCTAGACAGGAACTCTGCCACAAATGAATACGATGTAGACAACTTTGTAAATATGGACAAGCGCAAACCAGGCCTTCAAATTAGATATCTACGCTTAATCGCAGAATATGGGGTTGAAATACGTTTGGTAAAACGTTTAGTAACCGATTTGATTTGAGTACGTTTGTAAGAGTCATATTGTAGAATAGCGCAAAAGGGGCCTTGAGAACTAATATCTACGCCAAAACGAAGCATAAACAGAACACGGTTGACATCGTAGAAGTGCGCAGAATGGGCTATTGAATTAGAAAACTGCGCCAAATCTTGGAAGTGTTTAGTAAACGTTTATAATGCTTGTTGCCGAGCACATTGTAGGTTCGCGCCAAACTTGTTATAAAACTAGAAGTCTGCGCCCAAAACGGTATATAAATAGAACACGGTCGACATCGTAGAATTGCGCAAACTAGTCTGATGAAATTGAAATCTGCGCTATAAACTTAGAAGCGTTTAGTAAACGTTTATAGCACGTGTCGAATGCGTAATGCGATGCACATCGTAGATTAGCGCAAAACGAGTTATAAAACCAGAAATATGCGCCAAAACAGAACGCGGTCGACATCGTATATTTGCGCAGAATGGGCGGCTATAAAAATGGAAACTGCGCTAAAACAGAATGTACGCGGAATGCATTCGTAATGCATTCCTAATGCATTATGAGCTCTAGTGGAGCAGACAAGCAGGCCTTTAAAGGGGTATCAGTGCTAAAGCTGCATATGAATAGATAGCATATAGGAATGTATTTGCAGGACCAACTCAAGCCCAACGCACATCCGATCTAATGCGTGAGCTGCACGCATAGACAGAATCGTAGTTTGCCTAATATGGGCTAATGAGCTAAAAATATGAAAGGGGTAGAAACCGAACTAATAGGGGCCTGAAACGGACCCGTTACGGACCACATCATATATTTGCGCAAAACGGGCTATTAAATCGAAAATCTGCGCTAAATTAAAATCAACAGTAAATGCAACGGTATAGCAACGGTAAAAGTCAATGATGAAAGCAACGGAAGCAACGGTAAAAGCAACGGCAAGCAACGACAAAAACAGGGGGAGGAGCAAGATTAGACCGTGTTCAAACCTAGATCAAACCTTCAGAGCTATATTTGCGCAGAATAGACTACCAAACCCGAAATCTGCGCTAAAACGTAAGATTGTAATGTTGCAAAGCAAATGTTTGCGTAGAATCGAGCCCCTAACAGGAAAAGTGCGCATAAACAGCCTGGTATTCCGAACGGCTGGTATTCCGATCAACTGATCTGATCTTCTAATCAGCTGGTGTTCTAGGTAAATTAGCGTTTTAAGCTGACGGATGGGGCAGAGAAGATTAAGAGACTAATAGATCAAGAGATGAACAGATTAAGAGATGAACGAATCAGAAGATGAACGAATTAGAAGATGAACGAATCGGAGGATTAACAGATCAAGAGATAAAGCTATACAAGACCGTAGAACCGACCATGAGAGATATAGAATCCAGGCTAACGATTGTAAAGTTGATGAGCATAATATTCACGCAAAGCAGAGCAGCTAACTAGAAAATTGCGCAAAACTAGCTGGATGTAAGATTGAACAAGCGCAAAATGGAGCCACTTAAGGAGAAAATGCGTAAAAACAGGTTGGCTTGCCGGGTACCTGGTTATAGCCTAGACATAGCCTAGACATAGCCTGGATATATAGCCTAGCGATGTTTCAAATAGGCTGGCGCTTTGAGAAGACAGGTGTTTTCCTAATGTTTTGACCGGACTGTGGTTTTGCTGGACTGGGGTTTGAAAGACTGGAGTTCTCCTAGTATTGTACTGGGGTTTGCTTGGACTGTTGTTTTGAACAGACTGGCGTTTGAAGATTGGTGCTATCCTGGTGTTTCCCTGGTGCTTTCCTAGAGTTTTGACCATACCATCGTTTTGGGCTGACTATCGCTATGGGCCAGCCGGCCTTTTCCTGGTATTTGACTAGATTCAACCAGTCTGTCATTCTGAGCAGACCAAGGAAACTAGAACCGTTGTTGGGCCTGGTTGACACCGTTGAAACAGGTTATACCCAGCGTGCTCACCTGAACAAATATTCAACCCCTGAGCCTCCATCCAAACCCATGAGCTCTCACATCTCACCATCCCCACAATCACAATCACAAGCACACACCGACAACAAAGACAAGACATATTCCGAACCAAATCCTCATAGATATTTACGTAAAGCTCATAAGCTCATAAACTACGTACCAGCAAGCTGGACCATATCTTTATCCCCACCCCCACAAATCAAAACGCCATTCCCATGCCCACACTTTAAATTTCTTATCATCCCCCACCACATCTATTTCGCCACCGCAGCACTCAGCACCTGCGTCCTGAAGAAGCCACCCTTAGTCCTCTCAATGACCTGCTGATACACGCTGCTCGGTGGGTGATTCATAACAACCGTGCCCTCCTTGTAGTCGATCTTCGCATCAACACGGGTATCACGGATGAGGTTAACGATCCACTTCTCGCCCTCGTCTTGGTCGAGCCCCAGACGCGCCGAGAGATCCTTGATATCAATACGCTGGTGAATCTTGCAGTAGCTCTCGGAGATAAGGTGGCGCGCCGCTTCGACAAACGCGTCAGACGCAGCGACGAGGAAGAAGTCCCCGCGGAGCACCTCCTCGGCCTCGATGAGCTTGCGTTGCGCCTCCTCAAAGTCAAAGTCCACGTACAGCGCCTTGATGAAGTCGGTCACCGGGTCGCTGTACTCGTACGTCTCCTGCTTGACGATGCGGATGATGTCCTTGAGCTGCTTTTGGTACTGGCCCGTGTTGCGCGTGCGGCTGCGGTTGGTGATGACCGCTGCGGCGAGATAGCGGAGGATCCATGGGCAGGCGGTCTGGATGGTGTTGATGAATGGCGCAGAGAAGAAGAGGTCACAGATGGTGTCGCGCGCGGGCTCGTAGTTGAAGAAGGGGAAGAGCGCCCAGTGGATCAACCACGCGCGGTGGTTGAGCTGTGCGAGTGGGTTGGCGAACAGCTTGGTGTCGATGGAGTCCTTGACTTTCGTGACTTCCTCCATCGCGGACTCCCAGTTGGTTGTCAGGATTTCGGATGCGAGCTTTCCCCAGGTGGCGGCGGAGACCTTGGCCTCGTCGGTGGAGAGGACACGGAACTGGTAGAGCAGCTCGGCGGCGGCACCGTAGTTACCGCAGCTGTACTGGAAGTTGCCGAAGTCGTAAAGCACCTCGACCATCTCGGGGGTGACCTATTATTCACGCGTTAGCAAACCCGTCTCGTCGACAAAAAAAAAACCTGTCGTGGGGTCAAAACATACCTCATGCTCCTTCTTCAAGTACTCCAAGTTAGCCACCTTATCCGCCCTCAAATTCGTAATAACATCCTCCCTCCCCAACAAATCCGTAATCGCCGCCGACTCCTGCTCAAACTGATCCAGCCTCTCCAGCACCGCCTGCCTCTTCGCGCCAAACTCCTTCGGCGGCTCCGCCACATCGTTGATCTCGGTATACAAGCTCGCCACGTAATCCGTCATGTTCGTCGTCTTCAACAACTCGTACTTCGCCCGCGTGATCTCCTGGCTATCCTCCTCATCCTCCTGCTGCTCGGCGACGAACTGGAGGAGGGGGAAAATAAGATGGCGGTCCAGATGCGTGATCATCTTGGGGAGGAGGTTGTTCTCCTCGCTGATCTGCTCCGCTGTCTTGGCTGGCACAGGCGCGCTCGCTGTGTCCGCCATGATTGCGGGTTTTGCGAGTTTCTTGACGGGGTAGTGGTTGGTAGAGACCTTGGCCGGGGGAGGGTGTCGTCGTGCGTGGGGTGAGGTGGATGGGAAAGATTGTGTGCGCCAAGACTTTGCGGATTAAGCGTGGTTCCGAAAAATTAACGCTAAGCCTTTTCGGGTGCAGCGTCGCGAAATGCAACTACGGAAAGTTGAGCGAGCGAGCTGGAGATAGTTGGGAGAAGGGTGAATAACGCAGCGAGCAGCAACAGTCACTCATTTTTTGGTATTCACAATGGCACTCGCATCCCTCCGCCCAGCGGCATACATGTCCTTCCTCCGCCCCCTCGCCCTCCCCCGCGCCGCAACCCTCACGCGCTTCCTCTCCACCAGCCCTGCTGTCCAATCCACCACCGAAGCCACGACCACGACCTCCTCGCCCACAACCTCCTCCCAGAGCCTCGAGTACCGCGTCTCGCGCACGCCCTCCGCCCAGCTCCCCATCTACCTGCTCGCCAAGCGCGGCGGGAACCTGAAGCAGACGAGGGTGAAGAAGATTGAGGGGAATATTGCGCAGTTTAGGGAGGATCTGAAGGTGGCGTTGGGGATTGAGGAGGATAGAGAGATTCAGGTGAATCATTTGACGAGGCATATTATTGTTAAAGTATGTTTTGGATGCTTTCTCCTGGCGGAATGGGAGAGGGAAGGGGGGCCAAGGGGTGGTTTGAATTAGATGGTTTGGGACATGGCTAACATTGTGAATAGGGACACCGCAAACCCGAGGTTGCTAAGTTTTTGGAAGAACACAAGTTTTAGGAGAAGGACATAGCGAGGAGGGAGCGCGGGAGTGAGAGAGTGAGAGGAGGAAGAACTGTATTACAAAAAATGGAGTGCATATTATAGAGCCACCATCACGAGCAGTTTACCAGCGCTAGATATGTATAAAAAAGCCAAGGAAAAGAGACGTCCCCCTCTCCTCACCGAAATGTGTTCCCGGCAAAATCAGTCCAACCAAGTGGATAATCTCTCCGGGATAGGCGGCAGCAGCAATGAGTGCTAAAGATGGCTATATCCGTCCCACCATTCAAATCTCAAACAAAGCTGACGGTAACCCCAAATGGAAGGAAGGCGCAAACCGCAAGCACATCACATTCCTATGACAGACAGAAATCTACTGCCTGTGCTACTAACCCTACCTTCGACGCCACCTCTCGAGAGGCGAGAAGATAGCAACAACGATAACAGCACCCCAGCAACAAGAAACCAGCACAGACAACAGCACTCCAACGACAAGAACCCCCCCCACAGCCTCTCCCTACCCATGACCACTCTTCAGCCGCCCGTCACACATCAAAAAGGCACTTCGCCATTTGAGCACTATGATGAAGAGTTCCCATATTGTGGACGAAAGGGTGATCGATCGACGGCTTGCTGACGGTCTGTGAGACGAGCTCTCACTGACTCCTTGTTATAGAGTTGGTTTGGTTATTCCCAACGTCGCGCTGTGGGACTTGGGTTATAAAGCCGTTCACCAATTAAAGATCGGAAGCAGCATCTCAAGCATAGGAGACAATAATTCGTCAAAACCCTCTTCATTCACAAACATCTATTTACAACACCCACCCCCCGATCCGCCCCAAAAACACCTCCCTTCCATACAATTGTACAAAAAAAAGTAACACAAAGATATCCCAAGCCACAAAAACGAAGTTATGCATCCGTTTCTTTCTCCTCCATTCTCGGTTGCTGTTGATTGTTGTTATTGTTGTTATTGTTGTCAAAAAAGCGGTTGTTGCATTCGCATGCTAAAGCTTTCGCACAAGATATTTCGAATTTCGCTCTCGAAAATGATAAAGAAACGCCCAAACCCCTTGTCTGCGTGCAGGAGGTGATGTTCATGCGTCTATACACAAACTGCATAGAAACAGCTGCTCTCTCCTTCCCATTAAGGACCCCTTTCCTACATATCCAACCCAGCATACGCACAAAGCCCCCTAATAACCTCCTTCCTCGGCTGAGTCGGCGGCTTCAACATCAGCGCCCCCAGCAAATTCTCCTGCCTAATCATCCCCTCCGCCATCCCCCTCATCCCCATATCTCCCCCCTCACTATCCCTCGCCTTCTCAAACAACCTCCGCAGGACCGTAATCCCACTAAGCATAATATGCAACAGCGCCTCATCATCAGCATTCCTCGCCGCAACCTGGCCCCCCCTCGCAGCCGGCACGCTAGACGGCGGCTCAGTGGAGAGGACAGTGATCAAGCGTAACAGGCTCTGCGCGAACCCATCTTCAGACGTAAGCCAGGACCTCGCGATGGGGACTTCCGGGCCGGGAACGAGACCGGAGATAATCTCCGCCGCGAGCATACCCTGCATCAGATGCGGTTTCCTCGCGTCCACAACAGCCATCATCCCCCCGTGTCCCGAATCATGTTTATGCCCCGGTATAGGCGAGATAGCCAGCGCAAAGGATTTAGTAAGGAGCTCGTAGGGCGGGGAGGACGTGACGTCCGAGGCGAAGATATTCTTATAAAACGTCCGATTTGGTTCGTCCCTCGCGAGGAGCTTGGCCCAGCTATCCACTGCGGGGGCGAGGTAGCGGTGGATGGCCGGGTCGTAGGGGGAGAAGATGACTTTATCCGAGCCTGGGTTGACGGGGGGTGGGCAGGGCGAGAAGGCGAGGAGGAAGTGGAGGAGGCAGAGGGCTTGTTCTTTGCCGGGGATCTCGACTGCTTGGGCGAGGTTGGAGAAGAAGATGATGAGGTCCTTCATCAGGTCTAGTGTGTTGGAGTGGGTGCGGAGGAGCATGTTGCGGGTGCCGAGGTAGCGGACGACGGTGCATAGGAATGTTATGACGAGTTTGTCGGCAAGTAGAGGGTGGTTGGTCTCGTAGAAGGAGAGGTTCCGCAGGATGGTCGTGATGCAGATTAAACGCTCCACGGAACGATCCAGTTCATACTCCACGGTTCCGAAGAGAGGGATGTCTTGTAATCCTTCTCGCTCAAGTCGGCAGCCACGAGCAACGTCTTCGTAAGAGCTGATGAGCATAACATCAGACACCTCAGCAGCATTCTCTGCAAGCAACTCGACTTGTTCCTCGGCACAGTCGACGATACTCTCGACAAGATCTCCACAAGCCCTCAGGTCAAGCTGAACCCTCGGTTCCACCGAGACAGTCACGAGCGTATCCAGAGCCAGGCGAACTTCAGAGTGAATCCCAGATTGCAAACTCATCGTCAGGGCATGAATATCAATAACACCCAATTCGGGGACACTAGGCACATTCGGTCTCAGATTAACCAAATCAATGCACAGATTCTCCAGCGCCTCAGGATTTACACCTCCCCAAGTAGTCAGCGGGCGCATCCTCGGCTCATACGCTGACAATTTCGGCTTCTTCTCTTCGATTTGAATCTCGTGAGTAGACTGAAGCGTCATGCTGCCAGGTTTGCTCAGCGACGTTGGAGACGATACCGCGAACGGCGTGCCGTTTTGCATCGGCGTGCCCTCGTTACTCCGCGACATGGCTCGCGCGTGTGCTTGTGCGTTATGCTGCGATTGGTTTGGCATCTGCGGCGTCGAGAAGCCATCTACAGCCACTTGTTGTCCCTGTGGAGGCATCTGTTTGACGGGTGTCTGGAGGGCCTGTTGCTGCATTCCCATAGGCGGCGACTGTTGACCCATATGCTGCTGCTGAGGTTGTCGGGTCATAAATTGCTGCTGCTGCTGTTGCTGTTGCTGAGCCATCTGACTTTGCATACTAAGTTGCATCGTCGGAGACATCTGAGGCTGACCAGCCATGTTGGCATTTTGTTGCATCATGGCTTTCTGGCGCTGCTGAGAGGCAAACGCGTCCTCAAACATCATAAGATTCCTCTCATAATGTCCCTTGATCTGTGCGGGCGCGCTTGGCATTTGCAGCGGATTGAACTGCAGAGTTTGGGCTACCTGTGGCCACAAACCTTGATGGTGAACCTTCCTGTACCCTCCATACTTGGTGACGGCCATGTATAGCATGACAAGGTTGATTGTCCTATCACCAACAATCGGGTTCACGTCGAGAGGCTGACCCTTCGATTGCATGAACTGCGAAAGGTTTCGCATGAACTGCTCAGGATTATTCGGTCGAGGCACAGCCGATTGTTGAGGCCGCATCCCTTGGGGAAACTGGCCATTAGGGCCGCCTGGCATTTGTGGCTTCACCATCGCGTTGGGATTCTGCGGCATATTCTGCATCCACGCCGCTTGTTGTTGAGCATTCATCAGACCCCGCGAATTGAGCTGCTGCTGCAATTGCATCTGATAAATCATTTTATTCTGTTGTTCCATCTGCGCCTGTGCCTGTTGTGGTTGTTGGGGCTGTTGTTGATACATTTGAGGCGGTTGCATCTGTGGTTGTTGATGCATCTGTTGCATTTGGGGTGTTTGCATCGCCCCTTGCTGAGGTGGAGGCGCGTTCCGCCCCTGCGGCGGCGTGAACGGCTGATTATACCCTGGGCCAAAGCCAGGGTTTTGCGCGTATTGCGCCTGTGCTTGGGGAGTTTCGACGCGATTCGTGTGATCCGAGTGTGATGGCGAAGGCGCAAACTGCTGCACGGCAGGGGAGAAGGGGTGAGGAGACGCGGTGGACACCCTCTGCGGAACAGCGCCAGGTCGAAGCTGATTACCCATCACGGGCGATGGGCTAGCATCGGCTGAGCCATTGTGTTGGAGATGTGCATACGGCGTCGGCTGAGGCGCATGTTGGGTCGCCTCCCTGGGATTTCCGTTGAAGCCAGGGTAGCTTAGTTGTGGCGTTTGCGACCGCGACTCGGGCAGCATACCGGGAGCCTGACGCGGCGACGTCCCCAGGCTGTCTTCCCTCGGTCGCGGTCGCTTTGATGGTACTACAGGATTCGTTTGATAGACGGGGCTGTTGAAGGATGGGGACGCATTTCGCATGCCGCCATTCTGCATTCGCTGGATCTGTTGATTCTGGAACTGCGACGGGTCGACGAAGTTCCCAGTCGGCGTGCCCATGAACGCGCTGGGGTCGAGCATGTTCGCGCCCATATTGGGGTCGTTGAGGTGGTTGAAGGCCGCGCCATTGTGATTGTGGAGGGCAGCGGCGTCGTTCATCCAGGAGCTCATATTCGTGACGCCGGATGGCTACCCATCTGCGAGAGAGCACGCTGTCAGCAATTGATCGCAAGACATGGGCATGAGTCCATTGAGCCTATGCGAAACCAAAAATAGATGGGAACGGTTGTTGTGGTTGGTGTCGGGATGAAAGTAACGCGACGCGGTAGTTTGGAGTGTCAGAGGCTTGGGCTCTCAGCAGGATTGGCCGCAGCGAATATTGCCAGCAGAACGGCAACCACGACTGGAATACAAAGACTCTAAGGGCCAAATGTCACGAGACAAATGGAAAACGATGGTATGGAACGATGGAAAAGGGGAAAAGGGAAGATGGAGGGTCTTACCAGGCAGGCGCGTGTTGTTCGGTGGTTTACAGTGGACTTGAGCTTCCAGGTTGTTCTGTTCCTCCGGCGGTCGATTGCGAAAGGTGCGACTAGTTACAGAGTAGCCCCGCTTACCCGGATTGGGGATGGTGTGTAAATAGGCGAGCTTTTGAGAAATTGGCTGGTACCCGTGACTGTGAGACGGTGAGACTGCGAGACTGTGAGCCTTTTTTTTTTTTTCTTCTAGAACACAGCAGGATTAGCCATCTCCCAATAATCAATAAAAGCGAATAATAAATCAATAAACCCAGCAAAGTGTAAATAACAAAAATTGACATGGGTATTTCCAGAATGCGATTAATCTAAATTCGGACAGAAAAAAAAGGTGGGTGCGACCAACAAGGCGGGATGTGGAAGCTTGTTCATGGTTCAGGTCGGGGGGAACGGGCGGCAATTCGTCGTCTGTTGTGATGACCACGCCAGGCTCCAGGCTGGACGGCAGCACTGCACGGCTGCACGCTCCACGGCTGCTCCATGTGCCATCGGTGAGAGGATGATCCAGGCTGAGGAAGGGAAAGAAGGGAAAGAAGGGAAAGAAGGGAAAGAAGGGAAAGAAGGGAAAGAAGGGAAAGAAGGGAAAGAAGGGAAAGAAGGGAAAGAAGGGAAAGAAGGGAAAGAAGATCTCGTACCTTGAATGGTGGAATGACAATTACTGTATTAGGCGTATTAGGCTGGCAGGCAGGGTAGGGTGTATGTACTGAGTGTAGAGGTGGTTTCTACAGCAAATGCTAATAAGAGACCGGCGCCGCCCTTTGATTCAATATGTTCAATATGACGTTGGTAGCCGGTGGTTGGACGCTGGAACAACCAACGCAACGGAGGATGAGGAGGGGAGGGGAGGGGAGGGGAGGGGAGGGGAGGGGAGGGGAGGAAGGTGCGTGGGGACGATAAAGACGGGGCAAGAGCGTGCTGTGCCACGAGAGAAAGGCGGCGGGTGGTAGGAGGCGGCAGGTGGTAGGAGGCGGCAGGTGGTAGGAGGCGGCAGGTGGTAGGAGGCGGCAGGTGGTAGGAGGCGGCAGGTGGTAGGAGGCGTGGTAGGAGGCGGCGGGATGGCTGTGGGAGGTCGGTGACAGGTTTGGAAGCGAACGCGGTTCCTGGCTAGTAGAGTAGGTGTGTAGCAAAAGGCTATGAAGCCCAGTCACGGGCATCAGAGCAGTCACGGGCATCAGAGTCCCAAACCCCAACTCGGCCCGTGATTTCCTCATCTGCGACTTGCCGTTGGTTCCCTGTATCTTGTTAATCGATGAGGAAAATGTGTAGTGCACACATATACCTCCTGGGACCCACCACTCACTCACTCACAGGCGCGAAGACGACTCACAGGCGAAGACGACTCACAGGCGAAGACGACTCACAGGCGAAGACGGCTCACAGGCGAAGACGACTCACAGGCGAAGACGGCGAACAACGACCACACAACATCCACACAACAACCACACAACAACGACACAACAAACACAACAACCAAAAAAGAGGTGAAGGAGCAGCAGACCCAGGAGCGGGGGATGCATCCCTTATGTATCCCGCCCGCCATCCATCTCCCAACCCGCCTCACCTGCCTGCACTTATGTGTCTATACGTATACATGGAGCTAGTGGCCGATCCGGCCATCGTTCATTCAGGGCCCTGAGTGAGTGGCCCCGACGGTCACGAATCATGTGTGGCATACATTGACTGTTAATCTACTACTGGTAGGGTTTTAATCGGAAGGAATCACTCAATTCTGTGCACTGTATACTGTGCACTGTGCACTGTGCATTGTGTGCAGATGGAAGTTACTCACTCATACAAATACTCGTAGCTTGCCCCCCCTTGCTGTCGAAGGAAGCCTGTGCTCAGATGAATGTGCATGGTACAGTACAATACAGTATCTCCTGGTGCGATGCGGTGCGGTGCGGCGGTGCGGCGGTGCGGCGGTGCGGCGCGGTAGCATACATAGAAGATATCCCTAGAAGATATCCCTAGAAGATATCCCTAGAAGATATCCCTAGAAGATACCCCTACAACATACCCCTACAACATACCCCTACAACATACGGAGTACCCCTACAACATACCCCTAGTAGAAAATAACTACATAAAACCACCAGGCATTCACCGATCCAAGTCAAGTCCCCCAGCCATTTTTAAAGTTGTGGGACGCCCACCCACATTTTACCCCTGTTCGCAACTATAGCCGTGCGTCCACACCTCCATCACAACAGCCATCACTGGTACTGGTGACAAAAAGATACCGTACTGTAAATACCCTGATCCACGCGCCATTGTTGAAGAGAGGGAAAATGGCCAAGAGGGAGACGACGGATAGTGAGCCAGGGGATGAGAGGGTGACGAGGAGGTCGACTAGGTTGAAGACGACGAACGAGGAGCCGGTTGATGAGAAGCTTGTGAAGGCGTCCAAGGCTGCGGTTAAGACGAAGGCAATGGTTAAGAAGAGCCTGGTTAAAGAAGAGGAGATTGAGGGCGGGAAGGAAGTAAAGGTATGGATTGTTTTTCATCTCATCATTGGCTTTGGCTTTGGTTTTGTCGGTCCGTCTTCACGCCATTGATTGATGGAGTGTGGTTGATTATTTTGATTCTTATTTTGCATTACTCCTCCCCCTTCACTCCCACCACCACAAAGAAGTTCTAACAATCTACAATCTATAAGACACACATATTCATATATCTATATACTAACCATCCTCTAGACCATCATAACCCCACTAGAAAAAACAAATGGAACTACCACCGCACTAGCAAGGGAGAAACAATACTGGCTCCTAAAAGCCGAGCCCGAGTCCCGCCTCGAAAAGGGGCACGACGTCAAATTCTCCATTGATGATTTGGCTGCGAAGACTGAACCTGAGCCGTGGGATGGTATGCCCCTTTTCTCATTTTCCTTCCTCTCCCCGTTGTTTACGTCTCTAACGCGAGTATAGGAATCCGCTCATACGCTGGTACGCACCTTCCCCCCCCTTTTTTCGAGGAGGAGAAGAGAATGAGAGTGACTGATGGACTCATGGCTAACCGTGACAAACAGCGCGAAACAACCTCCGCGCAATGAAAAGGGGAGATCTAGCATTCTTCTACCACTCCAGCTGCAAAACCCCCGCTATTGTTGGGGTTATGGAGGTTGTGCAGGAGCATTCTCCTGATTGTACGTTTCCCCGTCTTCTTTCCTCTCTTGCCCTTTTTCCAAGATCTCTCCCCAATTACTAACTACCGCCCCCCAGTGACAGCACAAGACCCCAAAGCCGCATACTACGACCCCAAAGACACCGACCCCTCCAACCCCCGCTGGAGCCTCGTCCACGTCTCCTTCCGCGAGAAATTCACCAACCCCCTCACCCTGCACGGGCTAAAAGCCATGCAATCGACCAGCGCAGAGATCAGTAACATGCAACTCCTCAAGCAGAGCCGGTTGAGCGTCACCGGTGTCACAAAGGGGGAGTGGGAGTTTTTGATGTCAGTTATCAAGAAACCGGAGGAGATGGAGGGAGAGGCGAAGGGGGAGATGCAATTTGGGTGTATGTTGTATAGATGATTTTTTTTTTGTCGGTTTTGGGAAGAGAGGGTGTGGATGGGTGCTAGGTATGCGTGGAGCGTGGTTTGTTACCTCTCATCGTGGTGAGCAAGGAAGGATAGCTGTTACCCCTTGTCGTTCGTGCGCGTTCCTGAGATGTATTATTTGAAAACGAGAGATCTAGAGAGATACGTGGGAGGAAGGAGCACTGTTACAGTAAATCAGGAGTCAAAACACTGATGTGTTTGTCACTTCCATCAATCACCACATCCAAAGAACCCGTTGCCAATCACCAAACAACGCATATACAGTGTTTCCATTGAGTTCCATTTTCCTATACTTCTCAAATCCTCAAAGTCACTGTCTATCCCTATCCGAACTCCATTCTCCCCATGTCGATACCCAGTTCCCCATCATCCATCCATAATATACAAGTGCCAACCGCAAGGTCGACTTAGAAGGTCGCTAGAAGACATCATCACGTGCCTCCCAACCCCCTTACTCACAATCCATAAACAACTCCCCCTCCACCTCCCCATCATCAGCACCCCACCCCTCAAGCATCCTCAACACCCCCTCCGCCACCCCCGCCCTCCCCCTCCACCCCTCCCTCAACCCCCTCTCCCTCCCCAACTCCCCCTCAAGATATCTCACCCTCTCCCCCAATCTCTCAATCTCCCCCACCCTCCTCTCCCCCACCCCCTCCCACTCCCTAATCCTCGCTCTCAACCCCGCAACCTCCCCCCACAACGCCTCGGAAACCATCTCCTGCGCCTCCGCCTCATCAGTCATCTCACGAATACGCTGCTCGAGTTCTGCGACCCGGTTCTGGAGCTCGTGGCGCCGAAGACGCCGGTGTGCGGGTTGGCGCCCGCGGTGCAGCGTTGGGGAGTCGGGGGCGTGGGTGCGTTGGTCGGGGGTGGTTATGACGATTGTAGGGATGGGGGGGAGTGGGCGCGCAGGGGAGGGGTGCCCGTGGCTGAGCTGGTTTTGGGTTTCCTCGACGGTCGCGAATGATCGGGATCGGGATCGGGATTGGTTTGCAATTGCGGCGGCTTGACCTTGGTGATGGATCGCTAGGGCTGGAGATGCGGCTTGACCCACGAACTGCCCCGCGTCTGCGGCTTGAGCTGCGGCTTGACCCACGAACTGCCCCGCGTCTGCGGCTTGAGCTGCGGCTTGACCCACGAACTGCCCCGCGTCTGCGGCTTGAGCTGCGGCTTGACCCCGAACCTCCCCCGCGGTTGCGGCTGGGGATGGCCCCGCTTGGATACGCCAATCCGGGGAAGCGGCGAGGATGTTGGCGACGGCGTCACTGTGTGGCGTCTGCGTGGCGGCTGTGCCGTTAGGTTGGCGAGTTGCCCCGAAGGCGTCATCGGATGCTCCATCCATGGCGATTAATTGATTGATTGATTTTTGGTTTCTTTAAGGGATTGATTGTTTGGATTTGAAGATTGGGTTTAAAGATTGGCTTTGAGGATTTGATTGATTGGGTTTAAAGACTGGCTTTGAGGATTCGCCCTTTGTTTTTGGAGTTTGGAATTTTTTTTTGTTTTTGAAGTTTGGGTGAAAGGGGTATTTTTTTATGAATAGCTTCTTTGTGCGAAGCTGAGCGAAGCGGCGTGTTGGGGTGTTAGGGCGCAACCACGCCGAGACCCCAACCCTCGAGGGCGTCAACCAGGTCGCGGCCTGGTTCACCCTTAGGGAGAGGTAGCGGTGGAGTTGCAGCTTCAGGGGATCAGCTGTGTGAAGATAGGTCAAAATGGGTGAATACTTTAATTCTCGCCATTGCGGCTCTAGGAATGGGCAGCGCGGTTCCGAGAATGCCGTCCATCTCCATCTATCCCTTCATCTTATCCGGCACCTCCTCCCACTGCACACCCGCCCACTCCTCTAGATACCCTACCTCACCAGCTCCCACACCGCGGGCCTGGCAATCCCGCTCACACACACCTACAATCACAGTCCCCCACTCCATGCCCTCCAAACTCACCTCCTCGCTCTCCAGCTCCGTGATAGCATGAGGAGTCAATTGCACCTCAAAGCACCTCCCTGCACCACAATTAGCACACCTCGGCATCTTGCCCCCTCCCACCGTCACCTTCGCATTCCCGCTTCCACCACCAAGCAGCTTCCCAACTGCATCACTCTTGGTATACAGCAATGGGCTCCCCCTGAACTCGTACCTGATCACCTGTTCAGGGTTCTGACTCAGACGATCCGCGAATTTCTGGAACGTGGTGTCGATACTGCTTTCATACACGTCTTTATCCTCTTTTCCGCTGGAGCCGCCTGATGGGCCTTCTACTTCCATTTCTAGCATCTGGTGCTTTTGGATCAGCTCGGGCTCGTCTTTGTCGAGTGTCTCGTAGTCGGCGTCGGCGAGGTAGAAGAGCGGGTATGGTGCTGGCAGTTCTGCATCGACCGGCCAGGGCTCTGCGGGGGGTGGTGGAGAGGGAACAGGGGCGTTGAGGGAGAGTGCTGAGGCGAAGGTTTGGGGGAGATCGGTCTCGGGCTTCCGAGGTGGTTTTGCCGCGAGTTCAGATGTGGAAAATGGATTGGCGGCGGCAGCGGGTGCGGCTGTTGAAAAAGGGTTTACTCCAGCGCCTCCCGGGCTAGAAAAGGGGTTCCCCCCAAACGCACCACCAGTCGATTTCGACCCGAACAAACTATCCCCAAACATCGTATCCGAAACCACCTTCCCCTGCCCTTGCGCCACCGGTTTCGGCACCGGCTTCACCTCCTCCTTCTGGACCTCCTTAGCCGCCGCCGCTTCGCTGGCGCGGAGACTCCGCAGGGCGCGGATACTGCCTTTCTTCCTTCTGCAGGTTTTGCGCCGGCAGGTCAAGACGTAGAGACGCCGCTCGTGGCCGGGGAAGTCTTTGGGGAGGTCGCCGTTTAGTTGGAGGAGGAGGATCATCATGTCTGCGCATATTTTGCAGCGAGCGAGGGTGGCGGAGGGGCGGGTGGAGGGGGAGAGCCATGTCTGCGGGGTAAATGTTAGAGGGGTTCGATGTTGGGACTGCAGAATGTGTGGTCTCTGCTGGGCCGGAGTTCTTACCGGCCGTCCTCCAATGTAACTGTTCACATCATCTGATTCCGAGGCCTCTTTCGAAGCATACCCCAAGAGCACGTTGGTCTCGGTATAATCCTGGTCCCCTCCATCAGAGGAGTCGCTGTCGTAGTTTCCCATTCTCTCGAGCCGGGCAACCAGTAACAAGGAAGAAAGCTTCGGGCAGTACCTGCTACTTGCTACAGTCTTTTTCACAGTTATTGGGGGGTTGAAAGAAATGCAGGGAAACTTTTGGCCAATATAATTCCTAATCTGGGGTTCGACGAGGCTGAGAGGAAATTAATTTATTGCTATTATGGCAGACAACGAAGTGGGTGCCCGGCGTTACTTTGTTCCGTCACCCCCCTGTTACTTTCCCATCCACAGCAGCAACGCATCCTAATGTTATATTCTTCAACCCCTCACACGCTACTTTTAGGATTCTTCTTGGCAGAATAGTGGCCAGAGCACAGAAAATATAAAAAACCCTGCGGAATTCAGCTTTACGAAGTTATTGTTGGCATCAGACATTAAAAAGCGAGGCTTTCCCATCAAGCAGAGCCTGGCTGGAAAGCCTTGCCGTTGGTCCATTGTCTTGGCGACGTCCATATGGCTTGCTGAGGCGCTCTTGGCATATGTTGTCACACTGCACGGAGGAAGAAAAGCAAAGCACGTTTATGGAAGCGGCGACGATGTTGTCCCCTCATTACTGTCCCGTTGTTTTGTTCTCATGGTTTGTTCCACCGCCTCCTTGGAGAACCAACTGCCCAGCTCCCGTGCGTTATCCGAGCGCGAAACCCTTGTCGGCTGCATACCCGCGTGTATTGGACTCAGCCTCGTCTGTCCAATTTCATGATGTTGAAATAGCACGAGTGCAGATTTGACGTTCCCGCTGCAGCAGCTTGTGGCAGACCTACTCGTCCCGTGTCCTTGGGTAAAGTTGGCTTCCTAGTCCGGCTCTTTATATGTTCTGGCATCAACGTAGTCAGGGTTTCTGATTAAAAATGGAGATTGGTCCCGTCTTTAGACTTCCCTGGACCGAGTTGAGTTGTAGACGCGTATCTGTCTCCCCTTGATTTCCCTTTTGGTCTCCTTTTTGTGCAAAAATCTCATAAAATTCATAAAGACAAATATTTAGTCTGGTGAACCCGTGCCAATCTCACAGGAACGTGGCTTGGCTCAAACCATAGTGGCTATAGTGGCTATAGTGGCTATAGTGGCGGGGTTTGTAGGACCCCAAAACTTATTGCTATTTATGCACATCATTGCAGTTTTGTAATTTCTCTCCCCTGTGAGATCCGTTGTCAATAGACCACTTTAGTTGTCTCCTCCACTTCATCGTGCATCCACCATCAAAGAGGGCTGGTAACAACCAACAAGGCTGCGCCTGCGCCGGCTTTCTAGTGCATAGTAGTATCGGTGTCACTTGTGTTTAAAAACTTTACAAACAATCCTCGGGCCGCAAACCTTCAAAAGGTTCTTTTATTTCTTTAAAGACCTCCCCGTTGGAAATTTCTGGCTTCGCTTTTGACAGCTTTGATCCGATAAATGCAGAGCTCTTGTTTGTTGAGGCTTGTGCGCAAGATCCGCCAAGGATAGACCCTCCTACTGCAAGTCAATAGATCAATAGGCGAAGATGACGACTCGAAAGCAGGAAGACCGACCACAGCTCGGCGCCACATTCTACCCAGGAGGACTCGACGGTTTTGACATGCCTGAGTTGATATCGCCAGCTCCCCAGAGGTACGTCGCAACGTGTGAGGTTCATGGATTTGTTGCGTGTACGCGCTGTACAGCCACTGCCCTGCCGTCCGTAGGATCCCGCTTACTATGTTTACTTTGGCTGACTCAACGCTTCGTTCTTCCAGAGTAATGCCCGAGGTGCCTTCCAATATGCAAGAGGGACTCGCGCATCTCGAAGTCGAGGCAAATCCGTCAACGGTGTCGCCGATCCATGAGCAGTATGGTGCCAGTCGCAATATAACATATCAACAATGCAACGCCCCGCAACGGTACGCAGCGAGTTATGAGCAGGCGGGCGCCCCTGGCTACCAGAACAACCCCTCAAAACCGCAACCAACAATACGCAGGGACGGCGATATGCCGTTACCCTCGCCGTTCCCGGGGTTGCAGAACCCAGGGCCAAACGTGCCGCTGACGGACGATCAAATGGAAGAGGAGTTGGAACAATGCAGAGAGAAGGTGGTGGGCTCAAATGACCCAGAAAGGCAGTTGAGATGGGCACAGGATGCGCTGCTCTGGTCCGATATTGCAATCCAGAGCCGGCGCCGAGCTGCTGTCGGTTCGACAAGTAGGCCTACTACACCAAATGTCGAGCGCCGGATCCGCGATGATGCCCTCAACATTACCAAGTTCCTCGCCGAGCAAGGCCACCCAAAAGCTGAGTTCTTGAGGGCGGGCTGGTATGAATTTGGCAAATTCGGCTTCCCCGAAGATGCAAAGGAGTCGTTCGGAGGATACAAAAGAGCAGCAGAGAAGGGCTACGCGCGAGCTGAATATCGGATTGGCACTCGGTACGAGAGCAGCAAAGATATGCTGCGAGCCGTCAAGCACTACCAAAATGGAGTGGCTCAGCACGATTCGGCTTCAAACTACCGTATGGGCATGATGGCATTATTTGGCCAACATGGACAGCCGCAGAACTACGAGGTTGGAGTTAGGCAGGTGAAATATGCTGCGGACACAGCTGATGAGAACTCACCGCAAGGTTCATATGTTTACGGAATGCTTCTCGCGAGGGAACTGCCGAATATCTCACTCCCTGACTTTGCCTTGGTATATGATTTGGAGCAAGCAAGACACTATGTTGAGCGAGCTGCGCTACTCGGGTTTTCGAAGGCACAGCTCAAGATGGGTTCGGCTTATGAGCTTTGTCTCTTGGGCTGCGAATTCAACCCAACGCTTTCGCTGCATTATAACCGCCTGGCAGCAAGCCAAGGGGAGCCAGAGGCCGAGATGGCTATCAGCAAGTGGTTCCTATGTGGTTACGCAGGTGTTTTTGACAAGAACGAAGAGGTCGCCTTCACGTACGCGAAGCGCGCAGCACAGCAGGAGCTTCCAACTGCCGAGTTCGCTCTTGGTTATTTTTACGAGGTTGGACTGCATGTACCGATGGATCTTGGTCGATCTCAAGAGTGGTATCAGAAAGCCGCAGATCACGGCAACACAGATGCCGCAGCTAGAATCGACGCACTTCGCCTGCACAGGACTCTATCCAGGAAAGACCACGAGCAGATGGCCATCACACGCATCCGGTCGCAATATGGCTCTCGCAAGGGCATGCGGCCCGATCACCTGGCGCAGAAAGTGACCGCACAACAAGCCCCGACGCTTCCAGTGATGAGCGAGGAGAGAGACGACTCGTCGCGCCCAGTCAGCGTTTACCCGCCCAGAAGCAGCTCCGTCCAGCCCGAGCAGCCACAATTCCGCGTGATAACCCCCGTACCAGACCCCAATGCCCCGCTCTCACAGCAACAACAACCACCATTCCGTGTAGTAACTCCTGTGTCTGGCGGTGTGAGGCACACGGGCTCTATGCCCAGCTCGCCCTTACACAGTCATTACAAGTCAGGCTCGGGAGGTATCATTGGCGGGACACATAATACAGCGCCTTACCCCGAGAACGACGTGGCGCACCCGATACAAGCAAACCCCAACCTGAGACCACTGTCAGGACCGCCAGCAGACCGCCCCAATTCTGCTTTTGGCATCAAACCTCTGCACCCTAACCATTCATTTGGACCTGGCCAGGATCCAGCTCATCGTCCTATGAGCGTTGTGGGAGATTTGCAATCGCAGCAGCGACCACACCCAGGACAGGGAGGCAGAGGGCAGCCGGTTGTCCCCCACCAACCGAAACGAGAAGGACCTACCTCTAATGACTGGGAATCTCAATATAGACTCCCTTACAGCCAACCACAAGGGGGTGATGGGAGGGGTAAACTCCAGAACCAAGGGGCTCCGGTAAACAAGCCTCACCCGCAATCACCACCGCAGCATGGGCAGCCTCCTCAGCACCTACAGCCCCGGAACGATTATTCGCAGAATAGGCCAAACACAGCTTCAAACGAGCGAACTTACTCTGCCCAGGCGCCGCTGAAGCCGCATGCTCCTGGAGACCAGAGCGCAGAGAGGCCTATCTCCTGGGCTGACAACGGGCCAGGTGCATACCCATCGAAATATTCCTCGATTCCGCCTGGTGCTGGGGGACCGGCTGTGACGATATCACCTGCTCCGATGCCGCCGCAGGTTTTGAAGCCACAGGCGCCGCCGCCGAAGAAGGGCCCGCAGACTTTTGAGGAGATGGGGGTTCCTGCTGCTTCTAAGGATAGCGAATGCGTAAGTTCTAACTCTGTCTTCTCTCGTTATGGAGAGATTGTATTTTCTAACATCTATATAGTTGGTTATGTAAAACACCAACCATAAAAAAAAGGACAAATGATGATTTACGAAACAACAGTCCATTTGAAGATGTTGTTTTATCTGGGAACAATAGAGGGGTATATGCAAGCATGGAGACAAACTTTGTTCAGAGGTTTATTCTGTATAAAGTATAATGTTCTTTCTTAGCATTTTTTACCTTTTTGTTTATTTGGGCATTGATACCTACCTCCTTTTTACGATGGTTTTGGCATTGAGAGGGTCGTTTTACATAGTTTTTTTATCGTGGTATTGGGGGGGGGTAAATATAGGACTGCTGTGTAGGTTTCGTCTCGCCTCTGAAGTTATATGCTCTTTGTCTACCAGATTTTGTTCATCACAAATTCAGTTCACTCTTCCATCTATCCAAACCTTTTACCTCTATAATTTACGTCGAACACATCCCGATATCTCTACCAACCATCTCCATCCCATCACACCCATCACCCTCAACCCCTCCAATCCCCCAGCAACCCCCACCCCAGCCACCACCATGCCCCCCCGCAAAGCTGCCGCCGCCTCCACAACCACAAAACCCACCACCGACGACGCCAAAGCCTGCACCCTAATCCTCACCTACCTCATCTCCCAGAACCGACCCTACTCTGCCACCGAAATCAGCAGTAACCTACATAATGCCGTCACCAAGGCTCGAACGGATAAGCTGCTCAAGGAGATGTTTGAGCGTGGCGAGATCGCCGGGAAGGCGAGCGGGAAACAGTGGGTGTTTTGGGGGGTGCAGGTATGTTTTTCTTGCGGTGTGTCTGGGATGGGGAGAGGGGTGCGGCGGAGGGGTTTGGATGAGGGGTAGCAGGAAGAACTGGGGAACTGGGGTCAGGAGAGAGCTAACAGAGGGGTAGGATCCAAATGCCACCAGCACACCCGAGGAACTCGCCGCAGCAGACGCCCAAATCGCAGCTCTTCGAGATAAGATCCCAACTCTCAAATCCGAATTAAAATCCGCCTCCACCACCCTCTCCACCCTCCGCTCCGCACCCACCACCTCGGCCCTCCGGGAGTCCGTCCAGACTCTGGAAACCGATAAGGAGGATAAAGAAGGACGACTGCATGTGCTGAGAGCGGGGAGTACCAAACCCGTTAATGTAGAGGAGAGGGAGGCGGTGGAGGGAGAGTGGAGGAGGTGGAAGAGGACGAGGGATGCGAGGAAGAGGGCGTTTGGGGAGTTGGAGGGGATGTTGTTGGATTCGGGGGTTATTGGGAAGGAGGCGCTTTGGGTACGTACTTTCCCCTCCCCCTAAAAAATAGATCTGGAGAACGCGACGGCTTTGGAGTGGCTGATGAAAGACGCGGCGACGGTCGGGATCGAGGCAGCGAGACCTGGGATGATTACGAATACTGATGGTGTGTGATATTAGGATATGCTCGGTATCGACGGCTCCACATGATCACCGCCACGGCTGACTGGTTTGCTCAACTATCGATCGATATCTACGAATAGAACAATTTTTGACACGGGAAGAGAGAAAGAGTGGTATTGCTCCCTGTCCTCTCTTGGACGCGGGGATTCATTGGCCTGTTCTTAGTTTTGCGCCACGCTCACTCATCTGGCATGCGAGGTTATCAATCTTGCAGTATCGCGACGAGGCTGGACGGGGAGGTGGGTGCGTGGCTGCGTGGCTGGGGCTTGCTTGATTGGCTGGGATGGGGAAAGGCGGGGGAGGGGGGATACGGGGGAGCAGGCTGGGGATTTTGGGGTTGGACGCCCCCTCTGGGGTGGAGGTTGGCTGATGGCTTTACTGGGAGAGCTGCAGGTCGGGGTGAAACAAATGTTTTATCACAAGAAGGGGGATTCGCGTTGAGTACTTGGGCTGCATGAACCACTGACGAGTATTGGGCATAATAGACGCGGGTTGCAGGAGCTATGGTTATAATGAGGGTGCTTAATTAGTTGGAGCTATCACAGACAGACACGATGGCTATATCATGACTTTCAACATGAAAGTTGCTTAGAAATGGAGTCAAAAAGAGAGATTCTACAAGCACAAACTACTGGTATCACTTCTCAACTCGAGTAGATTAATGGGGCATGTGACTTGCATGTGAGAGCAACTGTCTCAGCACACTCTGTGGAGATGGCTGTTCTTGTGAACAGGATGAATACGATGGTGCCAAAATGGCCTAACCCTCATCGGCCCAGATAGGACGAAAGGGAGGGGACACGCACGGCAGTTTGCGGCTGGTAGGGTGGCACGAGTTTAAGGCCCTGATTGGGCGTCCAGGGGACAGGTCGGCGGATGACCCGAACGGTTCCATCCCAACCGGCGTCGATTCTGATATTCCCTCCATCTCGTCGCTGCTCGTCATATGTCCTGTCCCTGTCATCCTCAGTCGGGGGCACGGAGTCGCCGACTGATGGGGGACAGGGCTTGGTTTTCTGCGCATTGAGGACGTTGAGGAACCGCGAATTATGTCTGTCCCAGACTTTCGCAACCATCAGAACAGCGCTTGGTGGGCCATGATGCGTGGGTGGCTGCATATGTAGTGCCTCTATGACGACCTATCACGTTTCAAACGCCTCCGTGAGGTCGACGAGGAGCTAACGGGATGGACAGCTAGGTGCTAGAGCTGCCCGCGCCGTGTTGAGACATTGCAGGCGAGTTTGCCAAGGTTCGATATGGGCTGGCTAATGGGTGCTATTACCAAGAGATGGATACTGAAGGGGAAGGGGAATGCAGCTCCAGGGACTCACGGAGTTTGATAGACCGGCGGGAACATAGACCAGCGGGAACAGAGGAAGGTAGGACTTGCACACCCTGGCACGCGCACGACATATGTAAGATAGCATATGTAAGATGAGTGAGAGTCGACGTGTTGTACCCTTGGCTCGCCCACTATATGGGGAGAAAGCTATCCTTGAAGGTTTCCTGTAGAGTAGGGATGTGTCCACCTTTTGCAACGGTAGGGAGGGTAGAGTTAGACAGACCATGGCAATGATGGCAATGATGGCAATGATGGCAATGATGGCTATGATGGCTATGATGGCTATGATGGCTATGATGGCTATGATGGCTATGATGGCTATGATGGCATATGATGGCTATGCCAAACCCAAAATCAGCGTGGCTGGTGAGCATGGAGCATGGTCAAACGGCGGCAAGTCGGGGGTTCCCACCACTACAACTACCAACGTTAACTATACTACCAACTTACTAGTTATACTACTACTATGTATATATTATCGCTTCTTGAATCGCTTATATGCAACCCTCCATCTCCTACAATCTTCCTTTCTTATTGCACCTTCCCTTCCCTTCACTGATATATTATTATATTACCTACCCAGTGCGCCGTGGGTTCCTTGTTCTCTGTCACTGTCATGTGAAGGCGGCATATACCCCTCGATCGTTATACTTGTTGAGTTGATATACACGACTCGAGTGTTACAGTGAAGGAAGCTACTGTAGCTATCTTCATCTGCTCCAGATAGATATATGTGCTGCTCCCTCGCCGTCCCAACCGTCTCAACGGAATCAGACGGTCATACTCATACGGCGATTATCCTTTTATCCTTTTATCCTTTTATCCTTTTATCCTTTTGAACCCTACATGCATCACTGCATCACTGCATCACTGAACCACTGGAACCAGAGCAACAACAACCAGGGGACCAGCTACCAGCCTCCCTCCCGCCGTTCCACCATAAGCTAACGGCCCGGCAACCAAAGCGGTCAGAATTTATTGCCAAATCACAGTCAGCACGACAGGCAGTGAAGTTCCGTATACTAATCCCAGCCGAACCTCACTCCATCATCCCAAGTCACCTTTGGTAACGGAGTGTACGACGCACAACGCACCACAAACCTCCCAAACGACCCCCAAAACACTCTTCGAGTCAACTTTCCAAGACTCGATTTTCTTCCCGCGACATCCCGACAAAACTCCACTCTGTCCTCTTTCCAACAAACGCCCTTCGCGGTCGGAGCTCACGAGACTCCAGTCTCGTCCGTGCGACGACCCCACCAATTCCGACGCAGAATACCCACAGAAAACTCACGATGCTCAGCAACAGCAACGGCGCTGCTGCAGCACTCTATGCCCGGAATGGCAGCGTGAGCGGCGGTGGACCTCCAGCCGAAATCCCTCTGTACCGACATATGAGCTCTGGGAGCCTCAACATCCCGAATGGACTGGGGCAGCCGAATGGGAACGGTCAGTCGCAGGCAGCTGGAGCCATGGCGCCGGGTGGCAGGTTTGAAGGGCCGCGGAGCCCGCCGGGAAAACAGAGTAGGTATTCTTTGGACCCCTGGGGAAAAGTGGCATGGTGTGCTAATGGGGTTCTGTAGACACATCGCATGTGCCTTGCAAGTTCTTCCGCCAAGGCGCGTGCCAGGCGGGGAAGGCGTGTCCATTCAGTCACGACCTCTTGAGCACTACTGATAACGTGTGCAAGTACTTTGCAAAGGTTAGTGACGAGAATATGTTTATGGCGACTCGTTTTCTGACGTTTTCTAGGGCAATTGTAAGTTTGGACCGAAATGTGCCAACATCCATGTACTACCAAACGGGCAACGAGTAAACTACCACAAGGGAGGGCCGATTGGAATTGGCGGATTAAATCTCGGTGGACGTGTGCATCCGGATCAGTATCACAGTCAGAGTTCGGCTTTGACCAATTCTCTATACCGCGCAAATATGGGAGCGCAACCTCCGTTTGGCGCGCCTTACTCGCCCTTTGCGAACCAAGACGAGGGCTTCCCCCGTGGTGGCATGGATATTGGTGTGCCGACGATTGACACGAGTTATGCGTCGTATCCCGGGTCCGCGTACGGCTCGCCTCGAGACGATGACTTGCAGAGTCGGTTCGGACTTGGGTTGTCGCCTGTCCCGGCAAAGGGACTGAGCGTCTTAGACGCTCCGCTACCTGCGTCCTTTGACAGCAATGGGGTCTCGTGGATCGCAAGACATGGACCGGTAGCAGCGTCTGTCCCTTCAAAGTTTGGTCTTGAGTCACCACCACCGTCGCTGGGATTCGCAAAGGACGGAAGGACATCTGAAGCCCTCAAAAACCTATACAGCTCCGCGTTCGGCGACGACACGCGCGATAGCTTCCACGGAGCTGCCTCCCCTCCGGCTCCTCTCGCTGACGAATACTTCGGAAAGCGAATCATGCATTCCCAGCGTTTTGCAAGACAGAAGATCATGTCAGCTAGTCTGCCAAAGGCAGGGCTGGCAATCGACAAGGACTGGGACAACGATTTTACTTTCGAGGAAGATTATCTACCAGACAACCTTAAGGAGCTTCTAACTCCACAGGAGAAAGCGCGGAGAGGATCCAGGAACGCCGAAGAGGAGAGCAGGCCTGTTTACAGCTGCAACGGGACACCAGACGCATCAAGCAAGTTCGGGTCTCCATCAAACGCGAGCCCTTCACGATGGGGCCCGCTATTCCAGCGCCAACAGCGCGAAGAGGAAGAAAAAGTTTCCCGAGCCTCAGTCTTCGGCCACGTCGGCTCCCCACTCCGCAACTCATCTCTATCATCCGCCTCCATACCCGCCGTTAGCCGCTCAGCTGCCGCCTCCGGCGACGCTTCCCCCTACGTGGCATCCCCATCCCGCCAATCCTCTATGTCCATAATCTCCCAACAACTCCAACGCACGCGTCTCGGCCGTACCGAGTCCGCCGGTGCCGAGACCAGCCTCCTCCCAGCAGTTCAGCGCGTGACTAGCAACCCGATAGGTGCACCTACACGCCCTGATCGGGCTGCTAGTGGCGCGAGCATCGGCGCGAGTTTGGCTGCTGGAAGAGTCAACATGCCGATTGATGAGGAGCAAGGCGATTTCGTGTTCAGCATGGAGGAAGAGGAGGATAAGGAGCGCGAAAGCACCAAGAGGGGTAGCGGCGGTGGATGGAATTACCCCGTTGGCGCTAGGAGCCCGCATAGGGCGAATGGTGGTCGCAATGGGACGACGAGCGGTGGTGGGATGGAGGGTATGTTTGGGGTGACTAGGTGATGGGGGGGGTGGCATTATCAAAATGGGAAGGGGATGTTGAAAAGGAGTACAAAGCATGAAACTATAACTAACAATCACTATGTTTGTGGATGCATCAAGCGACGTGTTGGGACGAATCTGGTACTGGGATTTGGCGATCTAGGGTGTTTGTTTTTATCTGGCATGGCTTTTTTTTTATTTAATGTATTATATTTATATAGGGTCGCAAGGGTTGGTTGGGCTGTTAATATATATATCCGAATATGCGGACAGGGACAAATGGTCATGATATATATATCTTCCTCCAAGCCAAGGACAACTTTTGTCGTGACAAATAGTGTTACTGTGAAGGCTCTATGTAAGAATTTAAAATACTTCTAGAACGTTACATATTTAAAAAGCTTGTAAGCTCAATATTGTACGGATTAAATACTATGGCCTGGCATGTGGTGGAGACCTTTCGTTTCGCATACGTCTTAAATATCGGTTTTGAGCAAAGACCTTCGCGTCCCATTTCCACTATAGCTGCAAACCTAAGCGTCAAGGAAAGACCAACGAACCTCCGCATATAGCCAACGAGAATGCGCCACTGTAAACATGTATAGGCAGTTCTTTAACGCGTCTTCCATTGCATGGGATAGGCCTAAACAATCCTGACAGAAAACATCACGTCCTCAAACCAGTCACGTGCGCCGAAGACCAGAAGCATGCCGAAACAAGATTCCCTATTCTACGACGCAGTGGCGGAGGCGGATAACCCCGCCATGCTGGCGGTGGACTTCCATCACCCATATACACCATATTCCATTCAAGAAGACTTTATGCAGACGGTCTATTCCGTCCTCGAGCGCGGCGACTCCAGCGTCGGGATCCTCGAATCGCCAACAGGGACGGGAAAATCCCTATCGCTCATCTGTGCCTCATTGACATGGCTGAGGGAATACAAGCGCCAATGCTTTGAAGAGTGGATGAAGATGGATAGCAACGAGGAAGACGAGCCTGAGTGGGTTATTGAGGCCGCCAAGGCGCGGAAGAGGAAAGAGCTGCTAAGACATCGGGAGGATATGGAGAAGAGGCTCGAGAATGCGCGGAAGAAAGAGGCGGCGATGAAAAAAAGGATGTTGGGGGAAAGTAAAGGCGGGAAGAGGAGGAGAGTTGAAGAAGGTGGTCTGGGGATGGAGAAACTGGATGATGAGGAGCAGTTCGCGCTTGATGACTATGAGAGCGATAGGAAAGCAGACGGTGCTTCGAAGTCGGGAAGTGCGGCGGGTGGGCTTTCGGCGGAGACGCTGGCGTTGATGGATAAACTTGGGGTGGGTTATGGGAAGGCGAGGGAAGAGGAGGAGGAGGAAGTCGATGAGGAGATTAAGATCTTTTACTGCTCGCGCACGCATTCTCAACTGACGCAGTTCATAAACGAGTTACGCCGTGTTAAGATTCCGCCTGCTCTGCAACCGGAACCTGCGCCCGTTAAGCCATTACTGGGAGAGGAATTCAAACACCTGACGTTGGGATCCAGGAAGAACCTCTGTATCAACCCATCAGTCAACAAGCTGCGATCGGCGACGGCGATTAACGAGCGGTGTATGGAACTACAGCAATCCGGCACAGCAACAGATAAGAAATGCTGCTTTCTCCCCAACCAACAGAACCAACCTCTTGTCAACGACTTCCGCGACCACGCACTCGCAACGATACGTGATATCGAGGAACTAGGGGACCTAGGCAAGGAGATGAAGATATGCCCCTACTACGCTTCACGATCCGCCATCAAACCCGCGGAGATAGTGACACTACCATATCCATTACTGCTCCAAAAGAGCGCGCGAGAAGCGCTGGGGGTGAGCGTCAAGGGTCACGTTGTGATCGTGGACGAGGCGCACAATCTCATGGATGCTATTGCCGGGATATACGGGATCACAGTTTCGCTAAGCCAGTTGAAGCGGTCAAGAGCGCAGATTGGGCAGTATCTGCAGAGATTCAGGAATAAACTCAAGGGAAAGAATAGGGTGTATGTGGCGCAGGTTGTGAGGTTGATTGATTCGTTAGCGCAGTTTCTTGATGGGAAGGTTGGTCAGAAGGGGGAGATGGTTGTGGAACCGAGTGAGCTGTTGGTGGGGAAGGGGGTGGATCAGATTAATCTCTATAAGCTGATGAGATACTTGCAGGATTCTAAGCTTGCTAGGAAGGTTGAGGGATATATCATTTTCGCGGAAGGTGCTGCTGCGGATAACGGCAATCCAGCTGCGAAGGCAAGGAAGCCAGATGCAACATCTGAAGCAGCAACACCAACGCTGCAACATATACAATCCCTACTGGTAGCGCTCACGAACCCATCCAAGGAGGGAAGACTCTTCTATGCCAAAGACCCAGAAACTTCCGACATCGTCCTCAAATACATGCTCCTCGACCCTACCCACCACTTCCAAGAGATCGTCTCCGAAGCCCGAGCTGTGATCCTCGCAGGCGGAACCATGTCTCCCATGGCAGACTACACGTCTCACCTACTATCCTATTTACCAGCAGAGCGAATCACGACTCTCAGCTGTGGGCATGTCATCCCCAAGGAAAACCTGCTTGCTTGGACTTTATCAAAAGGGCCTACTGGGAAACCATTCGAGTTTACATTCAGCAAACGCGCGGGCCGCGAGGGGGAGGAGATGATAGATGAACTCGGCCGCGCTGTGCTGAATATCTGCACCATCGTCCCCGACGGCATTGTTGTTTTCTTCCCCAGCTACTCCTACCTAGACACTGTGATCAAGCGATGGGAGGTTATTCTTGAACCCGGCAGGCCTAGCATCTGGGAGAGGCTAGGCAAGAGGAAGGCGCTATTTAGGGAAGCTAAAGATGCTAAAGTCGGAGCGGAATACGTGCTCACTGAATATGCTAAGGCTATTGATGGGAATCAAGGCGGATTACTCCTCAGTGTTGTGGGAGGGAAAATGAGCGAGGGTATTAATTTCAGCGATCGTCTCGGGCGCTGCGTTGTCATCGTTGGACTACCATACCCCAACATAATGAGCGGGGAATGGAAAGCGAAGATGTCCTATATCGAGACTGCGACAATCGAACGTCTAGAAGCCGCTGGTGAAGGCACCACATCCAGTCGACAAGCTGCTGGGAAGGCAGAGGCGAGGGAGTTTTACGAGAACGCATGTATGAGGGCTGTTAATCAGAGTGTGGGCCGCGCAATTAGGCATAAGAATGATTTTGCGTCTATTATCATAGTGGATGGGCGGTTTGGAAAGGAGGGGATTAGGAGGAAGTTGCCAGGATGGATTCGAGATGGGTTGGTGGAGGGGTGTGAGGGGAGGGGGTTTGGGGAGTTGATGGGGGGGCTTGGAACGTTTTTTAGGGGTAAGAAGGTGCCCTAGGGAAATGTATCTATGATTTTCCCTAGGGCACCTTCTTACCCCTAAAAGCGACCAGGCGGATCGACGATTATACGATTATCTACATCTGTAGACTGCTGTCAAAGGGGTTGTCAATCACGTGACCATAAAATTGTCGTCAAGCCTGGATTGTGTGATCTTGTACGGAATTCGCAGTTTTTTTTAATAAAGCTTTCGTATACTCAGTTTTAATGGAATATATTTCGATTACACTTTTGATAGCGCCTTCAAACGATTGTCAAATCGCTATATTGAGAATGTCGTCGTCACTCACTATCGCTCCTATCCGCGGTAGGGTTTCCAGCCCTGACTGATAAGCGAACGCGCTAGCAATTGTTGAAGTCGAGCAAATTGAAGATTGTGTACTGAGATTTGAAGGTCATCGACAAATTTACGGCACTCGACATCCTCGACAATGCCTACCCATCTTTCGAAGACCCGCAAACAGTACGTCTGAACCAGATCTCCACGAATCTACTATCATCGGCATCAATGCAAATTGAGCGATGATGCGCCCCTCAGTGAAAGCTCGAGGGTGAGCGCCGGGGCGAAGCTTTAGCCTCGTTAGAATTTTGTCGTACACTGTACTGACATTTTCATAGCCGCGGTCATGTCTCCGCCGGTAAGGGACGTGTAGGAAAGCACCGCAAGCATCCAGGTGGTCGTGGTCTCGCTGGTGGTCAGCACCACCACCGTACCAACATGGACAAATACCATCCTGGTTACTTCGGTAAGGTTGGTATGCGTTACTTCCACAAGCAACAAAACCACTTCTGGAAGCCAGTCGTCAACCTCGACAAGGTATGCATACTCCCGGATATTTTGCCCCGCGACAAAGGGCCAAGCCGTGTCGTGGTGGAGAGAATGGTGGCTAATAGACCGCAGCTCTGGTCGCTCGTCCCCGCTGAGAAGCGTGAGGAGTACCTCCAGGCCAAGAACACCGACACCGTCCCAGTCATCGACCTCCTCCCCCTCGGATACTCCAAGGTCCTCGGAAAGGGTCGCCTGCCAAACATCCCAATTGTCGTCCGCGCCAGATGGGTCTCCAAGCTCGCTGAGAAGAAGATCACCGAGGCCGGTGGTGTCGTTGAGTTGGTTGCGTAAATGGGTTTATGATACAGGGTTGTTATTCTAGTCGGTATTTCATGGCATGAAAGGATTGGCATGATGGCTACGGCTATCGGAGTTCGATCAATGATATCAAAACACATCACGAACAATTTTTACCCTTATGTGACTGCAGCTGCGTTTGACTCCATGAGAACTCTTCGAAAAAATTGGGCCGAAGATCCTTCATTCTCCAACATGTTAAATCTCAAAAACTTTCTTTTGTATGTGATTATTACAGTGCTTCTATAATCGTGGTATCTCTAGCTGCTGAGCAACGTCTTAAACGCCTGGAATGAACCATGATGAAGCCTACCCTATGCAATGCCCCTTAAATGCCGTCCCCAACTCCCCAAAAACATTTGTCGCTCGTCATATCATATTTATCTCGTCCCCATCTTCGTCCTCCGTAGCTGCATCTTTCTCTCTCAAAAAAGGATGCTCCAGTGCTTCCGCTGCACTTATCCGCTTGTTTGGATCCAAATCAAAGCAGCGTTCCAAGAATCGTATCGCTAGTTTCTCCTCATCACTCAACGAGACATCCTTCCCATTGGCATCGTTTTCTGTCCTGCACGTGCTCCACAGAATAATCTTCTCGAGGCTGAATCCCTGTTGCCCGACTGTTGGGATGTTGGTCTCGAAGACAGTTCCGTGTAGGAGTGCCCCTTGCTTCATACGTTTCGAGCCGAAGATTGTTGAAATCTCAATCGTGGCCTCAACGTCATCTGCCGAGTTGAAGAAGGGGAAGCGTCGTGACAGGATAGTGAGGAGGATGACACCCACGGACCAGATGTCGATCTTGGTTGTTTGTGCCGTGCATTTAAAGAGAACCTCTGGCGCACGGAAACCACGGGTTCCGGCACGGTTCGCTCGACGAGAAGGGCGAGTGTCCTGTTTAGGATAGCCAGCTGCAGGCCCATTGGACGCCGCAACGCTGTTATTGATATGCCGCCGACGATCAACAGAATGTTGCTGGCATAGACAGGGCTTGCTCTCCGTGCCTTCGCGCTCAGCAAGACCGAAATCGACAAGCACGCCGTGCCGCCTTGACGGCTCGTAAAGAAAGTTTGTGGGTTTGATGTCACGGTGTAGAATTCCCTGCTTGTGGACTGCGGCGAGGGCAACGAAGAGGGAGCGGAAGTAGATACGCATATCTGGGATGGTCATCTTCCGGAAATACTCTCGGAAGTCGGAGTGCTTAAAGTAGGGAAGGACGGCCACCACTTGGTCGGTGTGACGGTAGGCTGATATGAGCGGGCAAACGGATAGACAACCGCGGAGATCGTTCAGGAGATCCAGCTCGTTGAGGATGCGGGACGGACTGCTGGTAACATAGATTTGCTTAATGGCAACAAACTTGGGCTTTCGACGGATAGTTTCAACAGAGCCTCTTTTTAATTCTGGCGCAGCCCATTTGGCGTTCTTCTCGATCTCCTTTTGTTCCAAATCCCAGCTGTTTTCAAACATGTCATAATTCAGATCCTCCGCCTTATAAACGGTGGAAAATGTGCCTGCATGCATTATCGTTAGAATCCAACCCGACAACAGTTCAAAAATATAAGAAAACTAGCCTTCTCCAATTCGATTTATAAGCCTGAATCGATCTTTAATGCCTTTGAACGTTGCCACGAATTTGTCCATGTCCTCTTGAACTGCGGGGTCGACTTCCTCTTCACTCTCCTCGGACCACTCGGAGTACGCATCCGTCTCCAATTCGGCTTGCTGAGCCCATCCCATCTCTTCATTCTCTATCATTTGGTCATGAGTCTCCTCGTCTGCGGAGTCCTCAATCTCTGGGTCTTTGTCGTTTATGCCAAATTGGGCAGGTCGTGCATAGTCTTCCACCACGCTCATTGCGGCTTGTGAAGTCATACTGTTCAGAACCAGTATTGTTTATTGCAGTTACCCTGGTCCTATACTAGGAGCCACAACAGTATAAATTTGCCCTAACAATTACCGAAATTCGAATCTTCGAGGCGTTCGCGGTTCGCGACGGAGAACGCGGTCTTATCAACAGTTGACTAGACTCGGTTAGGAACGAAAATCAACAATCGCGACCACCCATCGTCCACGGTGATTATCATAAACAATCTCATCTGTCACAACAAGTTAGCAACGACAAACGATACCTGCTTTGTTTGAAGCTGACGAACGTTTGGCTGTAAGGCATATTTGCCGCGCACTTGGAATTATTCGCAATCATGGACAATATCGACTTTGACATCAATGATGCGCTCAAGCATTACATGAGCGATCCCACGAACATACACACCCCAGAAGCCGATTCGAACCTCACCGACTGCGAAAACGACCCCGAAGCCTTTACGAACTCATTGATAAACAGTATCTTGAATCCTATTGTGGATTCTGTGGCAGAGAACCCAGATGCTATCACGAGAATTTCTTCGTTCGACTCTTTGCAGTTCCTTTTAAAGTGTGCCCCAACTTCCATTACTGCTTTAGACCCCCACATCTCCTCCCAAAGCCCAAGTCCTAAACTTTTCCTTCTTTCTAGATCAACGTCCATACTCCCGCCACATGCCCTGGGCAAAGTCCTAGACCTCGTCGTCTCGGGCTTGTCCGCCGAAGCCGATATAATCAGCAATGATCTCGAGTCGGACGAGCAGGACATTATCGCACACCACAAACGACTTCTGGAAATCTTCGGATTTCTGTTGCAATGGACGTTGGCAGCTGTCGAAACGAAGGCAGCGGAGAAGCCTACAACAACACCAGCAGCAAGAGGCAGAGGCAAGGCTGCCAAGCCAAAGGCTTCAGCAAAAGACGCCAACTGGGACTCGTCAGCGCAACTACAGGTTGCTCTCGAAGTCATGTGCAAGGTTCTGAAGCTCAAGCTCTCGAAGATTTTCCTCACTACATCTGAACGCGATACATTTATTGGCTTACTTACAAGGCCGGCATACTTGGTTCTGGAGAGCGAGCAACGTGTCAAGAGCACAGCAATCTGCATGCATGTTTTCAAGGTTTTGTGCATTGCAGTGAAGCATCATGGGCACGCTTATGCTGCCCAGATCTCCATTGTGCAGAATTTAACATATTTTGAGCATCTATCGGAGCCTATGGCAGAATTCCTACATATCCTTGCTGAGCAGTACGACTATCCCCAATTGGCAGATGAGGTCCTTAGGGAGCTTAGCAATAAAGAATTTAACAGCAATGACACGAAGGGGCCGAAGTCGGTGTCTACTTTCATGGTCAAGTTCTCTGAGCTAGCACCAAGGGTGGTTATCAAACAGATGACCATGATTGCAAAGCAGCTTGATAGCGAATCTTATACCCTGCGTTGTGCTGTTATAGAAGTATGCGGAAACATGGTCGCGGATTTAAGCAAGCAGGAAGAGCGTGGAGAGAACCACAAATCGCAGTTGAACGCCTTCTTCGACGTGCTCGAAGAGCGCTTCCTCGACATCAACCCCTACTCCAGATGTAGAACGATCCAAGTTTATATCAAGCTCTGCGACCTTGAGCAGAAGTTCCCAAAACGCAGACAACGTGCGGCTGAGCTGGCAGCACGAAGTCTTGAAGACAAGAGCAGCAATGTCCGCAGAAATGCAATCAAACTCCTTGGGGCGTTAATCAAAACGCATCCATTCAGCGTCATGCATGGCGGGGAGCTCAATTACCAGGATTGGAATGCCCGTCTGGATGCTGTTGATGCGCAACTGAATGCTTTAAAACCTCCTCCTGAGACCCCTGGATTGGTGGACAAGACTGCGGCAACTGTGGACGAAGCACTCCTTGATGAAGCGACACAAATGGAGACCGACTCTCCCCAAAAGCCTATGACTGATAGCCAGAAAATTGCGGCGGTTCAGAAAGCTCAAGAGGAAGCAGCGACGTTCGAAGCAATTGGCAAACTGACGCTCACAAGAAGATATTACGTCGAAGCGTTGAAGTTTATTGAAGTCTTGCACGGAGCAACAACAACCATCTGCCAATTACTTGGCTCTAAGAATAAGAGCGAGGTGATAGAGGCGATGGACTATTTCAAAATCGGTGACGCCTACAAGATCGAGCAAAACAAGTTGGGCATTCGACGCATGCTCCGGCTCATTTGGACAAAGGGAAACAGCGATGAAGGAAAGGGTGTTCAGTCCCACCTAATTGATTGTTACAAGACATTGTTCTTTGAAGCACCGGACTCCTTCAGCGCAAATGATGCGGCGAATTACATCGCGAGGAATATGATCAGTTTGACATTCGGAGCGACTCCGGCTGAGCTTACATCGTTGGAGCAGCTTTTAAGCACCATGATGAAAGCAGGCCACGTTTCTGAAACTGTGATTTCGAAGCTTTGGCGGGTGTACGGTGTACAGAAAAAGGAAATTTCAAAGAGCCAACGCCGTGGTGCAATTATTGTGCTTGGTATGTTAGCCACAGCAAGCCCTGATATCGTTGTTGGCGAGCTGGAGACAATGCTTCAAATCGGGTTAGGAGGACTCGGAAGAAGGGACCTTCAGCTTGCTAAATATACGTGTATCGCCTTGCGCCGGATCAGTCCAACAGGGCGCCAATCCCAGGAGTCGGGTTCCAAATTTTCAAAGCTCTCCAACGACCACGCGGTTCTCTCCAAGCTTGCTTCGATAATTGAAGTAGAGTCTGATAGCAAAGAATGGTATGGTGTTGCGGAGCAGGCTATCAGCGCCATATACGCCCTATCCAAACACCCAGATACACTGTGCTCGGAGATCTTGCGAAGGAAGACGAAGCATGTTTTCCAGAAGCGTCAAAAATCAGAGGCGCCTGCGCCTGCTGCTGACCCAGATGCCATGGACGTTGATATGATGGACGTTGACGAAGGGGCACCACCAACCCCCCCACAAGAAGAAGAAGAGCCAGCCGAGCCTGGCCAGAAAGGATCTATTGCATTGTCTCAGCTGCTGTTCATTGTGGGCCATGTCGCTATCAAGCAAATAGTTCACTTAGAGCTTTGTGAATTAGACTTCAAGAGGCGAAAAAATGAAAAGGACAAGGTTAAGCCTGCCGAAACTCCAGCAGAGAAGCAGGCTAAGGAAGACACTGATGATCTCGACCTGATTGGCGGAACTACGGAGGACGACTTCACGGAAGCTATGGCACATATTAGAGAGCGAGAGCTTCTCTATGGCCCGGACTCTTTACTAGCCAACTTTGGCCCCCTCGTGGCCGAGATCTGCTCAAACAACACTAGCTACAAAGACCGTAACCTTCAAGCCGCAGCCACGCTTTGTTTAGCAAAGCTTATGTGCGTCAGTTCCGAGTACTGCGAACAGAACCTCCCTCTGCTGATTACGATCCTTGAGCGCTCTAAGGATCCCATTACCCGCTCCAACGTCGTCATTGCGCTTGGAGACATGGCCGTCTGCTTCAACCACCTCATCGACGAGAACACGGACTTCCTATATCGCCGCTTGAATGACAAGGATGCTAGTGTTAAGCGTACTTGTTTGATGACGTTGACATTCCTGATCTTGGCTGGCCAAGTGAAGGTCAAGGGTCAACTTGGAGAGATGGCGAAGTGCCTCGAGGATGAGGATAAGAGGATTGCCGATCTCAGTCGCATGTTCTTCACTGAGCTTAGTACCAAAGACAATGCAGTCTATAATCACTTCGTGGATATGTTCAGTTTGCTTTCGGCTGAGAAGGACTTGGAGGAAGACGCCTTGAAGAGGATTATCAAGTTCTTGGCTGGCTTTATCGAAAAGGTAAAGAAACACTCTGGGAATTGAATTTGTGAAAACATTGTGCTAATACTATGCAGGATAAACATGCTAAGCAGCTGGCTGATAAGCTGGCAGCTAGGCTGGCGAGATGCGAGAGTGAGAGGCAGTGGAATGATGTGGCATACGCTCTAAGCCTGCTCCAGCACAAGAATGAGGAAATAACGAAGACAGTTGCGGGAGGCTTTAGGGTTGTACAGGTGAATGCTTAAAGACATGTAGGCTGATATTATTATGACGGGTTTGGCGTTTGGTCTCTAGGCAGTAATGATTACATGACTTGCTCATAGTCCACAAACAATACCATGCACAAATAATATTTTCAATCATAACCCGGGTGGTTTGCCAATAATTTGATACTCTAAAATAGAACTATGAGACATCCTAGGCCCAAATCCGCCATCTATCATCGTACACTAATATTATACACGTTTCGCCATTAGAGTGGATATGTAAAAGACAAGCATGAAAGTATCACCAATCCCCCATTTAAGCCTCAACGAAGCCCTTGACATTTGCCAGCCACGTCAGATACTCCTTCTGCTCCTTCATGTCTATGTAATCAGGGGCGAAGAGGGCCAGAGCGGTGTTGATGCCTCTCTCGTCCAGGTATCTCTCCAAAGTAATTTGGAGATCCTCATCAAGGTTGCCGAATGGTGGGCCAACGTAGAGATCCTGTCTGGTGTGTGCCAGCTCAGCAGTCTTGGCGCGTGCCTGCGCGGCATCCTTGTAGTAGTAGACGTTGTCGATGATGATTTGTCCATCCTGGGCAATAGTCTCGACGGCGAGGGCGCCCTTGCTTGCCTTCTCGATGATAACGTTGACGCGGACTGGGAAGGAGTCTGGGGCCTCGGGCTCGCCCTCCTCCTCTGCAAGTTCCTTCTCTTGCTGATCAATATCCTCCTCATCGGCCATGGCCCGGTCCGCGTAGTCGGCTTCAGGGTCGATGGCGTTCAAGTCGGCAACGGAAAAGGAGACGCGGATACTTTTACGTTCTTTTAGCACCATACTTTCTCATCAGGAAAGAAATCTACTCACGATTCATCACCGTACGTCCTCGTCAATACGACTTCCTCCGATCCCTCGACATCTTGGATCTCGAAGGGTCCATTCTTGAGGTATTCTCTAACGCTTTGCGGGACCTCGCTGTTCTCCTTCATCTCTTGCTCCATCGAAATCTCCGACCCAAGCTTGGCAACAAGCTCATCATCAACCTCACCTGCCGTTGCCTTGTACATTCTCGACGTAGAGAATGCGGCAGCGGCTTGTGTGCGGAGTGGCATCCATGATGACTGAATGGAAATAGGAGCTGCTGGGCGGCGAGCAGCAGAGACTATGAGCCTGGAGACGGCGCGCGGAGCTGAGCGCGCAATGGCGCGAAGAGAAAGCATAATTTGAATGCTGGGGCTATGGAATTGGATTATTTTGAGATGAAAGAATGGGATGGTAAATGATGATATCTTCGATCAGACAGTCGTCAGTCAACAGCAACTTTTTAGAGCTCCGGGAGCTAATCCGTGCCACGCCTAGTGGGGTCTAGCGTAATATCAGACCCGCTGGATTATCACCAACTGAACAAAATGGAAGCTCAGATACCAAATTGGAAGTCTCAATAATTACAATAAACGTTTCTTGCACTATAAATCCTGGCTAACTATTGCTATCCATAAAAGCCGCTTCACTTTCACAAATGTTGCGGTATTTTCGCCCAACTCCTTCAGATACACCATATAAACGCCTTCGGATCATTATATCTTCATGTCTGTCCCTTAGGTGGGAAGCTAGATGGCTTCACGGTCCCATTCCTCGCAATTGTCACCCATTTCAGAGTCGGTAGATACGACCAAGTCCCGTCCCATCTATCCAGATACACAGCGTTGTCGGGGATTGTCAGGTCTGGTAGGTCTGTCATAATATCAGCAACAGGTCCACAGGTCCAGAATATTTACTAACAGAAGCCATTCTCCCACTCCTTCTCGTCTTTAGCTATTTTGATCCTCAAAACGTCCTCTCTTGTCGAAGACGGCCTTCCTGCTCGGCGTTGGCCTTTGACTTCGCTGTATTCTTCGTCATGTTGGTGTACGAATCTACCCGTCGAATTAGTACACACCGTATAAATGCATGAAGAGACATACTCTTCGATTAGTGGCGTAATTTGTTCCATCGTCAATTCCTTCCCATCATTCTTGCGCACAGCTTCCTGGAAATAAGCTGCCCGAACAACTGATCATCGTCATTAGTGTTGACCCGAGAACCACAAAAGCCACAGCACTCACTCAGAGGCTGGTTATCCTTCCTCTTTGCCGTTCCTACTCGTTTGAGCTTCTCATCTCTGTTACTCGCGCGGCGAAGGCGCATGGAGTCTGCCATGGATTTTTAGTACAGAAGGTAGCTGATGGAAATGTGTGGGGCGCGAACCTCTGGAGTTTTCATGAAGGGCATGAATATCGCTGCCCTTCTTGTTAATCTTCTTCCGGGTCTTTTGAAGTCCTTTCGGCATCTTGAGTACGAGGAAAGCGTAGTCGTTATCGTAGATTACCTCAGTCGGCGATGTTAAAAGTTCCCTCATTTTCAACTTTCCTTATCGTACATCGCAATCTTCTAGTGCCAAAATTGTGGGCGCGGCCCGTTTCCATGCCGACGTGGAGCGACGCGACCAGGCGTCTAGACGCGATTTATGACCCTTGAAGCCCTGGATAGTTTGAGGGGTGATAGCCACTGTGACACGACGACCTTACTTTCAGGACCCAGAGCACCTTCAGCATTGCACTTCTTCCAGTTGCCATATATTTGCCCACCAATGCTCATGCTCATGCGGTAGTCGACATTCCACAAGTCGCTGCGTCTCCCCCACGGCCCCTTGTGACCAATGGGTATCAGCGGTATGCTATACTCCGAGTTGAACATGGAAAGCAAGCTGACATCGTGCAGGGCTACTGCCATTGCTCAAGTCTATACATAAGCCATGTAATCTCAAGAAGTTTGCGGGGCAGACAATAGGTGTAGATGCCTACGGATGGCTCCACAGGGGTACAATATCTTGTACCATGGATTTGGTGATGGGGAAGCCAACAAGAAAGTATGTATTTGCGGATAGTTGATGATGACATGCTAACAAGGACCAGATTTGTTGATTTTGCCATGCACCGGGTACGAATGCTTCAGCATTTCGGCGTCATACCGTTTTTAATTTTCGATGGAGATTACCTCCCCAGCAAGGCGGCTACCGAGGCGGACCGCAATAAAAGACGAGCAGCCAGCAAAACTCTTGGGTTGGAGCTATTGAATGCAGGAAAAGTCGCACAAGCCAATCTCGAACTCCAGAAAGCGGTTGATGTTACTCCTGAAATGGCCAGGCAGCTCATCGACGAATTGAACATGGCGGGGGTCCAGTATATTGTCGCACCATACGAAGCAGATGCACAGATGGTATACCTCGAGAAAAAGGGGGTTATTGATGGCATTCTATCTGAAGACTCAGATCTCTTGGTTTTTGGTGCTAAGTGCCTCCTGACAAAACTTGATCAGTATGGAAATTGTATCGAAATAAACCAGGCGGATTTCAGTGCTTGCCGTGATATAAACCTAGCTGGGTGGAGCGAAAAGGAGTTCAGGCAGATGGCAATTTTGAGCGGATGCGACTACCTTTCCAGTATCACGAATATGGGCCTGAAAACGGCTTATCGAATGATACGAAAGCACAAAAATGTCGAGAAAGTCATACGCATGCTACAATTTGATGGCAAATACCATGTGCCAAAGGATTACCTCGACAACTTCTATCAAGCGGAACTAACGTTTTTGCATCAACGTGTGTTTTGTCCGATAGCTAATAAAGTTGTGTTTCACACGGAGCCAGAGCAACCCATCGATGAAGAAAAGTTAACGTTTATTGGGGCGCATGTCGAAGCAGAAATAGCAAAGAAAGTTGCAACTGGAGAACTTAACCCAATGACAAAGGAGGTAATTGTAACTCACCAAAGAGTGCCCGCAGAGTCTCCAAGAACGCCATGGATGGCAAAGTCACAGCTCCGGGCATCAGTTTCGTCACAAGATCTAAAGAAGGGGGTTAGCATCGATCAATTTTTCAAGCCAAGACGGGTTCCCCTAGCAGAACTTGACATCAACTGTTTCACCCCGTCCCCCTCTCAGCAGAATGCTCTCCTTCGGAATCCCGGGCCCTGGGAAGCAACACCCGTACCACGACCGCACCTGAGTCGATCTGCAACTCAACCAGAGCCACAACTACCACCTCCAAGGTCGGCACCTCCTCGATCTCAGACTAGCAGAACGCTATCGGCCAGTTTTCAATCAGAGCCTAGACCTCACAAGAGGCCTAGGTTATGCTCAGATGGTATTACAGGCGACACTCCAAGTGGGGGCCGTAGCCGATTCTTTGAGTCAACGACGGATCTAAGCCCATCAGTTGGACGAACCGCTAAGAGCAGAAAATCGGAAAGCGATGTATACATATATTCTGACGATTCTTTTGAAGATGCAATGCTTAGTCTCCCTGACTTCGACGGCTTCAAGCATGATTCTGGTAAGAAGATGCAGGTGTTTAAAGAGGATAACAAAATTGGTGATGAAACCGATCCAGCCACCGATCCAACTATACAAGTTTCGACAGCAACAAGCTTCACTTCAATGCCGAGCCTCACCCAGGCAACATCGTTTGCCAGCACCATTGATGATCCACCAACACCCGTTTCAACTGCCCCAACAGCTACGCCTGTGTCCCTCAAATCACGATTTGCGTTCACACCTAAATCTCAATTTTCGACTCTTCCACGCCGCAGCAGCGACGTTGTTACTCCTCCAACCCCAGTCAAGCCATCGCGCATACCGGTCCCTGTCAAATCAGAAACACGTAGCGCATCCACGCCTCTCCAGGCACTAGGATCAAAGGCCCTGAACCGCGCAAATTCCGCTGCTATATTACCAACGCCATCATACACACCCATATCCACCCCAACCGGGTCTCGCAAGATTTCGAGTTTTACTCGCCAGCCGAAACCTAAGCCAGCCGGCCTAGGCGGCTTGCCATTCCCTAAACTTGGAAGAAGCACGGTTAGAAAGCAGTCGTCCCTCAAGATCGCCACTGAGCCAGCCGATATCCCTCTTCCCGCTCACGATGAGGAAGAGAGACTTGCTTTGGCATCTCCCCCAAAGGAGAATATGTGCAAGGCATTTGGGAGCGAGGATCTAATAGTGCACGACAGCGAAGAAGAGGAGCTCCTGAGCCCAGTCGAAAGAGTGAATCTGGGGATATTTGCTTTCGGCGTGAAATAGTGGTGGTTATCAGGCTCAAATTGGTGGCCGGGTGGATATTACTTCTGACGTGGCGTGGCTCTAAAGGCTAAATTTGAAGGAGTTTTCTGGGAGTAGGCGTTAGGGAATATTTTGTAGGGGGACAGGAAATAGCACTACCAAGGTGCTTACTAGGTCGGAGTTCTATAGCATTCAAACGGTGGGCAGGTCTGGTGCGGAGTTTAGCGTCTAGTTCCTTGTTCTATCATCGATAAAGCTTTAAATAGAAGCCATCGGGAATCAATTTATATCTGTTTTCCTATGCTTATGCGACGTGTTACAAATGAAAAGTTGTGGAGACTGGACCGTAGCTAGGAACTCGGACTGTAGGTAAGGACTTGGACTGTAGCTAGGGGATCTCCTATATACGGCTCCCTCTCCTAGGCTAGGAAAGGGACCACCTAGGGGCGCCATACAAGTAAGCGGTCATCTCAAAATTACGCCTATACAAAACCTCGGCTACACGTCACCTCGCAAATACACCCAACAGTAATGTAGTTCATAAGATCCATGTTCTCATATCAACCTTACGCCCATCTATCTACTACCAGCCTTCTCTATGGCTCCCTCCATTGATGCTCCTAAAAAAACGCTTCAAAAAATTTCCCATCGCAATCGCACAAATATATTTCTGCAGTCCTCTCCCCGCCCTTCCTCCCCCATGCGTGGCAAAAAAATATTCACGAGACCTCTCTCTAGGTCTCGGCAGGCGGGTACTGCGTATGTATGTTCGACATCATAACGTACAAATGAAAAGTGAGATGTGTCTGTCGTGTCGTGTATCTGTGTGTCCGATTCTGAGTCCGATTGAGTTGATGATTGATGATGGATAAAATTCGTGGATGCTGGCAAGTTCGTACAGAAATGCCAAGGCTAGGCTATGGAAGTATTAATGTGACGGTCGGAGTAAAGCTGCGCTTCTGAGCTGAAGGTCTCATCTCCCTAACCTTGTACGCCTGCTATGCATGCAAATATATTCGAGTGAGATGTATATGTCCTGTCCGTGGTCTGTCTTTCTATTTCGACGACGCCAGAGCTGCTGCAAGGGCACTTGGTGCCGGGATGCTCAGGTCAACAGTGAATTGCCACTCCCCTGCAATACTGACCCTCAGCGATGCTTTTGGTAATGAATGACGATAAGCAGCTCAAAGATACCCATCAACTTGGTGGCACCACTATGCCTAGCAACATCAAGAGATCCGCAATATAGAGACAGCGGGGTGATCAAATAGAAAATAGCTAATCGGTGCCATTATAATCCCCATTGAAAGACCACACCCCATTTGCCAGGTTTTCAGCCGTGTCGGCAAGCAAAATGACACGACGCTTGTTGCAATACGAAGTCTTGTCCATGATATCAACCCTTAGATTGGCATCAGCCAGTTCCGCTACTGGTTTCTCGAACATCTCTGATAAGTTCTCAACCGCCATCTCCAAGTCCTTCTGGTTGTCTTCGAACATCTCGGTCAAGTTGTTGCGAGCAAGATAGAAGGCGAATGCGTAGGTCCACTTCAAAGTCTGACGACAGGTTTGGAGAGCCTGGGATGCCAAGTTAAGGTATTGGACTTCGATCCAGGAGAGTCCGGACGCTGACTGTAGCTGAACCATCTTTTTCTCGGTCTTCATCGCAATATCCTTATCGAGTTTTGCCGATTGCTCATGGTTGGCATAACGGTTGTAGTAATGAAGATATCGCTCGAGGGACACCCTAGACTTAGCCATAGCATCTCGCGCATCGGATCCGCTGCCCTCTTCGAAGCGATTGCAGTTGTACCAACTCGTTCCGTGCTCCGACCATAGACCCATGCACATCCAGCAGAATTCATGCTTGCACTTTCGGCACGTCATATGGTTGCAACCGCCGTTCTTCTCGATCGTCGAGTTACACTTAGGACACTCCTTTGTGTTGGCGGAGATCCAGTTCGCAGTCTCGGAATCGTCAGCGCACTTCTTAAGCCAGTGCTTTACTAGCTCACAAGGAGCCGGCTGGTGGTCTATGAGAATGCATCCGAAGCAAAAGCGATAGCCACAATCGCAAGCCACTGTAGGTACCACCTTGTCCAGATCACGCTTCTGGATCTTGCATTCCACAGCGTTCACGCAATCTGGAGCTGGGCACCATTTTAGCGCATTCTTGTCCTCGACATAGGTCCGTGTAAGCAATTCGTGGTATCTGTTGTTTAAATCCGATGCCACGAGGAGGTCCATTGACTTCGAATCCATAATCCGCTTGCATCCGTCCTGTGGACACTGGATATGAGCAGCCTCGCCCTCTTCCTTGATCTTCTGTGACAAATATTGTCTATAGCAATCGACACAGTATCTGTGGCCACACTTCATGGCAAATGTCAAGAGCCCCGCTTCGTCCTCGCAGCATATATCGCAAACGAAGCCAGGAATGACTTGTAGTGTAGGCGGCCCTTCGGTGCTAGGCCCTAGCCCAGCCTCCTCCAGGACCTTCTTCGGTCTATCCATATACTCCTCGATCAACCTTTCCTTGTTCCATCGAAAGTGTCGTAATATGATTGCGGCATCCTCCTTCTTTAAGTCGAGAATCATATTAACCTCATCGATTAACTCATCCTGCTGCTTCTGTATATCATCCGGATGGTAAACTTTATATGTAACTTCGAACGGTCTCCTCTTCTCTCTTGAAAACTCTTTCTGCGAGATTTCTAGATCAGGCTCCGGCTCATCGAATCCGAAATCTGTGCCGCACACCTATGTCAGCCTCGTTTCTTCAGCAAACACCAACGTCAACGTCAACAACTCACCATCTCCCGACTCATTGTCCGACTCATCTTGCAGAATATCATCCTCGCTCGACATCCCAGACATGTATTCGTCCGAGTCCGCCATGCTCGTCGTAGTCGCCGGTGGTGAAAGGGCGGAAGCAATACTCTTGCTGGGTGGTAAACTATATGTGATCGAGGACGATAACGCTTCCGCCGCTTTTCGCTTTCTCGTCAGGGGTGAAATGGTGAAGTTTTGGTCGGGAAGTGAGTGGTTTGGTGGTCCAAAGTGGCAACCAAGTCCATCAAGCTCTCGGATCGATCCAACAGAGAGGGGTCGGATTGGTGCACGTGAGGATGACTCAGTACCGGCGTTGTGCACGAGAAAGCTGTTGAAGGGAGCAAGTGAGTCCTTGGTGAGGATTATTATTGTATGATCTTTAAAAGTTGACGTGGTGCACTGCAGACGTGGCGGCTCTTGTTCGTATCAGCCTTGAATTCAACGGAGTGACGCCCAAGGCTTTATCGGCGATCACCCATCAACTGCAATCGGACCCTACTACCACGTGATTACGTGTCACGAGTTATCATGGGTGAGACGGGGCAGGGGCCGATCTTGGCATCGTCATGTCATTTCTTGCACTTTCTGCCTGAGGTAAACTAGTGTCTTCCCCAACGATCCAGATAAGGGATAAGGGACCATGCATATGCAGATACGGTAATACTGAAATTGAACCTGATGGAATCCCTCCTTAATTTGATTTCTGAGAACTGGCTTATTAAAAAGGCCGCACTGATAATTACAGCCCTAAGTGATTAAGAACCTTAATTGTATTCATAGTTACTGTAAACTCTTAAAGCAACAATGGGCTCGCTCTACTAATTATTCCCAAACTCCAGCGCTTCTTCAGTCTCTTCTCGAATCTCTCCTCGTACATCTTTTCGAACCTCGTCTCGAACTTCCTCTCGAACTTCCTCTCGAACTTCCTCTCGAACTTCCTCTCGAACTTCCTCTCGAACTTCCTCTCGAACTTCTTCTCGAGACTTCGTAATGTCCATAACGAATTTGATGAACCGGTCACCGTAAGGAACTGGTGGTATCGGGGATATTTGTTGCTTATCATGAGAAAGTCCTTTCCAGAAATTCTCAAGTCTCTTGACGGTTCCGTACTGCATTTATATTAGCCACAGTCAAGACATGTTGGGAGTGAGTGACTTACGTGGGTGAGCAAATCAATGATGCCCAGATAATATATTTCCTCCCCAGGCGTATTATCCTCGTGTGTGGCCCTAAAGCCCCCATCGTCGCTATAGAACGTAAAGTCTCGTTTACTTGTGTTCTCTTCCATCTGTTCTGGCATTCTGGTGGTTGATTCGCCCATAGGAATGGGCTTCTCGTGTTTGATGATCTTTCGCAATTCATGCGCCTTTCTAGCAGTCTCCAATTTCGAGGGCGTTCTCGTCAAGATAGGATTAGAAGGTAGAATATCGTCCGGCGATGTGTCTCCTCCCGGCTGGAACACCCTGAGCGTCTTATCTCGAAGATTCTCCTGGTTGCCTTTCCCCAAGTCATGTATACCCACAAGCATTGAATAGTCCATAATTTTGAGCTTCTGCAGGAGGTGTACATCCTGCTCCATCTGTTCCAAAAAGATGTTCTTCTTTTCTGGTCCGAATTCGAGGTGGTAATTCCTCCTGAGCCAGTTGAGGTCCTTCAGGGTTGCTCTTGGGTTGTTTACAACATTCTCTTCCTTGTAGTCTCGCCCGATAGTGGAACCTTTCAAGTCAAACGTTTGATGGATGTCCCTATGCGGTGGGAATAGGTTGTTCATGACGACAAAGTGGATTTTACCTCCATATGGCACCTTCACTCTATGCAAGCCGTAGAATTGCGACAAGAGGGTGTTAGGATTCTGCACGACGTGTTGGTAATAGTCCTTGAGGATTTTGCGAAGGAGTTTGTGTTCGGCATGGTGTATGGTTTTGATGATGTACTTGTAATCTCGAGAGAAGTAGAAGAAGCTGCCACTTTTGCCTGGTGATCCGAGTTCTGACAAGATGTACTTGCTTGTCAACGACATGAGATAGTCGGCAGGGTCAATTTTGAAAGTGGCTCGTAGACGTCGGAATATCCATGGTGCATAATCCTTGAATTTGAAATCATACTTTGCCGATGGAGTTAACTCATTACCAGTTCTAGTTCCGGTCAGCTTTCATCCAGGTATATAATGCAGCAATAATAGCTTAGACTTACATGTCAAAGGAAAACTTATGGCGTGCAGTAAAGTCAGCGTCCGTTAGGTCCCTATCCAACTTCGCGTTCGTCCTTGACACAGTAAATCGGATGCCAGTTAACATATTGTATGCTGTGACCCAATTGACATGGTTCTGGTCAACCTTCGTCCCCACAACCACTCTATCCTCGTCTTCTTCATCTCTTCGCTTCCGTTTACTCGCTCTCTTCTGTCGTATTGCTTCTGCCCACCTGAGGGCATCTTCGTCCTGCGCTATATCTTCATGTGGTATATTGGAATGAATGCTTTGGGTATTGCGTCTATTGATGGTGAGAGAACCTCGGCGCATGTTTGACGCGGCTATAGGAGAGAATCGACCAGTCGCCAGTGCAGTTCCATCATCTGTGGATGCACGTAGCACTCGGTGTTTAAGCTGGGGCGGACCGGCAGCGTTCTGTGATGAACCCGACGGTCCAGCGGTGGGGGTCCTAGGATTGTAATCGGGGGAGAGTCGATGTATAGAAGGATTCTGGGCATTCTGGGTTGTCGGAGGCGAGTCGAGATGTTTCATGTTTCCAACCAAAGAACTGGAATAAGTGAGGGGCCCAGTACTTTGCGGATTATAGGATGAGGTAGGAGGGGGCAGCGGTTTATAGCTCTCGTTGTGCCCATTTGCAGCTTGCGATTCGTTGGCTTCGGGTGCAGTCGATTGGGGCTGTAATGGGTATCCATTTGCCAGGCCATACGAGTTCCTTTCTGCCGACAGAGATTTCAATGATCGATTATGTGGCTCCGGGCTCTTTCTTCCATTTTCAGGTATACCGGCCATGCCGACGTTGATAGATAGAGCGCCCGTGTTGCGAACCAGTCGATCCTCCCAACTATTCCTGGCTGGCCTCCCATTTGGCACCGCGTTCAGCCCCGTATCGGTGAACATCCCGCCGTTATCCGGGGGGGTGATCTCGTCATTCATGGAATTGAGGGAGTCGGTAGGAGTCCTAGGCGGTGTCGTCTCATAGTTCGTATGGACAGTCGCCTGTTGTAGTGGCCAATTCTTCAGGGCCGCATTCTCCTGCGATTGTCGGGTGTCGTTGAGGGTTTGAAAGAAGGGGTCATCCAGTGTCCTATTATTCAACTCATCGGAGTGGAATGATGGCATCTCGTTTGCACCGAATGGGATTGCAACGAGGCTAATCGAGGATCAAAGGTGTCGCTGCCGTGTCCACGGGTTGGCACGTAGGGCGATGGCTGTGGCCCTACAGTTGCCACCTGCCGTCCCCTTTGTGGCTCGTCAGCTGAGGGTAGAGAAGTCTTCAATCGATTGTCCCTCTCTCGTCCCTCGATATAACAATGCGTGGTCGTGATAACTTGGGGGTTATGAGGTTGTTGTCACTGCTGAGACCTTCGAACAAGTCGTCTAGCGTCGGTTGTGCGGGAACCTTGGCAAAACACAGCCACCCTTCGTTACTTCTGTCCTGACGATCGTTTCCGCAGATAGGTGCATAAGGACGCGAATCTTTCACTCGTGTGTCTCGATAACTTTGCTTTGACTAGATTATTGAAAGATGATAATTGTTGAGGGAAGCAAAGAAGCTACTGTTGTATTTGGTATATTAACATCTACCAATTCCATCGGGAAATTGAATGTCGTATTGACATGGTTCAGCCACACGACTTGGCCAAGGGGCCAATATATTGCAGCTGAAGAAAATCCAGTCACTCAAAGCACTAATGTGTGAATTACAATCCTGATAAACGCATGTTCTTCACTTAATTGATGCTTTACTTGTTTGCTACTGTTATGTACACCCCTTAGGACATCCCCCCTTTTGTAGTTGCTTGTGGGTGAGCTCCTTGCTTACGACAACACGCTGAAAGCGTCAAATATGTTGGTTTACCTAATTAATACATACTAGGGCTCTTTAAACTTGATGCGATCATCGTGTTACCATATATATAAAATCGTTGACCTATTTAATAGTGTAATTGTTACGGGTTATTAAAGTTGTGATATTAAATGTAGAATATTATATTCTGAATATATATGTAGATTATCTTTGCATGGGATTTAATCGTATTCGCATATATTATATACCAAACTTACGACCTCACTTTCTACTACTTACCAGTAGCACTCTAGAGGCTCTAATGATTGATTATGGCGATGCAACACGCATTTCACTCACATAAACACGACAAGCATCGGAGGAAGAAAGTCATGTAAAAACATAATATTAAAACTGATCAATAATCATCATTGCATCTGGTATAAGTACAAGCCACCCAGTAATAGCATCATCATCCCAGCCCACCACCTCGCGCCAAATTATAACCAGTAAAGCCCCCCATTGTCATAACCCTCAGAAATCCGGCGGTGCAGGATACAGAAAAATCCTCAACACAACCATTACCCATACGAGGTCGGGGATCCCTAGCTACAATAACGCGAAAAAACATGATCCTCCGTGCTTCCCTGGAGTTGCCCAACTCACACCTCATATCCCATGAATATGATAGCAGAAAACCCCATACAAGCATATCCCAACCGAATAAGTCCCGAATAATCAGACACAAGCGATATTAATCACCCTGCCGCGCTGAAACTCCCCAAACGCCACGAAGTCATTGATAGAAAGGGCCATTAAAACATGAACAATGTTCAAGTTCAAGCAGTGGCCTTCTTGGCAGCAGGCTTCTTGGGCGCTGCCTTCTTGGCGACGGGGGTCTTCGCAGTGGTCTTGGTTACGCGGCCGGACTTGGTCTTGCCGAGGACAGTTGGCTTCTCAACGATGGCTGGGACATCCTTCTTAGGAGCAGCCTTCTTGGCAGCTGGCTTCTTTGGCGCAGCCTTCTTTGGTGCGGCGGCCTTTGGCTTAGCGACAGTCTTCTTGGTGGCAGCGGCCTTTGGCTTGGCAGCGGTCTTTGGGGCAGCCTTCTTGGCAGGGGCGGTGGCCTTCTTTGCGGCTGGCTTAGCAGCAGGCTTTGGCTCCTTCTTGGCAAGCTTGGTTCCGCCAGACGATCCTGAAAACATGTTAGTTGAGTTGATCGAGGGAAGTATTAGCCGGGGTAGGTTAAAGGTAAATAGGCCAAAGTAATTACGCACGTCACCAGGTAACAATGCGATATCACGTGGCGAATGGGGAGGCGGGAATAGGACGCGACATCAATAGTGGCGAATTTTGTTAAAACTTACCCTTTGGCTGGTTGAACTCTCCCTTCTCGACACCAGACTTCAACGCCTTGTTGAAGAGCGAGTCGAACATCTTGTCGGTGGCATTGATGTTGTTGTTGGCCTTGACGTACTTCTTCAGGGCAACACGGCTGAAGGAAGGAGCGTTAGCAATCGTTCTCACGTACGCGACGGTAATGCAGAAAACAAAACACGACGCGCAAAAATCAAAGGAGCCAAAAACTAACCTGCTACCATTTCTCTCCTTAAGCTGTATTGAAAAGACGCGTCAGCACATATTCGCGGCATGGTTGGTGTTGTGGTTTCATCGGTCGCAATGCGACTCGATGTCAACAAGCGAGAACGCGCGGACGCGATGCGCCGGATAACTTACGTTGATGATGGCATCCTTAATCATATCCTAAAATCGTAGACCGTCAGTATGAGTAAATGGAGAATGCAATGTGATATTGCGATTATAAAATAGTGTTGTGGTTGGGGAATAGATATAACATACCTGGTATGAGTGACCAGCGGAAGTGGACTTCTTCCCGGCACCAGATTCGGTCTTCTTTGGAGGCATGTTGATGATGGTATGAACGTCAGTTTAAAAGTATTGAGTGTAGTAAAGGATTATCTGAAGATCCAAAGGAACCTTTGATGGGAATTGTCGGTATAATTGTGGATGTGGGGGTTGGTTGTGTACGGGTTTCGAAAAGTTCTCAACATGGAAGTGGGCAGGGCGGCAATTTATATGTTCTTCCCTCGCGAAAGTCTATCGACAGCAGATTCACAGATCACCTCGACGGATATATCGCGCTAACCCGCTTTGGGCCAGAAGTTAGCACCCTTCAAGGCCAAACAACACCAATATCAGCCAATCAGAGCCGAATACAGCCTTCCGCCGCTACAGATCACGCGGTAATTCCAACCGTGGCGTGGTTCAATCCTCGACGTCCCCTCCTCAATTTTGCCCACCCGCTCTCACCCACCACAGTCGGCTTTGGCATCGCCCACATTTTGGCATTTGTTGCGGATGGGAGAGAATCATCGTCAGATCGTGAATGCCATTTTAAAGACTCCGTGAATGTGTTGTGCGAAGCCCATATCTTTCCCAGAGCGATTCCCATTGATGCGCGTCTTCTAAGCCGCGATATGATAAAATGTGATAACTCCACGAGGCTGTGGAGGGGTTTGGCAGTCTGTCCAGCTCCACGACTTCGAACAGTTCAACGCTCAACGCCCAGTAAACGGCCCAGTGATTCCCTTTTCATTGTATACTGCATCAGAACCTTTTCTTGAGGTCTTGCGATGAATTTAGACGAGTTTTTATGATGTCCTCGCTCGACGTGGTTGCGTTATCACAAAAGGGGATCTATGGTCGAAAATGAAGCAATTGTTGGAGCCTCTGAGATCGTGCTTCCATTCGGGCGCATTCAAACCACCAACCACACAACCATCCGATAAGTCCCAAAAATCATCGCAAATAACTAGTGAGTGTCTATTTCATACATTGCCGTTACAAAGAGAACATATATTACCTATACGTGCCGTCTACACTGCAGACAAAGTCTCGCTCTCTTTGATCGTGTCGCGATGTGGCCTCGTCTGGTTACCGATGGACAACTCTTCATGTCCCACCACCAAACATTCTCTATTCATTACAAAAAGCAAGGAATACTATTCTATTACCAGTCATAACTATTTCAAGTGAATTTTGGCATATTGTATGAGGGCTAAGACTTCTTCTATTCCATTCACTACAGTTGTCGTTTCTTTGGTCGCATTACTACATCGTGATTCGCGTCACTCATACCATCAACAGAATCTGCACATTCTTTTCAGAGACTTTAGAATAAACTACAGTTTGATAGTGTCTGCTGAATGAATACATTTGAAAGGATGTATCTACTTAATATCCTGCTATTCCCCCCTCTCCTTTTATTTTAGTTGGGAGTGGGTGTTCGTCGTTATCTCTCATGTTACAAATACAACGTTAATGATGGCGATGAAGATGAAGATGACGACGCCCTTGAACTCCAGGCACACGCGATGCCATTCCAATTGTTGGTTTCTGTCTTGCAATTGCTTATAAATATACCACCACGAGATACAAACACGATGCTTCTTGTCACAATGTCGACGAGACAACTGCGTTGGCAACGATCTATCTCACCGACTGCTACGACTGGTATCCCCAACTCCCAACGTTTCAAAAGCACTGGACAGCCTCTAGTTCTATTGCTATCTTCTTGAAAAGTTCGCAATAAATGTATTATTATTTCCTTGGTTCCTTGACTGGGATAGTGCAGAAGACTTCCACGAGTAACTTCTAGGAGTAACTCCCAAACCAAGTCTCAGCCTAGTTCTTCCCTCTCAGGCTCTAAAGATGGAGGTGCGGAATCTCTACATGCATTAGTATTTATAACTTACTTAAAAACTCAATACGATTCCTTTGAAAAAAGCAATCATCACACAAATCCTTCGGAAAATCACATTACTTGGCGCTGTGCCTCATAAACAAGTAGTATCGTCATCCATCAACAGATTCATCAAAAATGTCATCCATTTAGCAGTATATGCTCATATGAAGCCTAAAGCCTTCCTACTCAAAGAGCCTAGTTAATATACCACACCCACCCCCCCCGTTCGCCACCAACGCCAAAAGCAAACCATTTACCAACCGCCATCCCATGCAATGCAAATACCAAACCCTGTATCACCCCCCCCCTTCCCGGCATCGACTCGCGTCAACAAGTGTTTGACGAACCGCCTAAGAGTTCATCTTCGGCTTCGCCTTACTCGCCTTACTAGACTTCTTATCCTCCTTCGCCTTCTTCCTCTTCTCCTCCGCTTTCTCCTCATTCTTCCTCTTTAGGTTCTTGATCTCCGCCTCCGTCTTAGGGATCGGCTTGAAGAAACCCTCTAGTCTCGCCTGCTGGCTCGACTTCAGGTTCTTCTGGAGCTTCGCGATCCCGCCACGGACTCTCTCTTCGGAAAATGCGTTTTCGACGACGAGGAATTTGATGAGCCCTTCGACGTCGGGCTGCTCCCACTTGAAGTCACACTCTGCGTGGTCTGCGGGCCGCACGTCGGGGTTGAAGAAGAGCTCGCGCGCGTCGGCGTACGGCCAGTCTTCGGGGATGGTATATTTGTTCTTACCATCGTTGTTTATCCACTCGACAACCTTCTCGAGGGATCCGTGTTCACGAATCATTTTGAGGGCCGTGTTGGGACCGATCTTGGGGATGGGATCGAGGTAATCGCAACCAAGAAGGATGCAGAGATCGACAAACTGGACGATAGGTCAGTATTCGAGGGCTAAAGGAGCTAGAGGTGGATAGAGAGTGGTAGTACCTGCTTGCGGTCCATGCCCAGACCTTCGAGGACCTTGTCGACGTGGATTTCTTGGATAGGCTCCTTCCGCGCCTCGCTGAAAGTAAGATGGCGGATGAGGATCGGCGAGTCAAAGCACAGCGTGTCCATATCCTCACTTGCAGCAGCATACACCTTCCCAGCCCGCGCCAGCACCGCACACTGCGCCTCTGCCTCAGTTGGCGCAATGATATATGGGATGCCCATCAGCTTAAGGAGCTGTTGGCACTCCGCATTATGCTGTCTAGACACCCTAACCGTGCGCCTAGAAAACTTCTCCACATCCTCAGCTGTCCCCGTTTCCTTCGCCTCTTCGAGTCCCTCGGTCGCTTCTGCCTTGCGAGCGAATCGTTTGGCGAGTTCGCCGGACTTGAGTTTTGGTGGTGCGCCATCGAAGACGTAGACGGGTTTGATTCCGTTGTCGACGATGCGGAGGGTGCGGTAGAACATGCCTAGGAGATGGGAGGTGGTTTCTCCGGACTCGTTCATCAGTTGCTGGCCCTCTGAGCGGACGGCGATGAGGAAGGAGTAGATTGACATGGAGCTGTAGTCGGGTATGAGGTTAGACTTAATCGACGAGAGAAAACACGGGTTGCCTACGCATCCTGTAGAATGTTAGCTAGTGCAAGATGTGAGAGATTGAGCAAGCCGTACAATTGCCACTTTCCGCCCGAATTGGTTTTTGATCTCGCCCTCCTTGATGGCCTGAGGGGCTTCATCGCGGATGATCGAGAAGAGCTGCTTAATACCCATGGTGACGTTGCCTCTGGGTAGGACGTTAAGTGTCTTTGCGCCGTAAATTTCAGCAATAAGCTTGTCGGGTTTCGAGGTCTGGGAGGGCGTTTTTTGTGCAGAGAAATTTATTTGACCTCGAGATCTTTTGGATGCGCGTCCCACGTTAATGACGTTCAGACGCGATAGGTTAACGCGACGAACATTATCTGTAGGCACCCCTGCTTAATTAGCTATGCCTGAGGCATCGAATCAACTCGAAGTGTGGGGGAGAGTTGGAGTGGACAATCGGCCTTTGAGGATTCTCAAAGGCCGTTTTATGTTCAAGCTGATCTGACGAGGGTAACAACCCATGAATTAGGTACAGCATAATTAATATATACGTTTTAGCAAACTCTATTACATTATATTAGACCGATAGTAAAACATCGGGTGAAGTCGAGTGATATTAACCTCTCGCCGAGGTACAGATTAGTGTTTCTTGCGGTGGTCACTGCCGAGAGGCCTCCCCCACTAAGCCGCCAACCCGCCAACCCACTAACCCCCAACAGCCAACGAACTAAAACCCACCTCCGCTCCCTCGCACCTCCCATCTCCCGTCTCCCTCCCCACGAACACGAACGGCCACTAGCATCAATAACCGCTGCTAGCCAGGAGTCGAAGCCCAGGGATATATAAGTAAAGACAACCTACCTGTGCTGTTAATATATTTCATATTACAGCTCCTCAGCTTACAAGATGTTCAAGCCCCTTGTCCGATTCTCTGGAAAGCAATTGGCGGCTGCTTCGCGGCCGTCAGTTAGAGCCTATGCTGCTGCCGCAGCTGCTCCAAAATACCAATGGACTGATCCACTAGGCTCCCAGAACCTCCTCACCGAGGAGGAATTGGCAGTTTCGGAGACGGCAGAGTCATATTGCCAGGAGCAATTGATGCCCAGGGTCCTTCGTAAGTGCTGTAGCTTTCCTGGAACCAAGCGTCCATAGCTAACTCCCTGACAGAAGCATATCGCAATGAGGACTTCGACAGGAACATTTTACAAGAGATGGGAGAGCTTGGCCTGCTTGGATCCACTATCCAGGGCTACGACTGCGCCGGCGTGTCCAGCGTCGCGTCTGGACTTATCACAAGGGCAGTGGAGCGAGTGGACAGTGGATACAGGTCGGCAATGTCTGTCCAGTCATCCCTAGTTATGGGACCTATATACGAGCACGGAACACAAGAGCTGAAGGATAAATTCCTCCCGTCACTGGCGAAGGGGAAGTGGGTTGGTGCATTTGGCTTGACAGAGCCAAACCATGGCAGTGACCCAGGATCCATGGAGACTGTCGCGAAGCCGCATCCAACGAAGAAGGGATACTATTCGCTTTCAGGATCGAAGACGTGGATCAGCAACTCGCCAATCGCTGACGTATTCATTATCTGGGCCAAGCTTCAGGAGACGGGTAAGATCAGAGGGTTCGTTGTTGAGAGATCCCAATGCCCCGCTGGTACTTTGGAGACGCCGGCAATCAAGAACAAGAACGGCCTGAGAGCATCGATAACGGGTATGATTCAACTCGATAACTGCCCAGTGCCACAAGAAAACATGTTCCCTGAGGTCGAAGGGTTAAGAGGTCCGTTTTCTTGCCTGAATAGTGCGCGATATGGCATAGCGTGGGGAGTGATGGGGGCCTTGGAGGACTGCATCGATAGAGCGAGGACATACTCCCTCGAGAGGACGCAATTCAAGGGCAATCCGCTTGCCAAATACCAGCTCATCCAGAAGAAGCTCGCAGATGCCTCGACTGATGCTGCCTTTGGTATCCTGGCAAGTATCCAGGTTGGTAGGCTAAAGGACGAAGGCAAGGCGGCGCCAGAGATGATCAGTATGATCAAGAGACAGAACTGCGACCGTGCTCTGGCAAATTCTAGGACTCTGCAAGAAATCTTGGGTGGCAATGCCGCCAGCGATGAATACCATATTGGGAGGCACGTGGCCAACCTCTTTGTGACTCAAACATATGAAGGGCAAAGCGACATTCATGGTAAGCTGACAAATCCGATTATAGATTCCGTGGAGATTTTACTGACAATTGCCACAGCCCTGATTCTCGGAAGAGCCATCACGGGTGTTCAAGCATTTGCATAGGAAAAATATGTAGATAAACCCCCAATAATTTGCTAATATCCCGATTTCCTGTACTGTAACTTATGTTGCCAGGCTGCGGGACATCTGAGGGGCTAGTTCCCTCGTGACCAATATTACCCTATTCGGTTGCCGGCCAGACAGTCAAAAGGATGTATTAATCTCTCGTGGTGCAGGACATTATGTACGATAGATAAAAAGGCACAGATTCGTAAGGCTGATGAAACCTTTGCCGTGGATTGAATAATCACTTTAATAACTAGGTAAGTGAATTTTAATAGTAGGCCGTAGATCCATGTAGAAAGTAAATCATTCGACGGCGACCTATAGGCGCCGATTGTTGGATCGGGAGGCGTGAGGCGAGCCTGGACGCTAAATCCGTTTTCTCTCTGTTGGCAAGCCGCCCATTCTTCGGCTCCGACAACATCACCGCAACTTCCCCTATACCAACTCATCACATCTCGAGGTACTTCTTGTCACCTCAACAATATCATCGTGAATCTTGCGATTCCCATAAATCCATAGGTACGCCATGTCAGCCTGAGCTCAGCCTTATTTCATTGCCTCAGCTCCCTCTCGCCTTTTCGACGCTAACCGCCATAGCCTGAATCGTTTCCCGCTCACAGTCCTACTTCCTCGTCACCACGACACTGAACGAACACCCTCATAGTCTCACACAAAAGTCGTCATGGCGCTCAAGAGAATTAACAAGGAACTGAGCGATCTCGGCCGGTATGTGCATCACATCGTGAATGTCTACTTTATCCTTTTAGCCCCTGCGGGGCCGTCGGCCCAAACGCGGGGTCGTCAAATGGACATCGTGGATACCACCAACAATCGTCTTGACACCGAACTCTGGCTTACATTTGTGTTACAGTGATCCCCCGTCCTCGTGCTCGGCTGGACCTATTGGAGATGATTTGGTTTGTGCCCATCTATCTCGATTCTTACGACCGTTGGCCCCTGGCCCGCTATCTTCACGGAGACATGCGCCGATTTGGTCATCAAAATTGAAGAATTCGAACTGACTTAAATCTATCAATAGTTCCACTGGCAGGCAACTATTATGGGACCTGTAAGTATATTCCAATCGAAATTCTTGCGAAACTGCCTGCGTCGATATACCACGGCCAGACCTAAATCTGGTCGAGATGCATCAGGCGATGACGAGATCTGTAACTAACGCAATAAACAGTCCGATTCGCCATACTCCGGAGGTGTATTCTTCTTAGCCATCCACTTCCCAACAGACTACCCATTCAAGCCTCCGAAGGTCAACTTCACAACCCGCATCTACCACCCTAATATCAACTCCAACGGCAGCATCTGTCTAGACATCCTCAGGGACCAATGGAGCCCGGCTCTTACCATCTCCAAAGGTATGATTTGACACGCAGCATATAGCTATTGGCATAATACTGACAGCTTCAGTTCTGCTTTCCATCTGCTCCATGTTGACGGACCCCAACCCGGATGACCCACTTGTCCCAGAGATCGCACACGTCTACAAGACCGATCGTGCCAGGTACGAGGCCACGGCAAGGGAGTGGACCCGCAAGTACGCTATCTAGATGGCTGATGGGGGATATTCTCTACTCGCGTTTATGGATTAGCTGGCGCAACTGTTCCTGTCAACACATTCGGTCTGGTTATGCATGCCTCTAGGGCAAGGAGTGAGCAAGTTGTGGACTTCAACGAAGACGGGTCGCGGTGGATGTTACGTTCAGTGATGGGATCAGGGAGGCTAAATGATCTTGCGCCGGCAGACTTTAATCTTCCAAATTCGCAATTAAAACATCACTGAACTTTATGGCCTGTTTGCAAGGGGGAGATTTCCGAGGAGTGTAACATGCCTGGGTACTGTGAGGTGTGCAAATGGGATGGTGGTATGTCGTTGAAGGGAAATGGTAGTGATTCGAGTTTAATATATTCGATATTATATCTCTTTTTTGTGATTCCTAATCGCTGTGACCCCTTGGCCTATACGACGGCTAGACCTTTAGTATGAAGCACCATACTCTTTGTAGTTTGAGCCGCAGATAAAATAATGAAGCAAATAGTCAATCTCAACCTAAACCTACCTCTACGCCCTGCAATAGCGGTGGACTACTCTCGTTTAAACCGTCTGCGATCCACTCCTCATATGGGATTAACCATGGGCGAGCTGGTGGAGCTCCGGCACCATCAACAGCACCTCTCCTATTGTAGACTCCGTCGACTCTCCTTTATCTGCCGGTCTAGGTCGTAACCTGTGGGGCCGTACCCTCCGGAAAACCCCAAGGCTTCTCCGAAGACGCTGACGATTGTCCCGGCCACACAGAGAGGCAACAAACCGGATGAACTACTAACACCAACAAGTGTTGCAGATAGGGTTGCAGATAGGGTTGCGAAAGACGTTAACAGTCTGGATTCCTGTCGGTGTTTTAGGGTCTTCAGCGGCTCACCAGTTGGCAAGGATAACAAGACCCGGCTTTGTGTGGATGTCGGCGATCTAGGCGTTGTCTGTATCAAGATCGTGTCACACCCATGTCACGAAACCGCACCTCAAACAAAACCCCCAGCCGCCGCCATGCAATCCTCCCTTGACCCCAAACGGGCCAATTGAAAGCTGCCCGCGCTACACATGAGCTTCGGCGAATTGTTGCACAGACGTAGCCAAGTGCTTGGGAATTCGCATCGCCGACGAAAAATAAGCTGATACGAGTGAGAGAACGCTCAAGCCCGTGGCACCGCCGCGACTGAGAGCTCGCGATAGTGGGCCTCTCAGCCTGTCAATGTGCCAGCGGCTTGTTGCAGATGCCCCGCTGAGCTCCCAGCTTCTCAGGCCCCACTGGGATGTGACCCTGAAGCGGCCATCTGGGCCATGGGAGCGAGGCACTGATGTTTCGACCATGGGAGTCGGCAGTGGCGCCGGTGCCGGTGCCGACTCCCTAATCTTGAGACGAGAAGGGCTGTGGATTACTACTTCCCGTACTAGTCCTTCTTAGAGGTAGGTCCTTTTTCATGTTGCGGGCGCATAAAGTGTCACATTCTTTCCTTGCTCGTTCAGTTCACTGTTTGCGTGCCTCTTTTTCTCCTCTTTGGCCTTGCCTGTAATCATTATATACAGTGGCGCCTAAGCAGGCTTCGTCGTTCATTTCTTCATAGGCTGGCCCCTACTTTGACAACCTAAACCAATCTCTCAGCTGGCTCTGACGACATTTTGTATATACTATAAACTCTAATACCGCATCTGGCACTCGAATTTCGATTAAGAAGAGAGGGATACAGGCGACCAGATAATTTAGGGGCATATCGAGCGAAGGCTCCAACACAGGAAGCGATGTCTAGAAACCCTTATGCTTTGGAGGAGGATAGGCCGTCCGAGAAATCACGATGGCCACCATTGACGAGGATGTTAATGTCTGGAGAGATAAATGCGGAGGCGAAGAGGCAATACAACTGGAAAGAGCAATATAACAAGTGGATGGTCAACGAAGGATACAGGCGATTGTATGTGTGTGCCCTATAGCCTTCGGACAAACTGCTAATATCATGATAGTTTCGTCTTCGTCTTTGCAGCCATCCACGCAATGGTCTTCGCCTTCGGTTTCATGAATTACCAATTGAAGGACAGTTTACAAAATGGGAGAGATACGTTTGGATTCACATACCCAATTGCCAGAGCAGCAGCTCTAGTCCTGCATTTCGACATTGCAGTGATCCTGTTCCCCGTCTGCAGAACACTTATATCACTGGCACGCAAAACGCCACTAAATGGCATTATCCAATTCGACAAGAATATTACCTTCCACAAGATGACGGCGTGGTCGATTGTCTTCTTTTCATGGGTGCATACAATAGCACATTGGAACAACTTCGCTCAGATAGCAGCAAAGAACAACCTCGGATTCGTTGGGTTCCTATTGGCGAACTTCGCGACAGGTCCAGGTTGGTCCGGATATGTCATGTTGACCGCCCTCATGGCTATGGCCATCACGTCGATAGAGAAGTATCGGAGGGCGAATTTTGAGCGTTTCTGGTACACGCATCATCTCTTCGTCGTCTTCTTCCTCTTCTGGTCTATCCACGGCGCGTTCTGCATGATCAAACCCGACTTCGCGCCATTCTGCGTGGCCATCGGCTCCTCTGCCATCGGCGTCTTCTGGCAATACTGGATGTACGGCGGATACATCTATCTTGCGGAACGAATTGCTCGCGAGATTCGTGGGAAACACAAGACGTACATCTCCAAGGTCGTCCAGCACCCTAGCAACGTCTGCGAGATTCAGATCAAGAAGGAACATACCAAGACCAGGGCAGGACAATACATCTTCTTCTGCTGCCCCGAGGTGAGCCTATGGCAGTACCACCCCTTCACCCTTACCAGCGCACCTGAAGAGGATTACATCTCCATCCACATCCGCATGGTCGGCGACTTCACCAAAGCCGTCGGCAAAGCCCTCGGCTGCGAAGTCGACCGACCCCGCGGCGGCGGCGCCAAAAAAGACGCCTCCCAAGTCGTAGGCGTCAACAAAAGCAGCCCCGACGCAATCTCCGTGGACCCCGCCCTCCGCCGCGTCCTACCCCGCGTCTACATCGACGGCCCCTTCGGCAGCGCTTCGGAAGACGTCTTCAAATACGAGACCGCCGTCCTGGTCGGCGCCGGCATCGGCGTCACACCCTTCGCGTCAATCCTCAAGAGCATCTGGTACCGCATGAACTACCCGCAGAAGAAGACGCGGTTGCGGAAAGTCTACTTCTTCTGGGTGTGTAGGGATGTTGGGAGTTTCGAGTGGTTTAGGAGCTTGTTGCTCGCGATTGAGGCACAGGATATGGATAATTATATTGAGATCCATACGTATCTTACCGCGAAGATTCAGGCGGATGATGCGACGAATATCATGATCAATGATGCGAATGCGGATCGTGATGCTATTACAGGGTTGAGGGCGCCGACGAATTTTGGGAGGCCGAATTGGGGGGCCGTGTTTCGGAGTATTAGGAAGATTCACAGTCCTGGCGCGAGGTATGTCCACATTATCCCTTACATTAATTACCCTATCCTAAGATCCTTGTACTAACATAAACATAGCGGCGTCTTCTTCTGCGGCCCAAAGAGCCTGGGCTCCTCGCTGCATGTCAAGTGTAATGAGTATTCCGACCCGGATTGGTCATACGTGTGGGGTAAGGAGAATTTCTAGATGTCCATATTCACCATCATTTATCATTCTGTAACCTGCTTGGGCATGTATCCTTTTCTTGTCCAGCCTTGAATTTGGGGCAGCGCTGCTGCTGTGGGACGAAATGAGCAATAGAATAGATACCACCATGAAGAGAAATATATACCCCTTTCAAGACAGTCGTGGTTCCGTGGATGTTGGGGACTTGATATCTGGTTGTGCTACGCAGCGGACAAGCGCCGGCTCACTTACCTCCCATACAGACAAAATTGAAAAAGTCATATGAAGAGCAAACTACGAAGAACATGATAACATTAATAGCAGAAACCTTTCCGCCCCCATCAATCACATACATCACTCATCACGTGTCTAACCTCAACCTTGATGGTTGCGAGACACTTAATCGTCGGTGTTCGCACCGACGATTACCTCATTCTTGGCAGCTTACCACAACTACTACTGCGTCATTTACCCGTCCCCTCATACGACAAAACTCAAGAGGGCCCTCTCTAACCCAACTCCATCTCAATTACAATTGCAGTTCCAATTATCAGACCAGACCCCAAATCCACAATCATGAAAGTCGCCTTCTTCAGCACTAAACACGTGAGCCTCCATTCCCATTCTATTCTCACAACCAAGACTGTATGTATGTGAGGGTTCCCATCGCTAACGCACCCCCCACCAGTATGACGAGGAAGCATTCAACAAAGTCAATGCAAGCCTCGGCTCTCCACTGGAGATAACATATCTCCAGCCCTCGCTGACCATCAAAACCGCCGCGTTGGCGAAGGGGCATAAAGCCGTTTCACTGTTCGTGAATGATACTGCTGATGCAGAGGTTGGCTCTCTCTCTCTCTCTCTCACGCGCTGTCTTGGGGGGGGGGGGCGAGATATTAATTGTGATCTGTCTGTAGGTTTTGAAAGCTTTGGCGGAGTTGGGGGTTGAGATTCTTGCACTGCGCGTAAGCCCCCCCAATTTCTTTTCACCAGACATCCGTCCGACGTCAGATGGCGGATGTCAGATGTTAGATGTCGGCGTCAACAAGTTATCATCCTAACACCCCCCCCCCCCAGTGCGCAGGCACAGACAACGTCGACCTCCCCACCGCCCGCACCCTCTCCATAACTACCCTCAACGTCCCCTCCTACTCCCCCCACGCCGTCGCCGAATTCACCATCGGGCTTCTCCTCACCTTGGTGCGCAAATACCACAAATCATTCAACCGCACGCGCGAGGGGAATTTCTCCCTCTCCGGGCTGGTGGGGTTCAATCTCCACGGTAAGACTGTTGGGATTATTGGGACGGGGCAGATCGGGTTGTTGGTTGGGAAGATTCTGAGTAGGGGGTTTGGATGCAATGTTATTGCGTATGACCTCTACCCTAACGAGGAGAAGGCACAGGAGTATGGGATTACCTATAAATCCCGTGATGAGGTTTTGAAAGAAGCAGACATCCTCACCCTCCACTGCCCGCGCACGCCGTCGTCACATCACCTGTTGAACAAAGAAACCCTCGCCCTAACCAAGCGCGGCGTCGTCATAATCAACACCTCCCGCGGCGGTCTCATCGACACCAAATCCCTCATCCGCTCCCTCAAGACCGGCCACATCGGCGCCCTCGGCCTCGACGTCTACGAGGGCGAAAAGGAGTATTTCTTCAAAGACGGGAGCGGGGGAGTCATCCAAGACGATGATCTCACGAGGTTGATGAGCTTTTATAATGTGGTTATTAGTGGACATCAGGCGTTCTTGAGTAAGGAGGCGCTGGAGGCGATTGCGAAGACGAGTGTGGGGGATGTAGTGAGGGTGGGGAGGGGGGAGGTGGTGGAGAGGAGGGTGGGTGGGGGGGATAAGTAGGGGGCGGGGAAGAGCTAGATGGGAGGAGCATCGTCGTCGATCTATCCTATAACGAAGGTCGTGGCCATACCGGCCATGTTGCCGACCCCACCAAAATCCAGGACTAAGCCGCCTCACCAAAACCCAACCACCACCACCACCATCCAACCCAACATTCTTCTTCTTCTCTCTTTAGATTCAATCTAGCTTAGCAATTAGCAACAGCTTCATAGAGGCCTAAAAGAACACCACAACCTACAATTGAGGAAATAGATGGAGAGAGCGGAGAAGAGCTATATGATGGCGATATAGATGGATTAGCATGGTAATGGTAGAACTATTTTCGATTTTTAGCAGTGGTGGTTTGGTGGTCTAGTCCTAGTTTTGGCGGGGTAGCCGGTATGGCCACGTAGCTGGTCGATACTCTGTAACCCGTAGTTATCCACAGCTCCATCCCATATCCACGGCCTGGTTATCGCCAAGTTGACCATTCCATCCTGCAACTTCCCATGTTGTACGCCAAGCTGTTCAATACCGGAGGGGTGTTCTTGGGTCCTAACCCAACTCAATCTGTTGGCTGAGGGTATTCCCACTTCCCAAACTCAATCTGTTGTCCGAGGGTATTCCCACTTCCCAAACCCACTCCATCATCATCACCGTCCCGTTACCCCCCTCCGATCATCACCCCGTTACCCCTCCGATCATCACCCCGTTACCCCTCCGATCATCACCGTCCCGTTACCCCTCAATCTCCATCCCAGACAACACGACTACCCCTCCCTTCAGCCTCCCAACCCCACCCCGAGGCATCGGGCCCTCTCACATCACACCCAGCACCCCGCATAAACCACCCACCCAGCCGCCTCCATCGGTGTGCCCGAAACCAGACGGGCAGCTACAGGATAGTAGATCATCTGGTAGATCATCTGCACTAGAGGACCCTGGGGGATGGGAACGTGGCTTTACGTCGTGCAGTGCAGCGTGCTCGGCAGATGTTGGGGAGAGCTTGTCCCGAGGCAGAATCGAGGAGGTGGTGAGCGGTATCGTCATCTCGAAACGGGGGGTAGGAAATAGCTCGCTGGCAAAGACTCGTGGTATAGCTTGGAACCCCTCTTCCCTTCGATGCTTCTCGAAGGAGGCTTGAGCGAACCCCTCATTTGACGGAGAGATAGAGCCAAGCCTACTGAGGGAGCCGAGGTGTCACCGAGGTTCGTCTTTTTTTGGATCTCACTGGAATCTCACTGGACGAGACTGGAAGATTGAGGTCTGTCTGGTCCACGTTTTGCTTTTCCCCGCACTGAAGTTTACGTTTACCACTATATTACTTGCTAGGAGTTGTGCAGTTATTATGCCATAGTATGAACTATAGTACTTGTTATTATGCCATAGTATGAACTGTAGTACTTGTTATTTGCAGGCCAAGACACCCGCCGACCTCTTCCAAGACTCTCCAAGATGATAGTCCCTACTAACGCTGGCGCTATTCACTCTTGGCTGTTGCTCGAGTGGGTGATGACCTATGCTCGCTCGTTGCAGTATGATGAGCACATTCATTCTACACCCAGTCCAGTCCAGTCAGTTGCCAGTCGCCAGTCTGCCATTCTTGGCCCCGTCCGAAGGTCCATGCAGGTGATGTGTGTTGTTACGTACTGTTGTGCTCATCTATACGCCTTATATTGTCCATCGAAGGATCTAAGGGGCAGGGATTCCGACTGGTTATCTTGCAAGGCGGATGTTTGTATCGAGACACCAGACAGACACGCTCTAGATGCCGCGAGGTTAAGATGAAAGAGAGACATGTAACCAAGACATTGCAAGGAGCTGACAAGTTTCAGCCCACTCCGGTTATCAATATCCACCACCCCTTACTCACAACTCTCTGCCGTGTATAAACTCACGGAAAGGGGCTAGAGGACTGGTGCGATTCGCCCTCTACTCCACTTGGAAAGAGCAAAACGACGACATGGACGACGACGATGCCAGGGGTGTGGACTAAGGGACTAAGGACCGTGACCCCCTCATTTTCGTGCTATATTGGCCACAATGCCGCCTCCACACCGTCTCCACACCCGTCTCCCGCCTCCACGCCTCGACGTCGCCACCTCCTGCCGCGACCATCGACCATCAGAAGAGTACAGACTTACGGCGGCACTCACTCTCCACATGCTTTTTCCACTTTCCACATACCTACTCTCCACCTTGTTGTCGCATTTTATTGTCATCCACTGCTACTAAGCTTCCAAGCTTCCAAGCTCCCAAGCTTCCAAGCTCTCAAGCTTCCAAGCTCTCAAGCACCCTCATTCGCATACAATCATCTATTCTGGTAACAGTTGGGATCGTCGCCCATGCCGTCTCCTCTGGGCGCCAAGCTCCCTCCCAATCCACTTTCTCCAGCTTCTACAGCTTTCTCCAGTCCCCTCCCCCAGTTTCCCTCAGTTCCCTTCCGTGTCATACGTGGAGCCCCCAGTACATGTACGTCCCCCTCCTTCTCCTCTCCTCTCCCATGCGCCGTACCTTCATAAGTAAAGGGTGATCTGCAGTCGTATTTCTCCTTTCCAATCTTTATCTCAATCCCCTTCTATCTCATTCCACTTGTCAAAAGTCTGACATCTTTCCAACTTCTTATCTCTCTGTCTGCCTTGGCACCCTCTCACCTCACACACCCGATATAGTTGACACTGCGACCTGCCAACCATGGGGCTCTTCTCCCGCGAAAAGAACGCCGGCGGTGCTGAGGTCGCCGCCCCAGATGTCGCCGACAGCCATGATGGAACGGCCGGCTCCGATATGGAGAAGACGAGCATCCACGACAAGCCCATCGTCGCCACCTCTCCAGGCTATGAGGACCCGCGCATCAGCTGCTTCACCTACAAAGAGCAGAGAAGAATCATACACCGCGTTGATCGCCGCCTCGTGCTCACCCTCGGCGCCATGTACTGCATCAGTTTGATGGACCGAACCAACTTGAGCGCCGCCAACATTGCTGGGTGAGTCCACGTCCAATCGACCTGCTGCGCTTTTGCGATGCATGCGCCAATGCTAACCTGCTGTCTTAGAATGAGCGTCGACCTCAAATTCAAAGCCACTGGCGTCGACAGATACAGTGTCATCACCCTCATCTTCTTCATCCCATACGTTATCTGCCAGCCGCCAGCAACGGTCATCATGCGAAAGATTGGCCCCCGCATCTTCCTCGCTGCCATCACAATCATCTGGGGCGGCATCATGATTGTAAGCTCTAGCATCCCGCCAATTGGCACCACCCGACCCACAAACTAACACACAAGGCAGGCCTTCGGATTCGTCAAGAACTGGACTGAGATGGTCGGACTGCGCGTCATCCTCGGTGTCCTCGAGGCAGGTTTCTTCCCGGGTTGCGTATACCTGATGTCGACATGGTACTCCCGCTTCGAGCTCCAGAAGCGCTACTCGGGCTTCTACCTGATCGGTTCCGGCGCATCTGCTTTCTCCGGTATCCTCGCATACGGCCTGATGCAAATGAACGGCCTAGCCGGACTCGCAGGATGGCGTTGGATCTTCATCGTAAGTCGCAACCCCCCCAATCTCCACCACACCTCCAACTAACCCCCCCCCAGATGGAAGGTGTCCTCACCTGCGTCCTTGGCGCCGTCGGCTACGTCCTCCTCGTCGACTTCCCCGACCAAGCCAAAGGCGCGCGCGGCTTCCTCAAAGACGCCGAAGTCGACTTCATCATTGCGCGCATCGAGCAAGACCGCGCCGACTCCGCCGCCCCCGCATTCAACCTCGGCCAATACCTCCGCCACGCCGGCGACCTCAAGGTCTGGGGCTTCGCCTCCCTCTTCGGCCTGTGCACCATCACCTCATACGCTATCGCCTACTTCCTCCCCGTCATCCTCGTGTACGGCATGGGCTTCTCTGTCGCGCAGGCGCAGTGCCTTGTTGCGCCGCCGTATGCCGTGGCCGGCGTGTCCATGCACATCCAAGCCATCTTCGCGGATAAGTTCCGCAACCGCTGCGGCTGCGTCATCATCAACGCGTGTTTCTGCCTCATCGGCCTCCCGATCCTGGGGTTCAGCACCAACAACGGCGCCCGATACTTCGGCGTCTTCCTCGCCACCATCGGCGCCAACGCCAATGTCCCCGCCATCATGACGTATCAGGCCAACAACATCCGCGGGCAGTGGAAGCGCGCCTTGTGCTCTGCTACGCTTGTTGGATTCGGCGGTATTGGAGGGATTATCGGATCCACGGTGTTTAGGGAGGCGGATAAGCCGAAGTACACCCCCGGGATCATGACGTGTATGATTGCGAATGGGCTTATCATCCTCATCACCCTGATGTTGACGCTGAAGTTCTGGAGGGCGAATAAGAGGGCTGAGGCGGGGGGGAAGATTATTGAGGGGCAGGTTGGTTTTAGATATACCCTTTAGTAGTCTCTCTTCTGCGAACGGCTCGGCTCGGTTGTTTGTTATAGTCGTTGCTAATTAGTTGTTTTCTGGTTAAATGAAGCGAAAGGAGGAGGAGGGGGCCGTAAGGAAGGAAGGGGAGGATATGACCATGAATTAACAGCTTTTAATGAACTTGATTAGTTTACTATAATAAGCTGTCATAAATCGGTGTGATCACTCAGCATATACCGAGGTAATGACTCTCTACCAAAGTCTCGGTCCAGATTGTCTTATCAAACGCGGTGCTTGGAGCTGCTACTGCAGTGTGCAACCCTCCCAGCATTCCAAGCGTGTATAAAAATTGTATTTCCGACAGAAAAATGGACAAACGGCACAGACAACCAAGCTCTTTTGCCCGCAGTTGGGTGCGCTGGGTGGAAATCTCTATGGTGGCTCTCTCTAGTTTATAGGGAAAGATATGGATAAAGCGGCACAGAAACGAACTTTATTCCTGCAGTTGACGTTGGGATGGTGGGGGGGCGGGCTTGAGCTCTAGCAGGGGGAGGACGGGCGGAGATGTAAATCGCCCATATTGTAGAGACGAGACTTGGTAATTCAACATGGAATCACTAATTTCAAAAAAACCATTCGAGTCTACCTCTGATTCCAAAACAGCATCACAGATCGCCTACCTATCTATTATCATAAAGAGATACCCAGTATACCCCCAACACCCGCTGGGGTAGCTAGTGTGGTTTGTACTTGGGAATAACCGTAGGATCTTCGCGTTTTGCCCGCTAGTAGTCGTATTTACGGGTGTATTTCGAATGGAGAGGGTCGTGCCGTCGTATGAAGTTTTGAACCCATTTTGTGCCAACCGTAAGTGTATTATCTTGATTCGTATGCGGCCGTTTTTAGAGGAGTAGATTCGCTATTTGCCGTATAGAAGTAGATCTAAGGAGTAGGCCTCGTTCGTCCATAGATAATATCCATTGAACAAGCGTTGTTTCCTTAGTAGCTGTGAGTTTTAGGTCTATTGGTTGAGACATGTTGATTAGAAGGAGGTTAAACGCGTTAGAATTGATGAGGGGGTGCGCAGCTTACTTGCGTGAGCAGCTTACTTATCGCGTACGTTATTAAGGAACTAGATCTGTTTTTTACCTTCCCTTCCCTTCCTTCCTTTTAGTAAAAGATATATTAAAGCCCCCCCCTCATCATGCATGGTTCCGAATAAAATGATATAAACACGAACCCCCTCTCTCCCCTCCAATATTTACAACCCAACCCCGCGGGGTTCTCAACTCAACCTACCCCGGCCGCCTAAAAACATGCGCCTCAGTATTCAGCACCCACTCATCCAAACTCACCACCCCCGGCTCACTATACAACAAGAAAAAATACTTCAGCGTCTCCGCCAACCAAAAACTCTCCATAGAATCCTGCTTATACCCTTTCCCCCTCTCGCGATTCACGCCGCTGAAGGCGCTGTGCCCGATGGAGGTGCGCGTGCTGTTGATGATGGATTCGAACATGCCCCAGCCCTTGGTGGGCCAGGCGGGGGAGCCGGTGATGCGGTGGAGGTAGAAGACGGATTCTATTGCTTCGGGGCTGATTTTTTCTCTCGTTAGCACTGCTACCCAACCCCAAACTAATGTACCAGCTAACTAACGGAAGCGGAAGGGGGGGGGTGGGAGAAGAAGAGGGGGGACGTACCGAAGGATATACTGATCACTCTCCACCTTCGCAAACCCGAGTGGCAAATTATTCCACTCCAACAGATCAGAAATAAACTCCTCATGACTGAGCGGTCTATTCGGATCCTCGCGCCCCTTCGGTAGGCTACGCTCATGGGGGTTCACCGGGACGCCTTCGGTGGCTGTTTTCGAGGGGGCGACGTATGGGATTTCCGGGAGTGCGCCGTCGGATGTGTGAGTGGTGGTGCTGTTGCTCGATATAGCGCGCTTGCGATTGATATTCGCAGCTGGTGGTGCGCTGCCACCGAGACTATAGCTGGTCGTCGTCTCATTGGCGCGGGGGACAACCGCATCCCCATCCCCTTCCGCCATAAGGGGTTTCTCCTTCGCCTCTGCCTCCAGCCTCGCCTTCTCCTCCTTCTCCTCCTTCACCTTCTTCTCTGCCATCTCCACCCTCACCCTCTCCATCCTCTCCTTCTCCTTCTCATACTCCTCAATCTCCCCCTCCCTTAGCGACCAGCGGGGATCAAGGTACTTATAATACCTCTCCTCATCCCACTCACACTCCAACGGATTCTCGCACGGCACCGCCCTAGCATCCTCCGGCATAACCCCGCTCTTCGTCGCCTCATACGCCCACACGCACCCATCAGCCAGGCGTTCCGCGATGGACAGATCATTGTCAATCCCGAAAAGCTTAGCGCCCATCCCCACCATTCCCCCGATGAAGCACGTCAGGTGCGTGACCTCGTAGATCATCTCGTGGTTCCGGCCGTCGGGGAGGTAGGGGTTAATCTGCACTTTCCCCGAGAAGAGCACATTGCGGCCCCCCGGGATTAAGGGGCGGTAGAGGAGGTGCGTGCGAATCGCGTCCATGGTGCTGGTGTACAGCGTGCGATAGGTGCTGTCGAGTCCGCCGAGGAGGAGGTGCATTTTCGAGAAGTACTCGTAAGTCGAGTCTTGGCCGCCGCACATGGAGAAGCTTTGCCGTGCTGGGCCCGGCATGAGGCCTTGGGGGCGGCAGAGTTCGTCTTCGGTGAAGGTGCGTCTGGGGACTAGTTTCTCTGTTGCGTTTTGGGATGGGATAGCAGCGGGCGTTTCCGCCGGTGGTACGAAAGTCGCGTTGCAGCCGGAGGCATCGACGCTGTCGGGGAAGATGCCCTTGATCTCCGTCCCGCGCTCTTGCCACTCAACGAGTGCGTTTGTGATGCGCGCGACGGCATCGTAGTATTTGTGCTCCCCTGTGAGCTGCGCCAGACGCGTGAATTCCAGTGTCAAGGATCCCAGTTCCGCGAAATTGGAATTCCCAGCCGCTCGGTGGCGTTCCGAAGCACTGTGTGGCTGCCACGCATAATATAGCACTGGCATTCTGTTTGGCGTATCGAAGGTACTCATTAAGATCTCTCCCAGCTCCGTAGCCTTCGTCAGAAGCACGGGGTACTTCGCATCACTAATATCATACGCCGCTAACAACCCCCCCAGGTATCGAATAGTCGTCTCGAACACGGGAATAGACGTCTTAGTCGACGTCGTGAAATCAATCTTCTCAACCGTCTCAAGCGCCTCCTCAAACTCGTCCTTCAACCCCATGATCCAGAGCGTATCCAACGAATCGACTATCGTCGCCGCCCACCCGCAAAACGGGTCACGAAACCCCCCATTCACAGGCCCAACCTCATCGTGTCCCCACGCATGTTTCTTATAACCCTGCCACGCGTGCAGAAACTCGTCGCGGACCAGATCTCTCCGCTCCTCGCGCAGGGATCTCGCCTCTGCGGACTCGGCGGGGAAGTCGAACTGGATCCGTGGCATCTTCTTGGGCGTGCCGGTGGGGAGATGGATCAGGTCTTCTGGGGCGATGGGGTAGTGCTCTGTGGGCTTCTGCCAGTGTATGGTTTTCTTTTGTCCGTCCTCGTCGTCTGTGTCGTCGTAGGTGATAGCGGCGGGGGTTGGGGGCGTTATTGGCGTCGGGGGTGCTGTCTGTATAGCCGCCAATGCTTCGCTGGTGCTTGGTTCTGGTTCGATAACGGGGTCGCCATTTGCAATGACCGGAGTATTCTGTGCCAGCGGCGCCTTCGTCGAGGTTGGTTCAAGGTCGACGATTGGCACGCCACTCGCAACGACCTGCGTATTCTCCGCCAGCAATGGCTTCGCTGAAGTTGGCTGAACCGCAGTAACAGGTAGCGCATCCGCTGAATATGCAATCCGCTGAATATCAACCACCGGCCTCACAGGGTCCCTTCCCTCCGCACCATTCCGGTCCCCATTCTGCTCCGACGATTTCCCAGCGTCGCCATACGACGAGGTACCGAACGACTTCGTCGCCGCCTGCCCCTCCGGTTGCGTCTGCCAGATATTGTAGAACGTAAAAACGACAATCGCCGCAAAGACTAGAAACACCCTGTATCGTCGGATTCGAAGCATTGTGTCCCGTTCAGCTCCGAGGGGGAGTCGGGTGGTCGTACGAAGGGTCGCGTGGGGTGAGGGCCCTTGTACTCTTGTACTGGATGTACAGCACGGACTGACTGAACCAAACACTTTTTCACTGCTCCATTATTATAATATCTCCATCGACGACGGCGGCGGTGACTATACAAACAACGAACAGTGTCTCGCACAAAGCCAAGCCAAAGCCATTGTGGAGAGAGCTTACATTCTGGCAAACCATCTTATCTTTATTAAATTGTATGTAATTGCCTATAAATCCCAAAGGCCTTCTTCAAATGCAAATCAATGCCCCGCTATGCGCAATCTCCATTTCGGAAACCCGATCATCCGTCATCATGACTCGTCGAAGCCTCCCTCAACTTGCATGCTCAACAGGACAACCCCCCGATATCTTATCCCTCAACAACCTCGCATGCGTAACCTTGGCTCCAACGCTATGATTCTGTACAAATTGGCCATCTTCATCCAAGTCCACCGACGGTGGCGTTGACGGCCGCGAAGGATGTGTGTATTCGAGGAGATGACTGAGATGGAACACATGCCCGCATGCGAATCCCACTAGCGTCTCCTGCTCGCCTTCCGTGAATGGCTCACCGCAGCCAACGCAGTGGCCGCCTGGACGGATTGGTTTCTGAGCGCGCACGGCTGTTACGTTGTCATTATCCTTGTCGCCGTTATCCGCGGGGCGTGCTGCTACGTCGACGGGAGCCACGTCAATGTGATCCTCGGCTTTAACCACAACATCGAACTTGACACCCTTTCGTTGTCCTGAACGGAGTGTATTCTGTACAGTAGCCACTTCGCCACGGAGGACACGGGCAACGCCTGAGCTGATGCTGTGCTGGATTTCGTATTCTTTAATCATGCGACTCAGGCCGTCTCTGAGACCGTCGATTTCTAGACCTTCAGGGATGCGGCGGACAAGAGTGATGGGGTCGATTGCTGTTCCAACTTCTTCTAAGAGGCCACGAATGAAGCGCGGCTTGTCCATTGAGTAGTCGAGGAGATCTTCCCACAGGTCTTTATCAGCTTGCTCCTTTGCGAAGTTAATTGCTTGCGAGACATCTGCGAGCTGATCTATGATGAGGAAAAGGGCGCGTTTCGTTTGCCCAGTCTTGGAGTAGAGGTAGACAAGTTCTGGTATGTAGTCTCGTTCCTCGCATACTTGGGTTGCCTGGAGATGGTTAGTAACGTTGAATAAATCGGAGAAGAGAGGGAGTACGAACCTTCTCAAAAGTATAAGATGTAGAGCTCTTGAGAAACTCCATTAACAAGGCCCGATCATACGATGCAAAGGCCTGTACGGCGACATCGGCAAACTGTTCCACATGAGCTCTGCTCTCAACCAACATCCTCTCTCGCACTTCGGCGGATTTATCATCTTGACTATCGCCATTCCACAGTGCTCTGATGTAGAAGAATAGATATAAGGGCATATCCTTATCTTGTAGCTGGGTGATAACAGACTCTGGCCGTACCAGTCCACGCTGCGCTTCGTCCACGAGAAGAGTGATGACATCCGCAGTTGCCTCTTCTAATTCCTTCCTCGAAGCGGATTTGATCTGCTCCTTTGACACGCGGATTAAGACCAGACCAGGAATATCCCCGGCAACGGCATCAATCAGATGGTAATCTTTGATAAGTGTCATGGCCGTATCAGCATCTTGTAATTGCATATAGCACTTCAAAGCATCTTTGGGTCTGCCATCGGCAAGATACAGCTTTCCCAGACACTCCTTTACTATGCGCCAATCCCGTCCCATTTCCCCGTCTTCGACAGAATCTTCTCGGACCTCGCGGTACTTTAGCTGATTCTCAAGCGCTGTGGTGACGGTTCTGATCCCGAACAACTCTGGTGGCCAAACATCAAGTAATTCTTTGAGTCGGAGTCGATCTGTTGCAATGTAATGCCCGAGAACGACCTCGTAGATTGTAGACGGTAAGGGAGGTTGCAATTGCGTTGTGGGTATGTAATTTGCAATCTCGCCGAACTTATTCGCCCCTGCAAAGATCCAAACCCAGTGCTCCCATCTGGAAGGGCTGCCCAGAACCTTGCCGCATACTTGGCCGGCCATGATCCAGTCGCCGTCAGTGATAAGCTGTTGAATCCACAATTCTCCAATTCGCCTCTTCTCCTTCTCGACCGACGAATCAATGAGTCGAGCAGCTGTTTCTTTAACTGATGATGCGTCATCGTAGAAATCGCCGGCATCGTTTCTTTCCGGGGTTCCAGGGCCAATTTCAGCCAATCTCTCAGCCGAAGAAGATATGATCTCAGGATGATCGTCAAGAAGGTTCCAGGCGTCTTCATACTTGTGCAATTCTAGCAACCACGAAAGGTGGTCTGACAAATCTCGCTTGGTAGCCAAAATGCAGTCGTAAGGACTATGGATGAATATTTTAATACCGGGGGCTGCAATGTTCGGGTGAGCTGGTTGTTGAGGGCGAATTGATTTGTTTCTGGAGCTAAGAGATCCGGATTGGCTGGCAGAATCACCACTGCCAACACTACGGGTACTTTGTGCAGAGCTGAGCAGTGTTGTTGCATTGATTGTGGCATTCCACATGCCGCTACCCATGCCAGCCAAAGTCTCAAGAGTAGTCCTCGATGTCCGTGTTGTTGTCGGGCCCTTCGCTGCTGGTAGAACACCAAGGTGGTAATCTGCAGCCGACAGCCGCTCAAATCGGCTCACAATCAAGCCATCAGTGTCGATTTCTTCAGAAGTAGACAGTTCGATAAGTCGCAGCTCGGGGGGGGCGGCGTTTTGCCGGCGTTGTATGCCTCCTCGTGGCTCGCTGCCAGTAGAAGCGGTTGATAGCTTGGATTTATGGCCCTTTTGAGTTGGTGCCTCCTCAGCATCCTCATCTTCGGGATTAATATAAGCAAGTACAAGAAGTAAAGTAGGGGTATATAACGACAATCCAGAAATTATGCAATCCATTCTCAAACTATTCACATTAGTAACCCTCAGCGCTGGGATATGATTCAAAACATACATTTTAATGATCTCTGCACGACCAACACTACGCTCTCCAGCATGCTTGCCAACGCCGACTCCACCAGGGTGAACATGAATGATCCAAATAGTGCTTCCCCAGCCAACTACAAGTTTTTCGATCGGATCCATATTCTTTGCTGTTTGCTGCCTGAGCTTGGTAACAACAGGAGATAACGCCGTGGTGATTAGTCCGTCATCATCGGTTCCGAGAGAGCTTTCATCGATCCATTCCGCCCGGGCCTTCCACACCGCGGCCATCTCTTCCCAACCAGAGTCTTGGGGACGATCAACGTGGGCAATGCGCTTCCAAGCCGAATCTAGATCTGCGCTTTCAAGGCCAATATTCGACCGCATAATCTTTATACCCTTCTCGTTGACCCAAACAACGTATTTTCCTGACAATGACCACTTGACTGTGCTTATGATGCCTTCGCCAGAATGAAGAGCAGTGTCCTTTCCTGAGTTGCCTCCGAGCCCAATCGTCCCGAGCCAGCCAGATGCTGTGGCCGCCGCGGTTCCAGTGGTGGTGGATGTGGCATTCGTTCCGGACCGCCCTCCAACAGTCACGACCAGGTTCCCCGCGGTACCCCCTGAGATATATGTTCGGTCATTCTTGTAGTCGGGCGACAGGGCAACAGCTTGGACTGGCCTCGCAAAATTTCGTAGCTGTACATCTTTTATATCCACAAGTGATGCAATGCAGACATTCCCATCTATAGAAGACGTAGCAATGTAAATCGCGTTCGATGGAATATTCGGTATGACTTGCTGGCGCGGAGCCCTTTGTGCAGCCGGGCTTGACGACACAGATGCAACTGATGCCGCTTTTTGCGATTCATTGATGGCCTGAGATACGGCCCTGTTGACTGCTTCTGACCTCGGGTCTGATGTTGGTGGCGGGAATGGGGAAATCGATATCGAGGAGATCGATGCGGAGTGAGCATGGTAGACTCGTAGTGACTGGAACGACGGTAATGCTAGAACGTGCTTCACAACCTGTTAGTATACAGTAAACATACATTATATTATCCGACTTACAATATTTCCGTTGTGAGTGCCAATATACTATGACTTATCAGCATTGGCCCAGGCCTCGGTTCATTACAATATGCTTACCATTTTGTCCCCCGCGACTAGGAAAGAGCTTGTAGCATCTCCATTTCTATACAACTGCGTCATATACCCAGTCATTCGAGCATTCTTCAGCTTCGGTTCATCCTCGTCCTCGTCCTCGTCCTCGTCACTGCCGATGGTTTCGGTCTCGTTCTCATCGTCGTCGTCCGCAGTGTCTGGTTTGTGAGACCGGGAGTCAGGTGGAATAGCTTCGTGCGCTTCCCCGCGCTCCCCCGAATCTTTCGCCATTTTCCCAGGCAATAGTCACCCGGGTGCTTAGGTCGCTGTTCAAACGACAGGTGAAGCAGTCGACGTCACAGCACATAGCTACAGCATGGATGACTAATCAAACCCCAGACAAGGCTGAAGCCTTGCATCGCGGGATGGTTCCTGAATCGAACTTTACAAATTTACCAACTCACACATGTCACCTTCATTATAATCCGTTATGCCCTTTAATTTTTCTTCACGGATTTTTAGACGGCAGCTGCTGTCCCAAATAGGGGCACCAAGCCTCATAAATAACGCCCAAAATGTAATTCGTCAATTCCGACCGCGCTTTCCTAGCCAGCTCACCCGAGGCTGTGGCGCATCGACACAACAGATACGACAATATAGCGCTGCCACGAGTGATCCAGCAGAATCTCAGAAGCGAAAAAACCCTCGATCTCCTGCAGTACAACGTTCGTTAAGGCGAGTTGCGGTTGAAGCTGAGCGGTCCAGTGGCGATGGGTCGCGGGGCCAGAAACTATCTTCTGGTGACAGCCATGGCCTCAAAAATATCACAGCCATATGCGTCGCAGAAGAATTTGCAATGGACAGCGTTGTTCGAATACTTCGATCTCAAGGGTACCCGATTGATCCCCAGGGCACGGGATTTTTGGACGACCAAGTCGTACATACCAAAGCTGTTAATGGAGGGGATGTATTCATCTTTCCGTCTGGGACGATAGTTTCATGGTCCTTGCCAGACGATCTCGCCATTAATTTGGCAACTCAAACGTTAGCACCTGCGGCTATAAGCCCACACTTGGAGCAGATTGAAATGGAGGATCTGGAGTACCAAGAAGATCCCAGTCAAGTAGCGAGCAGCATCAAAGGAGAGGTTATCACCTTGGGTACCAAGAAGGAGGCTTTTGAGAACAATGCCTCAAGTGGCAAGACCTCAACTACATTGGCACAAATTGCGTTCTCTTCAGGACTAGCCCGGTCTACGAAGCTCGCAGTTCTTGAAACTTCACTCACCAAATACCTTGACTCGACACGAACCATTCCACCTATACTCTCCCGCGGTGGCCGCCTGCCATTCAACCAACAATTTATCTTACAGAAGACCGGTGCTCTTTTAGAGCTCCGTGCACAGCTCAACCATTACTCGGAACTCACAGACTCGTTGCCGGATCTATTTTGGGATAGTCAGCATGAACTTGGGCTAGAGGGATACTATGATCAGGTGGGACGGGCCCTCGATGTCAGCGTCCGCATCAAAAGCTTGAATGCCAAAATGGATTATGCCCATGAGATCGTTAGTGTTTTGAGGGAAACTCTGAGTAAGAACCATAGCACATGGTTGGAGTGGATCATTATTGTCCTTATTGCGGTCGAGGTTGGATTCGAACTGAAACGCGAATGGAAGGAGAGGATGAAGGCTAAAGCTGAAGCTAAGTCTCTGAAGGATGAATAAAGCTGTAAAATAGGGCTTTTTTTGGGAAGTATAACAATTTCTGGGTGCTACATGGGCGAACAAGGTTGGGAGGTTGTGTACTGAGAGATAGTAACGGGGTTAACAGCAATATTTTTATATCTCGGTATTTGCGAGACGATTATACCCTAAATGTACAAATATAGACTCCTGATTAGACTTTTTTCACACAGGTATTTACCTTCATCTGTTGAAGGCTCTTTGATAAACGTTCTCAAAGAAAAAGGGGGCCATCTTTCTCACGTCTAAAAAGTGGGTCCACGAGGCTGTACAATATGGCCAACGTCGCAAGGCTTTGGAAGCAACGCGACAGACGCGTTGAACAATCGTGGAAAGAGCTCACTTCATACTACCAGCATGCCCGGTGACCGCAAGTCTTTAAAATGCTACATCTAAATCTGCCTAGATTGATAAACGCGGATGGAATTAACTGAGGCTTCGTAGCCATGGCGTCGGTAACCTCACTGGGGCTTCATTACCCCACGGCTCTACAATACTTACAACAGGAGCATCTGCTGTCTGAGGACCCGGCGCTAGATACCTATGAGTGGCAGACAATAGCTAATAACGACGAAGGAATTGCTGGATACGATGAACTCATCACTACGAAAACTTGTGTCGTCTGGTGTCGAGGTGGAATCGTCCGAAAGAGCTTTCGATTTGAGATTGAAGACGAACCAGTCACCCAAGCACTTCTTACGAGTTTCTCGACAGAGCACGCGAAAAGGGACCAAAATAAGCCAGCTTTCGCCAGTTCCAAATTCCATCACTTCGATGCGGAAAAAACGAGTACACTGGGCGAAGAGCACTGCAGGTCAAAAGCCCTGGTGGTGTTTTTGAGGACACAAGCTCATATCTACTTCCTCTCCGGCACGAGCCATATCGTCCATCTACCTTTCGAAGTCGAGCATGCAAGTGCCTCTACAAATGGGCTTATCCTTCAAAGGAAACTGCAGTCCGAAAAGCTGGCGCCACTGTCATTGAAATTTCCTCGTGTCCCGCCAAATTCCTTTACGACTTCTCAGCCGCAACCATGGTCCGCAGCTAGTTCAATCCAATCTACATTCTCTATTGCAAGCCTCGGCTCTCCACAGCAGCTTAATTTGCCGCCGACATCTTTATTGGGTGACCTGTGGCAGTCTCCGCCTCGCAAAGATGACTCTCGCTGGCCCCGACTTTTTTCGCTCACGGATCCCCTCGCGGAACTAGGTCTCGTTGTGACATCTGCTAAGGTTAACGGGGCCAGGAGGTCATTGCTGAAGGCTGTAGCTATAGACCCTGCTGACGAAATTATCCATGTGACTGATCCTCATAAAGTTACTGAAACGAATATGGATGCCGAGGGTTCAGTTACGCTTGTTGTCACTCTGAATCGAGAGACGAGCATGTATACAGTCTGGACAATGGAATATGTGAACCAAGAAGAACCACTTATTAGAAAGCCATCCACGACGAGTGATGTGAAGCCTCGACGGCGAAGCTCATTCATGCCAGGCACCGGTGCAACAACCCCAGTTGCAAATACCCAACATACCTTTCGAGAGAGCTTTGGGGGCGCCGGTGCTGGTATTAGCATAATGAAGCCTTCCAAGAGGCGAGAAGACGGTGCAGTCGAACAGAATGTCGATTTTGTTTCCTCTCTGGATCCAGACTCAGAAATCAACGGTGTTCCGAGGAGAAAATCAAGACGTGTGAGCTCAATGTTAGCAAGAGGCGACCTGTCGGCCTCGGCATCTCACGACCGATCCATGTTCTCGGAAATGAGCACCGCGGGACAACAGCCTAATCCGCGTGTAGATTCCATGGGGGGTCACAATGGCAGGGCCAGCTTTGGATTTCACAAAGGATTCAAAAATTCAAATTCGAACCAGCTACCGCTTAATTCCAGTGTCAATAGTTTTCTTGAAGCTCCAATTGATGATCTTCTGGAGGAACTGAAGGCTGGTGGGGACTTTGAAGGTTTTCATAGTATGGGACTTGAAGATGAAGACTTCGAGGCTCTCAGGAAGGAGATCGTATTCACGAAGATCGAATCTATACCTGCCGAACGCAGCAACTTAAGGTACTCAACCCAACACAAACCAGCGCAGAGCCAATGCCGAGTTTTCACATTGGCTGCTCCATCAAGCTCCCTGCAACGAAACCAAATTTTCCTCTGTATACTCGATCCCGAGGAGAAGAAATTTGTTGTTGTTACCCTCAATTCAACACTGAGTAAAAAGAATCGAACACCTCAGGGTGCACCAAAAGCCAAGAAACAGAATGTAGATGGAAGCAAGGAGCCAGTTGTTAATTGGGGCGATGTCGTCAGGGCAGACCATGTCATAGATGCTTGCAAAGTATTTGACGGAGGAATTTCCCGAATTCTAGTTCTGTCGGAGACAACAGATGGGTTCGGCGAACTGACACTACAAGCGCCCTGGGGATTACTGATGAAAATATCTGTTCCAGGCAGCCTGGTAATGAATAACATCTTAAGCCTCGGGTATAATGGCCAGCCTCGCACCAAACCCGAAGAAAATCGGACGAAAATGTTGAGCAGCGGGCCTAGAGCATTACGTGGCCTAAGAAACCCATTGCCTGGTGGGATGGTGGACATTGTCGATGAAGAGGGGAGATCCCATCAGTTGCATTTACGGATGGAGGCTCGACTTCCTCTTGTGAAGAATGTCCTTGATGCTTGCAAATACGTGCTGCCGAATAAGGGCGGAGAAGCCGTTCTTGCTGGATGGTGGAACATTCGGCAGTGGCTTACTGATAAACCATACATTGGATGCGACGACGAATGGAGTGCTCTCGTTGTGTCCCTTCTTATTCTTGTGCTGCCGTTTCGAGCAAAGCCTCTCCGTGCTAGCCCGCGAAACCCCAGAGCTGGCTCTGTACGGACTGGCCGTACTGTAGACTCAGCTACAAAGGATGTAGATGACATACTCCATCACAATTGCACCATGAGCAATTCACTTCCGTCTTGGGCTCTCACAGGTGGGTGGGACTGGCTGAGAAAAGAAGACAAACCTGGCCCCACGACTCCGCCGAAGGCTTTGGGTGATGAAAGCAGCTTCTTGCAAAGACACGTTAATATTGCTCAAGACTATCTTAATACGGCATTGGGAGATGCTGCTGTCGGGACTGGTGGATATCTACCCACTGCCCATAGGCAGAGTCCAGACCTTCGGAAGGATGCCCTTACTCAAATCATCTCTGGACTACACCTATTGCATGAAGAACATAAACTGAATATCGCAACGGTCGACTCGTTGACTACAGGAAATCCCAGCCTGGCACCAGTACTGTCGCAAATGTGCAGGTGGATAGGCTGGAATGACTGGGCAGACTCGTACGACATTGAAGATGCTGTGGCTGAGGGCATTGCGTTTAATCCTAGTAAGCATATCCCGCCATTTAACAAAGATTGCGTTAACATATTATAGCAAATGCCACAGTTTTAGCTCAGCCTTCTCTTCCGCCGTCTATCTACGACTGGATTGAAAGGTCATTAACTGTACAGATAAACACGCCATTTATGGCACTTACAGATGTCAAAAATAGGACATATAATAATGGTGGCTCTATAATTGAGCAAGAATCGTCGTCCATCACACCACGGACGTCACTATTCAGGAAGCTGTTCACTGTTGTGCATCCGAGCGCGTCGTCAATTGAGATTGTGGAAGCTCTTTACGCAGCTGGTTTCACCACGCATATTTTAGATACCCTTCCGGAGGCTCTTCTCATACCTTTCAGAGAGGCACTAATCGAGTGTCAAAGTCATCTTCAGGTCTCCTGGGGAAGAGAGCTTCTGAGTCTCGTCGGACGAGAAGATGTTAACATGCTCCTTTTTCCCGAACAACGAAGAAGGGTTGCATACGCATCCCCCTTAGCGCCAACCCATGAGTCCAGTAATGATGTTCATTCCATATGTTTATCACTCTCGGAACAGGAGACTGTGGGCGCTTTTGATGGCTCTGCAGAAGTTGATCGGCAATCAATCAGTCGGCTCATTTTCAAGGATGACAGGCGGCTCAATGAAGCGGCCAAAATCCTGAACACGTCGAAACCCACTTTGGCCCGCTGCGAACCGGAACCAGGCTGGTCCGAGTCCGATTTACTAGAGGCACAGAAGGTACATGTGCAGGAGTTGGCGATCCGAACATTGGCGGTGCCGCCTGGGCGAGGACTACTGTACTTCAGTGCACGGGTACCCCTTTTGACAGAGAAGTTTCCAATCGGAGGGTTTAACCTTCATTGTGTGTTCAAGCCAGCCAATAACACCGTTGGGGTCGATAAGAATGCATTTACCGAGGAGAAGTTGTGTTGGGCATTTTTCCATGCCGGCGTCTCGGCTGGCTTGGGCATCTCCCGCCAGGCAAGAGGCATAGATACCTCTTGGATCTTGTTCAACAAGCCTCAGGAATTAAGCAATCGGCATGCGGGATTCCTCCTTGCACTCGGATTAAACGGCCATCTTAAATGTGTGGCGAAATGGGTTGCCTTCAAATACCTCACCCCCAAACATACTATGACATCCATTGGCCTGTTGTTGGGATTGGCAGCATCATATCTTGGGACGATGGATTCTCTTATTACCCGTCTACTCTCGGTACACGTTACGCGAATGCTACCTCCTGGAGCTGCAGAGCTTAATCTCTCTCCTCTGACGCAAACTACCGGCATCATGGGCATTGGTCTCCTATACTGCAACACTCAGCACCGCCGGATGAGCGAAATCATGCTCTCGGAGATTGAGCATGTTGAAACTGAAGTGCTGGATGAGCCCCTGAGAAATGAAGGTTACAGGCTTGCAGCGGGATTCGCCCTCGGGTTCATCAACCTAGGGAAAGGTTTTGATCTTCGAGGTTTACATGATATGCAATTAACGGAGAGACTACTGAAGCTTGCCGTTGGAAGCAAGAAAGTTAACTTAGTACACGTCCTTGACAAAGCAACCGCTGGTGCAGTTATAGCCATTGCTCTCATATTTATGAAGTCTGAAGATCATGCTTTAGCACGGAAGATCGACGTTCCAAGCTCCATTCTTCAATTTGATTATATCAGGCCCGACACATTCCTGCTCCGCACACTTGCAACACATTTGATTATGTGGAGCAAAATTGAAGCAACTGCGTCCTGGATTGAGAAGAGTTTGCCGAGACAGTACAAATTCAAGAATAGCCTGACCAGCGTCCGTCATCTTTCAGCCGAAGATTTACCATTTTACAATATACTCGGTGGCCTTTGCTTCAGTATTGCTCTACGACACAGTGGAACCGGAGATCTTCGCGTCAGAGACCTCCTTGTCCACTATCTGGACCAATTTATGCGCATATGTGCTCTTCCAGCCTCCAATTATGACCAGAAGCTCGCACGGAATACTATTCGGAACTGTCAAGACCTTCTCGCACTTTGTGCAGCTACGGTGATGGCTGGATCTGGCGATCTCGTTGTTTTCAGGCGTCTTAGAGTGTTGCGTGGCCGCGACGACAACGAGACACCATATGGCAGCCACCTGGCAGCGCACGTTGCAATAGGTGCCTTGTTTCTTGCTGGCGGCACTCACACATTTGGCACATCGAACCTTGCGATCGCGGCTCTTATGGCTGCTTTCTACCCACTCTTCCCAACTTCGATCTTGGACAACAAATCTCATCTTCAAGCTTTCCGCCACTTCTGGGTTCTAGCAACAGAAGCAAGGTGTGTGGTAGCACGCGATATCGATACCAACATGCCTGTTTCCATCCCACTCGAGATTTCTCTACGCACGGATAAGTTTACCACAGGCACCAACCCTTCGGTCTCAAGACATGCACCTTGTCTCCTCCCCGAAATCGACCATATAATCTCCGTCGGTACCGAGAGTCGAGAATTCTGGAACGTTGTGCTCGATTTTGAGAAGAACCCTGATCACCTGAAAGCATTCAAGTCAACACAAACCATATACGTAAGAAGACGTCCTGCCTATGATTCAAGTGCGGCGGCTTTCCACGCTACCATTCAGGCCCTTGATGATACAGACGGGGCAGATCAACATCCTCTGCAGTGGTTATTTGAGCTACCAGCATTTTCCATGCTGACAACGGCGGAACGAGCTCTTGTTATTCCGCCCGAGGGCTCAGTGGGACGACGAGCAGCTCACACGAGCACCGAAGGTACGCTGGTGGATGCGCGGTTGGTCCTAGAGGAGGCAACGCTTCACAGTGGGAAGAGAGACAGGTTGCAAGGTCTAAAATTACTGTTTGAGTGGGCGAGCATGATGCAGCGAGATGGTAGAGAGATGCAGTGGGTTCGGCAGGAGGTTGTGGATAGGCTCAGGGCAAAAGTTTGGATGATGAGCATCGATGGTGACGATGAGCATTCATGATGGGCTATATTCTTGGAACATAGATAGTAACATAGAACATAATCTGCTACTTTCCATGATTCATAAGTGACCACTAACTTGGTGGGCAACCGCCTTCCCTTTGCCAGGCGCCTCTTCGAAAAACTTCCTCCACCTTTCTTCCTTCTTGAATAGCACTATCGCCATCATTGCACTCGGGTCGCCATGATCTGGGTCTGCGCCACCTTCTAATAACGCCTGTTGCTGTGTAAGGATCTGCATATATAATTCATAGGGATGTAATCTAAGTGAAAGCAAATCGAAAGGCAATAAGTGATTGGAGGGAGGGGTTAAATTACCTTGACGACTTCGCTTTCATTCTTGAAGACCGCACCGGCAAGAGGTGACTGGCCTCGGTCGTTTAGAGAATTTGGGTTCGCTCCGTGGGCAATAAGAAGCCTGACGAGTTGAGAGTGCCCATGATAGGCTGCTAGCATGACCTCCAAATTGTTAGTTGCTGGTAAATGTGTTTCCGGGGATAAAAGCTATGCCATAATAGATAGGTTCATAGAATGAGAAATGCTGCAAAAGCAGCGTAGAGTGTTACTTTTACACCTGGGAGAACCAAAAGGTAAATAAGCATTAAAGTATGACCTGGTGCACTCACTAAACTATCCCCCTTTTCATTTGTCATATTTGCAGGTAACCCAGCCGGTAGGGCTTGTTCAAAGAGGTCTATCTGCCCAGCACGTACGGCATCATAAATCCGAGCAGCAAACGCAATAGCTTCGGGTGATAGCGAAGGGGCATCCATTTCTTCGGCAATAAACTAGATCTTTAACGTGCAGCTGAGACTAAATCAATGGCACCGGAGTCGATGCCGCGATGGTGTTCGTGCCATCATATATCTCAGCCTTGCGGATGGTGGCGGCTAGCCTCGGGACTAGCCTCGGCAACTTTGCCTGAAAGCACTGTCCGTACCGTACGTCAGTCAGCCTTGCACTCTGAGCCTTCAATTATTGTGATATTGGGATTCACAACACTTCAACCTCGATCTCCCACCATAAATTTGCACACAATGGTCCAAATCCTCCCTCTGCTTCACCGCAATGCAGCCCGCAGCCTCCGATTCCTCGCACGCCCCTCAACTGCCCGCTTCTATTCCGCACCTGCAGGGCCTCAAGTCCTCGTCACTGACCTCCCAGCGCCCTCCACCGGCCGCATCCGCGTTCTCTCCCTGAATCGCCCATCCGCTCGCAACGCCCTCTCCCGCTCTCTTCTAGCAGACCTGCGTGCTCAAATCGACGAGATCGCCGCAGAGTACGATTCCGAGGGCAACGAGATTCCACTGGCGAAGACATACGGAGGCGCCGCAGGCCCCAATGAACGCGGACGCACACGCGCCCTGATCCTCACCAGCGAGGTAGAGACATGTTTCTGCGCTGGAGCAGATCTTAAGGAGCGCGCGGGCATGAGCCAGGAGGAAACCAGTGCGTTCCTCGCGAACCTGCGAAGCACATTCTCTGCCCTCGCGGCGCTGCCTATTCCGACAATTGCGGCTGTGTCGAGCATGGCTTTGGGTGGAGGTTTGGAGCTGGCTCTGTGTGCGCATCTGCGTGTGTTTGCGTCGACTGCTATCGTGGGACTGCCAGAGACGAGGCTGGGCATAATTCCGGGAGCTGGTGGCACTTACCGTTTGCCTGCTGTTATTGGACAGAACCGCGCGAGGGATATGATCCTGACGGGCCGACGTGTGAGCGCCCCGGAGGCATATTTCTTGGGGTTGGCGGACCGCTTGGTAGAGGTTGTGGAGGAGGAGGGGACAAAAGAGGGAGAGGAGGATAAGACTCTGCTAAAGAGGGCTGGAAAGGAGGCCCTCAGCGAGGCGGTTAGACTTGCACAAGAGATCTGCTCGGGAGGCCCGGTGGCAGCGAGGGCTGCGATTCAGGCAACGGCGTGGTGCAGGGAGGATATGGAGAACAAGGCGTATGAGACCGTTGTGGCAACGGAGGATAGAGACGAGGCGCTCAAGGCCTTCAGGGAGAAGAGGCTACCGGTATTCAAGGGGAGGTAAAGAAGCTTAAAGAAGAAGTTGTCTGATATAGATATATACCTACCGATCAAATTTGAATAAAATTGAAAGGAATCTAGCTGCCAAATGACGGATATTGATAATGGTTAGCTTGTTGACCATAAACCCGACGTGATTTGTTTCTAGCTTCAATCAGGACACAGCTCTATAAGGGGATTGAGACTTGCAGGAAATGATTGATATAGTGGTCACAGAATAGGAATTCTACACGAGACGAGTCATTTACAAGATGTTTCATATTATATATTCTACAATCCTGCTATTGTAAGTTATTGTACATCATTTGGAGGTCGCTATTAAGATCTATGAGTTTTTATCGTATTCTTTAGCGCCTCATGACAATGCCAAACTCTCTCTACTCATCCATTCCCGGACCAGGGCCTCCCTGCCTGCCCATCTGCCTAGCCTTCAGCATCTCATCACATAACAACAGATTCGATGCGATACCAGAGCTGCTTGCCACCGAGTTTCTCAACACGCGGAACGAATCGTATACACCCTCCAAAACTGGATCCATCGGCTCACCAGATGATAGGTCGAGGCCGGCGATGTTTCCGTCGGCGTACTCCTCTTGGAGGCCAACCACTGGTCAATATTAGTTTACGAGTCCCATATAACTTTAAAGCCTGCATATAGCTGGCAGAGAGGAGAATACTTACGGGAATCCTGGACGTCGTGGCCAGAGTTGGCAGCCAGAGTCTTGGGAATGATCAAGAGCGCATCGGCGAAAGCCTGGACACCCCACTTCGCCTTGCCCTTAACTGTCTTGCGGAACGCATCGCTGTTGAGATGCGCGGCGCAAGCAACTTGGAAAGCTCCCGCGCCAGGAACAACGCTCTTATCAACGATCATGTTATAAACACTGCGAAGACCATCACGCACCGCATCCGAGATTTGGGTGATAGTATGTTGGTTGGGTCCCTTAATGAGGAGGGTGACGGATTTCGGGTCCTTAACCTCATCAATGAATGTGTACTTCTCCTCACCAAGTTGGTGCTCATAGACACGGCCTGCCCAGCCCAAAACTTCAGGGGAAAGGTCATCAACACTGTTCTGTGCAATACCGCCACAGATGAGTTGAAGCCTCTCCATGTTTCTGCGCTTGGCTCTGCGGAGGGCGAAGATACCGTTCTTGACGAGAACGTCGAGGGAGAGAGGGTCGATACCCTTTTGGTTGATAATGACGAAACCCTTCTTTGGGTCATCACCGCAAACCTCCTTCTTAAGCTCAACAATCTTGCGAAGCTTCTCATCCACGAAACGCCTCTCGCTCTCGACGAGCTTATCCCTCTGTTCGGCACTGGAGTAGTAGAAGCTGGAGTTGATCTCGGACTTCTCATATTCTAAGCTGACGTTCAATGACAGAATAAAGGCGTTCTCGACATGTTTCTGCATATCAGGATGGCGTGCACCGTGGTCCAAAGCGAGTCCACGGATCAGTTGAGTCTCAGAGGCAGTACGGTGCTGCATCTTCATGATCTCAACCATATGTAAATCTGGCTTCGCTGGTGCCTGGTAGATAGCAAGAACAGCATCGACGATATCTGGAGTAAGCTTGTTGGCGAGGGTGGAGTTGAGCTTGGTTGACAGGGAAGTGCGTGCAACGGAAAGGAGTAATTCGCGGTCGACTTCTCTCTCGAGCTTGAAGCCGTCCAAGAACTGCAAATATGTCAGCAAAAGAAATGATGCCACCCGTTCAATGAATTCCATACCTTAAGCGCCTCATTCTTCGCAATCTCGAAACCATCGGTGATAACCCTGGGGTGCAGTCCTTCCGAGATGTGTCTGTCGGCCTGCTTCAAAAGCTCTCCCACTAATAATACAACGGAGGTCGTGCCATCTCCACAGATATCGTCTTGAGCGGTCGCTGCTCTGGCGATCATAACTGCCGTAGGGTTTTGGATCTGCATCTCACGAAGGAGAACATTTCCATCTTTTGTGAGTTTAATCTGTTGATATATTCGTCAGTTCCGTCAAGTATAGCTCCAACGAGGGGTTCGTACTCCACCTGCACCATCAACCAGCCTAAAATAGAAGTTAGCAGCCATTCGTCGTATTTTTGAGTTTGTCTCTTACATCTTTATTGTCCCCGTGGGACCCAAGTTCGACTTTAATACATCTTGCAGACCCTCACCAGCATTAATGTTGACCTTGAGAGCTTCTCCTCTCCGCTATTAAATTATTAGCAAGCTGGTGTGAATCGGGGGGTAGGATAAGCATACTCTCGACTCGGCCTTGGGGTTCAGAAGCTGTGCTGCGGACATCTTGATGGTCGGAGCAGAGTTCTAAAATTTATATCGAGGCAGATGTCCTGTTTTGTGTGGCTGATAATAGCTGCTTTCAGCTATTACACACGTCGATTCGCGTTCTATAATTTCTATGCCTCGCGACTATTCACCAAAAAGCCTCTATACCGGATTAGGCCGCACGCATGGACTATAATCACGTGATCACCCTTTCGTATCTCAGCTGCTTCGGAGTATGTTTTTATGTTAATCGTAGCAATTAACTATATGTCATTCTGAATTACCAAAGCGGTATCTACGACCATGTTTTTGCAAATAAGGCCGAGCCTGTTGGCCTTGCCCTTTATCGTCGGAGTGACGGCCGGCTTCTGGCCCTTCCACACCCAAGTTGATGCTGTGGAATCAGACGCGACGAGCGATGTCAAGCAGATCGCGATTATAGGTGCGTGACTTTATTTAATAAAGTCTATATCGCGTTATTATTTACGTATATTCTCTTTCTTGAGGATTCAAACGGAAGGCGTCAAGCAGAATTGACCCATAGTTCTGATATATGACCTTCAATCATATCCCCCACCTCTTGAGGGGTCAATTCACACCCACCGCGCTGGCACATGCTTAGTCTTTGCAATGATATGTGTGCCACTCACATTCCTGATTGTCTGTCACTCAGGATTCTATGGATTATGATAGTTTCCAGATAGGGTTTATAAATTGCTTTATCACGTTTTACTCCTCTGATGCTACTATGAGCCCCTGAACTACGTGCTCTAATGATACCACTTTTTGTCAGGAACTCTCCGAGCATAAGTTGGGCTTTATAAACTCTACAGTATAACATTGGAATTCACATACAGAAGCTAATTCCAACCCATAGGCGCTGGTTCTGCTGGTTCATCCACAGCCTACACCTCCACAAGCTGGCACAAGGCATCGATGTGAACATAACAGTCTTTGAGCGCTCGTCATACGTTGGTGGCCGGTCAACAACTGTAAACGCTTACAATGACCCGGGTCACCCTGTTGAGTTGGGCGCCTCGATTTTCGTTTCCGTCAATGAAATTCTCATGAACGCCACCAAAGAGTCTGGCCTCGATCTTAATCCCCTCGCCGACGAAGAACAACATGAGACTATTGGGATCTGGAATGGCGAAAAGTTCGTTTTATTGCAGACATCAGGAGGGTGGGAGTGGTGGAATAATGTCAAAATGTTCTGAAAGTATGGGATGTCCCCGATCCTCGCCAACAAGCTGATGAAGGCTACTGTTGCAAAGTTCTTGAAGCTGTACCAGCCACCTTTCTTTCCATTTAGGTCACTGTCAGAGAGAGTGGTAGAATTGGATCTTATCAGCGCCACTGGTGTCACTGGCGATCAGCTACTGGTATCTAACTCTGTCTACCCACCTTTCACCACAGACATTATCCAAGCTTTCACTCGCATCAATTACCTACAGAACCTAGGGGTCATTCATGGCTTGGAAACAATGGTCTCTATGGCTACCGATGGTGCCACTCAAGTTAAAGGTGGCAATTGGCAAATGTTCGACCGCATGCTGAATGCGTCGGGGGCAACAGTCTACCTCGATACCGCCGTTTCGTCTCTGGAAAAGAACAGTGCACGGTATACTCTTACGAGCAAGCCCGCAAAAGCTGCACGGAATGCTGTAGCATCGGAACAGAAGTTTGATAGTGTTGTGATTGCAGCGCCATTCCAATATTCTGGTCTAAAGCTCTCTGAAGACCTCGTTGAGAAGACCCCTGATGAGATACCATATGTTCAGCTGCATGCTACTCTCTTCACAACGCCTTTTGAAGTTGGATGGTAGCTATTTTGGCCTGAAGCCTGGTGACGTCGTGCCTACAACGGTGTATACCACGCTGTCGCCCTCTGACGATCCGACGAGCAGGACGGATATTGTGGGAAAAGCGGGTTTCTTCAGCGTCAGTGCTCTCCGCACCGTCACTCATCCCAAGTCAGGCCGAAAGGAGTTCATCTATAAAATATTCTCTTCCGAGGCTGTCACGAAGGAGTTTCTTGGAAGCCTATTTGGGATCACACGCAAGTCTTCCAAGTCTATGGTCTCTATATCTTATTAACGTGTATTTGCAGTACCCGAAGTCGAGAGCCTGTTAGCTTCCCCGAACGACGACATAACCTGGTTCTACCCGCATGTCTGGAACAGTTATCCATACGAATACCCAAGGGTCGCCTTCGAAGACATCGAATTGGCACGAGGGCTATATTATACTGCTGGAATCGAGAGCTTCATAAGCACGATGGAGACGAGTGCCTTAATGGGCAAGAATGTCGCTCAGCTTCTTGTTGAAGATTTCACGGAGCTATTGGGAGGCGTGAAATCTGAACAGAAGGAAACGAGTAAGGTGGTCGAGGAGCTGTGAAGCGGGATAATAATATAACCCAGCTTCATTTTGTGTCGGATGGATTTTAGAGCCGGTGCGTTGGGGGTCAAGCGTATACTTTGCAGCGTTATTTTTATAAGTCTCAGTTCATTTCACAGTCTTGCATCATTGTCAACTGAGTTGTTAAGTGTCAGAAAGCAATCGATTGGTACTATCAACTACGAAGCACACCATTGACTCCATTCCCTTGTACAAGCACCTCGCTCGCCATCCCTAATCAGCATTTAAGCCTGGGTGGTCTTGGCGGCAGCCTGGTTGGGGTTGACCTTCTTGCCGTCCTTGTTGTAGCGAACACGTGGGGGAGGAGCACGGTTGCGGCGACCCTCACGGGAGCGGACACTATAGGCACCATGTCAGTACAAATATTCGTTTATTTACTACAGGCGGATCTAAGGGTTGAAGCCCGAAGTTCGACGCCCGAAGTTCGACCAAGGTTCATCTCAAGGATTGACATACCGGACAATCTTGCCGTGAATGGCGCAAGAGACACAGTATTGCAGCTTGAGGTACATCTTGGGAACGGTGTATTCAGGGAACACGGAAGCGTCCGAGATATCACCTGCGAATTATTAGCGTCTTGTCCATGGCAAATGATGGGTCCTTCCTTCTGGTCCCTTCTCTGTTGTACTGGTATTGGCAAAATCGTTCGCACACAGAGATAGAGTCGCAGCAGGTCGTGAGGTAAGAACGTACGGATGGCGGCAGACTCGACCATGTTGCGGATGGTAAATCTCTTGATTGCCTTGTCCTTTGGGGTGCAACGGGAGCAGTTGGAGCAGCGGATCGGTTTGACGTGTCCACGTCCATTCTTGTTACGTCCACTATAGGCCTCGTCGTTAGTTCCGGTTCTCTTTGGCTTGTCCAATGCGATGGTGATAACCACTCGAGGAAACATACTTGGACGCGCGCTTCTTGACCATTTTTGCGGATTCTAATAATTCAATTAGAAGCTGTTATAAGTTCCACTGCCCAGTCGGTGCTTACTGAAATGTTTTTTATTTCAAATCGTCGAGTTGTCGCGGTTGTCGAGGTTGGTTGTCGTCCTGTCGTCCCAAATTCAATAATTTCAGAGATGACAAGGGTTTCTCACTAGCATTTGCCCTATCGCTTGCTGACTAACCCCCGCCACAGAAGTTGTGTGGCTAACCCTAACCGACCCAAAATTATACGCGATCCATCGTCCCAGATCAACGAACTTCCTCTCCAACCCACTTGCGACCGCTCAGGAAGACAATAAGGTTGTCTAGGTACGTGAGAACAATTTACTTTTCCCTTTGCCTTGTCTTTACGACAAGGCTTTCACAATCAGCAAACACAATTACGAACGCTGAGTTGTGAACCTACAACTTCTCGTTCCCCGCCACCGAAGCCGATATACTGACTGGCGCTTCACAGGCAGTCATGCAAATCTTCGTGAAGACCCTGACGGGCAAGACTATCACCCTTGAGGTGGAGTCGTCCGACACTATCGACAATGTCAAGTCCAAGATCCAGGACAAGGAGGGAATTCCCCCGGACCAGCAGCGCCTGATCTTCGCTGGCAAGCAGCTCGAGGACGGCCGCACCCTTTCGGACTACAACATCCAGAAGGAGTCCACCCTTCACTTGGTCCTGAGACTCCGTGGAGGTGCCAAGAAGCGCAAGAAGAAGGTGTACACCACCCCAAAGAAGATCAAGCACAAGAGCAAGAAGACCAAGTTGGCTGTGCTCAAGTACTACAAGGTGGATGGTGATGGAAAGATCGAGCGTCTCCGCCGCGAGTGCCCTGCTCCCGACGTAAGTTATTCATTGTCTCAAATGATCCATGAACCATTTACTGACAAATTTCCAGTGTGGTGCCGGTGTCTTCATGGCGGCCATGCACGACCGCCAGTACTGCGGCCGTTGCCACCTTACCTACATCTTCGACAACGAGAACAAGGCTTAGATGCATTTGTCAAGGTCTGGAATGGATGAAGTAGCTTCTGGTGTGGTGGAATATGTATCATAGAATACTACAATACAGTTGCTACCAACCTTAATTGTTCCTTCATATTTTGCCCCCGTGACTTCGATTGATTTATTTCGCCCGTAATGTCCAGAACATCGATTCATCAAATGGCCTATTTACCAAGGCTCTATCCTAACCATATCAAGCCTCCTCGCCTGGGAATCCGTTTTTCAAGTTCTCGTACTTCGTCTCTGGGAATTCCAAACAATTCTCCTTCTGATCCAACGTCCCAAGGTCGTCCGCAACGGCCTTGATGATGCTCTTATCGCCCTCACCATCGCCGCTACTCTCCCACCACATCGCACCGCCCAAGCCCACCTTCTTTATCCAAGCCGTCTTCCTCCTTGCCGCCTCCACCGTATCATAGGTAACCAAAATCCTCTTTTCTTCATGGTAACAATAGCTGCCCTCGGTCTCCTCATCCAACTTCTCGACCGCCCCCTCCAGTGGCAGCTTCTTGAAATCATGCACCCCGTTCTCCCAAGTCCCCTGCCCGACGCCACTATACGGCTTCCCGAGTCCATCCGTATTTTCAAATGCCCGGCCATACAGCGGCATGCCCAAGACGATCTTGTCCGACCTCACTCCATGCGATGTGTAGTAGTCTATGGCTTTCTGAGAACTGAACGGGGTACTGGCGGGGTTGCTCTGGGATGGGAATACATTGGCCTGGTGGCCTGCATTCGTATCCCATGAGCCAGCGAAGTCATAAGCCATCAAATTCCAGAAGTCCAGATAGCGATCCATGCCTGGGAGATCCATGTTATTGAGGTTCTGCTCGCCAGCGGGGCTGGCGACAGTGAGTTCGAAGTGGAAAGGTGCGGAGAGGGATGAGCCGTAAGCGTCAAGTGCGGAACGGACAGCTTCTAGTAGGAGTACGTAGTGTTGCCCTTCCTCGGGGGACTTTGGGTACTCCCAATCGATATCTATCCCGTCGAGGCCGAGGGTTTTGAGAATATCTACGGCGCTAGAGGCAAATGCCTGGCGCCCCTCAGGAGTAGATGCAGGTGCAGCAAAATTGGAGGAGTAGGTCCAGCCGCCGATGGATAGGAGGATCTTAAGGTGGCGATGCTTCCTCTTGAGGAGGTTGAGTTGCTTGAAACAGCCGTAAATGTTAGTCCCGACATCGTTCCAGGAGTCTTTCTCATAGTGCTTGTCTGTATCGGACCAGGGATCGGTCAAGAAGCTGCAAACATTTAGTAATTATCCCAAAGGTAACAGCTTCGTATATCCGTTGACGCAGTGCGGGGTATAAATTGAGGGGCAGTTCGGGCGTTAACCCAAAGACATGAAAGGAAAACGCGTAGGCAAATGGAACATAAACTATGCCTTTTGAAAACACAGTCTTACAACTGTAAACATTGGGCATATGCTTTGAAAGATGCGAATGCTGATGGAAACTGACTACTTACACTTCCCCGCTCTCCGGTCGAACATTGGCGAAGGCGTATAACACGTGTGTGAGCTTATCTGCTGGAAGGTCCTGCGGGTTGTAATTTCTGCCATATATAGCCCCTAATACTGATCAGCGTCTCATCTATGCATCTATTGTAGTTGAACAACATACAGTTTGCGAAGTATGCAACGGATCTGTAGTTGCCGCTCATCTTGATTGGTGTAGATGAGTATTCACTTCTTCTGAAAGGCTCTGGCAAATAGTTCCCAAAAATCGTTACCAAGGTGCCAGCAAAAAGGACAAATATGGCGGATATATAAAAGACAGTTCGAATTGAGGAAGCCAGCTTGTATGTGGTGATGTGAAGGTGTTTATGTTATGTTGACGTGGCGGTGCCGCCACCCACAAGGTTACTATAGTGGGGGTGTGAGATCTCCACATCGATGATGAGTATTTGAGGCACAGTTTCTTGGCTAAACGCCGCCGTGAAAACCCCACGCAAGTGCAGCTATGAATATTGGATATGTACGGACAGTAGTTTCTCAGCAAACTAAGCCGTGTCTATGTTCGTCCGTTTGCAGCCTTACGCCGCCATTTGTCATATTTACAAACGCCTTCCATGCTTCTATCCTCATCAGTCCCGTAAAGCCCCATGTGCCAATATGACCCCAATTATATAAATACAGTAAAGCCAGTGCTCTATTTCTGCTCCCATTCCAAGTGATATACGTGCCAGATATGTTTCTTCTCAGTATCATTTGCTACTGCGCACATCAGCGGGTGGTAGTAGTTTCTGGGTGGGTTCACTACGAGGGTTCGCAGCCTCATGGGCCAGTTGGTCTCGTGTCCTCAAAAATTCATGCACTCTCTCATCTTTGTTAGCATTCATAGAGGCCTCTCTCCGTCGCCTCATAAGTTCTTGGCTCATATCCCTATGCAGCGCATCGATTTGATGTGTCAAGCTTGAGGAGAAGTTGTCGACCACCCTGTTCTGTCCAACAAATCCGATGGTACCAAATAAAAGAATTAATACCGCAAACACGCCATTGGAGAAGTATATCGGGTCCTGCTTTTCGTTCCTGTGGTGCCATTTCTCCCAGTCCTCCCAGGTCGCGTTGTATCTTGGTCCACCAGGGCCACCCTCCCCACTTCTGCCAGAATATGGTGGGGCCCAGCTGCCATGTTGTGTAGCCTTGTCTGATTCTCCTTGCCATCCTGTCCCATACGCATCGTATGCAGCTCTCTTGGCAGGATCAGAGAGCAGGTTGTTCGCGGCCACAATAAGCCGATATCGCTCGAGCTTCGTTGCGTCCGATATCTCGTCGTCATAGGAGCGGCTCTGGCTGAGTCGATCTGGGTGGTAAATCTTCACCAGTTCGTAGAAACGACGCTTTGAATACGGCGATCCTTTCTTTTGGTTAAAGATCTCGTAGGGTGTAGGAACCGCGTTGGTTGACTTGACTTCGGGCCATGGGATGGTTGGATGGGGCGCATCTCTACTGCGCCCATCTGCCACTACAGCATATGCCCTAGGTCCTGTAACTTCAGGCGGGATGGTTGAAGTTCTAGTGAATGATTCGTTTTGTTGGCGAAGTCCTAACGTAGCTGACGACGAAGCTCCTGTGGAAGCTCCAATTCCTTTCGCGCATGCTGATGACAGAGCAATTCCAGCCTTCTTCAGCATAACTAAACGCAGGCCACGATGCCTAGGTTATCTGCACGACCATTCATATGTGAAGAACATGTATAGCGTGGCCAAGATAGTTGCGAGCGGTTTTGGTAGTTAGGGAAATGCGGAGGTAAAGTTAGTCGTCGATGGAGAAGAGTAGGTTAATTAAGTTACCAGAAGGCCCCGCAAGCCAAGTTTAACGATAACGACTTGGGTTCAATATCATGGGTGGTAGTGCCTATAATTAACTCTACACCCACAACTATAGAACTGTTAAACACCTGGTGAGGGAAGGCAAGTGAGTTTTTGCGCCACTATCTATCTCTTGAAATTATTATAAAATGATTAAAAATTGTAACTAGTCGATAAACCCTCGCGCTTACTGTCAACACTTGCAAGAAATTAAGCGCCGATGAAGCAGCACCATAGACAACTTTGACAGTCTTCCGTAATTCAAAACATTCAAAAACTCAGTACAGTTGCTCAACTCCACATGATGTGAGTGCATGGCACCGAAACGGCTTGTGATCGTTTCTCTCTGTCCGTTAACTACCTCGCCCTGGAGGAATAATCACAGAGATACACGATGTTTGATGAAAGGACAGGCCAGGTTTTTGAAGAGCGAATCGCCCTAATTCAAAGCCAGAATGATGCTCGGAATTGGCCTAAAAAGACTCCAATCGCGCTTTGTCAGAAGTACAGGAGCTCTGAAACATCTGCATATAGAAACTATTGCAAAGTAGTCGAACAGAACCGTTCTGGTGGAGAAATAGTTGCAAAAGGTCCCAGGAAATTATTCGATATTTCTATCAAAGTATTGGTGTCTAATCTGCATTCTCTGCCACCGAACACCTTGAAGCACATTCCACTGCATCTTCTTGAGGAAGCTGCGAGGGTAGCCCAAGGGAGATTCGCTGAGTTGGGTCCTTTGGGCAGTTTCCCGGATGGGTTTTTAGATCTGCTCCCACTCTCTACTGTCGAAGGGATGTGGGCGGCCATCAACCAAAGGTATGTGACGAACAGTTATTAGTCTTCTATATCATGGATATATATTAGTCTTTTAAGCTTCTTCAAGCTTAATAGTGCGCTTATCATCGATGTAGGGCCCAGTTGAACTTGGACACTTGGAAGAAGATTTCCAAGAGACTACTTTCTGAGAAGCGTGACACTGTGACAGAACTTGGGCTTCGTCGCTACCGCCAAGAAATTGAATCACCAAGTCCAGAGTTATCATTCTACGCAGGGCCTGTCACGTCGACTTCGTTTGACTTTTTGACATCTCTGACAATTACAGCATGGTATCCAATCCACGACCTGGTAAACCTAGCTGACGTCGTCAATCTTGGAATTTTGCAAATTTATGAAACCGAGAAATCAATTCTGGAGCTTGGATTAGAGAGGCTTGTTCCTGATAGACTTCTGAGAGCTTGGGCAGAGCTCGCGGTTGAAAACGGCGCCTTTTCTGTGCTCAGAGTCCTCAAATTTCATGTTCTCGAAGGTGGTCTCACCGACAGTAGCTTGAGGCACTTCAATTCGTTCCCGGCATTGGGGTTAGTATACCCTGGTCCACAGGGTATGAGCGAATCTGTCGCCGTCAAAGCAAAGGAGCAGGGCTGGCAAGCCCTCTGCGATTCAAAAACATATTTAATCGGAACTCAGTTCAGCAATACCATCAATGTGGTAAACCCGCGGGATGATAATTACTCTTACGATTACTGGGGTAAGCAGGTATGGCATATGCCATTCATGAATTTTGGTGCCAATAATCCAACATCATGGGATGGTTGCGAAGTAACAACACTTCCATCCAAGAATGAAGGTGAATTCCTCGCTGCTTTGGAAGCTACTAGACTTCCAACCCATTGGCTGTCTGGGGTAAAGCAAGGCGGCCCCCAAAACCGCATGGGCCGGGTTTATAAGTATGATGATTTTGTACAAGGCGAATCGTGGCAGAAGACTGACTGGGACCTATTTTCCGAGTCTTTGGGGCTGCCCATGTCAAATATTGTTACTGATGGGGATGTGCACTGCCTCGATCAATTCCACGGTCTTACCTATCTTCGGCTTGATCGTGATCTCCGTGCTGCTGGAGTTAAGGAGTGTGGGCCAGGTATTGTCAGCATAGGAGATACCTTTAAATCTATCATCAGCACCATACCGATAGTTAGCATTCTTCTGGGCCCAAGGAAACTTGGCGAGAGGTTCGACAACCTTTCTCGCACCAAGACCTGGCATTTCTTGAGGACCCATATACCGGATAAAGTACCAAACCCAGACCAACCGACTTCAAATCCTGCCGATGCGAGGTCCTCTACGGCGCCGCCATCATCTAATAAGCGGCCTGGGTTTGGGTCTATAAAGAAGAGGCGTCCTGCAAAAGTGCAGAGGTTTAAAGATTTCTTTGGGGCTTTATAGTAAAGGGACGTTGGAATATGTCGGATACAAGGCTTTCTAGTTTTTAAGATGTCTATTTTGAACTTTATTTCCATAGTCTATTCTACTGTGTATGGACATCTACCTAGATTGTAGGAAATTTCCACACCCAACTTGGATAGCTATATGTAAAGCACGCCTCTCCTGGCCCACTTCCCACAGCAACTTCCCCTCTGACATGCCGCCAACTACCCTGGAAACCCTGCCCTCGCCACCTTCCTCGCCCTCTGGTCTCTCCGGTTATGATTGGCCACCCTCCCTTTATTTTGGTCCTTCCTTTCTCGCGCTTTGTCTGTGTCTTGCCCAGGTGGTCCCGCAACACTAGACCCTCCCCCCCTACCTCTCCCACCAATACCTCTCCCACCCATACCCCTTCCTCGGCCCCTGAATCCTCCTCTACCTCGATTCCCACCATCAACATCACTACCATCTGTACCCTCAGTCCCAGAATCAGCACGCCAGCTAGTGGGTGCCAACTGATTCTGCTGGCCGCTGAAACTCGACATCTTCGCTTCGAGCTGGCGCAGCCTGCGTGGGTCGCGAGACAACATGATTCCCCAGCCCTCAATAGCCTCATCTGTCATGCCAGTCTCTTGCTTCAAACTCGCGCGCTCCTTGCCCCTCCTCGTCGGTGCATCTCGCCCAAACAGCGCTTGGTTCATCTTCCATGCGCGGAAGAGCACTTCATCCTTCGCATCATCCATCTCTGTCCGTTGGTCTCGCAGTTCGTCAGTGTTGTTTGCGTCTACGGCACCTCCCACATCGGCAGCATCGTATGTGTCATCTCTCTCATCATCATCGCTATCAAATGCTGCAAGGGCTGCGAGAATAGCTGCTGCATTGGGCACTGTAGAGCGGTCTTTGAGAATGTCTGCAGTCTTGTCGGCGTCTTTGCGGCTGAAATATAACCGCGAGGTAGAGACGGCCAGCTGGTCGAATTCGTCATCGTCGTAAATATTGCGGCGGGTAGGGGCGAGTGGTGGTGTAGCACGAGGCGACAAGTGTGGTAGAGTCGATTCACCGGACGCAGCTTTGGGGAGTGCTTCTGTACGGTCGAGCCCTCTGAGGTGAGGTGGGAGAGAGTCTTCCAAAAGATGAGATATCACAACTTCAACGTCTTCGTTGTATTCGTCCAAGAGCTTTACTATGAATGCAGAGCCGAGGTCTGGGAAGAGATCTTGGACTTGAGATACCAGGCTGATGAGGTGGATGTTAACAGGACCTGCTACATGGCCATGTTCATTCTCAAAATTGGCTGCTTTCTTTTTTCCTTTATTAATCTTCCGTTTGATGATTCGTTTAGGGCGTGTAGCATTTGGTTTGCGGAAGCTCTCCAAGGACGATATGATAGGCTTCGCTCTAGCGGAGCCTGTGCCGCTTTGCTCTATGCGGTCCCTGACCTGCTTTAAGAGTGGAGTAGCTGTTACTAATTCTGCGACGAGAGAATCATTGACGTTTGTCGGACCCGCCTTGTGAGCTTCCGCTGCAGCTTGTAGAGAATATAGTTGGTCAATAAGTTGAGAAAACCTTGGCTTCTCGCCCTCGGTCAAGGTGATTAGGCACAAATATGTCGTTGAAATGATAGCCTTCCGTAAGGGTGGATTCATAAGCTTATAACATGATATTAAAGCATCGAGGAAATCAGATCCGCTGATGAAGAAAATAGCGGTATCGGGAGACACATAGAGGAGATGGTTTAGACGCTTCAACGTCTGTACCACCTCTGCAGGTTTACCTTTGAGCCCCACTTCAAGATCTTTTGTAAGATGAGACTTAAAGTTGCCCAGCGGTAACGCGAGTGCCTCGGGGGATTTCCTCCAGAGGTTGGCGAGAGGCTTATTCGAAAGGCCCTTTCCATACGCTTTCGCAAAGTCCGCCAAGAATGTCCATTTAAGAAGAGCTTCCGGAGGCGGCTCCGAGTCCAGCAGCCTATTTATGAGAAAGAAGACGCTCTTCTTAAGTGTTTTGGACTTCCCGACATCGCCGAAGGAGTCGACGTCAGGTGATAACAGTGCGAGCTGCCTGGTATATGAAGTAACAAAAGCCGCTAAATATTCATCGCTGGCAAGAGCCTGTGCAAAATTTTGAGGAGACAGAGATAAATTGGCCTCAACCAAGATTATCCAGGCCTCAAGACATGCTGCCCATTCTTCAGGCACAAGATGTGCTCTCCACTCAGGTTCAGGGAAGGGTGCTAGTGATGGAAGCTGTTTGGGCGTATTGGACGCCATGGATCCGTGGATGGACGATATCAACTTTCGTTAATAAAATGTGTCTCTTTCTGTTCCAAACCACCCATATATTGCTTTGTTCAAAATCAACGCCTTTGTCCTGAATTCGCTGGTGATAATTCAATAGTGCCGCCGAGTCACTTCCATATCAACCTGGATATCAACCTAAAAGTACGTACCTTATTAGGGAAATCCACATATCACGTGACAATCACCAATTTAGCCCTAGCTAGCGATGCCAAGAGTTCGTGCCCACCAAAAATCCAATTCTCGATATTGATATATTTCCTCCCCATCGCTATCACGACAATCTACGATCGCCTTAGTCACTTTGCCGCAACATAACGTTCGAGTCGCCAAGGTATAACTTATATCAAGATGTCTTTCCAAAAGCCAGAGAAGGAGTTCGGCGAGGGCCCAGTAAGTATTCACCATCGTCGCACGCGCAATTGAGCGCATTGCGACCTCCGAATCGTGTCGTGGGATATATCGTACTAACGAATAATTTTGCAGAAAATCCACCGCATCCGTATCACCCTCACCTCCCGCAAGGTCGACGCCCTCGAGAAGGTCTGCACCGAGCTCGTTGAGCGTGCCAAGTCCAAGGACCTCCGCGTCAAGGGCCCCGTCCGTCTCCCAACCAAGACCCTTAAGATCACCACCCGCAAGACCCCCTGTGGTGAGGGTTCCAAGACCTGGGACACCTTTGAGATGCGCATCCACAAGCGCCTCATCGAGTAAGTAGCCATCCATCCTTGCTTCGCCCTGGTTGTGGCATGCAGCTTGTAGGAGGGCCTCACTAACACATGGATAGTCTTAACGCCCCAACTGAGGTCGTCAAGCAGATCATCATCAACATCGAGGCCGGTGTTGAGGTTGAGGTCACCATTGCTGCTTAAATGTATCATGGTACTTCTTCTGGCATTGCATGTTAGGGTTCGGGGTGCTATTGGACGCTTTCTATTGTTGACGGCGAGATATTAGCCACCATCGAATTACTATATATATGCATGACTCTTGAAACATTCTACATTCCGTCTGTGCCGTGACTTAGGAGTCTCATTGTAGCCCAAAGAAGATCCTCCTCCATCCCACTTTAACCTGACTTCTTTAAAAACCGAACTCCAACGTATTATCCACAACCGGACACCATCCCATGCTATATATATATTCTTTGTCCCTCCCTATATTTCTAGAAATCCCATTTTGACCATTCCCTCCGCGGCGGCAATAGCGGCAGCTTCCCTCCTTCCAATTCTCCCGTCTGCCTAAGTTTCTCATAGGCTTCTTTTGTCGCTTGATCATAACCCTCCTCCGGCAGTTCCGTCGCATTATAATACCCCGGGGGCCCATTCGGAAACCATATTTTTTCCCAGCTCCCATCATAGTTCTGGAAGCCCGGCTGGTTATCTTTGTATACCACAGGTCTGCCCTTGAACATTGTTATGCGATTGGAAGCATCTCGTGCACTGTAAGTTGACGGATGTGGGTGCTGAGCACTCGATCCGGGCGGATAAGGACTGGGGTCAGCAACTTGGCCACCAGCGGCAGGAAATCCGGATTGCTGGCCCTGGGCGGCTTGCTGCTGAGGAATTGGCGAGAATGAGTTTGGTGCCTGGATATTGCTGGGGGCAACAGCTCCAAAAGGTTGAGCACCGCCCTGTTGGAAGCCAGAGGGAGCGGTGGGGGCTGCGCCGAAGGGGCTTACTCCCGTCGAGAAACCGCGCGCGGGCTGTGCGGCAGGTTGTCCGAATGGACTTGGCTGGGCTGGTTGCTGAGCCTGCGGCTGTCCAAATTGACTTGGTTGAGCAGGCTGCTGAACCTGCGGTTGGCCAAATGCGCCCTGGGGTTGTGGTTGTGCTGGTGACAATGGATTTGGGGCCTGCTGGACCTGTGGTTGAGCAAGTAAAGGGTTTGGTGCGTTTTGCTGAAAGCCTCCCGGCTGTCCAAATGCACCAATGCCGCCTGGCCGAGGTTGCTGTCCAAATAGGCTGGATTGTGGTGGCTGTATAGGTGCCTGCCCGCCAAAGGGTTGTGAAGCCAGAGGGTTACTCCCCAACCCTGGTTGTTCAAATGCAGGAGACGGAGCACCGAGAGCACCTTGTCCCCCAAGCGGGTTTGGAGCCTGTCCTAGAATCGAGTGGCCCGCACCGAATGCGCTCGCCGGTGGGATTTGACTTGGTTGTCCCAGAGGGTTCACAGAGGGGATGTTTGCGCCCAATGGAGCTGTAGGTTGTGTGGGATTTATGATTCCCTTTGTATACTGTTCCACAATATCTAGTCGGTTTGGATGTTCATTCTCGCCACGGAGAACGTACGTCAGGGCAGCGTCGATGTTGTGCAGGGCATTCTGGTTTTGTGCTGCTGCTTTTTGAATCAATTCGTCCTGCTGTTGCGCCTGGAACAATGTTAGTATGTTTTTGGTATGACGTCTTCTGGGATGCATACAGCCAGAGCTTCTTGGCCTGCCGCTCGAAGCGCATAATGATTCAGTCGCATTTCTTCGAAACTCTTCTCTCTCTCCTCTCCTCCAAAAAGTTGAATAGGGGCCTTCAGGCCCGGTCCATAGGCTGATAGGATCCATTGCGGCAGTTCAGTCGACAGATCTGTGATCATTCCATCCTTTCCTAGAAGGTACGGAGGCTGCGCTTGGTGTCCTGGTTGAGGACCTGCCTGCGCACGGCCACCACGAGTATCCGGTGCCCTTCCAAAGCTGCTTTGCCCTTGAGGCAGCCTCGCTCCAAACGTAGACTGTCCTCCGTATCCTTGGTTGACATTGCTTCCGACCGCGTTGAAAGGATTGCGACCAGGTGCGCCGCCGCCTCCGGCTAATTCTTGGCCAGGAGGGCCAATGTGTTCAAATCGACAATTATCTATTGACATGTCAGCTTAGGATTAAGAAAAGTAGCTTTCCTTCACATGTACTGACTCCCGTTCTTGCATGTCCCCTTCCCCCAGAACTTGCAAATAGGCATTGTTCTGTTGCTTAGTCTTTTGGGAAGGGTTCAATTTGTCCGACAAACAGCATAATAAAAGGCCATATTAAACAAAGACAGTAAACGGTGATATACTATGAGAGCTTCAATTCGCAAAAGGACATGGAAACGTATAAACGCCTCTAATGTTGTCAAAGAATCGAACCGTCAATCATCATCACGCGTCGTTATCGATAGTGACAAGGCCGCATTTCGAGTACCGCCACAATGTTAATCCATGCCGAGATGATGAAATCAGAGAGTACGGCTTGAGACAGACAATAACCTTAAACCAACATTCATGACATCGATATCAAAGAAAATACTACATTAGGTAACTCAATTCGCATTCTACATGGATAATTCTTATTCGGCTTACAAAGATGCCAGACGCCATGTTGATTGACTCCCTTACTTTGCCTATTCCGTGCAATGTCCAGCCGACTATCTCATCCTTGAAATATCATATCGCGGTCCCAGGCCCTCTCGGATGCCTTCTTGTAAAGATTCCCAATTTAAACCGCCAACAGTTTTGCTCCTGTTGCAGTCAACATCCAGTGCCTCGTTAAATTTCCCCGTCCCTATTCTCCGGAGCATCACTAGATCTCTTGCCCTCGCGGCCGTCCTTCCACCCATGCCCGTCAAGACCTGTTCGAACAAGGCTTCTTCTTCTTTAGTAAATGGCAAGTTTACGAGCTCAATCCCGCGTGCTGCAGTCCTGTCACCCAGCGGTTCTTGAGTAATATGCCGTAATAAAGACTCAAACATGCGGGTTTGATCTAGCTCGGATTGGCTTCGGAGAAAAAAGAATGCCTCTGTCACACTTGTTCTTGCTATCGCCAGGAAAAGGCTGTCCAATGCGGGCGTGTTGACCAGCGCGGGCAGTACAGTATGATAATACGCCAATGGAAGGCGCATATCGTCTGCTGGGGAATGTTTGACCAAAACCCCTAAAATTTCTTCTTGGAAGGTGGGAATAAGTGAGGGGTGTGTGAGGTTTTGTAGAGCAGTCTGAAAAGAGTCAGTTTGGACCATCGTCATGGGTAACATAGCAAACCTCAAATTCCGCTCTGTCCATGTGCCATAGGCCCTTCATGAATATTTGATACTTTTTCGGCATGAATGACATTTCCTCGAAGGCGTTTGAGTTCGCATTGTTTCGTGCCTTTTCGTCGCAGTCCAGGAGAATATAATACAAGAGCGACACCTTCGTATGGTCTGCGGCGTTCGAGCTAACGACAGCGTGATGAAGACTCCTCAAGTCACCATTGCTTTTTGGAGGGTAGCTTTTATTCGCTGTAACAGTGAGTTAGGAAGAGATCTCAGAATATCGTTGGAACAGACTTACGCCTCTTGATCTCAAGCACTTTGAGGACCCTGTCAACAAACAGCCCTTCAAAAGTTGTCCTGTGTTGCTCTATGCTCTCCACACTTTCCGCAGCATAGCTGTACTTTGGATCGAATGCGAAGACATCGTCGAAATTGCTAATATCGAACATCTTTGGCATTGGCTTATGTTTGCGGCGTTGGAAAGCAGCCTTGGTAGGTACAAAAGTTACAGCCTTGTTCGCTTGTGCATGTCGGGACCTGTGGTCGCGAAACTCGTCACCAATGTTTTGATCAGCCTCGCCGATAAAACGCGACCACGCCGCAAATACCCATCATCATTCCAAGAAGCCAAATACGCGTCAAATCAGTGCCTATTTAGTCCGCCTGAGACCACAGACCCCAGAATTCCATCTGACATTTTCAATGTCGCAATAGATCCGTCTGCTCACCGACGACTGCCCCTCCATTTCGAAGGAAGTAAACAAAGCAAACCAAAACGGCTCCGCATCATGGAATCCCCCACCAGGCCCTCGAGAAGGGCAGCCGCCCGCCGCAAAATCGTCGATTCGTCTGATGAGGATGAGCCGAGTGGAAGCTCTCAAAAAGTGAGGGAAGAGAGCGAAGAGGAATTTACCCCCGCACCGGAACGAAGCCCCCGGAGGCAGACTCAGTCGAGGAGGAAGACAGCCACTTCAGTGCCAAGTACACCGCGCACATCCGGACGAACTCGCAAATCAGTTGTGGCCGAAAGCATTGAGCCGTCCGAGATATTCGACCCCGAGCAAGCCGCATACCCAGAGCCACTTTCTCCATCAAAAAGGGCGTCGCCTAGAAAACGAAAGAGCACCGCGCCTTCGCGTGCAGGAAGTGCTTCTGTTCCACCAGAACTACCAGCTCCATTACCTACACCGCAAGCCTCAGTGTCACCTGCGCCCTACCAACTCCATAGCACCCCACTTGCCGACATCACGGAGACACTGAATGACCAGCCAGCGGCTCCGGCTCCAGGGAGCTCAGAGGCATTGGCCAAGCCTATCAATGCTATGGATACCGTCCTGGAAAGGCCGATGGACATTATGCTAAAGTCGAGGTCAATGGCGGGGCCTGTTGTGGAAGATACTGGCCCCAAGGCCCGAACTGTCATTACATATCTGATCCTCACCAACTTCAAGAGTTACGCGGGGAGACAAGAAGTTGGCCCATTCCATGCATCTTTCTCATCGGTCGTAGGGCCCAACGGATCCGGCAAGTCTAACGTCATCGACTCTTTGCTATTCGTCTTTGGTTTCCGAGCCAGCAAAATGAGACAAGGGAAAATCTCTGCATTGATTCATAACTCTGCAGCCTTCCCCAATCTAGATCATTGTGAGGTTGCAGTACACTTCCAAGAAGTAATGGATTTGCCCACCGGTGGGCATGAGATCATGCCAGGCTCAGACCTAGTAATTTCGAGGCGGGCGTTCAAGAACAACTCCAGCAAATACTACATTAACGGAAAAGAGTCGAATTTCACCACAGTCACGACCCTCCTGCGTGATAAGGGTGTGGATCTCGACCACAAGCGTTTCCTTATTTTACAGGGCGAAGTCGAGTCGATTGCTCAGATGAAGGCCAAGGCTGCAAATGAGCACGATGATGGGCTACTGGAATATCTAGAAGACATTATCGGAACATCCAAATACAAGACTCCTATCGAAGAATCTGCTGCCGAAGTCGAAACACTCAACGAGGTCTGCATGGAAAAGAGTACCCGTGTACAACACGTTGAGAAGGAGAAGAATAGTCTCGAGGATAAAAAGAACAAGGCTCTTGCATTCATAAAAGACGAGAATGAACTGGCTCTGAAGCAATCAGCACTTTATCAAATATACATTAATGGATGCGGCGATAACATAACAGTTACCGAAGAAGCCATTGGCCAAATGCAAGAGCAGCTTGATACGGAGCTCGAGAAGCACAAGGGCAATGAAGATGGAATTAAGCAGATGGACAAGCAATACAAGCGAGGTCAGAAAGAGTACGAATCTATGGACAAGGAAACCCAGGCTATCCTGAAGGAAATGGCCAAATTCGACCAAGACAATGTCAAATTTGAAGAAAAGAGGAAGTTCTTAACCGGGAAGCAGAAGAAGTTAGAAAAGAGCATTGCTGCTACGGAAAAAAATGGACAAGAAGCTACTGCTAGCATCGCAGAATGCACAAATGAGATTGAAGAGTCAACAAAGGAAATTGCCAGTTTGGAGAAGCAGTTGCAAGCTGAGGAGAAAGAGCTCGCAAGCATACGTGATAGCCTTAAAGGCAAGGCTCAAGTTTTCTCAGACCAGATCGCTACCAAGCAGAAATCCCTGGAGCCATGGAACGAAAAGATCAACCAGACGCAATCAGCAGTCGCTGTTGCTGAAAGTGAACTTGCGATACTTCATGAGAAGGCAAACGCTGGTGCCGTGGCCCTCGAGGAAACGCAGGCTAAAATAGCGTCCATTCAGGGAGGCCAGGAAGCCAAGCTTGCTGAGTTGGAAGAATGTAAAGCTCAGAAGGCAAAGCTTGAGAAGGAAGTTGCCAAGACAAAGGCCGAGTTAAGCAAAATGGCCCAAAAGGAGCCTGAATGCCGTGCACAGCTTTCTGGGGCCAGGCAAAAGGCCGATGAAGCACGTGCGAGCCTCTCAAACACTCAGACCCAAGGCAATGTTCTTTCCGGGCTCATGAGATTGAAGGAATCTGGCCGCATTGAAGGATTCCATGGCCGTCTAGGGAACCTGGGCACTATCGATCAGAAGTACGATGTAGCAATTTCTACCGCTTGTGGCGCGTTGGATAACTTTGTTACCGATACCGTCGAAAATGGACAGCAATGCATCGAGTACCTGAGAAAGACCAACCTCGGACGAGGTAACTTCATGTGTCTCGATAAACTTGGCAACCGCAATCTGTCACCCATTGCCACACCCGAAAACGTTCCTCGACTTTTCGACTTGATCAAGGCAAAGAATGACATATTCCTCCCAGCTTTTTACCATTCACTCCAAGACACCCTTGTGGCAGATGATTTAGCTCAAGCCAATCGAATCGCGTATGGAGCCCGCAGATGGCGCGTTGTGACTCTCGACGGACAACTCATTGACAAGTCGGGTACTATGTCTGGTGGAGGTAACACTGTTAAGAAGGGTCTCATGTCCTCTAAACTTGTTGCCGATGTCTCCAAGACTCAAGTTGCCCAACTAGAAGTTGACAGAGATGTCATGGAGCAAGAGTTCCAAACTTTCCAGGAGCGCCAACGGGAACTCGAAGCTTCTTTGAGAGATTTGAGTGATCAGATCCCCCGGCTGGAAACCAAAATGCAGAAGATTGGTCTGGAGGTTGAAAGTTCGGCGCGCAATCTAGCGGATGCCCAACGGAGAGTCAAAGAGCTGAGTAAGGAACATCAGCCGAATCAAACCGACAATGGCCGCATCACATCCCTTGAGAAAGAGATTTTTAAACTTAACAAGAGCATCGAGAAGCTACATAGTGAGACTTCGAGCGTCGAAGACGAAATCAAGGCTTTACAAGACAAAATCATGGCAGTCGGCGGTGAGAAACTGCGAGCACAGAAAGTTGAGGTCGACAATCTAAAGCTGCAAATCGACGTTCTCAATGACGCAGTGTCTACAGCCGAAATTACCAAGGCCAAAGCGGAGAAGCAGATCCCTAAGCTCGAAAAAGACCACAACAAGGCTACCAAGGATTTACAGGGTGTCATTGCCGGCTTGGAGAAACTCGAGCAGGAAATCGAAAATGAGAGCTCAAACGCTGAAGCTTCGAAGCAGAGAGCAGAGCAGGCCAACGAAGCACTTACTGAGAAGAAACAAGAGTTGTCAGCACTGAAGGCCGAGCTTGATGAGAAGACCGCCGAGCTAAACGAGACCCGTGCCGTCGAAATCGAAATGCGCAACAAGCTCGAAGAGAACCAGAAAGTGCTCCTCGAGAACCAAAAGCGCCTCCGGTACTGGCAAGAGAAATTCTCCAAGCTATCTGTGCAAAACATCAACGACCTTGGCGAGGAGTCCGAGCCTCAGGAGTTGCAGGCGTATAGCAAGGACGAGCTTGCGGATATGAGCAAGGACACACTGAAGAGTGAAATCGCCATCCTCGAGGAGAAGACCCAGAACGTCAATGTGGAACTGGGCGTCTTGGCAGAGTACCGCCGCCGCGTCGAGGAACACACTACCCGCTCCGAAGACCTCGCCGCCGCAGTCGCACAGCGTGACCGCGTCAAGAAACGCTGCGACGACCTGCGCCGTCTGCGTCTCGAGGGGTTCATGGAGGGCTTCTCTACTATCTCGCTACGGCTCAAGGAGATGTACCAGATGATTACCATGGGCGGCAATGCGGAGCTCGAGCTCGTGGACAGTTTAGATCCGTTCAGCGAGGGCATCTTGTTCTCTGTGATGCCGCCGAAGAAGAGCTGGAAGAACATCAGCAATTTGTCGGGTGGAGAGAAGACGCTTAGTTCGCTGGCGCTGGTGTTCGCGCTGCATCATTATAAGCCGACGCCGTTGTATGTTATGGATGAGATTGATGCTGCGCTTGATTTCCGCAATGTGAGCCCCCCCCCCCCCCCAAGTAAACTATTTTCTGCGAATCAACGAAACTAACGCGTAACAGGTCTCTATCGTGGCTTCTTACATTAAGGAACGCACCAAGAACGCTCAGTTCATCGTCATCTCCCTGCGCAATAACATGTTTGAGCTTGCGAGCAGGCTCGTGGGTGTGTATAAGGTGAACCATATGACCAAGAGCGTCACGATTGAAAACAGGGATTACATCACTGGGAAACCAGCCCCGACAGCGACGCCAGCGGCGACGGCGGCGACGTAGTCGCCTCAGATTATATGACGAAGGAATCATTGATATATTGGTTGGTTGCTGGCGTTGCTTGTGCGGGTATTGGTTATCGGAATGGCTAGAACAGTAACGGAGGGGGTCTTTGGAAGCATAATATGGTCAGGCGGTAGAGCCGGGGGTGGTGTGGCGATGTATCTACGAGTGAATGACTGCTATATAGTTATGAGAAACGACTTCAGTTGATTTATCTCATCCACTGTGATCCCTAAACTAAAATGTTCAGAGTCACTATGGCGCATCGTCTAATATACAGCGCTCCGTCTATGTTCGCTCGCCGCTTGCTCGGTCTCGCATTAAACAAACGCTATGGAAACTCAAATCCAATAAACCGCCCTCCTCCCCACCACAACCAATACAGACAGACCCCCCTACTCCGTAAAAACATCCTCCGCATCCACCAACCTCAAAACCTTCGCCGTCGGCACCGCCCCACTACCCCTCGGCCTGCCCCTCCCCCCCGCCTCCCCAAGCTTCCTCCCATACTTATCCTCCCACACCCTCTTCAGCACCTCATAAATAAACCGATACTGCGGCACCGCCTGCACCATATTCGGCCTCTGCATCCTCAAGCTATTCACCGCATCAAACACCGGATCGTCCCTCCGAAACGCCTCAAACGCCCCACCACCCCCACCTCCCCGATCCCCCGGAAACGCCCCCGCCTCCAACTCCCCCAGCAAATGGTCCAGCGCGATGAACGTCCCCGACCTCCCCACGCCTGCGCGACAGTGCACGATTTTAGGATTGGTGGGGGTGGCATTCTTCTCTTTGGAAAGCGCAATCAGGTTCAGCAGCGAAGCAGTCTCGTTCTCGGCCGGGATCCCGAAATCGGGCCATTGCGTGTACAGCAGGTGCCAGATGACCTTCTCCTTCTGCTCGCCCTCCACGCGCATAACCAGCTTACGGATCTCCGTCGCGCCGTCGGCGGAGAGCTCAGCGTCGCCCTCACACGTCACGGTGCCGAGGAAGCCGTCGCCGAATTCATCGATGGTGTTGATGGGGAGGGTTTGTGAGGCGCTGGACGGGAAATAGGGGTACCCCTTGTCGTCGGTCAGCATGACGATGAGGGCGGGGCTGGCGAGCTCGTGCCATGCCATGCGCCAGACGTGGTCGGTGGTGGATTGCTTGGGGCCTTGCATGGCGATGTATTTGCTCTGCAGCGGGGTGCGGTGGCTTTTCATGGTGATGGGGGAGGCGTTGATGTAGTCGTTCATCTCGTCGGGGACGTGCAGCTTGACGCGGTTATTCTTCCACACGAAGATGTCGCCGAAGCGGTCGCGGCCTGCTGTCAAGTCTGCATCGCAGCGAGCCCATTTTGAGTCCTCGGTGGTTCGGCCATCTGCTGCTCTGGTCCTCTCGAGCCAGTTCAGCTCCTTGAATTTTTGGAAGGTTTCTGAAACGGCATTAGTAAAGAAAGAAAAAAATAGGCATAATAACAGTGCTTACCCTCTTCCGATAATTGCAGGAACGTGGGCATCTTTCCCAGGGGCAACGCCGGTGGTTCAGATTGAGAATCACGTGTCAGGCTGTGGTCACGCGATAGCGGTTCAGAGGTAGGCGGTTGCCTCTCCTGCCGCTTTGTGGAGATGCTGTCTGGCTGGGGCGACTCCGTTGGCGAGCGTGCGCGCTTGGATGCAGACGTCGAGCGCCGCATCCTCCGGATCCAACTGGGCGAATCCCTGCGGAGCGTCTTTCTCGTGCCGCCGTTCTCGCTCTGGCTCCGGGACTCGAGGTGTCTGCCCCTGAAGGCGCGGATTCGATCCAGCTTGCGAGGCTGCAGCGCAGTTGACAGATGTACAACGCGGGATGGGTTTGGTGGCAGAGGTCGGAGGGCGGTGGATGGCCTGCTTAAGAAGGAAGGAAATGGCGTTTTGGGCGGCGTTTTAGGGCCTAAGGGAGGACTTATTATAGCTGTAGCTCTCTCCTCGTACAATAAATATTTATTGCGCCTGGTGGTGCTGAGTAAGGCTCTCCCCTCTCGAGGCAGGGCAGGCAGGCACGGTGATTGCGGAATAAAATCAAGCTTGTAGGAATAGGTAAAGGCAATAAAGAGTGCCAATCACTTTTCGCAGACTAAAGCCAACCTTCCAAATCCTTCTAGAGGGTGGTAAATAGCGTGATGTCAGAGTCGCTGGAAACCACTGGTGTTGTTCCCACTCTTGGGCGTTTGTCCCACGGCGGGAACTAAGAAGCCGCGTTCGGAATCAATAGTGTGCAAAGGATCTAGTATAAGGGCGGCCAGATTGGCAGGCACAAGGGCGCCAGTGATATAATAAGTGAGAGAACATCATCATAATATCGTTATATCACAAGCAAAAAAGCAACGGCAGTGGTGGAATCTTGTATAGTGTAAGTTATGGTTGTAATGGAGGTCAAAGGGAAGGGGAAGAACAAAGAACGAAGAAACCGGGCGGGGCGCTCGGGTGAAAGGGCCGATACGCTCTATGTACCAGTCAAACAACCAACAAGCCTCACAAACACAAACTCAACAACCACTGCGAGTACTCTGTTGCCACGGGCCTCCATCACAACACCTGGGCGTCTGCGCAAACCAACATCCCTTCCAATTTACGATTCCATGTGCCACTGACCATGTCCTGGCTACGCGCCGCCGTCGAACTGTGGCTTATCCAAAAGGTAACCCATTATTACCCATTCGCGCCCCCCCCCCGAGACATCCGCCACCCTCACTCAGTAGCTGACAGCGACCATCTAGCTCATCTCGAGCCCAACCTTCCACCGCGGAGTCCGACGGATCCACAAAGGGGTGCATGAGTTTCGCCATGGCAAGGACCCGGCGGATATGGGGGGGACGAAGATAGATGTTCCTGGTGGCAAGAAGGGCTTTCTGGGCCACTTTATCGATGAGCTGAAGGAGCAGATACGGGGGACTTCGACGAAGAAATGAGGGTGCATACGGGAGATTGGAACAAACATACTACCCTATGACGACAACCAACTTGGATGGCCTTCGTGAAGAGGCCGTGTTGGATAATACGATACCCTCGACGTTGGAGCCCAACTGTTCGACCACCCCGCAACGACAATGCGCCCAACACCGAGCACGGCCCTTGAGGTCGATGCATCTTGGATCAGCAAAACTAGTCGAGGGATCTGAAACTACAGGCCTGAAGATATTGTACGAGAAAATCGAGGGGAACCAGGGGCACAAATAGCCTCGGTTGAACTGGCGTAAGACCTCCTCCATTCACTATGTTACACCCATAGAACAGGCGACAACGCTTCCGGACTTTTCATTATTATGATCTGGGCTGGTTGAAGAATATACTCCTTTACACCAACTGATCTTGACAATCTATTTTATACTAACCTGTGTTTTTCCTAACTTGTGACATGGTTTATCTCCTTTCGAAAACACCTAATAGACTATAATATTTGTCTCGCCTACTAAACCGACTGTATTCTCTCCATCAACCTTGAAATCTCTTCTTTCCATTTCTTCTTCCAGCATGCCTCATAGCTCTCTCTCCGCTCTCTCTCCGCTCTCTCTCCGCTCTCTCCAAACCCTCACTCTACATTCTCAAGACTCCTCAGAATATTTATCACCAACCCCTTTACTCCTTTAAACTCAAACCCGCCACCCATCACCCCAGCTTCTCTTCACACGTCCTCCTTCTCCCGCACCGTGAACCCAGCTTTCACCCAAACTAAACGATGCAACCGGGCTGTTATACGGGCTCTCTGATACTCAACGTCATCGTGCCTTAAGTTTGAACCCGAACATCAACTCCGTCTTCAGGCGGGGTCCAGCTTCGTTTAAGCGGCTGCGTGCTCTTCCTATGCGCGTCCTTGCCTGCCTCGTAAGCTGACATTTTTGAAAAATATACAGTTTATATTTTTAGAATGTGTATTAGTTATATTGATATTATTATCAAATTAAACCTGGTCCAAGCACGCATATGTGTGAGATAACCCAGACGCCGACACCGATGGGAAACACCGTGCAACACCGTGCAACACCGCAAATCCAAAGACAATCCCCATCCCCCCCTTTGTCTCCCTCTAAGCGCTACCCTTCCTATATAAACCAAAACAACCGCCTCCCCTCCCATAAGCGGCACAGTGGCGCGGTGGAAGTACCACCGTCTGGACAATCTGGCCAGGGTTATATAAAGGGAGATCACGGGTTCGAGTTTCGGGTTATACAGAAAGAGCAAGGGAAAAAATGGATTATATCGACAAAAAGTAAAATCATAAAAAGTGATTTTCTCCCTCATCAGATGTCCAGAATTGATGGAATCTGATGAGTCTTTTTGTACTTTTTTGCTTTTTTTTTTGGATGGTTGATTGGATTCTTCTGGAAGTAGACGGATTGATGTTTAGGAGGGGTTTAAATTGGGGTTTGAGTGTCGAGCGGATGAATGGAAATAAATTTATACAACGTTTTGTGATGCTTTGCGAGACTTGGAGGGTGATGCTTTTGTAGTGGGGGGTGCTGATAAGATTAGATCGGTTCGATCTAATCTTGTTGATCTAATACCATGACCCAAAATAACCCAGTACGGTCCATTCGTCACAGTGAATTATTAAAACAAAAAATAAAAGTTAGGTATAGATAGATCATATTACCCTATATCCATATTTGTTCCTCTCGAGTGACTGCTATGAATTCCTGAAATGCTGCCCATTGAGACACCTGAAATCCCACCCAAGTCCACCTGTGGCGCTAACTGCTGTGACAGTGCGAGGCCAATAATCTGCACCACACAGCAGCGCAAGTATCGAGGTAAGATAGTTTGCCCATAACAACACAACCCCGCCAGCTGTGGGATAATACCCAAAAAATGGCAGACACAGCGACGAAGTAAGTAACAGCTGCTCCTTCCCCAAAGCTCTATTCCACCCGTCGAACCCTAGCTGACCCTCGCGGCTTCCCCAGAAAACCCGCAGCCCGGACGAACCCTCGGGGTATCCCCTATGCGCCCTTCGTCGATAAGGTCGAGGACTACGTAACGACCCGCGCGGATGTGGAGGCCACTCTCAAGAGCTTCCAGGAGATGATAGCGTATGCTGCCCGTGCCTCTCTTGTTCAAACGCGCGGAGAACTGATACAATGCGTGTAGAAAGTACCAGTTTATGGAGGCCAACCAGCAGCGGAGAGCAGCTGGGTTGAAGGATAAGATGCCGGATATTCAAAAGACGCTAGATACCGTGCGGTTCTTAAAAACACGAAAGGTGCCCGAGCTCCGATCTCTGCGGCGTTAGCGATGTGCTGATGTTTGTTCTATAGCCTGATTCGGACCCGATAGAAGCGACGTTTGAGCTTAATGATACGCTTTACGCAAAGGCACATATTCCACCTACGGAGGAAGTTTATCTATGGCTTGGGGTATGTCTGCTACTCGCTGGTTTGAGGTACAAATATTGACATGGCACAGGCGAACGTTATGCTGTCGTACCCCGTCGACGAGGCGGAGGTGCTCCTGAACTCGAAACTCACCTCGGCGAAAGCGAGCTTGTCAAACTGCGAGGAGGATCTCGACTTTCTCAGGGAGCAAATCACAGTATGTGTGCACGAATCCTGTCCTTTGAACAGCTAATTGACATGGACTAGACTATGGAGGTGGCCACAGCACGTGTGTATAACTGGGACGTCACGATGAAGAGGAAAGAGAAGGCTGAGAATGAGGGCGAGGAAGATGCAGATAAGAAGGGCTCTGCAAGTGGTTGAAAATACTATATTGACTTGAAACTCTATGCATGAGAATGGGGCTCTTTCCCATGTGAACCATGTGAACCATGTGAACCGTGTGAACGAGTTGAAAAAGACGACATTCATTCTTCATTCTTCATTCTTCATAGACGTTACACCTGTATACTCCATTTCCTCTATGCGACTTTTACCCCACGTTGCCCCTGTCGACGTGTTTGGAGCTCGTCCCACGTCGTTTGCTCGCTTACATGGGATGAGCGGCGGCGGGCCACCCACAGCTTGCGTCACTTCCATAACTTACCGTTAAACGCAAGATTGCTCCTCCTACCCTACCGATAATCTTAGTACTATACATCCCAATCAACCTAGTCTCACCTCCAGACAAAACCAAACCAAAACCTACATAAAATAGTATCCCCCCCCCTCCTCCCTTCGTCTTATCTTAATCACTCGCTTTTGAAGATGGCAGCCCCCCCTGAGATCGTCCCCCTCAAGACGGACCCGAAATATGACGACTACGACTTCCCAACCGTCTCCGCCACGAACCAGCCTGGGCATGCTGGACACCTCACGCCGCAGCAGGAGGCGCAGGTCTACCAATTGAGGATGTCGTTGGAGCAGAAGGGATTTACGGAGCGTTTGGATACTTTGACTCTGGTATGTGCGGTTCTCCGCAGCTTGGAGCTACGTTTGCTGACCCCAATCAGTTGAGATTCTTGCGTGCACGGAAGTTCGATGTTGCGCTCGCGGAGCTGATGTATGTCGGCCCACCCCAACTATACGGCTATAGCTATTAAAGAGGAAGTTGCTAACGTATGCTCAGGTTCGTTAACAGCGAGGCCTGGAGGAAGGAGATTAACCTCGACCACCTGGTCCAGAACTTCGAGTACACCGAGAAGGCCCAGATCTTCGAATACTACCCACAATACTACCACAAGACCGACAGGGTACAGTTGCCCGCCGCCCCCCATCGAACCTCCCCCGATACTAACCCCCCCCCCCCAGGATGGACGCCCCGTCTACATCGAACAACTAGGCAAGTGCGACCTAACCGCCATGAACAAAATCACCACCCAAGAGCGCATGCTTCAAAACCTTGCCGTCGAGTACGAGAAAGTGTCCGACCCCCGCCTCCCCGCCTGCTCCCGCAAGTCGAGCCACCTCCTCGAAACCTGCTGCACAATCATGGACCTCAAGGGCGTCGGGCTCGCCAAGATCTCCTCTGTCTACGGCTACGTCAAGGAGGCCTCCGCCATGTCGCAGAACCACTACCCCGAGCGCCTCGGCAGACTCTACCTCATCAACGCCCCGTGGGGATTTAGCTCCGTCTTCGGCATGATCAAGTCCTTCCTCGACCCCGTCACCGTCGAGAAGATCCACGTTCTTGGTAGCGGATACCAGAGCCAGCTGCTCGCACAGGTTCCGGCTGAGAACCTGCCCGAGCAGTTCGGTGGATCCTGCGATTGCGAGGGCGGATGCGGGTTCAGCGATGCGGGACCGTGGAGTGAGCCGGAGTTCTATAGGTCGCCGAAGTGGGCGAAGAAGCGCGGTGAGGAGAAGAAGGAGGATGCTGTCATTGATAATACGGAGGGCAAGGGCGAGACTGTGACTGCTACTACTACGGCCCCGATCCCTGAGCCGGGCGGTGTGGCGGCGGACCTCCGGGCAAAGCAGTATACGGACCATGGAATTACCCCCGCTTGAGGATTGGGTGATGACGACCGAGAAATGGGAGCGTATAAAGCGCGGTAGAACATAACGAGATTACGATGGGGTCTCGATGGGAAGACGGAAGAAATTCAACATGAGAGTGCAAGCATAGAATGCTAGTCGAGAGCTCGCTGTTTTTTGTTTGTAGAGGTTCGAGGTCAGATGAATGCGGTGTTGTTGATCCTTGGCCTTTGCCTGTCTTTTGTTGTATCTATGGGCGTAATATACAGAATTCCACACGTAGTTGAAGGAGGTGAAATCCTTACTCTCATATTAGCGGTCTGAGTTCCTTCCTTTGTTTTCACCTCACGTTAAATAACCCCCCTATCCAACTCAGTGCAAAGTATCATTCAACTATCCAAGAACTCGAATCCAAGCACCCGAATCCAAACAAACATGTCAACCTACGAAGCGTGTTACGAAACTGTATGTGTCTCCTCCGCCGGTATTCGACAAAGCTAATAGGTCCAAGTTGTTCAATGCCTGCGAAAAATTTATTACACTGTACGATCCTCTAGGGATAGAGTTGGAGGTGATGCTGTTAAGGCGTACGTATCCCCTGAAATTGTTGGAGATCAAAGCTAAACCCTAACAGTAGCTAACAAGTATGATGGGTTTTCACAATACAGGAGGAGGAGGGAATGCAAAGGAGAAGGCGACGCAGGCGGAGGGGGGAACGCAGAAGGAGGGGGAACGCAGACGGAGGGGGCCCAGAAGGAGGAGAGAACCTAGACAGAGGGATGAGGATGATTGAAATGAGACATCTGGCCCAAGTCAAGAAAGTGGCCAGGAGAAAACCTAGTTTACTATCCAAGCAACCTGTTCAGGCCCTATGCAACTTGTTCATCGGCACCGCTCAGTTCATAATCGTGACCCAACCTCTCCTCTCCATCTTCGAGCAGCCTTCATCGTACTCATACAAACAATCCAACCAAGCCGTATCCATCATATCACCCATTATACCAAACGAAACGCCAACTCCACTGCCCCCCCCAATTACCCCAGCATTTCCCCCCAAAATACCCCACCATCCCCCCCCAAAAAAACACCATCCAATCTTTCCAAACCCCAAACCATCTTCCGTCCAACCAAGCCTTCCACCCCCACTCTTACCCCTCAGCAAGCGCATACCCCCCCGCCCGTCTTGCCCTCTCCATCCTCGCCGCCAAAGCCGGAACCCCCCCTTTCAGCCCCCCCAACCCCTGCACCCCCTCTTTCCAACTGCGTTCCACCTCCTCCTGCCTCTCCAACTTCTCTACCCTCACTCCTCCCCCCCCTCCTGCTCTTCATCCTCCATCTCAAGGTCCTCATCCCTAGCCAACTCCTCCCTCCAAGCCGCCGCCGCCTTAGCAGGTGCTTCGCGACGGAGCCTCCCCACTTCGAGGAGGAGTTCTTCTTCGGTACGTAGGAGTTTCGCGGCGCGGTCGCGCAGGGATTCGGAGAAAGGTTCATATTCCTCCACCACCTCCGCCTCCGCCCCTCCCTCCGGCGCCAAAAGCGATGAGTCCGCCGCGACCGGGTGTCCGTTTATAAGAGTATTCGGCGCCGCCAGCGAGAACGTCTGTGTCACATACTACTTCCGTATTAGCTACTGTTGAATCCTGGAGCAAAGCAAGAAGGGGGGGGCGGGGAGTACGCACCGAATTCACCAACTCCTCCACCTTTTGTCGTAGCACATCTTCGCCCTCGATCGGGGGAAGCGCGACGTCGATTTTCTCACCAGCAACGCGTCGCGTGTTGGTGAGGAGGTAGCGTAGGTCATCTGGTTCTTGGAGCTCGATTTTGCGCTGGAGGTCTGCCATTGTACCCTCTCCTCAATCGCTGGGAAGATAACGTCGTTCGGTTTTGCGCAACGTCTGTGGAGGTTGAGGGGTCGTAAGGCTTGCTGGGCTGGGATTTGTTTACCGATGCGATGCGTGCGTGCACTTTGGGAGGGGGGCCCTGATGGGGATTAGTGCCGCGATTGCGATAAAGATTGCGAGGCTTATCGGAGGTGGGAAGTGGGACCTGAAACGGTGGGGTGACATTCATGCATGTGAAACGAGTTATCATGTGTCAAGGCTATGGACTCACCGTCTCTTAAGGAGGAGATGATGGATCACAATCCGTCCCCTTGAAGATGTAGAAAAATAAATGAGTTGCCTTGAGGGTTATATAGAACCTCTAAAAGTGCCCCTTGGACGGAATTCCCCAAAAAGGTATGGAATGAATAAAACTAGAAATATGTTGGTGCCGTTTCCCCCATACCAGATCCCAACGTTATACTCGACCCTCCATCAACTCAAATTATGCTCGTAATTTCATAGACCTATGTGCATACTCCCACTACCCGCTGCCAAAAGATAATACCCAGTTATACTCCAAAATGCTAAGGCGATCCCCCTGTTCCCAGCCGCAGAAAGACATATCCGTTGTCAATCCCGCATACACACTAATATGTAACCCAACCCCAATATTGTATGTAAGGCAAGACCCTTCCTTACTACACCGCTGCGAGCCCCTAGGCTACATGCGAACAATTCGTGACTTGGCTTATTGGGGGAACATGTTCTTCATCTCTTCGTCGCTGAGGTTGATCTCGTGGACGGGGTCGCGTTTGCGTTCAATGGACTCGAAGTCGCACTCCATGTACGAGGGGAGAAAGATCTCTGGGTAGGGGTCGTTAGCTGGTGATTTAGGGTCACGATAAGAAGGGTTTAATTACCTGGATTCCATTCATAGCCTTGAGAGTAGCGGACGCAGGTTATCTGTAGTGTACACGTCAGTAACCGGCGTGGGAGTTGTGGTGGCGGAGTGGGTGGACTCACAAGACGAGGCGTTCCATCCGGGTCACCGATATTGATGACGGTGTGTTCCTGTTGAGAGAAGGACGAGCCTAATAAAGCTTGTCAGGCTCACGATCCATAAATATTGTAACTTGAAGTATCCCATATCCATAACGCTTCTTCGTGGTTGAAGAGCCGCTGGCAGCCGCTTGGCTGAATGGTGTGACAGCCGGGTCGGGAGAGGACTCACTCAGCATGCTCGGCCTTCGATTATGGCCCGACGACTTTGACGGCGTCGACATCGGGCTCTTCCCCTTCCGCTGGGGAGTCTGTGGCGAGGTGGAATAGCACGATGATGAGCTTGAGCTCGATCCGACCTTACCACCCTCGCAGTAGGCCTGGCGGGTGGGGATGGTGATGGATGAGGACATAGTGGTGAAGTCAGGGTGAAGGAAGCATCCGATTTATGATACAGTGAACCCTTAGCCACGCTGTAAAAGGCAGAGCAGTATTTGTTGTCATAAGAAGGATAGCGAAGTAAGAGTAAGAGTAAGAGAGAAAGTACCCAAGTTGAGTTGAGGAAGGAGAGAAGGGAAGGAAGAAGTTGTGATGTGGCTGGTGATTGTGACTGTGACTGACTGGTTGGGTCAGGTTCCCATCATAAGATGGTAGAGAGAGGCACCTTAGCGGATAGACGCCCCATCAATTTACTACGGTAGACGAGAACACTCACGGCGACCGGACATACTTTAGTACGACCTGCATCCCTGATCCCTGCCAATCACCTGCCAATCCTGCCAATCATGGAGATTCCCGTAGTCGACATCCAACGAAAGTGAAGCAACAACTCAGCTCAGACTAAAACAACCTACAAACGCGCCTCATCAACCACGAACCCAACCTATCAGTAAAATCCACGAATTGTACAGTGCTCACAGTGCTCACAGTGCTCACAGTGCTCACAGTCAGTGCTCTGCATCATCACAGCCTGCTAGTGACGATCTCAATAAATCTGCAAAAGCGTCGTCAAACGTATCCTTCCAGCACGAGGAGAGCTATGGCGGACCCGGCTGTCGAGAACCCTGCGACACAGGTGTTGCCTCACAGGAAGCAGCTGCCATCGTCGATTCCAAACATCGACTCGTTAGAAGGGCTGGCGACGGATGGAAGCGATGAGTATTCGACGCTGAAGAAACTTCAGAGGCACTTGGAGTGAGTTTTGTCGCCTTCGTGAAGCTCTAGGCAGCATGCTGACGAATCCAGGTATATCCAGCTTCAAGAGGAATACATCAAGGATGAACAGAGGTAAATTACCTTCATCAATACACAGTGTGTAGTACGACTCTCTAACAACATACAGGAGTTTAAAGAGAGAGCTGGTCAGGGCACAAGAAGAGATCAAGCGCATTCAGAGTGTGCCCCTTGTTATTGGGCAGTTTATGGAAGCTATAGATCAAAAGTAAGGCATTGATGTCACTATCGCGATTCAATACTAACCGCGCAAACCAGTACCGGCATCGTGCAATCATCAACAGGCTCCAACTATGTCGTACGAATCCTCTCGACCCTCGACCGCGAGTTGCTCAAGCCATCGTCATCTGTCGCCCTCCATCGCCACTCCAACGCCCTTGTCGACATTCTTCCTCCGGAGGCGGACTCCTCCATCGCCATGCTCGGCGCACACGAGAAGCCCGATGTCACATACGCAGATGTAGGAGGCTTAGATATGCAGAAGCAGGAGATCAGAGAGGCTGTTGAGCTTCCTCTGACGCACTTCGATCTCTACAGACAAATTGGTATCGACCCACCGCGCGGTGTGCTACTTTACGGCCCACCAGGAACGGGAAAGACTATGCTTGTCAAGGCCGTTGCGAACTCTACGACTGCCAACTTCATCCGTGTTGTTGGTTCCGAGTTCGTCCAGAAGTACCTGGGTGAGGGTCCTCGTATGGTCCGCGACGTTTTCCGCATGGCCCGTGAGAACTCCCCAGCAATCATCTTCATTGATGAGATTGATGCCATTGCCACGAAGCGTTTCGATGCCCAGACTGGTGCCGACAGAGAAGTCCAACGTATCTTGCTTGAGCTTCTCAACCAAATGGATGGTTTCGATCAGACCTCCAACGTCAAGGTCATCATGGCCACCAACAGAGCTGATACACTTGATCCCGCTCTTCTGAGACCTGGACGTTTGGACAGGAAGATTGAGTTCCCTAACCTGAGGGATAGACGTGAGAGACGCCTGATCTTCACCACCATCGCGAGCAAGATGAGCCTTTCTCCCGAGGTGGATCTTGACAGCTTGATCATCAGAAACGACCCGCTCAGCGGAGCGATCATTGCCGCCATCATGCAGGAGGCTGGACTGAGGGCGGTCAGGAAGAACAGGTATAATATTATTCAGAGCGATTTGGAGGATGCATACTCAAGCCAGGTCAAGGCTGGGGCGGAGAAGGATAAGTTCGCATTCTACACCTAAACGAGGCATTTGCATTGGAGAATACTGGGCTTGTAATATTAGGAGTAGAGAATGGAATGGCGTGGATATGCAAGGCATTGTAATACAAACCCAGATGCCCTGGATCCCATCCCGTGCTTGAATATATGCGAGTGACCTGCCAAGATGAGGGCATCCTATGACGGGAGAGCTACTTGTGCGGCGACATGCGATTTAACTCAACCCAAGGAGAAATTGCTTGTGATTCTCAACCAACCAGTGAAGCTTGAAAGTATGAAAATAATATAAAACAAGGAGTGAGTTCGGAGACTTTCGGGGCCCGAATCTCATCAACCAATCGGCCACCACCCCTGCACAATCGATAGCATTTTTAGCTAATAAATTTAGCGGATTAACACCAACGCGGGGCAGCATCGGGTGGCGGTCAGAAATTTGGGGGTAAATTATCGTCATACCTTTCGAAGTTTCCACCCACCATTTATTCTTCTACCCATTTACTACATTTGAAGATTTAGGATTTGATCAGATCGAATCAATTGTGAAAATGGCTTCTACTACCCAGCCCACATATGCCCTCTCCCAGGCGCACAAGGACGTAAGTTCCAGCTATCGGAGTCATAATGGACATGACAGTTGACATCACAATGTGTAGGCTCTTGAGAAGTCCTTGTTGGAGACCGATCCTGAGATAGCTGCGATCATGGCAAGTCTAATCAATCATAATCATATCTCACGATGGCATATCTAACGTAAAATTCCAGGAGAAAGAGATCCAGAGACAGCGCGAGTCCATCATCCTCATCGCTTCCGAGAACGTCACCTCCCGCGCCGTTTTCGACGCACTGGGATCCCCAATGTCCAACAAGTACTCTGAGGGTTACCCAGGTGCTAGATACTACGGCGGCAACGAGCACATCGATGCCATTGAGTTGACCTGCCAGGCTCGTGCCCTTACCGCCTTCAACTTGGATAAGGCCAAGTGGGGTGTCAACGTCCAGTGCCTCAGTGGTAGCCCTGCCAACCTCCAGGCCTACCAGGCCATCATGAGGCCCCATGACAGACTTATGGGTCTTGATCTCCCCCACGGAGGCCATCTGTCCCACGGTTACCAGACCCCTCAGCGCAAGATCTCCGCTGTCTCCACCTACTTCGAGACCTTCCCTTACCGTGTCAACATTGAGACCGGCATCATCGACTACGAGCAGCTCGAGCAGAATGCCCTCATGTACAGACCCAAGGTCCTCGTTGCCGGTACCTCTGCCTACTGCCGTCTGATCGACTACAAGCGCATGCGCGAGATCGCCGACAAGGTCGGTGCCTACCTCGTTGTCGACATGGCCCACATCTCCGGTCTCATCGCCGCCGGTGTCATCCCATCTCCCTTCGAGTATGCCGACATCGTCACCACCACCACCCACAAGTCCCTCCGTGGTCCCCGTGGTGCCATGATCTTCTTCCGCAAGGGTGTCCGCTCCACTGACGCCAAGACCGGAAAGGACATCCTTTACGATCTGGAGAACCCCATCAACTTCTCCGTCTTCCCCGGTCACCAGGGTGGACCCCACAACCACACCATCACCGCCCTCGCCGTTGCCCTCAAGCAGGCCAACACCCCCGAGTTCAAGCAGTACCAGGAGCAGGTCATCAAGAACGCCAAAGCCATCGAGGTCGAGCTCAAGCGTCTCGGCTACAAGCTCGTTGCCGACGGCACCGACTCCCACATGGTCCTCATGGACCTCCGCGCACAGTCCCTGGACGGTGCCCGCGTCGAGGCCGTCCTTGAGCAGATCAACATTGCCTGCAACAAGAACGCCATCCCCGGCGACAAGTCCGCTCTCAGCCCATGCGGTATCCGCATCGGTACCCCCGCCATGACCTCCCGTGGATTCGGCGAGGAGGACTTCAAGAGAGTCGCTAGCTACATTGACCAGACCATCCAGATCTGCAAGGAGACCCAGGCCGCGCTCCCCAAGCCGGACAACAAGCTCAAGGACTTCAGGGCCAAGGTTGCCGGTGGCGAGATCGAGAAGATCAACGCTCTCCGCAAGGAGATCGCCAGCTGGGCTTCCAGCTTCCCCCTCCCAGTTGAGGGATGGAGAGCCGAGAAGGTTTAAATAGTTGTTTGCATTTTAAGGGTGTTATGGTGTGAAAAGGGTTAGGGAAAGCTCATCACATTTTCCGGCTGGGTTGTTTATCGTTGCAGAGCCTGCTTCAACGCAGTTGACATAGAATTGGAATTACTTAAAAACATTATGGATCGAAAGATCACTTGACTTGTTTGATGTGTACTTGTGCCTGTAGCTGTGGTGGTTTATATTGGTAGTACTCCTATGCGTGGTCCTGAAATTTGTATATAGCGTAGACATGTTACCGAAACATAACTTCATTCTGAAAATAAGGATAGCCAAGAGAATTGAACCCAGAATTACTACGTAAAGATAAATTCCCATTCCGTACTGAAAGCCTCATCTACTCCTAAAAAGTTCACTGGTCGGGCGGTGATGACGCTAGTACATATTAAGTTTAGCGCCACAGAAATGCTAGCGGGCTGCAAATCGCACTGCACGAAAAAAGTTCAAGGTGCGAAGCTGTGATTGAGGTTTTCCACTAATCGACAACTATCACCGACAACCATTGGACCGCAACTCTCAAGAATAAATCTTGTGAGTTTGATAAGGTCTACGACACCAATTACGGTAGACGCCGAAGACGTTTGCCCACCATGTCCGCCATAGATTACCTGCTCCACGAGAGCTCAGTGGGATATGCGATCTTCCAGGTCGTCCACCAGCCAGAGACTATTGGCAGCAGATTGAAGGAGGTCGAGGCTGCTTCCCATGATGTCGCCAAGTTCGGAAAGATGGTCAAGCTGGTCAACTTTGCGCCTTACAGGTACAATTGAAAGGGATCAATTCTTTTAAGACTAGATTGCTAACTCAGATTACAGAGGTGCGGCCGAGGCCCTTGAGAACGTCAACCTCATCTCTGAGGGTGTCCTGTCCGAATACCTCCGCTCCGTCCTTGAGCTGAGTCTCCCAAAAGTCAGCAAGAAGAAGAAGACCGTTCTCGGTGTCCAGGACAAGGCCTTGGCCGGTAGCATCAAGGCCAACTTCTCCTCCGTCGAGTGCGAGACTGGCGATACCTCCGAGGTTGTCGCCGACTTGCTCAGAGGCCTGCGAACGCACGCCGGAAAGCTGCTCAAGGGTCTTCACGAGGGAGATGTCGAGAGAGCACAGCTTGGTCTCGGCCACGCCTACTCCCGCGCAAAGGTCAAGTTCTCCGTCCAGAAGAACGACAATCACATCATCCAGGCCATTGCCACCCTGGACCACCTCGACAAGGCCGTCAACACATTCTCCATGCGTGTGCGCGAGTGGTACTCGTGGCACTTCCCCGAGCTGATCAAGATCGTCTCGGACAACCACACCTACGCCAAGCTTGCCCTCGCCATCGGCGACAAGAAGTCCCTCAGCGACGACAGGCTCCACGACATTGCCACGCTCGTCAACGACGATGCTGACATCGCGCAAGCCATCATCGACGCTGGCAAGGTCTCCATGGGCCAGGACATCTCCGAGGAGGACATGAAGAACGTCTCCGCGTTCGCAAACCGCGTCGTCAAGCTCGCCGAATACCGCCGTTCCCTCTTCCAATACCTCACCGACAAGATGGCCATCGTCGCGCCCAACCTGGCCTCGCTGATCGGCGAGGTCGTCGCCGCGCGCCTCATCTCCCACGCGGGTTCCCTCACCAACCTCTCCAAGTACCCCGCCTCCACCGTCCAGATTCTCGGTGCCGAGAAGGCCCTCTTCCGCGCGCTGAAGACCAAGGGAAACACCCCCAAGTACGGCCTCATCTACCACTCCAGCTTCATCGGCCGCGCCGGCACCAAGAACAAGGGCCGCATCTCCAGATTCCTGGCCAACAAGTGCTCTATTGCATCGAGGATTGATAACTTCTCCGAGACCCCGTCGACGAAGTTCGGTGAGGCTCTCAAGGCTCAGGTCGAGGAGAGACTCGAGTTCTACGCCACCGGAAAGGCACCAACCAGGAACGAGGAGGCTATGGTACGTTGCCCGTTTACACTTTGCTAAAAATATCAGATATGCTAACACACCCCACAGAAGGGAGCCATGGACGCCGTCCTGGGCGAGATCCAGATCGACCCCGAGATGGCCGACATCGTCCCCCCCAGCGCCACCAAGAAGGATAAGAAGGAGAAGAAGGACAAGAAGGAGAAGAAGAGCAAGGGCGGCGACGACGACGAGAAGAATGACAAGAAGGAGAAGAAGAGCAAAGGCGGCGACAACGACGAGAAGAAGGACAAGAAGCGCCGGCGCAGCGAGGCCGCCGACGAGGAGCCCCCGAAGAAGGAGAAGAAGAAGAGCAAGAAGGTCGCTGCTTAGCCGCGCTTCTCCCCTCTGCTACGATTCTTGTACTTCTCTCTCTGTGCTTTGGTGTGTTTTGTCTCTCTCTCATAACTCGGCGCGGTCATGAAGGTGTGGGTGCGCATACACGTTCTAGTTTGTGCATGTTTGGCGTTTGCGGCTCTGTGTAGGCTGGCATCTTTAGGATCTTAGGTGCTTCGAATAAATAACATGTGAAAGGAACTTATGGGGTGCTTGCTGTTGTGACTGCTGTGGCAGTAACTGTGTGTTTCCGTGGGCATAACATATACTCAATGATTTTGTATAATTTTGTATATCCCGCCCTCATCTCTGTATACCCTCCTGCTATAAACAAATGCTCCCACCCCTTCCCCGAACGCCGCGCTTCAATGTCCAAGCCCCTAATCCAAGCAATCTGCGCACATCCAGACAACCCCTCCGCACCACACTTCTACGCGCCCTCACTACCGAACTCGGCTGTCCACTCTTCGCTGCGCTTGATATCCTCCTGCGACACTGTTGGCCGCGAGCTCTTGACAGCCTTGATGAAGTCCTTGAGCAGGAGAGGCGGCTCGAGGAGAGCGTCGCTGTCGACTTCTGTCCATGACATCTCGATTGCACCTTTGTCGCCGGGGGAGCAGGGCGTCAGTTTCTCGGCGCCATCGACATCGACCTGCATATTGTTAGAACCTATATAACACCCCATAGACTTGACCGAAAGACACAAGAATGCAGGATTTCACGAGAGGAAAAGTAGAACGCACCTTCTTATAATGCGTAGACATCTGAATCTTCCTCACCGGCTGCATCAACGCATCCTGGACCGCCACGCTAATATCACTCCCCGAATACCCCTCACTCAGTTCCCCCAGCTTCCTAAAATCCGCCGGCGCAAGATCACACGGCGTCGTCCCCACCGCCAACTCAAACATCTTCGTCCGCGCCGGCAAATCGGGCAGCGAGATATGCACACGCCTCTGAAAGCGCCGACGAATCGCATTATCGAGTTGCCACGGGATGTTGGTCGCGCCGAGGACGAGCACGCCCCGCGAATCCTGCCCGACGCCGTCCATCTGCACCAGCATCTCGGTTTTGATGCGGCGCGAGGCTTCGGATTGGCCTTCGTCGCGGGAGCCGCAGAGGGCGTCGACCTCGTCGATGAAGATGATCGAGGGTTTGTTTTCGCGGGCCATGGCGAAGAGCTGTTTTACCAACCTAGTCTCATATCAGTACCTTCTAACCATTCAGAGACAAACAAGGGGGGGGGGGACATACCTCTCAGACTCTCCCATCCATTTACTCACCAAATCCGAGCTACTAACACTAAAAAACGTACTATTCGCCTCCGTAGCCACCGCCTTGGCCAAAAACGACTTCCCCGTTCCCGGCGGGCCGTACATCAGAATCCCCTTCCAGGGCTGCCTCTTCCCCACAAACAGATGCGGGAACTTGATGGGCAGGATCACCGCCTCCTTCAGCGCCTCCTTCGCGCCCTCCAGCCCCGCAACATCCTCCCACTTGATATTCGGCTTATCCTGCAAGATCGCCCCGGCCAGCGCATTCCGCAGCTTCTTGTTATCCGCGTCCCCGTCCTCCTCGTCCCTGGCCTTGCCGTTGCCCCCGCGCGAGGAACCGTCCGCGCCCATCATGGAGGGCTTCTTGTGCTTCCCTTCGGCGTCCGCGAGGTGCTGTTTTAGTTTCTCGGCGCGCTCCATGTACTCGGATGCTTTGGCGCGGATCATCTCCTTGGAGCGGGCGTTCTTCTCCCATTTCAGGGCTAGCATGAAGAGTTCCAGGGACTGGTAGTAGAGCTGGTAGGCTTTGTCGTAGTCGCCGTTTGTGTCGCTCTCGATGGCTTTCTTGACGACATCGATGGCGCGCCCGAGGAAGTCGGTGTTGGACATCTTGCAGAGGGTGGTGGATGAACCGCTCGAGTGGCGAGGACGATGGAAGGCGAGTTGGAGGCGGTTGTAGAGGCCGCCTAGATGAGGGGTTTGGTGGGATAGATTGGTGTTGCCTAGACGACCTCGCAAATTCGGAATATAGACACTGACGAATACCTCTCGACTTCAGCACGTAGCCCTCACAACCTCACAATACGCAATGGGGCAAATAATCAAATGGCAGCGGGGAAGGAAGCCAAAGGCGGTTTCGAATGTCGCCGTCCGTTGTGGTGCTAAACGGCTTGTTGTCCGTCGCCGCTCCAGTGACGCAAGGCCAGCCAGCCGCCGCTTCGCTTGACGCCGCGACCCCACCAAGTGCAGCACAGCAAAAAGAGCCTCCAACGCCGAAAATCTCAAGGGAACGCCTGAACACACGACTGAATAGCTGTGTATATTCACCGCAGCAAGAATTAAATCTCCGCCCTCGCATACGTCCTTTGCCGCAGATATGGCAGAAGCACAACAGCGCACTCAAGTCCTAACAGGCGAATACCAGAAGCTCCAAGCTGGTACGTCTCCCTCCCCCTCCCCCCTCCCATCTGTCAGAGAAGAAGACCCCAAGCTAACCCCTCTCCCAGAGCTCCAAACCATCGTCTCCGCGCGCCAAAAGCTCGAAAGCCAGCAGCAAGAGAACAAAGGGGTGAAGCGGGTTCGTCTTTCCCTTTCCCAGTCCACTCCTCCTCCTGCGGGCCTACTCCGACAATGGGGGGGGGTATGGGGGATATGTGCTAAGCTATACGTCTACAGGAATTCGACTCCCTCGCTGAGGAAGCGAATATTTATAAACTCGTTGGGCCGGTGCTGTTGAAGCAGGAGAAGATGGAGGCTGTTATGGCTGTTGATGGACGGTTGGAGTTTATTGATAATGAGATGTATGGCCCCCTTCGTCCCCCTCCGGCTCTCTATTATACCCCCTCACACACCTGCCTAAAACTACGCACTGAAGCTAACACAAACTAGAAAACGCACCGAAAAGCAAATCGCAGATATCCAAGCTTCCAGCGACGCAAAGCGCTCTGAAGTCAGTCTTTCCTCCCACCCTCCCTTCCCCCCTCCCCCCTCCTCCCTTCTCCCTTCCCCCTTCCACCCCCTCATCCTCCTCCCCCCACCACCTCACCCGCCCACCCAAACACGCAAAGCTAACCCCGACCAGATAATCAACCTCCAATCCCAAGCCTCCTCCCAACCAACCGCCTGATCCCCCCCCCCGGCTCACCAACGCCGCTCCAAGACTGAGCGAGTGAGTGAGAGCGGTGTACACGTGGTCTGCAGGTAGGCGACGCGCATGTCAACAGTGAGGATACGATGGGCTTGGGCTGCTATGCGAGGTGCCTGTCTGCGCAAAGAGAAGGGTGTGGATGCATACTGTCTGTCCGCCTGTCCACATGTCTCGGGAGCCACGGGAACTTACGGACCTGCTGGATGGCGCGGGGAACTGCGGGTGCACAGCCTACGTACACACACATGATTGATCGGTAGGGAGACTACAGTACACACATAGTACAGCACAACACAATGGGTCTGCTTGGGAGGGGTGGGATCGGGAGCACCTGCAGCTGTCACCACTGCATCGTACCTGCCTGCCTGCCTGCGTCCCATAACCTCTCATCTGCAGGACCATCTGCCTAGACCCGACAAACTGGCTGGCTGGCTACTTACTGCGGTCTCCTGCACCGCGGGAGGATGCGGTGCGGGGGATATACCGTACCGCGGCTGTTCGATGCAGGATTCCGTGTAGGGAGGGAGGATCCCTACCTACCTGCTGGTAGATTTATCATATTCCTTCCCGTATACTACCGTGTGCAGTGTGCATGAAGGTGGTGTGTGTTGATACTGTGTGTGTGGATGTCTATAACGCATACGATTGTTTAAACCTCGGCTTGGGAGTGAGTATCTCGAGGACTGCGTTGATTCTCATGTATTTCCTAATCAGGTGAACTGAGCGAACTGTACCTACCTTCCCATCCCTCCTCCTCCTTCCCATCCTCCTCCTCCCACCCATCCTCCTCCTCCCACCCTCCTCCTTCCATTCCTCCTCCTCCTTCCCATCCTCCTCCTCCTTCCATCCCTCCTCCTTCCATCCCTCCTCCTCCTTCCCATCCTCCTCCCCCCATCCACCAACCATGAAACGCGCACCACACCAACCCCAACCGGCAAAACTCGGATAAAACCCACCACCGGTAGAAGTCCAGATGCCAGCAAGAGAAGGGGCCGTGCGACGGATCCCAGATACAAACCCACGGCCTACGAACACATCTCCGGATGTATATGTTGGGTTTGAGGATGCTGACCATGACCCCTCCCATCCCTCCCTCCCGATAACGGCAGAGGCGGACGGGCCGAGGCGATATCCCCCTCGCTGAGGTGAGCGCGTGGTATACAGGGAAAGGAGAGGGCCGGGAGGGCCGGGGGCGGATGATGACGGGAAGTATTGTCTGGGTATCTGGCACTCCCATCCATCCTCGTCCTCATCCTCGTACTCATCCTCGTCCTCATCCTCGTCCTCATCCTCGTCCTCATCCTCGTCCTCATCCTCGTACTCATCCTCGTCCTCATCCTCATCCTCGTCCTTGTCGGCGTATCCATCCCTCCCTCCCTCTCGTATGCCATAGCTGCCCAACCCAGTGGGATTTAGAAATCCCACTGTGTTAAGACTCACTGTCTGTCTGTCTGATATAGAACACAGAACACACGTAGCAACCAGGCCAACCCCTCGCTCGGACACTCCATAGTATACCCTACCCAGCCGCACTGCATTTAATCTCCCTCGACGGCTTTTCTCCCCTATGCCGCCCAGACCTAATTCTCCGCTGCACCTGCGAAATAGACTCACACGCATATTATCTCAACCCCAAGACCGGTTAATCTTCATCCCCCCATCGCTGGCTGCTGTACAACCGTTGTGCACATGCGTGCCCATGCTTTGACCGCGTCTCGTGGTGGATCGACAGTACTGCAGTCCTCCCTAACGCCCTTTTTCTAGGGTTAGAAGGGCGTCGTGCTAGGGCGTCGTGCTAGGGCGTCGTGCTAGGGGTGTTGTTGTAGAGACCCCCCCATCAAGGCCCCTGGAACGACCTAGTTAGGTCGGTTATGCCCCCGGCCAACCAGGCCTTCGAGAAGGATTGATAGTGCTTCTACGCGGTGCCATGTGGAGAGGGGAGGGGGGGAGGGGGAGGGGAGGGGGGGGAGGGGGGAGGGGAGGGGATGGGACTGGGGGAGGGGGGCTGGGGGGATTGGGGGGATTGGGCGTAGTGCCGCAGGGCCGAATGGCAGCGGTCTGGCAGCCGGGGGTGTAATTTCGACGGGGGGGTGTAATTTCGGCGAGGGGTGTAATTTCGGCGAGGTGTAGTTTCGGATCGTTCCTTTTCTTCCGTTGACTTGCTTTATATTCCCACATGAACACGAGCAGATATGTGAAATCCCGCACTTCCGATAGGTGGGCTTAACCCGCCCCCTCCCTTCTGCTTCTGTTTATACTCCCGGACTACGGACTACGGACTACGGACTACTCCTTCAAGCCATCCGGATACTGGTAAGGGAAGGACAGAGATGGACTCATACCCTGGTTCACACATGGCGGCGGCCATCCATCCATGCCCCTGCCTCTGTTCGGCTAGGATCCTGGGGTGGGTTTGCTTTGATTTGATTTTGATTGATTCGAGTTGATTGCGTGGAGAGTGGAGTGGGAGGGAGAGGCGGTGAGTGGGGGGAGGGAGAGGCGGTGAAGGAAGGGGAAGGAGCGACGACGATGAGGGAAGGGGGGACGACGATGAGGGGAAGGAGCGACGACGATGAGGGAAGGGGGGACGACGATGAGGGGAAGGGGGGACGACGATGAGGGGAAGGAGCGACGACGACGATGAAGGAGCGACGACAAATGAGGGGAAGGAGCGACGACGACGATGAAGGAGCAACGACGACGATGAGGGAGATGGGGAGGTCGACGGCGTGGATGTGGTCACTGCACTGTAATCAACCAGAAGCTCCTTCCTTCTCCGGCTAACCGTCGCTATCCTGAGCTGCCGTGGTAGGGTGGAAGTTATGCAGAGTAGCCGGGGCGACGAGGGTCTTGTTTGTACTGTAACTTAGGTGCATTGCATGTCTGATCTCTGCCGCCCATGACGACAAACAATGCTTCATTCCGTGCACTCGGCATCCTTCATCCTCTATACATTCCCGACCTCGACGTCACTTCCGAACTTCACATTCGCCCCCCCGGCCTCACGTCCAATTCACCTTCCACATCGAATAAGATCCCCCCCTTCTCTCGACCTTCTCGACTCCAGCATCTGCCGCCCAACTTCCGAACACCGAAAACCCGCCAGATCGCCCGGTCAGGAAAGTGGATAAGCCCAGCCGCGACACTACTCGGTCCTGGCCCCGCCCACGAAACCATCCGTCCCTCTTCCTCACCATCCGTCCCTCTTCCTCATCTTCCTCATCTTCCTCAACTTCTTCACCTTCCTCACCTTCCTCATCTTCCTCACCTTCCTCACCTTCCTCATCTTCCTCATCTTCCTCATCTTCCTCACCTTCCTCACCTTCCTCACCTTCCTCACCTTCCTCACCTTCCTCACCTTCCTCACCCGGCCTTGTCCATCATCCCGTAAGCCTGGGCAGAAGAAATCACGCTGGCGCTGACGATATATAACCTATCCACATCCCGTCCGTCCTCTGTACGTCGCCCGGCCCGCCACCCACATCCACATCCACCCATCACACCACCGCGATCTACATAATAAAGGTGCTGAGAGGGCGCCCGCGGCAACCTTCACACGACGGTGCAATAGCGACTGTCCTGTATACAACTCACACACACATACGATACGCACGAGACAACGAGAATTCCACTCCCTCACACGCGCTGGCTGGCCTTCGCGACGACGAGTGAGACAGGTGTGCACACCCAAAGCAGGACTCGACGCTCTGCCTGAGCAGCAGACAACAAACATACACACACAACCAGCAGCAGTCATGACTTCCATAGTAAGCCAGCCCATACCGTCTCCCTTTCCCTGCATATCCAGCCGCCGTCACTTTTGCCATCTTCAACCCCCACATCCTTCACCCGCCCCTACCTCTCCCTCACTCCCCCCTTCCTCCCCCCTTCCTCCCCCTTCCTCCCCCCTTCCTCCCCCCTTCCTCCCCCCTTTACAAATTCCAAACCTCAACTAACCCTCTCTCTCCCTCCAGCTCTGCCTCGCGCACTACTGCGACACCCACGGCCCAACCCCCCTAATGGTGACCGAAGAGCTCCCCGCCCCCTGCACAACCTGCCTCGACCCCCCCACCTACCCCGACACCCCCCTCCCCTCCGCCTCCCTCTTCCGCAACCCCTCCGGCTCCTTCAGCCCCCCCACAAACTCCATCCAGCTCTCGCGCCCGCGCCCCCCGTCGCCAACCCCCTCCACCCCGCCTGCCTCCCCGCGCATGGCACCGCGCATACACCGCCGCGACTCCTCTTTTCGAAAAACCTACGACGAAGCAGATCGCAAGCGCGCCATCCCATGCGAAAACTGCGCACTCACCCTCCCGCGAAAGGTCTCCCCCTCACCATCCACCTCCGCTTCGACATCACCCTCCACCCCCCCCCCTGCGGCGGACGACTCAACCTCGCCCATCCTCCGAACCCGCAAACCCTTCGCCCTCGTCTCCTCCGCCTCCTCGACACCAAAACACTCCCCCTCCCCCTCCGACTCCGACGAACCGGACTCCGCCCCTGCGCCCTCCCGCCGCCGCCGCTCTATACCGCGCTCGGTGGCAGCAAGTCATTCTCAGAAACACACACACTACCTCGACTACACATCCTCCCACGATCCCTCCTCCACAACAACATTCTCCCTCCTCCGCGCCGCCTGCCTGCGCACCCTCTCCTGCGAGACGCTGCCCCCTTCTTCCCCTACCCCACAACCCGCTGGCGGCCCACTGTTCTTCGGCGATCCGTTGGCGGGGTATACCACCGCGTTCTTGTTCCGCATTCCCGATCCCTGGGCGAGGGGGCGGAGACGCGTATACGCCTTCCTCTGCCTCAGCGTCCTCAGCGAGCGCAAAGCAATGCGCGTCTTTGGCTTTCTCGCTGGTGCATTCCGCGAGTTGGCGGGGTGGATCCAAGGCTTAGCTGAGGCGGGCAACTCGGAGAGTGGTATTGCTGAGGGGGGGATTGATGAGGAAGGTGGTGGTCGTGGCAGAGGAGAGCGAGAGCCGAGGATACGAAGCAGTTTCCTTGGCAGCAGAGGAGATGAGAGGGGGAGGGGGGTGAGGGCTAGAGGGTTGGCGGAGGTGGTGGGGAGGCCGGACTTTTTTATTGAGTTGCATGTTCGCTTTGTGGCGTTGGCGGCGCAGTTGAGGTTTTTGGTTGAGGGGGGGTAGGGGTGAGAGTTTCGTGTTCCGACAGAATGGGGTTACTTCTACGCTACGGGGGGCGGTGGGGGGTGGATGAGAGATGGAATGGATGGATGAGATGAGATGAGACAAGACGGCCTCAACGAGCGATAGACGGTAGCGCGCGCGTGTGTATATTTTTATATGTACGGAAACCGGAAAACGGGTATGGGGAGCAGAACTGAACTGAGCTTGGGGATCTATAAAACAAGGCCATTGCTCCGCCTTCGGTATGGGGTGTTTTTTGTTTTTTTGAGAGAGAGATTTGGGCATTTGGGATTTGGCGCGGGGGGGGGGGCGAGGGAGCGGGTTTTGTTTTAAAGGGGGAGAGGGGGAGGGGATGATACCTGGGGGATGATGATAGAAGAGGGATGAGGGACGTGTGTTTGTGTTGTGGAGTGGAGTGTATTATATGTGTTTGTGGGTGATGGTGATGAGTATTGATATATAGAATGGATGGATGGTTTACAGAACGAGCTTTTTTGACTTCTCTGGTCTGCTGGTATATGCTTGCCTGCTTGCTTGCGCCGCTCATGAAAACCAAGGGAGGTAGAGGAGATAGAGGAGATGGGAAATGTATATTGTATCCATTCCCTCTGTAGTTCATCTACTCGCGTGTTGGGGGTGTGGTGGAAGGTAACTTTAAACATCTTACTTCAACTCTATAGATATACTAATTATCACATTTATATAACTTATATATATATATATATATATATTTTCGTGTAAAGCCAATAGTTCCACGCCCACTTCGTAACACTTGCAACGTATTTCGTATTTGCTTGGCCGCCGACGACGCCGATGACGACGCGCATTCAGCACTGACACCTCCCACCACCAACCCCCACCATATTATATCAACCATCCCCCTCCCTCCCCCCTCCCCTCCCCCTCTCCTCACCTCCCACCCCCCCCTCCCCTTCCCCTCCTCTCCCCCTCGCCCACGTCCTTGGCCCCACCCCTATACCCTCATCCCACTCACCCTCCTACACCATGGCAGAAACATCCGACAGAGACTTCGCCATCGAATATGTCTGCGCAAAACGGATGCATCGATCGTTTACGATTCCGGGGACTGAGACGCGCAAGCCGCTAAAAGTCACCTATGCGATAGCAGGGCTAGAGAATGACGATGCGCCGACGGTGGTTTTTATATCGGGCATGTATGGGATGAGGTGGGTTGCGTTGCTGTGGCATGCTGTTGCGGTTAGGGTTGGGGTTAGGTTGGTTTGTGTTGATCGGTTCGTGTCCCTGCTTTCCTGAACCCCTTTCTCACTTGAGAGGAAAGACGAGTCCATAAACCCTCCTCTCAAGTCAAGTGACTCTCGTTTTCAGCTGTCCCCCCATTCTAACATCCCACAGACCCTCGTTTGGAGGTAGCACACCCGTCCCGCTATCAGAAAGGATAGACACCTGGCTCCTCACCCTCCCGCCTCTCGTGGACCACCTGGGATGTAGACACATCGTCCCCCTCGCCGCCTCAGCCGGGACAATCTACCTCCTCAACACCCTGCACCACCTCCCCGAGCTCCTCCCCCCCGCCTCCCCCTACGCCGCCATCCTAACACCCTGGGTGCATCCGCGGGATTCTGGGGCGGGGATCATGTCGTTTGTGGCGTCGGATTGGATGCCTAAATTCCTCGTCGCCAACCACTGGGACGCCCTCAGCGGGTTTGTGGCTACGAAGCTCTTGCCAGCGTTCGCGGCTAGTGGGGGCGTGATGGAGGGGATTGCGGCGCTGGGGGGGGGCCTATCGAATCCTGCTGGTGCGCGGAGCGGGGGGGGGGATGAGGAAGATGACGAGGCGGCGATGAAAGCCTTCGGAATGACGAGGGCGAGGAGGAGCGAGGTCCAGAAGTTGGGGTTGAAAATGATGTTCACCGAAGAAACCAGCGGCGCCAACGCCGAAGCCCTCCTCTGTTCCCAAAAAGGCCCCGCTCCAGAAATAAGCTGGGGCGTCTGCAACGACTACCGCACCTTCGTCCCTCTCCTATCCGAGCAGTGGGAGGCCCGCGGTGGCGGGGGGGGAAGTTAAAAGTGCAAGCATTCTTTGCAGAGGATGATGCGATGATTGGGGGGGGGGGAGGAGGTTTTGGGAGGAATGTTGGGGGGGAGGAGGTGCGGGGGGGGATTGAGTATGGGGGGAGTGTGGTTGGGGGGGCGACGCATGATAGTGTTGGGGATCCGGAGAATGGGGTGTTGGAGGAGGTTTTGAGGGAGGCGAGGAGGGCGCTGGGGGGGGGTCTAGATTGGCCGCGGGCAATTGGAATGGAGGGACAATAGTATAAAGACTAGCTTTGTGCCATTTGATCGGGGGGTGGAATGGAATGTGAGATTTTGGACAATTGATCCAGCATAAAACGCCTCCCTCTACTTTCGTCAAGGACGTTATGTGATATACTATGCCAGCGGCGAAACCAACGTGCCTTCTTCAGGAAGTTCTGCGAGAATGTCACCGTGAATATCGGCAGTGGCGGTGAGAAGTGTCGACAGCGGTAGGTAAACCGGTGACGGGGGGGTAATGACAGCCAGACGAGGGGGGTGACGGTAGAAGTTGATTTCAGTTCTCTGATCTTGCAGCACCCCTGAACACGAGAGAGCCTCACGAAGACTAATATATCCCAAAGCAGCTAACGAACTGTAGTTGAAATATTAGCTTCTTGTTATTGTTGCTTGAATTTGAGTGAGAGTCGTCGCATTAGCCAAATTATGGCCAACAGGGTCGATGTGTAATGCCTCATGTCGAACTCTTGGCAGACCCAGGACCTTCCACACCATACCCAGATTTGAAAACAAATAGGAAACGGTTAACAAATAACTTGCCTTGGTGCTCGGGTTCTGCTACATAAATGCCTTTAGAATTGGTAGTGGACGTTGGGTGGAAATCAAAAGCCGAGATGCGGTTATACATCTAGACCACGGCCTCAACTATCTCCCCACACTCTACGTCCCCGGACCTCAGAACACACAGGGCACAATCGATAGGGACACTGATGGAAATAGACAAAGCTTTCATTTAACCCCCGATTTATATACGCCCTTTGCGCCGGGTTTTGGTAGTTATATATCAACCGTAAAAGCATCCCATAGAGTATCCGCCCCTTACTTCCTCGCCTTCTTCTCCTTCCCCTTCTTCCCCTTGTCCTTCTTCTCCTTCTCCTTCCTCTCCTTCTCCTTCTCCCCCTCCTCTACCTCCCCACTCTTCTTATGCTTCTTAAACTGCGGCCTCTCCCCCACCTCCTCCTCCTCCTCCTCCCCCCCAATCTCCCCACACTCCCCCCCTCCCCAAACCCAATCGGCCGAAACCTCATCCTCAACCCCCCCGGCTGCTTCCTCGCCTCCCTCTTCCTCCCCACATACGTCTCCCCCCCCACCACATTCACCCTCTGCAAATGCAGCGTCCTCTCCACCGGCGCAGCCAACGCCTTATACCCCCCCTTCCCCGGCAAAAGAACACGCGTCGTATCCGCCGTCGCCGCCGCAAGCACAACGCTATATTCACCACCCGGCAATGATATCGTCGGTGCGTCCTCGTCCGCGCCGGTGCGGGCGGGTAGACTGAGGTTCTTGAGGCTGGCAAGAGAGAGGGAGGCGGGCGCGGTGATGTGCCAGATTTGCCTGTTGGCTAGCGCGGCGGGGGTGAGGAGTTTGTTGGTGGTGGAGGAGGCGGGGAGGGGTGTGTAGCCTTTGGGAGGGGCGAAGGGCGCGGGGCGCGAGGTGTGTTGGGCGGCGGGTGTTGGGGCTGGGGAGGGGTTTTTGCTGCGTTTTGGGAGGGTGGTTCTGGGGTGTGTTAGTTTGGGGTTTGATTCTCGAGGGATTGGGGGATTGGGGAGTTGGGAGGGTGGTGGTGATGGGGACTTACCTAGGTGCCGTCACTTTCACAGGTAATTCCTCCTCGCTCTCACTCTCACTTCCGCTTCCACTCCCACCCTCGCTTTCGCTGCCGCTGCTGCTCGTCTCCTCGTCCGGCCCAGATACTGACCCAGCCTCGTCATTCGAATCGCTCCCCTCCTCGCTCGAGGCATCGTCCATGTCAATATCGCTATCAGCGATGCGCTCCATGCTCCTCTCAGCCTCCTTCTTCTTCGCAGCAGTTTTCGACGCCTTCGCAGGTTTAGCCGCCACGGCCTTCTTAGACTCCTTCTTGGAGGGGTTCGAGGACGCCATCTTGTGAGTGTGGGGGGTGGTGGGCGGAGCGATTGGGACCGATTGAGGTTGAGGCTGGTGTGGTGGTCGAGAGCTTTTTTTTTGGCGGAGGTCGGTAATTTTTGCGATAAGCCTTGCGCTGGGCGATTCTGGAAAAGCGATAAGAGAATCGGCGATTGGGCCGTCTTCGAACAACCTTTCAGCGACGACACTCGATCGGGACAGGATTTTTTTTGGGGACGACGAGAGATGTCGTCGAATAAGAGGAGGAAATTGAATGCCGATGTCGAAACGAAGAGTAAGTCCCTTTGGACCCGTGTGTGGTGCGGATATCTAACACAACGCAGGTATAAGCGCCTTCGCAGCGCGCCAGCAGCGCAAGCTCGCCACCGCAGAAGGCGCAGCAGTCGGCGCCGCAGAAGCAGTTCTCGAAGGCGAAGGCCCCGATGAGCTGAACGGCGCGTCGTTTGTGGAGGCCGGGAAGACGTCGAGGGCGTTTCGGCTGGGGATTGAGGGGGCGGGAGAGGCGAAGGCGGAGGAGGGGGAGTTCTCGGATTCTTCGCCGTATGAGGGACGGGATGAGGTGAGGGGGTCGGGGTGGGTTATTCCGCGAATGGGGGGGGGATGTGAGGGTATTGTGCTGATGGATGTGTAGGAAGAAGTCACGTGGGACGAATACGCCGTCTGAGCATCCTGTGGTGGAGTTTACGACTGTGAAGGCGAGGGGGGACCGGATTGTGCGCGATAAGGGTGGTGGGGTGAGCGTTAGGCTTGCGCCTGGAGAGGTATGTTTGTGGTGGTATTTTGTGGTGATCAGGGGCTGACTCTTCACAGCGGGTGGTGGTTCTGGGAGAGTATCGTCTTGCGGTTCGTAAAGGGCGGGCTACGGTGCTGGGGGCTTCGTTGTCGCCTGATAGCACGAGACCATATGTTGATGTGTATGCTCCTTCGTCTCACTCATTGCCTGTTATAAGGTATTTGGAGTCTGAGGACAACGAGGTTATCATTAGCTTGGGCCAGCTTAAGTCTGGGCTGAGGCCCCTGAAGAAGCTTTCGCCGTTGTTTTCTAGGTTGTGGAATGAAAGCGCGACAGCCTTAGATGGTGGAGTGGACTCAGATCAAAGGAGTTCTTTTCAAATTGTATGTCCTACAGCCCATTCCGTAGGTTTAAGGCTAACCCCGTGCAGCTTTTCTCTACTGTAGATGGCCCGCGGAAGATTCCTCTTCACAAAGTCTACTCACCCCCAGAATGGAACGAGACGTTTGCAGCAGTATCTTCTGGTAAATGGAACCGCGATGGCATATCAAGCACGATGATCTGCGGCCCAAAGTCATCTGGGAAATCTACATTCGCCAAACTTCTCGTCAACCGCCTGTTAACCTTAACTCCACCGCCCAAGTCCCGGTCGAAAAGGCCAGCTGGTGTATTGCTTCTTGACCTCGACCCAGGACAGCCAGAATACTCGCCTCCGGGGCAACTATCTCTGGTGCACCTCCTAAAACCGAACTTTGGACCACCATATACACATCCCGACGCTGATAGTGGCGGATGCACCGTTATACAAGCCCATTCAGTCTGCGCCACATCTCCATCAGCCGACTCGGATCATTACATGGCATGCGTGTCCGATCTACTCAGCCATTACCGGCACTACATATCTTCACACGCAGAGTGCCCCCTGATAATCAACACACCAGGATGGATTCTCGGGACCGGACTTGAACTACTCATGGAGCTCATCAAAAAGGCGAAGCCCACGGTGGTCATATACATGTCCACCGAAGGGCCTGTAGATGTTGTCGGGAGCCTGCGGGAAGAGGCGAGGCAGACACCAGTCATCGAGTTGCCATCACAGATGAGCGAGTATACGACTAGGACTGCAGCTCAGCTGAGGATTATGCAGACGATGTCTTACTTCCATCTAAATAGGTCTGGTACTACGGCGCCGTGGAACTGGAGTCCGTTGGCATCAATGGCACCTTGGATGGTTAAGTACTCGGGGCAGGACTCGGGAATACTGGGGGTTATGTGTATTGGGGAGCAGCCGGCACCGCAGTTTCTTAACGATGCTATCAACGGGAGCGTAGTGGCTGTGGTCGTGGTGGACGACGAGCTTGCCATCCGTGCATCTGGGGAAGAGGGAGCAGATAATGGAGATGGCCTCTCATCGGACATATCTCCCATGGTGGCAACCAATACGGCAAACGAACACCTACCCTACCTCGAGCCTGGACCTAATGGTTATCCCGATCCGAAGCACTGCCACTCAATCGGCTTCGCATTAGTGCGCGGCATCGACACCAAATCCAAGTGTCTGCAGCTCCTCACAGCAATACCCCACAGGGCCATCAGAGAACTGGCTATCTCCAAGAAGTCGATTGTCCTTGTTAGTGGTAAGCTCGAGACGCCGGGCTGGGCGTATACGGAGAAACTACATCAGAAGGCCGTTGTGGCGCTGAATCGGCGGAAGAAAGAGCTTGGTGGACAGGTGGACGATGAGGAGTCCGGTGAGAAGGAGATGGAGGTGGATGAGGACTATATGGACGAGTTTGAGAATTCGCCTTGGGTTGAGCGGCTGGAGGGGCATCGGGGGAGGGGTGCTGGGGAGAGAGTGTGGAAGGTGCGGAGGGATCTGGGACGCAGTGGTGATGGTGGTTGAAGCGCCACGATCTAGAGTAGACGGCCACGTACTATGATATATTGAACTGCTATATACATTTATTTTATATATCCGTACGAGTGAATGGCCAGAGAGTTCAGCCAAGATAATGAAGAGGACCTATACCAGTAGCGTATCACTACAGTTCTCACTATTCTGAACGCATATCGTCTCACATCTCACGTGACCACCTTCCTCCTCAAGAATCGTCAACGCTATTCCCAAAACAGTCAAGCGCCACGCAAACCTGCCAAGCCAGTTGCGTCGCTACCCGGCTTGGTTCGTTGCCTTGCAGCACCGCCTCCCATCAACGTCCGTCCCTCCCTCCAACTCTCCTCACTCTTACACCATCCCAATCATCCTTCTTTCCAATAACATCATATCATAACAACAATACTGCAACGACTGTGCGCCATATACATATTTACTGCGAATTGTTAACCTCGCACCGAAATCCGTCGATACAGCTTCCTGGTCGCAATCATGAAGGGCGCTCTCTTCACGGCGGCTATGCTGCTGGGCTCGGCGTCGGCCGGTGTCCACAAGATGAAGCTCCAGAAGATCCCTCTTGCGGAGCAGCTGGTGAGTTCTTCCTTATCCAGGTTGGAGCAGGCCGTATTCGATGATCGTCGCTGACTTATTGCGCTGTAGGAGTTCGCCAATGTCGAGACCCATGTGAGGAATCTCGGCCAGAAGTACATGGGCATCCGCCCGCAAACCCACGTCGATGCCGTCTTCCAAGAGTCATCGTCCATTAAGCAGGGCGGCCACCTCGTCCCCGTCAGCAACTTCTTAAACGCACAGTGTAAGCTATATCCAAACCTATGACGTACTGTTCCTTGGCGGCTAATCCGATTAGACTTCTCCGAGATCACCATCGGCAACCCACCACAGACATTCAAGGTCGTCCTTGACACCGGCAGCTCCAACCTCTGGGTTCCATCCCAGTCTTGCGGCTCCATCGCCTGCTACCTCCACAGCAAGTACGACTCGAGCGAGTCCAAGACCTACGAGAAGAACGGCACCGAGTTCGCCATCCAGTACGGCTCCGGCAGCGTCAGCGGATACATCTCCCAGGACCAGGTCACCATCGGCGACTTGGTAATCAAGGACCAGCTCTTCGGCGAGGCCGTTGAGGAGCCCGGACTTGCCTTTGCCTTTGGTCGCTTCGACGGTATCCTGGGTCTCGGCTTCGACACCATCTCCGTCAACAAGGTCGTCCCACCCTTCTACAGCATGATCGACCAGGGCCTCCTCGACGAGAAGGTCTTCTCCTTCTACCTCGCCGATGACAAGTCCCAGTCCGAGGCCGTCTTCGGCGGAATCGACAAGTCCCACTACACCGGCGACTTGACCTATATCCCCCTCCGCCGCAAGGCCTACTGGGAAGTCGACTTCGACGCCATCTCCTTCGGCGACGTCAAGGCGGACCTCGACAACACCGGCGTCATACTCGACACCGGCACCTCCCTCAACACCCTCCCCTCCTCCCTCGCTGAGCTCCTCAACAAGGAGATCGGCGCTAAGAAGGGCTACAACGGCCAGTACACCATCGACTGCAAGAAGCGCGATGACCTCCCAGATATCACCTTCACCCTTGCTGGCCATGACTTCGCACTCAGCGCTTATGATTATACCCTTGAGATGGGCGGAAGCTGCGTGTCTACCTTTATGGGAATGGATATGCCCGAGCCTGTTGGCCCGTTGGCTATCCTCGGTGATGCGTTCCTGAGGAGGTGGTACAGCGTGTATGATCTCGAGAAGGGTGCTGTTGGCCTGGCTGCCGCAAAATAGATGGTGACAGACATAAAGAAGCTAGAGAAAGCTAGTGAAGGTTGGAAGAGGTTGATATAGTGGATTGGACTGGGACAAGAGAGTGCAGCTTGTGATGTCGTTCGTCTTTACTTGTCTGTTTTTTTCCTTTTTCGTTTCCCTTTCGCATTCTCTTTTCCTTCTGTGAGAACACAATCATGCTGGTGTTTTTTTGGGACTTTTTTTTTGTATCTAAGATTTGAGAAGGGGGGTTAATTCGAGCAAATGCATATTGTAAACCATCTATATACTCTTATATCTGGGTATATGTGACTGTGGCCGTGACTGTAATAAATGATATTGATTTAATAACACGAGGGCTTGTCTTTTGTAAACACAGGCTCGAACCTACAATCCAGGGGGGAGGCATACCACCCTCAATAACCCCCACTCCCTCCTGTCAATCGTGCCTTCAAATGGCTTACCTCCACATAGCACACCATCACGCAGCTCGCTCACATCCACGCGTCTTCGCCTGCTCGTAGCTGTGATAATGCGGAGAAGGTGGAAAGAAAGACTATTACGACGCAACCCCGTAATTCATGGAGTTCAGTAGTAAAAGTGACAGCACACCAAGACCTGGAGTAAACCCCAGAAAACGACCCGACAGTGGAGCAAACTAGCGGCTTGACCATCTCATTGATTAGCCATTCCCACTGGCACCTCGCCCCATCTCCCCCCCTTACTATTCTCATAATTCTCATCGAACAACTCCTCACTCCTCACTTCATAAATATGGCCTCATGCGCTCTCGAGATGTGTCAAATTACCCCTCCCCCAAAAAAACATATTGCAGCAAATTTAAAATGAACTCAAACGGCAGCAACAGCGAAAAGACGGTGGATTTTTGTGAGGTCGAGGATGGGACTCTGGATGATGGGAAACAGGATCTTTTTACTGCGGAGCATATTGACGATGATCCCGTGCTCAGCAAGGAAGAGCAGCGGAAGATAATCCATCGCGTTGATGGGAGACTCGTCGCTACTACTGTGGCTATGTATGCCATCTCCCTGATGGATAGGACGAATCTCGGGAATGCTGGTATAGCGGGGATGAATGGGGAGCTGGATATGGAAGATGTATCGCTATGTTTGTTCCATGATTAATGGGAGGGGGGTTAGCTGCTAACTGGGGGGGTTTTGTAGTCGACTATTGCATTGGTATTCTTTGCGACGTATACATTGCTGCAACCTCCTGCTACTGTTTTGTGTCGGAAGATAGGGCACGTGAGGTGCCACGCTCTTACAGTGGGACCTGGCGGGCTCGGTAAATTAGGGCCTACGGGTTCCTGTATATAAAAGGGGCTGGAGGCTCGGAGTAAGGCCTCCAGTCAATAGTCGCTGTATCAACGTAGACCTATTGTGCTTCACACCAATATAACCCTTACTTCCTGCCTCCTGACCTGGTTCCCTGAACTCCCGTGACACCCTGGGCCCTACGCCTTTACAGATAGGACCCAGGCCTTTTCTGTCGTTTCTATGTTTTGCTTGGGGGGTTGTCATGGTAGTAGGTTGAGACTGTGCCTCGCTATGTGAAGTTACACTGATAGTGGTAGATTTGCTTTGGATTCCCTAAAACCTGGGTACCACTCATCACGCCTTCTCCTCCGCGTGTTTGAGGCGGGCTTCTTCCCTGGATGTGTGCATCTCATCTCGGCGTGGTATGTTCGCTTTGATATACAAAAGCAATACGCCGTCTTCTATCTCAGCGGAACCGTGTTGTCCGGCTTCTCTGGGATTTTAGCATACGGTATTCAGCAAATGGTGAGTTTGCCTAGCCGATGACAATCCTCATAGCAACTGCTAACGGTAGAAAGGATGGGCTTGGTGGATACTCTGGCTGGAGATGGATTTTTATCCTCGAGGGGATAATGTCGGTGATTGTTGCCATCATCGGATAGATATACCTCGTAGACTTCCCAGACCGTCTGATAACCAAACCAGCCTGGGGGTTTCTCAAGATGAATACGGCCGAACCGTGGAACTTTAAGAAGTGGGCTGCTTCTGGGCTGGATTGGAAGGTGTGGGGGTTTGCTTTGATTTACACGTGAGTTTTGTCATTTCTACCAACTTTTCATTCCTACTACATAACGGCAGGCTCTAATAACAGCAATAGTTGCCTAACTACTATGGCATATGCCTTGTCATACTTTCTACCGATCATTCTTCAAAATAATCTGCACATGTCAGTTGCAGAAGCACAATGCCTGACGGCTCCCCCGTCCATTTTAGCTACCATTTGTATGGGACTATTCGCCTCGGCCGGCGACAAATATCATGTCAGAGGCCCCTTATTGCTGTTAAACTAACTGCCTTTTGGGATTTATCGGACACCCACTTCTCGTAAGAAATATACCAAACCCATATATAAGTAATACTAATCTAAACATAACAGGGATTCGCAAAGCAGGCAGCAGTCCGCTACTTCGGCACATTCCTCATCTGCGTATCCGGCCAGGACGCCATCCCCACCGCCCTCGCCTACCAAGCAAATAGCATCACAGGCCACTGGAAACGTGCCTTTTGCTCTGCATCATTCATCGGCGCCAGCGGCATCGGCGGTATCGCTGGGTCCTTGGTATTTCGCTCGCAAGACGCGCCGAATTATCGGCCGGGGATATGCGGGACTGGCTTGCAATGCGGTGGCTGTTGTGGTTGTCTGTGTTAATACGGTTGTGTTACGGCGCGAGAATAGGAAGGCTGATCGGGAGGGGAAGATTCTGGAGGCGACGCCGGGGTTTAGATATACTATTTGAGGGGGTGGTAGTGAGGGTGGTGCGGTTGGCGATAGGGGTAGACGCGTAAATAGACATTATATGCCTTTGCACCAGTTTCCAGTACTGTAATCACAGAGGCTGCGGAGTAAGATGAATTGAATACTGGGGATAGTCGCACCATTCAACCTATGGGTAGTCAAAAGTATAGCGGGCGAAATAGAGGAAAGTTTGCATGCCTGGACTAAGCATGAAGCTTCTAATGCATGTGTTGATCATGGAGGAGCATAAATATGATTACTGTATATTCTAGCTAGATGCTTCCTCCAATTTGTCCAGCCTAGTTAGGTTGGATGGTAAACCGCCAGTGCCACCGGTTCTAACGTCGAAAGTTGACTGACATGCATCGAGAAATACCGGGCCATAGACTTGCATCTTTTTCTACTCTTGGAAGCCATGATTATTTTACACAGTTTTGACTACAGTAGTCATACTATAGTCGAAACTATGGAAGCTTTTTGGCGTCTTGACTACTACCAGCATCTTACGCCGAATCCGGCGGCACTTTCATTTCCACTGGCTTCTGTGACAAGGAAAGCTCCCGGTGGTAACATATCTCTCCTATCTCTGGTAAAGTCATCAAAAATAACACTAATGCTTCTTCTATGACAATCAAACCCTGATATTAGAAGCAACCCTCGCCCTACAAAAGCTATCCTGGAGACTGTAAGTTATTTTTCTTTCATACAGATATAGCAAAGACTCGGCCCATAACTGAACATGGCGGGCTCTTCCTCCACTTCTGGATTCTTTCAAGCGTTACCAACGGTGCCGCCACTTTACACGGCTTCCAGGCTTGCTTCACCCCAGGGAATGAATGTTTCAGATGAACAAGTCTTTGACAGGGCATTGCGCCTTTATCTACGAGAAAGCATCCCAGAAAAGGTCGACACGTCGATCCATAACTTTACCAGACTCGTCATTGATCCTTCAACACTACGCTTGACCGTGGACTGCGAGACCAATCAATCTAAACTCAAACATTTAAACACATTTGGCGAGGAGAATAAGGTGGATCCCCTCTGGGCAGGCGAAGGATGACGCCTCCTGAAGGCCATGGCCGTCTCGATGGACTTACTGGCCATGGGCATCAGCAGCCAGAGGACCAGCATGCCGTGTCTTGGAATAGAAGGATACATCAATTTGCGCTCGTTCATGCCTGGATCCCAACTGCGGCGCTGATTTCGTGCCCATCTGCGATGACACGATGATTTTTCAGCACGTGGATAAACCAGATGACGACTTCGAGCTGTTCTGGCCGAGGTATACAAGCGGCTTATTTTCTATGGATCCGGATTACGCATGGACAAGCGGCTAGTGGATGACGGAAAGGAAGGGTGGTAGCAATGTCAGAGATACGGAGACGGTTCGAGGGGACTCACGAGTGAAGAAATTCAGAGGGACCAGAAACTGGGCCGTGATCTGGATGCAGATGGGATACCATTGGGACCATGGCAGATTGATGTCTTCGAATGGTTCAGTAGCTCAACTGACTCGAACATGGCCATGATGCTGGCGCAGACAGATAAAGGTCTCGGCGCTTTTTTTGCGCCAATACGTCGCCGGGCTGTTGGTAAATATGAACTGAACGGTGTTCGCATCCAAAGACTGAAGAACAAGATGGGCAACAAAGGTCTACCAACCACAGAGCTAAAGCTTAAAGGCACTCGTGGATGGATGATTGGGAAAGAAGGCAATGGTCTCAAAAAAAAATCGGCAATTCTTAGTGCTCTCGGATTCTGGGGACGGGCCTTGTCGATAAGTCGCGCATATACTAAAACCTGCAATGTTCGCGATGGATTATTACAAGACAGCCCTCAGCATCTACGATGGATGGCGAACCAGACGGTCGATTACTGGGCAGCATTCCAACTGGCATTCTTCGGAGTTGCCTTGCTAGGAACCACTGAGCAAGGTCGCCACGGACATGACGCTAGAGCACAAAAGTTATTTCCACCGGAAGATGCAGCTCTAAAGACAGGCTCTGTTAGGAGTGTCGAAGGCGTACGGGCATGATGGAGTGCCTTGGTGGAGTTGAGTACTGTGAGAACAACGAAGACGGGGGGATTATGAACGTGACAAGGCTATTTCGAGATACAGCAGTGACGCCGATATGGGAAGGAACAGTGAGTCTAGCGGCCTAGGATACAGTCAGAGTTTTGAAGGATAAGAGGCTGGGTCATAGCGTTGTTGAGGGTGTCTTTGGCACCTGGGTTGAGGCCGCCTTGAAGAACTGTCAGGATGAGGGCAAATTTCAGAAAGAATGCTCACTGGTTAGAATGTGGTCAAGCAGATAGACGTCCCTCAATTGCCTTGGCAAGGGAGAGCAGTCGTAGAGCACGTCGAGGCTATCGGTTGTGCCTACCTACTCATGTACGACGCTTGCGTTGATGATGGCGAGGTGTCGACTGAGATTGCGAGACGATGGACGTGGTTTAATGTGCTTCCTGGCTCTTTGCGTCAAGAAAAATCCGAATGGCGGAGTCAAGTGGCTATGGACAAAAGATTTTCCTCGGTCCAGGATCTGAGGGTGTTGCTGAGCTTCGGGGCAAGTTGTAGTTATAAGATAATTCAAGGCCCCTTCGGGAATTTCTCTGTGCCAGCCAAGTGTGTACGCCCAAATTATTTTAGAAAAGCAGTAGTAATTGTACCATTGGGGGTTTAATTATAATGTTTAATCATATCAAGTGCTGATGCATAATTGACGAAGTGATACATTGTAGAAAACACGTAGTTATCGAAAGATCAATTAATTCGTAAAATTCATATTAAAAATTGGCCTCCTGAACCCCACTCTTGGAAAGTCATCGGTCATGATACTATAGTCTATGAATTCTTCCCAGTAGTTAAACTCCAAGTCTTCAGCCATTCTATTATCCTTGATAGCCAAGTAAAGGTTGCTCGGAAGCATCGCACCGTCGTGGGCATTAGTGGCCTCGGCTACTGGAATGCAGGGAGGATGCTCAAATTCATCTACTGCGGGCGATGGCATATCCGTGGTCGCGGAATACACTGAGCTTGGTAGAGTTGGCGTTGGACATTCCGATGATACGAGATCTGGGATGGAAGTCTCTTCGTCCGCTGACATTATGGATGAAGCGGTAAAGGTATTCGCCGTTGGTGGTGGTGGCCAATTCTTTGATTGTGACTCTCCAAACAGATATTGTTGAAGATTGGGAGATGTGGGAGAAAAAATCGTCTCCGTCCTCGATAAGTTGCAGTCTTCTTCACGCCGTCGTTTAAAAGGAGGACATGTTGTAGGTGAGTCCGTCGAGAATCATCCGCATCTCTGATTTTCTCACAGCCCTTGTCCCATTAGCAAGTGTCGCAACTTAGTGGACGGACCCGCGAACGTGCGTTATCACTTTCCTCATCTTATACCAATCCTCAGAAAAGACAGCAGTAAACCCGGAAATTATTTCCCCGCTGTCAGCGAACCTCCGCCGTCGCGACCGACGATCCTTGGAGTTAAAGGGCCATTTCCAATTATCAGAAAAAACGGCCCGTGATGCACGGGACTCCTTGGCGGTTATTGATCCCTGGCGTTGAGGGAGATGTACATCCCTAGCAAAACCGGCACGCTTTCGGCATGTTTAAACAAATGTGTTCCAGAGGAGTATCTTTATTGTGTGAAAGGTAGAGACAGCAGTCACATTCTATGGCCGGCTTCGTCTCAGATCCCTCTACTGTTATAAATATACGTTGCGTGTTCTGGGTGACGAAAAGCCAATCGGATACTGTGTTGATAATATCCCTCTTTCGTGCGCAAGGGGTAGATTCTCAGAATAAGTGAGTCCCATCATGATTCGGAGCAACTGTCCCCCATCGTAATCCTGTGCAACTGCTCCATGGGTTATGTCCACCGGAATCGCTAACAGATAAGGAGCTAGTGTCCTCGACAGTTTCCACTGGAATTTCTAACCAATAAGCAATCGGCCACTGTTAACTTGGCAACTTCCACACCGGAACTTCCACCGGAACTGATGGTTGAGGTATTATTCTAAAAGTGGGGATTTGGAGATGCAAAGAACACCTTCGGAGAGTCTCCAAAGCGGCTTTTTACTTTGAAGCATTGTAGTTGTTTTTGATTTTCTTAAGTAGGTAGGAGAGGTGCGTTGTCACCAGGACTATCTTGAGCTGGTCATCCCGAGGAGCGCTGGCCAACCGCCGCAGAGTGGCTTTTTACTTTGTCCATGGAACGCCTTGTTACAAAGTTAAAGTTGACTTGGCCTTCGATTGAAGTATAGTATACAGAATGTGAGCTCACACTTCTGTAAGACGGTGATCTAATTGGAAATCTTTGTTGATTTACCACCGAGCAACGGAAGTTAAGTGCAACACTCAAAAATAGCCCCAGAAGGATTTCATCCTCAGATGCGTCTGTTGTGGGTAGACTTCTTCATTTCATTGCCGTCGAGCCGTCGACAGATCTACTGCAGTAAGTACCACCGGAAAGGGTTACAAGGATTTGAGTATTCTACATACGTTTCAGTATGGGTAGCAACAAGGTTCAGACGACTGAGAACAGGCAAGTGACAAAGACTACTTCAACTGAGACTATCGACATACATGACTTCTTCTGCTCTTAAAAGTGCCTGATCTCTTTCAATCCTATACCTATTTGGGAATCGATCTAATTTTGTTGCCAGGTTGTCTTAAGATCGTGAACAATATTTTTCTTGAGTGGTTTATCATTAGAATCAAGGGATCATGGTCACATCGGAGACTATTGTTCGCCGAGATGGTGCGTCGATCATATATCATTCCAAGGAAGATCTAGAAGTTCCAAGGATAGATCTCCTGAGCTTTCTCTTCGGTACCGTCTCTAAAGCCATAAACTACAGAATAAAATCTTATTATTAAATAAATTCAGAGCATTGCGTAGCCAAAGAAAATGCAGCCCTTCACCGTGACGCCGCAAATCCTTGCCTGGCAATCACAAAAGCCGAATTGCGCACCTTTATTCAACAAATCGCTTTTACCATTCGAAACAAAATCGGTGTTACCAAAGGCCACCATGTCACTTGTATCTCGTCCGGTAGCTTCTTTGCACCCTCTGTTTTCTTCGGCTGTGTAGCAGCTAGAGCAATGTTTTGTCCTTCGAGCCCATCTTCCACCGTTTCTGAACTTGTTCCGGCTATTCGAATTTCAGATAGCAGTCTGATAGTTTGTAATGACGATATGCTCGGAATTGTCCCAAAGCAGGAGCGGAATGTTCAATACTACGGGACAGAATCCTGAAAAGAACAAGGCTCTAAGGTCCCTTGAAGCTCATTCTCTTATGGTATGCAGAAGGACGAAGAATCGAGTCAGGCTAAATGAGCCGCAGGCATCTATTCGACCTGCCCCTTCTGCTAAACCAGGACCAAAAATCCTGAGGCCCTCGAGACATCCTGCTCAGGGTCAATATAGCCATTCTACTTTCCAGCTCGTGCAGCATATAAGTAGGAATTAGGATGTGCGGCCCATGGCTAATATCTTTGCTTAGATCTTTAAGTCACACGGCATCAGGCCTAGTGAATCTGATGCCATTCCAGATGGCAGCCCGTCTCAAAGAGGGAATTTAAACGACCACCAAGTAATGGTACCAATTTCAGACCTAGTTGGTATAGAGTTTCCATCGAAGGCTCTAGCATTGGTGCTATACGAGACTTACTTAAAATCAATGAGCTGGTACATGGTGTTATTCCATGAGCCCACGATGCGAAAGATGATCGAACAGTCCGCCACTTCTGGCGTGGTTCGTCGATCTGAGATGCCGCACCCCAGGTCTTTCTAATGTTGATCATAATGGTCATTAGCCAGGCACAGCGGGAATGCCCCGGTACTGATCTGCCCTCAATAGTTAAGGGGATGGTAAGAACTGTTGAGGAGAAGTATCTTTCCTGCATTGATATTCTTACAGTAGACTCAGTAATGTTTGGTTACTTATTGTCCGTTCACTACTTATCTGTAACGCGTAAGCCCAGGGTCTCACGGGAGTCCAGGGAACCAGGTCAGAAGGCAGGAAGTGAGATCGTATTGCAAGACAGTAGGTCTACGTATGTACAGCGACTATCGGCTGGAGGCCTCCTTCTGAGGCTTCCAGCTCCTTATATCCTACGTTCCTACATGCCCTAGTTTACCGAGCCCTAGTGGCTCCACTGCCAGGCAGCCCCTGAGTTCAGGGCGGCCTCACATGATGGGCCGCCTTACATTATCTACGCGCTGCACTAAACGTGCATTTCTTGTCAAAGCTGCGGGATTGAGGGCAAGACAAGCTATGGAACTTCATCAAGAGTCAAGATGGGGAGACATTGACCCCATCGAGCGGCAAGTCCGTAGGAGAGTATGGTGGATGCTGTTTGTATCGGACGGGTAAGTTATCTCACATTATCTACTTCATGCTAGAAGAACCGTCAAGGTTGACACAGAAATAGTTATTCATCACAAGTATACGGCAAACCAAGCGGTCCCGATGATTTTCACGTTGCACTACCTGGGAATATTAACGATAATTCAGCAACATGTCCTGGATTCACTTCAGTTGAGCTACAAAGTGGCTCATCTTATCCAGTCACGACCATCTCGTATCATAGATACAAATCGAAACTCTATATTATAGCAGCGCCAATAACTTGAGACCTATATCTTCACTAACGGAAGAACCCAAAAACTATGGTGCATATCCACATACACAGCTCACCGAGTGGGAAAATTCACTTCCTGCCGAACTTAAGATACTCGAGTAGCCTCATGGAATAAACAAGCCATGGAAAAAGTACAGAGTAGCACATCACATATTTTTGCTATGCAAGCTTTGACGCCGCAAATCTCCTACGATAACATACAGCTCCTGTTACATCGCCCTTATCAGGGGTCATCTGCTAAACTAAACCTAGATAGTAGTAAGTTGCCGGTCGATGCGCCTCATTCATAATTTGATGTAGCGCAAAACCTAGATATCATCGAGCTGGGCCGTTCACAATGCTGGAAATCGGCGTTGCGGACATCAGGTGTTGACAGCTATGCTCCAATACTACGCTTGGTCGGGAACACTCCTGCTGCTACCAATGTGGGGATCCATTGTCTAACATCGGCTGTAATGCCGGGAGTACTGGCACTTTCAGACCCGTCTGGACCAAGAGTACAGGATTGCAAGCGTGGGATTACAAGTCTGATTAAAGTTCCTCGAAACTTTGGGCTCAAAAGTGTGGTATGGGGTCAAAATGCCGAGATCTTAACGGATCCGATGAAGGTTATGGTAGCTAAAGAGGTTAAGGCAATGTTATCACAAGATGATAATTGTTGTGAATCGGATATTCTAAATAGCAACGGACAGCCTTCACACGGAATAGGCCAAACAGCAACAGAGGTGTCAGTAAACAGGCACACAGGATGGGAGCGGACGAGTAACTCTCAGCCCACAATGGATATTGATTACGAACGAGTTCCACGCTCTCCGAGTCTGCCTTCCATCTCTGAAGATACACAGACGCCATCGCAGCCACCAGTTCCTTTACCCACACCACATATGCGAGCTATGGCACCAAAGCCTTTACTTCTCAATTCGATTTTTCAAGCGACTCCAGGGTCGATATGGATTTCGACATCGACCTTAGTGCCATAACAATGCATAAACATGGCCTAGAGCCCGTTTACAATGGGGAAGCGCAATTTGGAGTCAGAGGCCTGCAGGACCTAGGTGCCTCCGCAGACACCGTTCCATCCATCCGGGGCAGCTCTAGATATGGGGTCCTCCTTTCGCATTCCTTTAGTTCGAGATTGGAATTTATGCTATCAAGTGTTATCTCATATTCAAGATGAGAGGGTGAGCTCTTACTGTACTCTACTCTGTGCACTGTACGTATAGAAACACCAGCGGAGCCTCGTGCTCCCCGATCGGCAGAATCCACAACGGCACAAGCGTCAAGCTGCTCACCTTCGTCGCCTGCGTCGCGAAACCGAGGATCGGCGCTAGGGATCGGGCGGGGTGTTGTTGTGTTGTCGGTTCATTGATTAAGGACTGGCCCTGTTCCCGCGGGTTCCTTTTAGAGTGAGGCTGGACTACTCGGACCTCGGACCACTTTGCTAGGACCACTTTGCTAGGACCACTTTGTAATAGAGTCCATACAGGGTGTTTAGATTTATTTGACGTCTGATTTACTTGACGTCTGATTTACTTAGGGTCTGATATACTTGACGACTGATTTAATTAGCGACTATGAGAAATATAAACTACACGAGAGATACAGTCCCACTAGTCTTTTCCCGAATGTCGTCGAGAAGCTCTTGCACTGGCGTCACAATGCCAGCATCTTCATGGGATAATTTCCCAAGTACCATCCCAACCCACTCTTTATCTAAGTTGAACACCATACCCCCGGAATCGCCGCCGCTCACGAAGGGCTGACCACCTAGTACCGGGTTTATCTGCATCTCGTCTGACTCCATCCCATTCATCCAGTCAATCTTTATCTTCATAGCGTTAACCTCTCCAGCAGTAATTCCAGTCGTGCGGCCGGTTTTCGATACCCAACTCCCATCATTTACTACCCCATGGTGTGAAACAACTTCGTCTGTGCTAACTTCATAACGTAGCTTTCCGTAAAAGAGCTCAGCTGGCGAGAAATTTGCTGGCGGTGGTTTGTTTACCAGAATTGACGTCTGGTTATGAAGCCGTATGATGGCCCAGTCCATCCGACGCCCAGTACTATTTTTCCTCCGAAGCCCAGACGCATGGATCACTTTGCCGATGCCTCCAGCTTTTAGATGTCCATTTATGATACTAAGCGTCCTAGCCCCATTTCCGCTTCCATCGTTATTTGAAGTAATCTCGCCTTGCAGGACCCGCCTAGTCTCGACTTCGTCGTACCGCGCTGGATAGTCAACAGTACTGTTAACTTCTGCCTGTCGTCCATAGAGACCGACGCCGTGAAATCCAACGCCATGTTCAGCGCTCCCGTCGTTGTCAATGATTACATGACAACACGTCAAGAAGCATTTTTCCACTTCTTCTTGACCGCTACCACGAAAGTTGACAAAGACGCCAACGCTTCCTGCTTGTGTGGTAATGTCTCGTGCGCCAATGGACGACCCATTCAACGGCAGAGGCGCAAGATTCCGTAGGACTAGCCGCGGCGTTGGTAACATTTCTTGGGAGATAGCAAGCATCGCCCTCCCAGGCACGAGCTCGACGTCAATATTTAGGTGAGCCACCCCATTTCTTATTTTTGCTTCAACGAGGTCCCAGATGCTTCGCGACCCAGGCGCCATTGATATTATAACCGTTGGCTGTCTATGCTGAGTCTGCTCAGGGGGGCCGCGCATGTGATACGAAATCGTAGTCCAGAGACCAGCGCAGTTCTTTTTGACATCTTTGTAAATAATTGGCTCCGCCTCTTGACATGTTATATGAGCTGGTGTATGGGGTATGATGATAGATGAGACATCTCTATACTTCTTCTGCTCGTTTCTGATCTCGACACGAATTTTGACGTCTGGAGATGCCTCGTCTAATCTTAGCTGTACCATAGTAGCAGCTGCCTTCCAGTTGTTCGCATCTTCGTCGTGTGTGCTGATAACAAGCGTATCCTGCGGCCGAAACATCCCTCTTGGCGACAAGCCTTGCACCTGCATGTGGTAAAGACTAATTCTATGGTCTTGTAGGATTGCGCGGCAAGCGTCTTCTATGCTCCCAGCAACATTGACAGCCTCTGGCGACGGTCTTGACCGATCATAAGGCCATGGTAGGGCGAATTTCCCCTCTGGGGCTGCGCGGAAGTCGTCTTTTGCGGCATAGTAGTAATCAATCGAATAAGTGCCAGTGTCTAAGTCGAAGTCTTCTGATGAGCCGCCAGTAGCTCTGAACTTTCTGGTGCCCATTGTGTAGATGAAGATGAGTGTTAAGGTTGAGGAAGTGTTACTGTCGGATGTCACAAATATAGAGTTGCCACTATCTCGTACGAGTGATGTTAATGGTCTGCTCTCGCCCAGGGTAGGAGCATGAAGTTTGGTAGCGGATGTCGCAACGTAGTTTTGGCGCTAAGAATAGTTGCCGCCGTCAAAGAATAATTGTCCTCAGTGGACGCAAGGCACGGCATGCCAATAAGGAGGCTATGCACGAATAAAAAAAATGCTGCATTGAAAATCTACGCCTACTATTTAGTTGCAGAGGCTGAGATTAACAATGAAACTGCCATATATAAGCGTCTTGCCACCTCAGGGACCTCCGACCATCCAGGCAAGCCGTTTGTCCGGACTATTCGGGACTCTTTCACTGTCACGAGCAGAGCAGGGAATCCCCACCAATTTTTAGTTCACAGCATTCTTTTCAACTACATACAGAGCCTGCGATATGCTCATCAGCTAACTGAGGCGATGCTCAAGCAAATTTTGATTCATCAGCCCCCCCCCCCTTTTCCCCTCCGTCTCCCTTCCTCGGTATCTTTCCCCATTCTCCCTTCCTCTATCCCTCAGTCCTATGCTACTCCCGTCGGCTCTCCAGAAGGAGCTGAAGGTTCGTAGCCGGCACCACGGACAGGTGGGGGTTCGACTTCGCCGGCCGACCTCCTCAGGAAGATTCCGTCCTCGAAGGCCAGGAGCCTTTAAGGTCCGCCTCCAAGACCCCTAAAAGTAGTAACCCGGGTCTCTAATGTCGAACTCTACCTTTGCAGTTCCGAGAAGAGTTCGGGGAGGGCCGGTCCGCTGTCCGGCAACCAGTGTCTCTAGTAACTTCACCTTCCGCTCATCCGCTTCGGCGTGGCGTCGTCCCTGGCGAACTAGTATGCCGAGTCGTACTGCTATCAAACGCTGTGTCCGGTGAGTATTTCTCCGCCGGACGGGTGGAGGAGGGGGAGGGGGAGGGGGAGGAGGAGAAGGGGAGGAGGAGGGAGGAGGGCACGAGCGAAGGTCCCTAGCCACTTCACCAGTGGGATCCCAGTACGCCCGGAGTTCCAACCAAACGAGAGTTGACGCGGGGACTCCGAAGAATATCCCAAAAGCAAGGGCAATGAGGTTGACAACGAGGCCCATTGCGAAAGAGTGTGTTGCGGATGAGAAACGATCGTGTTGAAAATGAGTGTTGCGCGGAGGAGAAAAGGAAAGAAAGAAAACATGAGACCGAAACAAACTGGGGATTATATATGGTACAATAGCAAAGCGTTTTGAGAAGAGCAGAGGAGAGGTAAATAATAAACATTTATTTTTGGAAGTTGCAGCTTATACTATCGTCGTTTCCCTCATTTTAAAATTTAGGAACGAGCCTTCCGTTTCGAACCACATAACCTACTTCAGCCCCCTTAGCCGATACTCTTGCATAATCAGGCCATGGCCAACGACATGATGTAGTTAGCTCTTTCTCATCTTGTTTAGTAAGAGTAGAGTCAAACTTAAACCCAGTATCCTGCTCAAAGGCAGCGCAGATAGAACCTCGCTGGTACGTGACTCTTCTCCTCCGCTCACTGCCATAAAGTCGAATCCTCCTTTTAAAGTCATCTGCCTCCTTCCCCTCTCCCAAATCAATCCATCGCGTAATAAACAATGCATTCCCCTCCCTCCCATAGCCCTTAAAATCAACTCTGAACTCGCTGTGGCAGTACTGACAATATATAATGCGTTGCGTATTCTCATATTCGTCTATCAGCTCATCCGCTTCCGGGACTTGGATCCCCCACCAATATAGGTCCATCATCTCCATAAAGGGTATGTGCCGGCAGATGCCGAATCCGCCGTACCAAGGCAGCGGAGTCTTTTGCGAGGACGGGATCATATACACCTTCTGCTCGCGTATAAGGAGGGAGCCGGCCTCGGAGATACGCGCTTCGGCCTTGTGGAGCTCTACGAAGCCCCATAGATGTCCTTCCATTTTTCTATAGGATAGTAGGTATAAGAGGGCTGCGGTATCTTTGCCTTGTCTGTAGGCTTTTATAGCCATGCGGAAGATGGTTGAGGAGAATCCGCCAGGGAGTCCACCGATATAATGGCCTGTTGAATCCGTAATCCGGCACTTTAATGAATTCTTTTCTGGAGCGACGTATAGTTGGGATACTCTGTGTCGTTTAGCAGAGAGCATACTGTGTAGCTTATTGCATTCCGGGCAAACGATATGAAACGGTAAATCTCGTTCTAGTAAGTGAAGGAATCTGTTCATTACTGGGTATTCGGCTAGTTTGAGAGACTGAAGATACTCTGTCTCAAGGCATAAGTATAGGCGAAGACACGATAGACTTAAACTTCCCACGGATTCGAGTGGCAGAAAGCTTGCTATAAGGTAGATCAGCTCGGGTGGGAGCTCACGGAAAGGCGATGATTTCAGGCCGCTTAGTCGATCTCTAGCAAACGCCGGTTTCGTTTGTAAGAAACACCTTGCGAGGCGCGTGGATATACGAAGAAACATATCCATTTCGAGGTATAATATCGTAAGCGTTAAAAAGGTCGCAGAGAACGATGTATATACTATTCGAAAAATAAGGCTATAATTTTAATGCTTAGTAGCGCCATCTTAATGAGTCAAAAGGCTAGTCGGGTTCCAAGCTTCAAAATACTCAACTATCGACTTTACATACTATTTTGTATGGAGGGTACATACTCGAGTGGTACGTACAGTACCATCTTCAGTCTAGATATTTAAACTATTTGTTCTACATAACGGACAGCGTTTTACTCTTCCAAATTCTCATCTGTCGCTTTCATCCAATGAGAACGGTTCAATGGTGTGGGAAGATGGTAGCTTGCAAGAGCAAGCGCAGTGATTGGCCTCGCAATTAGCTATGCGCAAGAAACCGACACGGCATGCTCAAACATCGTAACAAGGCTTCTCTTCCATACAAGGTGAGTCACCTTTTAGAACTGCTGGCGTAGCTTTACGAGCCCCTTTCCAATCTTTGTGAGTCTTGCTAAATAAAATGACTTTCTCGCAGGTTATACAGGCTATCACGATGTGCGACTTCTACCTTTTGTAGATCCTTCCAATCCTCTAGCGACAATAGATCCTCTTCTTAGTATTGTATATAATAGACATTGATTGCAGCTTTGAGCTTTGTAGCAGTACTAATCATCTTATACCATGAGTTCTAGCGAGTTGAATTGTCCTGTACAAGGTTGCGGCCTTGACTTAGTTCTCTGAAATTGGCTATCCGTTGTGGGCTCTGCTGAATATATACTATAATGTTATGTAGTTTGCCAAGGGGTCCTTTCTTCCGCTAGTGCTTCATTTCCATTTCTGTAGGTGTTGACAATAGTTCTGTATTAATGTGGTCTGCAAGAGCTTCCTCATCTATTTGAAATAAAAATGATTAGGCTGCTAGGTTGATTATATAGCCATTGCATCGAAGTCTGTAATGGATTAGATTGTATATAATTTCGTATTGGTCAAAGATGAAGGACACAGGGCACCCAGCTCACGGTAATAGCATATGGGAGTGCAAGTCAGAGGCTAAACGGATGCTATCCTATAGGTCTACTACGAAGGATACAAAAAAGATGATGGGGAACCCTGTTGGGTCAATCCCCTTAAGTACCCGAAACGGGTCCGACTCGGCTAACCTGCCTTAACTAGTCTGACTCAGATCCCTTCTGTAACTGAGGGCGGAGGCATCCTTACAAAAGAGCACTAAATAACGCAAGTTAGCTAGAATTTCTAACATAGTATTAAGCTTGATAGGTACCAACTCTTTGAGAGAGCTTGTATCATTGTATCGTTGTTATTTGCATTGTCCATTACAAAGTATTTAACTTTTGAGGCAATTCCGTAATCGTTAATAACCTTCATAATATTCTATGCCTGATTGTGACCTAAATATATAATTAGCTAATTACTATAAAGGTTAATATAAGGTCACTAACCTAAATGTCATCCTGACATTCTTTGCACTCAGTTTGCTATCAAACTCAAGAGCAAACTTAGAAATCTCCTCCTCAAACCTACAAGTCACTATACATATTTTGGCTTGTCACACCAACAACAAGAGCAATACTACTCAACGATTGCTACAACCTCTATGATTCATTACACGTCATTGCTCCTTAGTTACTGGGCCGATATGACCACATAGCATATCTCTACAACCCTCTATGATTCATTACATGACATCACTCCTTAGTTACTGGGCTAATACTACACATGACATATCTCTATCAACTAGAGGCCTAGGACATCAACGATAGCTCCAAAAGCTTCTACAACAGTCTATAATTCATTACACGTCATCGCTCCTTAGTTACCCACAAGATTGGTTAAGTTATGACATAATTTGTCTATAGGGGTACTCTGACCTTGGACCTCCTTTCACTTCCTATAGGCTAGGAACCTAGGAGATGGTTCTATGGGATTCTCTTACGTCGACTACAGTTACCAAGCCTGGTTAGTCATGGAAAGTCATGGAAAATGAGAGAACTACACTCCTTTAGCATAAATAGGATTGCCCTTTCCTTAAGAAAGGGCAAGCAGACAATATAGTAAATCGACTATCACATACTTCCACGTCTTTTCCAAGCTTCCAAGCATTGGTCTTGTTACTCCTTGTTTCTGAAAAGTCAGTGAGGTGCTAACCTCTGACTTATCCCTGAGTTCTCAGACTCAACATTTGTTACAACTTGTCTAAACCACTCCACTACATCATACACCTGATTTCTGCGTTGTGGAATAGTCTAAGCTACGACCCTTTGGCTCTTTTTCTTAAGACAGTGTGTTGTCTTAGTAAAATCATCCTTTCCTTGGGTGGCTAGATTCTCACATCTGGTGCACCCACCATTACACTAAATGCCTACCATCTAACTCTTGCAAGGTAAGTATAGAGTGTTGTAGGTCACTGTTCTCTGTAATATAGTGGCTAATGATCTTAATAATTGCAAGGGAAGTCCGGAGAGGTCTAAAGATCTACAGTAAAGTGAACTTTTGAAAGTGCTGATTGGACTTTTTGCTGTATCTGTAGTTTCTCTAACTCGTATGTCTAAAGCTGTATTGTTGTAGCAGATGTAGGCAACTAGTTTTCAATTTGTAGACTTCTATATAGACTTAAGCTTTAACCTTAGCATTCTAAAGGATATCCTCTCCCTCTTGTATAGAGAGACTACCCTCTTGCATTATATGCCTCTTATGCTTCTTTTCTCTTCTCTTTTTCTGTTCATTTGCTACTTGTAGAGCCTTAACTTCTGCCTTAAGTAGAACAACAGAATGCCGTCGCACATAAGTACTTTAGCCACAACGTTAGCTGCTTTGCTCTACTAAAGCTTTCGTACGGACGTTAGACTGAAACTTTCGTACGGAACTGGCTTAATCATTTTACAAAGCTTAAGTTTTTCTCTACATTTAAAGAAGCATTTAAAGCTACATTTATAGAGCAGAACATTAAGAGTGGGTTCTAAGCAACATGATTAGTTCTGTATAAGCTATAGAATGTCCTTTCTCACTTGAATCTACACTTAAGGACTCCGGCTCCTTCTAATAGTTAAGAGTAACAATTTGTTAGAACTGTGTTCCTAGTAGTACGCTACACATGCGTAGCCTGTATACCAACTGTGTATTGTGTATATATAGGGGCTTCGCCCCCTGTAGTTTCTCAATCAAGTCGTTAAACTCCAATTATGTGCCTAACACAATTAGACTTTAAAGACTCTCTAAACTATAAGGGAGATTAACTTTCAAACAGAGCACATTAAGAACCACATCATACAACATTAGAACAGCTCTCCTAGCTCAATTAATGATGCTGTTAGCTGCCTTGTTAACGGGGCAGAAATGATGATGACGAGTGTAGTAGCATATAGAGAGTGATTATCTTATGTTCTGTATAAGTTAGTAGTGTTAGAATTAAGCTAAGAGGTAGCTCTTACTTCCGTTAAAAATGAGAAGGTAATAGGTTCTGATCGAACGACTATTTGTATGTCGATCGAAGTGTTAAATCCACTCGTACATTTGTCGTTGCAAATTATTTGAGCAACGTAAATAAGCGGAAGATGGTTTGCGCGTGGTTTTTTGGCTCTATTTTCGCTCGCTTGTCCATTCTGTTGTTTTTAAGCCGTATTTATATTGGATACATATAGAGGCATTATCAGACGGATTTTAAAGACGCAGGATGTATTTTAAGACTATCCAGCGCTTAGTTCAGGTACAACACGCATCAATACAAGCACCCCCCCTTTCCATCCCCCTCCCCCATTCTCCAAGCCCCCTCCCCCCTCCCCCCTCCTCCCTCCACAACGAACCAAACAAACACAAAAAAAAACACCCCCATCTCCAAAAATCCCACCCACAAAATAAAAGCCTAAGTAACAAGAGAAAGAAAGGCAAAACCAGAAAAGACGATGACTCCTCCTCCCCATCCACCCGTTTCCAATGCAAAAAAAGAAAGACAAAAAGACAAAAATGAAGGCAACAAGACGAGATGATAAAACAACAACAACGGAACTATTATCGCCCCCACGCTTTGGGCTGGGGGCTGGTTATCTATCGTACAGTACAACCAGTTGATGCGAGAACGGATGTGGCCCCGGGTGATGGAAACCATATGAACACAGATACCCTTTTTATATACTTCTCTCCCCTCCCTCTTCCTCCCATCGTCGTCGGTGTGGTGTGTGTAGATGTAGAAGTCGACATTCGCAAGGCGTGCGCGATTTGCCGTCTTCCACAGCACAGCTGGCTCCGTCAAAGACACACCCCCACACCCCCCCCCCTAAAAAAAACCACCTTCCCCCCAATCACCTCTCAATACTCTCCGGGCTAATCGGCCCCACCGGCCCCCCCTCCTCCTTCCCCCCCCCCTTTCCCCCCCCATCTCACTATCCACCCTCTCCATCCCCACCGCCACCGGCAGAATCCTCTTCTTCCCCCCTTCTCCGGACTCCCCGCCGCCGTCTTCCCCCCCCCAGCAGCGATGCTGCCAGCCCCATTAACCAACTCCACCCCTCCCTCAAGCTTCTTCTTCTTCTTCGCATTCCCCACCTGCTCCTTGAGTGGGCGCTTCCGCGGACTCGTAATCTTGCCCGTCGGCGGGAGGCGCGGCTTCGGGAACCGCTGCTTTAGCGGTAGATCCTCGTCTTCCACCAGCGGCTCGTCGGAGTTGGCGTGTAGCTTGGCGAGGAAGAAATTCTTCACCAGCCCGATTTGCGATTGTATGTTCTCGCGCGTCACGGGGCGGAGCGTGGGGAGCGCCTCGAAGAGCGTTGCGGCCGTGGGGCCAGCGGCGGGGTTATTGGCGTTGTGCGCACTGTGGACCTTGGCTTGGAGGAGGTGCAGCGGTACTGAGAGGGACGCGAGACCGAATTCCCTGTCGAGGCCTAGTTCCTTGAAGCCGAAGAAATCCTCGTCGATGTCGTCTGCGAAGTCGCCGCCGACGAACTGCTCGCTGCCGTCGTTGAAGGCGCCTACGCCGTCTGTGCCGGCGTCCACGAGTGCCGGGCGGAGAAGGTCAGTTAAGTGCGCCTTCATGCGCTCGTGCATGACGCCGAGCTTAGTGCCGAAGCGTTCATTGTCATCCTTGGCGTAGCTCTCGAGCGTCTCGACGTCTAGCCCGCTTTCGCTGAGGGTATGCAACATGACCTCCTCGTTGGTGAAGCGCTCCTGCCACTCTGCGCCGTTCTGGGCCGCGAGTCCCGTGGCGGGTACCTTGGGCGCCTCGCGGTAAATAGCGAATGTGCGCGCGATCTTGGTGAAGTAGTCGGCGGCTATGTCGGTGATGACGTCGAGGGCTGAGGGCTGTAGCTCCTCAAACCCGGCGTGGTAGCAGAGCTTGCCAACGGAGCGGCGGAGGGCGGCTTGGCACACCCATTTGGACATCACGGGGCCTTCGTCGGATTGGACGTATGGCTCGATGTCGGCCTCATAGAAGGGCTGGGGGTTATACTTTTGGAACTGGTTGTTGTACATCTATGACAGGATTAGCATATCGTAAGACATATAATATCGATAAATAGCATACCTGAGTCTGTAACTGCATCTGCTTGACTACTCCAATCTTCGAGCAGATCTTCCTAGTCTCCTGCATTTGCCTCATATTGCTCTCCATCCGTTCCGTCAGCTTGCTCTGCGGCGATCGGAAGTGGCCGGCGGGAACCATGCGCAGGAACTCGCTTGCCTCGACGAGATTCCCCGACGCATCTTCGACCCACTGTAGCTTCTCAGGCACATCTGGGATAGCTGATAGCGGATCATAGTAGTCAGGCAGGACGCGTTCGTCGTCGCCTCCCTCCATACCTTCAGCCAGAGTCTCCGATCCTTTGACAGGTTCCTTCCCATCAGCAGCTTTGGAGTCAATCGCATTGCCGCCTTCCGCTACATTATGCTGGCGAATCCATCTTCTCATGCCAGCCTTTGTTCTAAGAAGAGCGGGCTCATCAGGGTTGAGCCTGTCGCCTTTGAAAAGCTTATGTCTTTCCTTCGCAGCGAGGGCCCGGTCTTTCTTAGTGACCTGCTTCCAAACCCGGTACTCCTCATCCTCCTGGAGATCCTCTGCAGCAGCGCCTAGCGCCTGGCCAAGCGCCATCCCATTCAAAGACGGTCCGTCAATATCCATCATATCAGCCTGGCTCCCCGTCCCAGGCATTCCGCCGGGGGTGGGCGAGCCAGAGCCGTTCTGGCTGCCTTCTACCCCGAAATCCGAGCCCTCGTGGATCAGATTGCCAATCACGCTGTTGAGGGGAAGCACGGGCTTTTGGTCTACGCCAGGTGTGCTCTCGGCGCGACCAGGCGCGACCTTGCGTGCCTTGGAAGAGCCCTTGACGCCTGTCTTGCCAGGTGCCTTGCGCCCTCGCGATGACATAATCGGCTCATCGTCGCTTTCATCGCCAGCATCATCCTCGACGCCATTTTGTTTGCGTCTTTCTTCGGCTTCGACTTCGGCTCTAGGTCTAACCACGATATCTGGTATTAATGGCACCAGCTTCTCTGCCTCCCTCCGCATGCAATTCGCGTTGCGGCGAAGGGGGTGGCTGGGGTCGGCATTGTATTTGAGGCAGTTACTCCATATCAGATCGAGGTCTGAAACGAAGTCTGCTTTGGATTTATACAAAAATGTCTTTAGCTTTTTCGTCATCTGTCCTAGATCCATTGGTGTTTTGATGACTGAAGTGATTAGCCTTGCTCTCAGAGTAATTCCTCTCACTATACTTACTAGCATTGTAGTCTGGCGCATCTCTCTTATTCACCCTCGTGAGGAAGGGCGCAGAGTACTCTGTCATCGCCTTGAGCTCGCTCAGCACCTTCTCAGCGGCTTCATATAATTCCTCCTGGCCAACGTTCTCCTCGCTGGCCCATTTGCTTCTATTCTTGCGGACCTCATTCATCAATGACCGTAGCTCGGCATCTGATGCGCGTACTTGGTCGCGCTTTAGGTCTATGCGCGCGATAAGGTGCTTAAGGGTCAAGCTCGACGCGCCCAGGTTCGCACTGGACAGTGTGCCGTGGTGCTCTCCATTGGGGCCATTCCCACCATGCGAGTTATTTCCGTGGTCCATCTCAGCATCAATCTGCTTCTCGCTCTCCTCCAGCTTCTGCTGCTCCAGCATAGCCACGCGATCATTCTCCAAGGTATAGAAAAAGGTGTTGAAGCTCCTCTTCACCGCGTCCTCTGTAGCTTTCTTAGCAGCTTCCAGCTGCTTCCTCGCATCTTCCGACGTCTTTGGTTGTGTTTGTGATGTGGATTCCTTCTCTTTATCAGATTGCTTTGATGGTGATTTGTCGCTCTGTTGCGCGGGGGAGCTCCCAGATTTCGAGGGCGAAAGCAGATTTCCGGAATGCTTGCTCGTGAACTGTGGTCGAGTATCGCCCTCCTCCTCCTCATCATCATACTCATCATAATCCTCATCGTCGTCCACAGCGCGCCCCCCCCTCTTCGTCGCGACCTCCGGCACTGCGTCCTCCATCTCAGCATCCATCACCACCACCCCCTCCCCATCCGCCAGCTCCTCCTCCCCCACCCCCCCCCCACCAAACAACCTTGCAATCCTCGCCTCACTCCTCCTATACAGCTCCCTAAAAAGCTCCACCTGTCCGCCGCCATCATCCTCCTCTCCATTATCCTCCCCTGCTACGGCCGCCACAGCGACCACTTGCGCACTCTGCGAATCTTCAAAGCCATCCTGCGACGCCCGCCCCGCGTCCGCACATCCAATGCCCCCGTCGATCAGTCGCGGCGCGTCGGTGGCGCCCAGCGGCGCGGCCCCGATGCCAGACATGTTGCGGCGTCAGCCAGAGATGGGTCGCGGCGTGGGTGAGCTCGCAGCATCCGCGCGCGGTCGCGGCGAGCTGTCGGGGCGCGGCGCGTGCTCAAGTCCGGTACTGGCGCGCGGCCTGCATTGGGAGATGATGTAGCTGCGATTTTGGGGCGTGGCGGATGCGTGGTGTCGAGATATTTGATGGATTGTCAAGGCCTGTTTTGGTCCTGGGGTTGGACTGACGTTGGAGCGCGGGCGAGGTTGGGTGCTAGTAACGAGAGGGAACGGTGGACTGTACTGGACGGTGCAGAACACCAAATTATTTACTAGGCCGAGGGTGAACTACGATTAATTATATCTCGCCCGCGAAGAAGGGTAATGGGTATTATAAAAATCTATATATATTCAAGATCATTATCTACAATTCGACCCATATAATGTTCCCCGTCCCATTGCTAAATTGTGGATTTATTGACGCTGTTTTCCCCAGATCCCCACAGAACATCAGACAGATTTATTACAGATCACGTGGTCAAACACAATCATATTCACGTGATAACACACAGATTCATTCACGTGACTATATGCACATTTAGAGCACGTGACATGCAATCATAATGCATAAGTTACGCATATGTGAGACCCTTCGAGAAAGCACACCCCAGCCTCGCCTTCCGCAAAAACCACAACTCACCAGACAATGCTCTAAGCCATCCCAATCACCCACCACTCCCAATCAACAACTCAATACCATGCGCATCCGACTTCCCTTCGCCGGTAAGCCCCTTCTCCCCCCCAATCCCCCCAGCTTCCCCCCCACCGGTCCCCCAAGACAAGGCTGACGTACCTCCCAAGGAGCCTTCCTCATCCTCCTCCTCGGCGCCGCCTACCTCGGTCTCTCCTCCCTCCAACTCGGCCTGCACATCAACGACAAAGCCCTCCACACCCTGACCTTTTTCCTCCTCACCCTCTGCTTCTACTGGATCCTCGACACCTCGCGCCGCCGCACCCTCAACCTCACCCTCTCCATTTGCACCTTCCTCCTCGGCATCGGCTCCGAATTCCTGCAAGCCCTCTTACCAAACGGGCGCGACTTCGACGCCTACGACATCCTCGCCAATGTCCTCGGGAGTCTGGCGGCGGTGGGGCTGAGTACCTGGTATCATAAGCGGATGGTGGAGAGGAAGAGGTTGAGAAAGAATTATACCGCCGTGCCGGGCGAGGATGGGGATATGGATCTTGAACTGGGAGAGGGATCCGGCGCGCAGGAGAGTGGTGTTGTGCCGGGGCATACGGCGCCCGCGGCGGTGAGTTTGGAGGAGGAGGTTGATGCGTGGGATGAGAATGCAGAGGATACTTGGGAAGAGGATGATGCTGGCGTTGTGAGTCCGGAGGGGAAGGCGGGGAAGGCGCCGAGTGCTAGTAGTAGGGGGGATGAGGGGGAGGGGAAGAAGAGGGCGGATTGAGTTGAGCGGGGATGATGGTGGGATATTTTGATGATGGATATGATGAGAGGTCGTTGGGTGTTCGGCGTGTATACCATTCGAAAGGAAAGGGTGATTTTTATATAGGTTCGGGAGAGGGGTGTGTATTTTTGTGCTGTAGGATCTATAAACAGTCTGCTTTGAATACACGGCCTTGCTAGATAGGGTTTTAATTCAATGTTGGAAATATGTAATTGCATTTAGCCATAAACGCCCACCGTTGACAACCTTTGTTTGCATGCCATCCGAGACAACCGCTCGACGACTGCAGAAGTGCAGTCGTCGAGCGATTGCCGCTGCAAATACGATAGCCCGCAGTGTAAATCTAAATTGGTACCACTAATAGCCGCTGCAAGCATCCTCCTCGATTCTCCATGCAAGTCTCCATCCCCAGAATCCCTATTCCCAGAACTAGAAAGTAACCGATCGCCTCGACTCAACAGGCGAATCCGGTGGGCTTCCTCCATTGACGTACATATACAACCGACTCAGATCTTTCACCTTCAATCCAGTCGTCTCCCTCGGCGCTTTTGAGATCTCGTCTGCATCGGTCTCCACCGCCAACTCCCCATTCGAAGACGACGCTATCGGCGTAGACGGCGGATGCAACGACGTCCCCCCATTCTTCCCCGGGATCTCAAAAGACGTAAACGGATACCTCGCATCCGACACCCTAACAAACTTCTCCGGATGCGCTGGATCTCCCTCGTCATCCCCAAGATGCACATGCATATCCCACACCCCCCCCTCCTCAAACACCACTTCCCTCATCTTCCGATTCAGAGGAAACAACCGGTCGAGATAATGCTGCCCCAACAAATGCCCACTCTCCGGCACCTGAAACACCCGTCCCTGATACCCCCCCCTCGCCTTCCCGCTTTCGATACCAACTTCTCCTCCCGCTGCAGCCAAGGCTTCAGTCCTCATCGCCGCCGACTTCGCCACCGCAGGGAGGGGGTTGATACTATGCAGTATCCCCCATCTTGACACGAAATCTCGCTCGTTGGCGTAGTGCTCTATATACGATATCGCGCTCGCAGTGGGGTGCTTGGCAGTGGGCTTCGCAGAGACGCGGGGGTTGTTGAAGTGGTTCGCTGCGCACCCAAATGTGTAGATCTCGAGTTTACTCAGCGTCTCCTGGCTGAGTTGCTCGAGGAGCCAATCGACGATTAGACCGCCTTGGATGCCGCCCTGGGAGTGAAGGATCAAAACGACTTTGTTGACGGGGCTTAGCATCGCCACGCGGAGAATCTCGTAGCATATCCGTACATCGTTCGTGCAGTAGTCGAAGGTCCGCTCGATGAGGCACTGGATGACGTCGAATAAGATGCCGGAGGTGCGGTTGAGTGCGCCGCGGACGGGACGCTGGAAGGTGAGGGACAGACGGTCGATGTTAGCTTGCATCCAGTGCCTCCCGACTGCGACGCCATTGATAAAGATCCATTCCTCGTCCGCGTGTGCGCCGAGCTGTTTCAGGACCGCGGGGTTGGATTCGAAGGTTCCCTGGGAGCCGTTGAGGCAGTAACAGAACATCTTGTTGAGTGAGACGAAGACAAAGACGTAGAGGGCTACCATCCAGACGGGGAAGAGGAGCCAGAGGGGCGTGGAGAGGATAAAAAAGCCCTGTGTGATGAAGAGGATCACGTGGTTGAAGACGGAGAAGATGTTGCCGGGAGACGGGTAGAGCTCATCGTAGGATCCGGTCGGCCAGGGGCGCCAGGGAGTGACGATGGACAAGATGGAGGGGAGGAGGTGGAGGAAGGTGATGAGGTCGGAGCGGAGGAGTTGGCAGGGTGAGGAGGTGTAGGCTAGTGGCGCGCTGGGCTTGGAAAAGGGGATGAAGGGCGGGAGGTTATCATCTCCGGCGCTGGCAGACATTTTGGAGTAGTGGACGCTGAAGAGCCTAAGTATTCATACTCTCAAAGAAGAGTCTAGGGGTTACCGCAGATGATCCCCGACTTTGGTATGATTCAGAGCTGAGGATGAAGTTAACACAAGAAGGAGGGTGTAGGAATGCGGCTGGTGATGATATATATTATAAGATGTCTCAAAGAGGCAGGGGGGAAAGTTCATCCCTTGGTAGGCGGCTACGTGGTAGAGTAGGAAGGAAGGATGAGACTGGGACGAATGATGGATTTATATATATATTTATTCATGCATATATATCCGTATATAACCATACATATCTGGTCAGCTGAACAGCAGCTGAAGAGCACATGATTTTGATGCTGAACAAACAAGAACAGGCGATCTAACAAGACTCCCCAGTCACATGACCTATTTCTATTTTTACTCTACGCGTTTAGATAGTGGGTGATAACTTTGTTTACTTGCTTACGGTGTAGTCTAAAGCTTCATCTCTCTCTACCAGGTCATATACCGTAAGTTGGGAGTTGGGAGTTGGGAGTTGGGAGTTGGGAGTTGTTGGGCTACACTCGACCATCAGCCGCCAAGTGTAAACAAACCCAGACGCGTCTATGGACACACACGGCGCGTCTCAGCCTCTCATCCCGAACCACCTTTGAAAGGCCCTGGTTTGTGTTTACTTCTTTCCTATTACGGCCAAGGAACCCTTGATCCAGGGCCCATTTATGGACCGCCGTGACTCGAATGTTTTGACTTCTCTTGCCCTCTTCTCTCTCTCTCTTCTTTCTCCTCCCATCGCGTCTCTGTTGGTGTATCTGTTCATATCTGTTCATGTCTCCTCGTTCATGGTCACTGCCATGAAGCATTTCTTTTCACCATAATTCACCACACGAGACTACTAATAGCAGCAACCTGTGATATACACATTCAACAAGAGACTACTACAACTAGCCCCCACCGCCATCCAACAATGACAGACCTTCCCAGTCCTGCTCCCTCGAGCTCTACCTTCCACGATGAGCTCCCAATAGCTCTCAGACGAGCCCGGAGAAGCTGCTCAAACCAGAACCTCCTACAAGATTCTCCCTCCAAGCCTTCCCGCCGAAGCAACCGCGTCTTTGGAATCGAAACCCCCCCAGCAACTCCCCAACGGGGAAAGAAGCGTGTCAGGTTCTCTGATCCAGGCCCTGCTATTGCAGCAGCCACTGGCTTAACGCCCTTCATCTCCCGGCAATTCTCGATTTCCACGCCCTCGAGCAATCGCAGGCACTCGGCCCCCAGCCGATGGAATCTTGCACAAGATTATACCCCGCTCTCAGGCACTCTGCAGTTTGCACCACTCCGTCAAGTCCTCGATGGAAGAGTCAAGAGACGCATCCGAAGAAACCGACTGAGCGAGGAGATCAATACTATCGAATGGGGAAAGAAACAAGAGAAGAAGGCTGAGCGGGGAGAGATATCGAGGCTTCAACATGCACTCCGCCAGAAGGATATCGAGCTACAATACCTACGCGAAGAACAAGAAACGGCAAGCCAACTAGGTGGCGAAGCTCTGACTCCAACGGCTCGAGTACACGACCTCGAAGCACAAGTCGCTGAGCTCAAAGCAGAGTTAGAGAAGAGGGAAGTCTCCGGACAGGATGACCCCAACTGGACTATGGCGGCCCGTGACCCATACGACGAGGATGCTTTCATGCAAGATTATGATAACGACTTCGACGACGGCATGACCGAGATGATTATCAGCACCCCACTACGCCGCTCCTTCCCCTCACCACCCGCAACAGTCCCCAACACCCCCAGCAAACGGCCAATCAACCACACCATCGGCATCCAAGCCTCACTACCCGACCCCTCCAACCAACTTCTACAACAGCAGCTCCAAACCCTCCAAAACGAACTCGCCTCCCTCACCAAAACACTCGAGCTCAGCACCAGCACCCATGACCGCCTCTCCGCCAAGCTCGCCCCCTTCATAACCCCCATCGACGCCTGCCCCCACGAATCCCTCGATTTCGCCCTCGACAGCGTCCTCACCCACCTCGCCCTCGCCCAATCCTCGGAGCTCGAATCAACACACCGCTTCACAGCCCTAACCACCGAACTCCACGCCCTCTTTCCCACCACCACCACCAGCACACCCTCCGGCGCCTCAGCTGAAGAAATCATTCAAGCTCTCCACTCCCAATTCCGCGCCGCCCGCCTGGAACTCGAGTACCTCCTCCCCGGCGAGCAGCCAGAGGGCTTCGACAACACCGCCCTCCTCTCCATGCTCCTCGCCCGCCTCCGCCAACTCGTCGACAGCGTAAAGCGCCAGGACGACCATATAGACCAGTACCACGAGCAGGAACTCTCTCTGCGCTCCCAACTCTCCGCGCGCGTCTCCGCCATGCAAGGACTCCGAGAGAAACTCGCCAGCGCAGACGTCGTCATCCGCACCCTCGAGCGCGAAGTCGGCGACAAGGACGCGGGGTTACGCAAACTCACCACTGCGCTGGAGAGTTACCGCACTGAAGTCTCGAATCTGGAAACTCTCATCTCCCGACTGGATGTCGAGCACACCGCTACGCTGGAATCGGCAAAACAACAACTCACTGACCTCCACGCCGCGGCGGAATCACGTATTCAGGAGGAAATGAACAACGCTGTCACCATCCAGGGGCAGGCTGAGGAGCGAATTCGCCAGGGGATGGAGAATGCTGCGTCGATACAGGCACAGTCCGAACAACAGACTGTGCAGGCGGCTGCGGAATCGGAGTTACATGACTCCCTCATTCGCGAGCTGGACGCGCGTCTCTCGTGCGCGATTGAGGCTGCGGATGCTCTGCGTGGTGATCTGGAGGAGCTGGCTACCGCCCACGCTGCCGAGACATCCGCTCTCCGCGCCCTATCCACCCAGCGCGAGACAGATCACGGCACGTCCCTCGCCCTCCGCGACGCGCGCGTCTCGGAACTCCGAGAGGAAATTGAACGCGTCAACGCGGCGCTCAAGGGAGCACATGACACGATCGCGACGCTGGGGAGGAGGGTGAGGGGGTTGGAGATCGTGGTGGAGGGGGAGAAGATGAGGGGGAGGGAGGGGGTTGAGAGGATTAGAGGGGAGCTGAGACGGGTGCTTGAGATGGGGAAAGGTGGGACGCCCGGGAAGGGGGGTGCTAGTAGGGGGGTTAGGAGGGCGTTGGGGCTGGAGATTAATGGTGGGGTTGAGGGAGTTGATGGGGGTCTGGGTGCTGGGGTAGGCGAAGGGGTAATAGAGGGACCGAAGGTGGGTGTGGTGAGACAGGGAGGTTTGTTCGATAAAGAGCTTGCCAGACGGAGAAGTGATAGTCTAGGCGCGGGAGGGGAGAAGAAGAGGAGGAGGTATGATTCGGGGCTTGGGTTTTTGGATGAAGAGGAGGGGGAGGGTGGACGGGCGCTTTAGGGGAGCTTTATTTTGGGCGGGAGGGATAGTCATTCGTTGCGATATTTTCTTTTGTTTTTTTGGAAGGGGGCGGGGGGGGGATGATGGGGAGTTTGAATTTTGGGGGGGGAGGGTGTATAGATATTGAATTGGTGCCTGTTTGGATTGAATTATATTATATGATATTATATCAATTTATTTATCGGGGTGGAAATTGGATATATATGGATATGATTAAACCCTACTACTACGTGTTGAATATATCCCGGACAGGCGCTTTAGAAAGATAATCATTCATTAACAGTGTGCGGCGAATCACCTCCCGAATACGATTCGGCGATTTGGTGATTCATTCATATTTTTGAGGTATTCGCCGAATCATGACTCGAATCTAATCAGTGTTCGGCAGATACTACCCAGGTAGTACTCGGTGTTCCACCCACTCGCTTCGCTCGTAGGTGGCGACAGCAAGTTGTGCGTGCGACAGCAAGATGTGCGTACACCGCTATTTTGATATATAGAAAAAATAATAGTATTCTTCATAACGTAGTATCTACAATGCCTCAAAATAACGATCCTACTATGATTGCTCGCCTTAATGAGGCCCAACAGTTCTTCTTAAAACAACCAAGTACATATACAATTGCTTGGGTTGCAAATAAATTCAATGTCAACCGTGAGACACTCCGACGTCGTATTACGAGTACTACGTCTCCTCAATTACCCCACGGAGGTAGCAATCGAGTCTTATCTCAATCGCAAGAGACCGCGGTCTGTCAATTCATATACGACCAACTTGAGCACGGGGTCCCTGCCAACCGATCTATGATACTACGGGCAGTTGCAGACTTACGACCTAATCGTACGATACCATCACAACGGTGGCTACAACGCTTTCTAAAAGCACACCCCGAATTTCATACAATTCACACGAAGACGTTAAATACACATCGGAAGCAAGCACAAAAGAAAGAGGTGTTTGAGGAATTCTTTCTCACATATAACGCCCTTATTACAAAACATAACATTAAGCCATATAATTTATGGAATGTTGATGAGACAGGCTATATGATTGGGTGTTATAAGTCTACGGCTGTTATTGTACCAATCGGTGTAAAGCAGTGGACTGTTGATAATCCTGAGAATCGGCTCTCTGTTACTGTAATTGAGGCAGTAAATGCAAGTGGTGCTGCACTTGCAGAAGCTATCATTATCCCTGGCAAACTTCATATGGATTCATGGTACAATGATGACCTTGAGCCAAATGCTCTCATTATTGTAAATGAGAGCGGGTATTCAAAACGACGACATTGCAATCCAATACCTTATGCATTTTATCCAACTATCTGCAGAGCATATGGCACCAGATGATACTCGCCTCTTATTACTTGACGGCCATGACTCTCATAAAACAGAGCGCTTTCTTACATTAGCAGAAGAGCATAACATTGTTATTTGCTGCCTTCCTGCTCATACAACACATCTATTACAACCTCTTGATGTAGCGGTTTTTAAGCAGTGCAAACACTTTCATCAAAAGGCACTTGATCAAGCAGTACGTAGCTACGACTATGAGTATAAGCTACGTACGTTCCTTTCAGACCTCCCGCAAATCCGACGGCAATCTCTAACTGTCCGTACAATTCAATCTGGTTGGAGAAATACAGGACTATATCCATATAATCCTCCACTTGTAATTGACAAGATACAAGAGACTCGGAATCAAACACCTGATTATGAGCCATTTGCTTCATATAATATTATCTCAACACCGAAAACAACTATGCAAAGTGTGCAAGCGGTTGAACATTGGCAGAAGAGAGCAGAGGAAGCTTTCTCATCGCCTTCAAGAGAAGGGTTTCAATCATTTGCACGTGGAACTACAGTTGTTCTACACCGGGCAGAGCTCTATAAGACCGAGCTAGATATTATGACTCTACGTGCAGTAGAGCAGAAGGCAGCAAAGGCAAGGGCACGGAAATCACTACAGAAAGGAGGGCAGTTATATGCATCAGATGCACGGAAAATGCGGGAAGAGAAGAAAGCAAAGTTGCAAGCAAAAGCAGACGCAAGAGCAGCAAGGGAATCGGACCAAGTAGTAAAGCAGCTACAAGCGCAAGCACGTAAAATCGAAATTGAAGAGCGTAAGGTTGAGAGGAAGCGGGTAGCAGAGCGGAAGAAGGAAGGGTTGAAATCAAAAGTGATCATTTTACGGTATAGTAAGGATCAAAGTGATAGTAGCAATAGTGGCAGTAGCGATAGTGATAGTAGTTCTATTGATTTTATGTTTTAATTATATAGTTATATAGTTGATATATAAGGCGTCTTTTTCTTCGTTTTATGTGTCGCACATCTTGCTGTCGCACGCACAACTTGCTGTCGCCACCTACGAGCGAAGCGAGTGGGTGGAACACCGAGTAAGGCCTAACTCCTTTGGGCCCGAGAAAAACATAGGTGCCCTTTATTATTCATGCGCTTTCCTATCAAAGTTCTTCAGGTAAGGTGGTCGATCCACTAACTCTAGGTCCGACGCATCAGCCCGTTCAGTACTATAAACATTCACTTCCGTTGACTTGAAAATCCCGCCAAAATTTTGGTTGTTACCAGAGTTCTCTGAGCGTTTGGAGCGATTGAAATATGAGCTTTTGTCGCTGCAATCGTATCCGGTCGAGTTGGCGGCGTCGCCGGATGACATCATTCTATTAAAGGCTGCATGTATAGAAGGCATACAGGCAACGATGATGAAGAGGTCTGCCTCGATTGCGCACCAATAGATAGTAGGGGTATTATCATCTGCGGCCATAGTAAGCAATCCTTCACGGAGTCACTGGGATAGGTGGGGCATACATGTTGGATTTGAGGTTTTGGAAAACTGGACCAAGGCATGCAGTCGGGCGCAGCTAACACCGGTGATACTGAAGAAATGCCCGTTAGCATGAGACTAAAAGACAAGATGTCAATAAAATAGTTATTAGGTGGACTTACACAAACCCGACGCAGAACATAGACATGATATGGATCTTCTTCTCCAAAGACATGTGCAGTTTAGCAAGCATAGGTAGCGGAAGGCACAGAATAACCAGGTCTAGACCAATCTCAATACCGCCACGAACGAAGCTGAATAGATTCATATCGATAGCTCTAGTAGCAACCATCTCGCCTTTCCAGCCATTCCAAAAGAAGTTTATGGGCGTGACCGAGAAAATCATGCAGGACGTGTTTGCGATTCCGAAGGCAGTGACGAATACCATAAGACCCTTGACAAAGACCAAGGCCTTTCGGTCCACCATAATGCGGAGGTAAAAGGCGAGGATGGAAACCTGGCAGAAGGCCTCGGTGGTCATATAAAAGGGGTAGGCCAGATAGAGAAACTGCCTCATTGTCAGTCTCAATCAAACAATAGATTCATGCTATGGCTTACACGAAGACAGTTGGTAATTTGTGCAGGTGGCAAACCCCATATGTCTGTTCCAAACCCTTCCCTAACAGCTAGACGAGCAATTAACCAATGCTCATTTAGTTTCGTATTTAGGCTACTAACCAAGGAGGGCTGGAACTGTCATAGCCATGGATGATAACTAAAAGTCGGGAAGAGTCAGTACGATAGCAAGGAGAACACAGGAAACTTCATACTCCTGCCAGACCAACTAAATAATCATCCCAGCCTAGCTTTGCTTGTGTAGAAAATTGTCGATGAATCAGACGCAAAATGACCATGACCCAAGCCATAACGCCAAAGGATACGGCGATTCCAGTTATTGTCGTGCCCTGACTGCGTATCGGAACACCACATGCCGCGTAAGTCTGGTTGGTGCTCTCTATACAACAATGTTAGATAGTGTTCGACGTTTGTAATCGATGAAAATAAGGGCTGTATGTTCACTTACGGAGATTTTCAACGACGGTGCAATTGCCAGCATTGCAAGCCGCGACAGTGTTGATGAATGGTGCGTCGAGGCAAAGACACCCAAGGTCAGTGGCCGAGCACGTTGTTGTGGGTAAAGCAGCCGCAAAGCATAGCAACGCGCATTGAGGTAATTGACTCGGAAGATCCTGCTGGGCGAGGCAAGCCCTCAATAGGATTGTGCATGGTAATACGACACGAAGAAGCATCATTTCGTATGCGACTCTGGATGGTAGAACAATGGCAAAACGGTGCGCATGTGCTAAAGGTAATTGATAGATATATGGGGTCTGTCTGGTCTATCTATGTATTTAGGGGAGTTGCGGGGAAGTACTGAACTGTTGGTTACAGGCATGAACTATTGGTTGCAGGCATTAAGTGCCATACTTGTAACTAATAGTACAGGGAAATGGCAGTATATCTTAGGGGTGTTGGAAGATAATCTGACATCTTAAAGCTGCGCATGTATGAGGTCTGTCTAGTCTGTCTAGTCTATCTATGTATTCAGGGGAGTTGCGGGGAAGTACCGAACTGTTGCTTACAGGCATGAACTAACTATTGGTTGCAGGCATAAGTGCTATGCCTGTAACGAATAGTATAGGGAAATGGCAGTATATATCTTAGGGGTGTTAGAAGATAATCTGACATCTTATACTCCGCTTTTTCAACACTAGTTTTAAGATATTCCTGTCAATACTTAGCCTTTATTAATGGCAATCGGAATAAGAAACTTTGCCACATAATTTCGGAGCCAAATACACTTGAACTTTGGCTAACTTATTATGTTATAGGTTTCCTAATTTTTGGTGAGAAATGGGCTGGGCGACTCGTCTGTGTGGGCGACTCGCATGTGAAATACGCTGGAAGTTTTTCTTGAAGCTTACCCTACTAAACCACCGAGGCACCGCCCCGTGCCGTACACAAGGACCACCACCTAGCACGACAAATAATATCATCTTCCTATTAATTCCCTGGATAACATGTGATATGTCCTGGAAGAGGTTGTATAGAAGACTATAATGTCTCCTTTTCCCAACTGTTGAGAAGTAATCATACGTTCGGGACGGAAGAGTTTGTTATTTCGGCCATGTTCTAAATCGCTCATAATATTCCCTTTTGCACTAGCTTTGCATTTCTAACGGACAAGCTATTTTGGCAACTAATACGTAGTTTGTCGTGCGACACGTGGGATTGGCATAATGGTTAACGGGAATACTGAAGCCAACCCGCGTCTTGGCAAGGGATGTGCTAGGGTCGTGTTGGTATAGTGGGTCACCATCATTTTGTAATTTCGTGCTACTTAATAGCTCTGAATAGAGTGTGTGTAATGTCGTTGAAGGCATTACTAAGTATTTGTGCAATAATCCCAACGTCGCTCGCTCATTTGCTTTTTCTTTGCTCATCCTCTTATTACCTGCGATTGGAAGTCAAAATTTCAAGTCAGGATGGCTATTATATCACCTACTCTCACGGTATCCGTTGCCTGTGGTGTCCTCGCTCTGTACGTAATCAGTCGACTGTTGCGAGGTAAAGGTGATCGCCGATCACTACCTCCGGGTCCCAAGGGTCTCCCAGTCCTTGGGAATATCAATGACCTGCCTAAGCCCGGTGAGCCTGAATGGCTACACTGGCTAAAGCACAAGGAACTCTATGGTGCGTATCCATAATGGCAGTTTTACAATGTTCGACTGAGACAATAGCTAAAAATAAGCTATGTGCCGCCTGTAGGCCCAATCAGCTCAATCACAGTCCTAGGACAGACCATGATCATCATCAACGACCCCGAAATTGCCTTTGAGCTCATGAGAGACCGGGCGGCCATACACTCTTCGCGACCTTATCAGAACTTTAGCTGCGATATGTATGCTTAGTCTAGTCATAGTTCTTCTAATAATGCTAACCCAGAAGCTAGTGTCGGATGGAAAAATGCAACAGCTATGAGCCCTTATAACGACGTCTGGAAGATCCACCGGAGGAATATTGCCAAGGTTGCCAGTACTAATACGTCCATCAAGATGTTCAATCGGGCCCAGGAGGTTGAGTCTGCGCATTTTCTACTCAACCTTTTGGATTCCCCGAATGATCTGTTCGATCACATGCGAAGGTAAGTTCTTACTCTGTCATATCCAGCATTGCATCAATCTGACTACGAGACACAGAGAAGCCGGCAGCGTTATTTTGAAGATTACATATGGCTACACAGCTGAATCCCATGGCCGAGACCCCTTCGTCGACTTGGCCGGCGAGACCATGAAGGGATTTGCTGACGCCGTAGTTCCTGGCAAGTGGATGGTGGACGTCATGCCTTTCTGTAAGTTTGCACAAACAAAACAACATGGTACCTCTAACAGAAACAAGTAAGATATCTCCCAGATGGATTTCCCGGTACAGCATTCAAGGCCACCGGTCGTCAAATGGCCGATACGTTAAAGCAATGTGTCGACCAGCCGTACGAATTCGTCAAGCAACAAATGCGCGAGAAGAGACATAAGACATCTTTCCTGTCTCAGGCCATTGAGGATATCGGCTCCGACGCAGGGATGGAGTTCGTACACAAGTGGTCGGCGCTCTCCCTATTTACTGGCGCAGCCGATACAGTAATCCATCTACACCTAAACTAATGAGGGTACTGCTAACTGTCTCATAGACTGTTTCCGCGCTAATGACATTCTTCCTCGCCATTGCTGTGTTCCCTGAAGTTCAGAAGAAAGCTGCAGAGGAACTCGACCGTGTCATCGGAAGTCGCCGACTTCCTATCAGCACAGACCGTGAAAATTTGCCATATATCATGGCAATTGTGAAGGAGACACATCGTTGGCATCCCATTGGGCCTATGGGCTTACCCCACGCCAGCAGCGCAGAGGACACCTGCCGAGATTACAGGATTCCCAAGGGCGCCATAATATTTGCCAACGCTTGGTATGCGTCATGCTCGTGAACTTTTCGGAGGCACTCTGTCACTAACAAGAATACAGGTGGTTCACCCATGATCCTGCTGTCTACCCCGACCCTATGACCTTCCGCCCCGAACGCTTCCTCGAAACCCCAACCCACAAACCAGAACCTGACCCACGTAACATCACCTTTGGCTTCGGCCGCCGCGTCTGCCCTGGCCGCTACGTCGCTGACAATGCACTCTTCATCACCATCGCGCAAACTCTTGCAGTATTCAGCATCGGGAAGCTCGTTGAGAATGGTAAAGTGGTGGAGCCAGAGGTCAAGTTTGAGCCCGGCATGGTCAGCCACCCTGCGCCATATCGAATATCGATCAAGCCGAGATCGAAGGTGCATGAGGAGTTGATTAAAGCGGCTGAGCAGGAGTACCCGTGGGAAGAGAGTGATGCAAAGGAGTTGGTGAATGTGAAGTGGTAGATGTTGAGTGTGTAGCCGCGTACTCTGGCGCGTAATTGATGTGACATGAGATAGGAATATCAACCCGCAAAATAAAGTTAGTCGTGTTTATTTGGACCTAGCTGTGAAGCAATATTGCGACGTTTATCATACTCATCAGCTGGTGCGTTTTTCAGGGTTGGATTATATTACCCCACATTCATTTATTCTTTGTGAGTTTGGATTTAAAAATATATGAAAATGATGGCTCCTCTCCTATGTAAATAATATACTAATGCAGCAACTAGAATGTTTGTCTCTTCGCGGGCCACAACCACGCGAAGATATTAAACCCCGACGCTTTTATTTCAGTAATCGAAGTTGTTGGGTATCGAGGCTCTGCGGCAACAGCAATAGAAACAAGTGCATCCTTAAACGCCCTGGTCATATCATCATAAAGCTTATTTGTCCCTTCCGGAGACATGTCAGTCCAAGTCCAAATCTTACCATCCTTCAATGGAAACAGGGCTCCTTCAAACACTTAAATTCCGGCGAAAACTCCTCCAAGACAGCCTCGAATCCTTTCTCCCCCATATCCGCCGTCTTGCGCACCTGCTGTTGCTTATGCTGTCTCCACTGCAGGAGCCGGCTTGTTCTGGGCAGTTCCTCGGCTTTGGTGCCGTCTTCTTCGCGTGGGCAGATGGCGATGAAGAGAAAGACGTAGAAGAAGGACTCGAGGTCGTGGCGGTAGGTGCGCGGGTTATTCTGAACGTGTGCTTCGAGAGCGCCGATGGCCATGAAGGGTGAAGTTCCTACCATAGAACCTTGAGGTGTTGGGCCGCGAGCGGTATCCCAGGCCGTGTCGAGATCAATAAGCATGCCCTTTGGTGACTCTGCCGAAGTTGTGGGAGGAACAATTATTATGTTGGAGGCTGCAATGTCCCTATGGAGGATGCCGCCATCTTGATACAGAGATCGATGAGCCTTGATGGCATCATGGAAGACCTCTAAAAGCTGATGGAGGTTCTCGTATTCGAAGATTGAAGTACCAGAGGACGAAATAATCAAGCAGCTGAATACAGTACTGCGGTACCCAGGGCTCTTTGGGAGGTTGGGTCGGTTTTCCTCAAACGTTTCAAGCAGAGCCTTCGCACCGACGACTGCCGCGCTCGTCTCGTTTATTCTGCAGTCTCTTCTACATCTTCTGTATCCTTAAACTCTTGTGGCGAACCAAAGATTAGGCCGCTTCGGAGGTCCTCAGTTTTATCAATAAGATTGTAGCTATGGAATTGAACAACCCCCCAGACATTCCTGTCCCGGACCCTTTTTAGCTGTTCTGCCTCTGGTTCATGCCACGGCGGCTTCCACTTGTATTTAACCACAAAATTCCATGGCGCCTTAGAAGATTCCCTGCCTCTATGGCATAAAAGGCTGCCTCTGGCGATGACTTCCTCGTCTCTGATGAAAAATGGCGGGGTCTCGAGGTACATCTTCCCTGTCACTTTTTTATTCTCATCCTCCACACAAACGTAGGTGCCCTCGCCGTCCTTCTTGCGGCCCCATTCTCGGTCATGCATGGAAGCGTAAGCAGCCATGATTGTAAGGAAGCGTTCTGGATGCTCTACGATATCAAATGGCTCGCAGCTGTAGGCCCCAGATCGATCGAACATCCAGCATTCCATGGTATTCCCGAAGAGATAAAATCCATGGACGAAAAGACGATCAGGCCGTCTGCTAAACATTGCACGAGCATGGCCAAAAAGTTCAAAAAGGCCATCTTTGTAATTAGAAAGTTCTCCGGGACGGAATACTCCAACCACTTCAGCTCGTGGTTCTGATTCCGTTATGGCGCTGAACAGGGCAAGGCCACCACTCGGACGTGATGGCGACTTGCTAGGCAGTGTCTGAACTGGACAATATATCACACCCCTTCCATTCAGTTTCAACAGTTCTTGTAGCAATAGACATAGATCGATTGCGATTCTATCTTTGAGGCGCTTGTCTTGAAATCATCAAGGTCCACAGATGAGACGACCTTATCGTATGCAGAGCTATCGGTAGCAGCTGACGTAGATAGAAGGGTACCCCGGTCACGAACCAGCGACTTGTCGTTGTCACGAGATGGCGTTGATGAACCTCTTCCCATTGCTATAGGGGCGCTAGGGTGTATCGAGGTTGACGACTGACGTTGGAGATAGTGGGCCTGTACGACCTATCAAAAACTCTAAAGGCGTTGTTGACTCCGCTTTCTCCCCCGCGTCTCTAGTTGTTTAAGAGCCTCGATATGGAAGAGCCTCAAGGGGGCATAGCGCTAGGATATGATTGCCTGGGATCTCCCATTCGTGGGCGTGGGCGTGGGCGAGTATAGAGGCCAAGACTCAGTAATCCCGGTCGGTCCGATCCGCGTTATGAGCCTTGCCGAAGGGGGAAGGCACTATCCTGTCATGTTGTAATGCGCTGTACCAGGTGCTCTCACTAGTCCTAGTGAGAGCCGGGCCAGAGATGTGGGAGAGTGCAAGTATTTTACAGTCTTTGCAACTGTAAAGGACTTCTTGGCGAGTAGGGCAGTGGGAAGTCACGGGAAGGAATATACGTAGAATCCTGGTCTATTGATACGAAGACTGAACGCTGACCTTCCTCCGAAGGTCCGCGTTCCTACTATATAGTTCTACGTGTCCTGTCCGGACCGACATGCCTCCGTCTTGGCACTGGATGGCACGTGAGTATTGCCCGCACGTGATTCAGTTCGTGACAATATCCCCCCCTTTGAGGCTCAAGCCCCTTTGAGCCCCCGATCCCGAGATTGCTCGGCCCGTATTGTAAAGTGTGGTGGTGGCCGCTTATTGAGCGAGGCACGCTTGGTAAGCAGAGCCCACCCCGCTACGCGTTGTTGTTGTTGTTTTGGTTTGTTGTGGTGAACTTCCCACTTTCTGGCTTTGCTTCTCCTTTTGTTTTGACACAACCCAACTTCTTCACCACCCCAAAGCTGCACTCTCGCAGCAACCCCGTGACCTATGCGTGAGCTTACTGCCTCTTGTGGTATGGTTCTAGCAATGACACGTGGAAGGTTGGGTGAATCCCCATGTCCCATGGCAACTCAAGCCTATAGGCCTGCTTTCCAATGATCTCTACGATCTTGAAGGGCCCTACGAACTGTTTCGCGAGCTTTCTGTTTGGCCTCTGCAGCTTGATGTACTTTGTGGAAAGGAGGACCTGGTCCCCTATGCTATATTCCTTTGGCTTTCTTTTGAGATTGTAGTGCTTCGTCTGCAACTGCGCCGCTCGGAGCCAATGGTGCGCAAGCACTTCCCTTTACTCCTGTAGCTTCTGTATTCTTTCAAACGGCTCGAGTGCGTCCCCCTTTTGAGGGGTGTCAGCGACACTCACGTCTGGCATACGAGGATCAAAGCCTTTTAATGCCCGGAAAGGTGTTGTTTGAATTGTCGAATGGAAGGAGTTATTATATGAGAACTGGGCGATGGGTAGGAGTACTACCCACTCATCCTGGGAGCTTGTGCAATACGACCGAAGGTAGTGTTCGATTGTTTGATTCTGGCGCTCAGTTTGTCCATCCGTCTGCGGGTGGAAAGCGGTGCTCAAACGCTGGCGAATCTTTAAGAAATAACAGAGGCAAGACCAGTAGCTACTTGTGAATACAGATCCCCTATCGGAGACAATTCCCTTTGGAATCCCGAACTCTGTGATAACGTAGCGGAGGATAAGCATTGCCAAATCATTGGCATTCACCGTCTTATTCGTTGCGATATATAAGGCGTACTTTGTGTATCGATCCACAACTACAAGTATGGAATCGTACGCCTTCTTCATCAACGGGTGAAGGCTTTGTGGGAGGCCCATTATGAAGTCCATAGAGATCTCTTCTCCTGGGCTGTTTGGTTGTGGAAGCGGCTGCAACTCGCCGTATGGGCGGTGACGCTTCACTACCATTTTCTGGCAGATTTGACAGGTCTTAACGTATTCCTTTACGTCCTCCCTCATTTTTGGCCACTTGTACTTCCGAGTAAGTAGTTCTGTGGTCTTTGCCATGCCAAAGTGACCTGCTAATGGGTCATCATGATGGATTTGGAGGAGCTCTTCAATGAGGGCTGGGTCTCGAGGAAAGGGGATGATGCCTTCCCTCGAAAGGACCCCGCTTTCCTGATGAAGAGCCCACTCTCTCTCTACACCTTCCGTCCGTGGACACCTCTTTGTCATTCGCAACGCTCGATCCTTCAAGAATGGGTCACCACTTTGGACTTGAACGATGAGCTTGCGAAGATCAAGGGATGGCTCCTCGTACGGTGCTTCTGTAGCTGCCTCTCGCATCACGTGACAGCGAGGCAGGAAAGCTTGCGTATCCTCTGCGTGCCCCTCACGGGGGTGCAGCTTTAACTTGTCCACTTCGTGGAGGATATCTTGGGTTACCGTTCGCTCGCCCGCTTTTGCGAAGACGGCGCGGATTCGAGTACTCTTTTGCGACGCATCGCCCTCGCTGTTCTCTACAGCTTTGCTATAGCCACGGGCCAACTTCTGCTGAAGCATGGGTAACAACCCATCAAATGCTTGATGTTGCGTTTCGACGTAGTCCGGTCTGCGACTCAGACCGTCTGCGGGGTTGGTGCGGCCAGGCCTATGTTCAATCTGAAAATCGAAACCTGCTAGGAACTCGATCCAGTGGGCCTGCCGATTATTGATTGATACTTTCTTCATGAAGTAAATCAGATTATTATGATCCGTCCATACTATAACGGGAAAATTGCTATCTTGACAGTAGTGACGCCAATGCTTAAAGGCCGCGACGATTGCGAGGAGCTCAATATCATGGGTGTCATACCTAATCTCTGCGTCTTTCAACTTCCTAGAATAGAAGGCAATGGGGTGCCACCGTGTGACCCCCGCTTCGTCAGTGTATGGCTGCGTTAGAATTCCCGCAATCGCCATTCCTGAGCCGTCAGTCTCTAATCTTATGGGCTGAGCTGGGTCGAAGTGGCGGAGGAGAGGGGCAGACGTAAAAGCATCTTTTAGCGTTTGAAAATCCCCCGCTGCCTCAACGTTCCATAGGAATGGGCCTGCCTTCTTCCCCTTATCACTTCCTTTGAGGAGTTCCATGAGCGGTTGCTAATAGGGGGCTCAGCTACCTTATCTACCCCTTCGGGGTTGGGCCCCCACCATCTCGGTTGCGAGTCGGGTCCGGGCGCCATCTTGCAGTCTTCCAGCCTAATAGCGGCCTTAGGCGCCAAGGCCTCCCTTAGCGGCCTTGGCAGCCTAGGGCGCTCTAGCGGGGCGCCCCAGACGCGGACCCGCGACCGACACTTCTTACTTCCTACCTACCCGTGACACTGTTGGTGTAGGTTGGGGTTCTTGGGAGTCGTCCATTCAGTGTAGCATTGCTACATACACTGGTCCGCCTTGCCCCCGCAGCTCTTCTGCCTCCTCGTTTGAGATATACTGGATGTTGTCGGTAGGGAATCGCCACGTCCCTCGCGTCCAATTAATCACTGGGTTTTCGCGGAGAAGCCATGGATACCCTAACATGAGGTCGTATTCCTCCATGGCCGTAGACGCAAAGAGGTGTTCTCTTTCCTGCGTCTTGCCCCCATCGTCCTTGATGCGGAGGGTGAGCTGAGACTTTCTGAAGAGAGGTATTTCTTGGCTTCCTACACCCTTTGCTGTGGTATAACTTGGTTTCCATACTCCCCCTAGCTCTTTTGCTACTAAATGGGATATGAGGTTGGCGGTCGTGCCACTGTCTACAAGCGCGCGAAGTGGTCGCCACGCTTCCGCTCCTCGTACGTCAACGAGGATTGACAGGTTGTTCTCTCCCTGAGTAACTGCTCTATCCATCGGGGTTTGGATAGAGGGTCCTAGTTTTTTGGTGGCATGATACTCCTTGGCAGGTTGTCCTGCTGTACAGCTCGAATATGCGACGCGCCTTCCCCGTTCTGTAAGAAGCACTGAGAGGTTCGGTGTCCCTCCTTTCCACAATGGAAACAAAGGTTATTGTCCCTACGCCGCTTCTCTTCCTAATCTGAGAGACGCGAGCATTTTACGCCCACTTTGTCTCCGCTTCGACTACCCTGGTAGGGGTGCGAGCCCCTCTTGAGGGGATTCTCTCCCTTCTTCTCTTCCTTGTGGCCCTTCTGAACTCCCTTTTCCTGACCCTTGAATGGGTTGGCTTTTTCGAACCGCGAGGCGAGTGCAATGAGGGCGCTTCGCGTCCGCGGAATCTCAGGGTAGGTGATTACCTTTAAGCGTAGATCGGGCCGGAGCTTTGCGAGGAAGTGCTGAACTTGATGTTCTTCACTGTATTCCTTCAACTCCCCCTCTAACGTCTCGAGGTAGGTCGCAAAGGTTTGCGCAGACTGTCTGGGTCGCTGGCGCGCCTCCTCGTATTTGATTGCTGTCGAGAGGCCCCGATTGACTGGATCTTCAACGAGATCGAGAAGAAACTTCTTGAACCCCTTCCAGGTCTTCTGGAAGTCAGGTTCCTTCTCGTGTCGAAGCCATGCATCTCGAGGTTCGCCCTCAAGCCACGTCGCCGCCAAGTCACAGCGGAGCTCGTCTGATTTATTCAGACTTGGCTCTAACCGAAAGCTTAACTCGCAGCTTGTGACGAATTCCGAATGCTCTCGCACCATTCTTCCCTTATATGGGGCGATCTGCCAGGGTCTTAATCGTCGGTGTTCGCACCGACCACCCTACAGGTGGTCGGCGAAAGCGAGTTGAAGCCTGAAAGCGAGATGAAGCTCGAAAGTGAGATGAAGCCTAAAAGCGAGATGAAGCCCGAAAGTGAGATGAAGCCCGAAAGCGAGATGAAGCCTGAAAGTGAGATGAAGCCCGAAAGCGAGATGAAGCCTGAAAGCGAGATGAAGCCCGAAAGCGAGATGAAGCCCACCAGGGGTCTTGTACATAGCCGAAGAAGAGATTTACACACAAATTATATATGTTTCTCCCATTCATCTATACACTTGTGACAAAACTGCTTCGTCGTCGTACTTGAAATCTAATACAATGGATGATGCCCTCCAATTCCTCCGTGACAACCCTTCAGACAAGCCTATAACCGCTGCACGAATATTCAATATAAATGCGAAGACCCTCAATACGAACCTCCGACGAGCGAAACTCAAAGCCCAGGCAGCAAACCCTATTTACGGAGGCCAGAATAAGATACTTTCAGAGGCACAAATCAAGGCTATATACAAATATGTAGAGGATTCATATTTTGCGGGCTATGGGGCGTCAAAAGCGATGGTTTTTACAGCAATTGGCCACTTGCAGGCAGCGGAAATACCGCCTAAACCAGCACCTTCATGGTGCTGGTTTCAGAGCTTTATAAAGAGCTCTTCGATCCTCTTTCGAGTTGTCAAAACGAAGCCAATTGCACAAGTCCGAGTTACGACCCATGATATTTCTGCGGTACAAGACTGGTTTGGAGTGTATTTGGCATGGTGTACTCAACACAATATCCAGCCACAGGATATTTATAACTTTGACGAGACTGGTTTTCATGTTGGAGTAGCACCAGGGGAGGATGTAATAGTTCCTGTATCTATTACAGAAGTATGTATAATTCAGTACTTGTAACTTAATACAATTAAACTGACACTATTAAAGATGTATGTTCCAATGGCCGAAAACTGCAAATCTATTACCGTGATTGAGTCAATCTGTGCTGTTGGACAAGTGCTTCCACCAATTATCATTGTACAAGGACGACAACATATGGCATCTTGGTATAATGAGAAATTGACTGGCGATGAGCTTGTATTACTTTCAGACTCAGGATATACCAATAGCGAGCTCGCAATGCTATATTTGGAGCATTTTATCATTCATACAGGAGCTGGGCCTGATAAACCTCTAAAGGTCCTCCTTATGGACAGCCATATCAGTCATACAACACCACGTTATACGGGCAACTTCTATGAATATCCATCCATATCCGCTTCCTTCGCATCTTACGCACATTATGCAGCCACTTGATGTTGGTGTTTTTCAACCTTATAAACACTGGCACAAGAAGGCAATTCAATATGCTATGCGTAATCTTGATATTGATTATAATATAGCTTCATTCTTTCGGGATTTGAACGAAATCCGCCAGCAGACGTTCAAGAAAGGAACAATCATTAGGTCCTTTCGTGAAGCTGGAATGTGGCCAATCAATTCTAAAGAAGCTCTCAAGAAAATGAAAGTTTATACGATTTGTGAGCGCACTCTTGATCCTCCACAAATTCCACAGACTCCAACAAAATTTGTGCATTCTGAGCTCAAATTACGGCACTGGCAAAGTAAAATACCATGTCTTTTGTCTAGTCCTTCAGCACGAGAATGGGATTCTTGGGCACGTGGTACAGAAAATGTACTTGTTCAAGGAGAACTTGCTATTCTACAGTATGATTTATTATCTACAAAAGTAGCTAATGAACAGAAGGCGAAGGTCAAAAGCCGCTCTGTCACTCAAGCAAATACTGGTCCATTAACTGCTAAGGATGCATGGAAAAAGATTAATGACAAGGCTAGAAAAGACAAGGAAATTCAAGAGCGAAGGGCGAAATACAAAGCACGAGTAGTGCTTAATAAAGTCAAAAAGGAGCTTCATATTCGTGGAGTTGAGGCCCGTAAAGCAGAGCTTTCAAGAAAGCGGCAAGTTAGCCAGATGTTAAAGGCGAAGGAGGAGGTGCCATCTGATTTACTTATTCCAATTCCAGATCCAGAAAAAATTGCGCAGGAATCAGAGCTTCAAGAAGAAGCCAATACTCAATACTCAATTAATTTCAACGATGGGGTACGAATCACAGGCTGACGACAACGACGAGACAGGATTTATAAGATTCAGTGGATTGGATACAGACCTATTTGCGGACAGGGAGGATGAAAATTTAGACCCAGGGTTGTTTTAAATTTGGGAATAGCTTTAATTTTATCATATGATTCAATCACTCAATTGCTGGTATAGTTGTTTAGATAGTGGTTGTATTAGATTCTACATAGTTATGATATCTGGTAGGCTTCAACTCGCTTTCAGGCTTCAACTCGCTTTCGCCGACCACCTGTAGGGTGGTCGGTGCGAACACCAACGATTATGCTCTTCAGCAGTCCCCCGTAAGAGACAGAGCTGGACGACGCAACACTTTGATCGTCGACGGGAAGGATTGGCGGTAGAACCTCCGCTACATCCCCGTCTTCCAACCGCTTCTTTAGCCGCTCAATTCGCTCGGCCGCCTCCTTGAGCTGAAGCTTCACGAGGAGTTCTTCCTCGATAGCCTGGGCGGTTGCTAGCTGGGCCTCGATCCCTTGCTGGCTTTCAGCTGGTGGCAGAGACGCTGCTTCGAGACTGCCGCTTCCTTCAGTGTCTGTGGTCTGAGTGCGGGTGCGTGGCGGCATGGTTTCGGCTTCCCTGGCGGAATACTGTAGTCTTTTCTGGTTCTTCTTTGACTTCCCTAACTGGGCTACTCTTCCTAATCGTAGGAATGATGGAGCGTTCAGAATGTAAAGGACTTCTTGGTGAGTAAGGCAGTGGGAAGTCACGGGAAGGAATATACGTAGAATCCTGGTCTATTGATACGAAGACTACGCTGACCTTCCTCCGAAGGTCTGCGTTCCTACTATATAGTTCTACATGTCCTGTCCGGACCGACATGCCTCCGTCTTGGCACTGAAGGGCACGTGAGTATTGCCCGCACGTGATTCAGTTCGTGACAGCAACCGAAGACAAGGCTGAGATGTAACGCTATCGTGTTTCCTTTTTGGAGACATGCCATCGACGAATCGGTGGCTGATTGGTGTATCCGAACCAGTGAGAGATTGGTCAGTGAAGCAGGATGGATCCCTGCTGTCAGACACAGCCTCGTCACGCATGGATTAAAACTGGCTACCAGTGCTGTTTCGTTGGTATATGTGCTATTTGATTGGCATGTCGTTTAGGTAGTACATAATATGCTGTTTGCTGTTTAGTTTTAGCTTTTTTTATTTGCTTAACTCCACCTTTGACATGATCACAAGTGGTTCAGCCCGCTTCAGCCTGCTTCAGTCCGCTTTAGCCTCGTTTCGCCTGCTCACATATCACATTCGTGATCGTTGTGGGAGTCTTGTTACGACGGAACAAGAAGGCTGGCCAACTACAGGACAGGAAAGAGGGAGGTCGCATGAGACCGGCCCTGGTACCTGGAGGGGCAGCGGGGAATAGTAGTTCCGAAAGTATCACGTGACGGACTCGCAGGATGATGAGAAGAATCCTAAGAGTCCAGGACTCCGAGGACTCGAGTGAGTTCCCAGGAGTCCACTAGGCACGACGCCACTATATAAGTAGATAGTATTTCCTTAGATAGGAGCTTCGTGCTCAACTCAATACAGTATTTGTTATATACTAGTAACGTGTTACTTGAAGCCTTTGTGTCTGATCCCCTGCCTCCTCTGATAAGTAAACCTTTATGCAAGAGAACCTCTGTGTCTTCTATCGTTTAGAAGTCAGCGTTACACTTTGAGCACCACTTCTACGAGGCACTGGCTCATACACAAAGCAACATGTCTGTCGTCAGTTTGAAGGGGAAAATCTCCACCACGCCAACTTCGTCTCAGAGGTCTAAGCCTGAGAATGAAGAGATGCCCGATGCACCCACCGTCAACGAACTCAAGGAAACTCTACGCGTCAAGTTGCCCGACACTTACTCCGGCAACCGAAAGGAACTTGAGGTGTTTTTGCTACAGGTCGAACTGTACCAGCACTTCAATGACGAGAAGTTTCCCACCCAGGAGAGCTATGCCCTGTGGACTGCGTCCTACCTTAGGGGGGAAGCCCTGCGATGGGTCGAACCATTCCTCAAGGATTATTTCAAATATGAAAGTACCAATGGAAGCATGGCAACTATGCAGACTATGTTTGGCAGCTGGAAAGGATTCTGTAAGGAAATCCGACGCATGTTCGGAGACATCGATGAGATTAAGACCGCGAAAGACCATCTGTTTGCACTTAAGCAGACTGGCAGCGCCCTCACGTACTCCACAGAATTCCAGAGATATGGCAATCAGACAGGATGGGACGCCAGCGCACTCATCAGCCACTACCGACGTGGGCTGAAGAGCCATATACGTATGGAACTTGCCCGTTTGGAACAACAACCAACGGACATGGTAGCGCTAATCGAACATACGGTCCGAATCGACAATCGACTATATGAATTCCAGAAGGAACGTCGGACCTATGACAAGCCCAAGAAAAGTTACCCCTACCGGGGAAACGAGGGCAGACGACGGGATCAACACCCGCGAGACAACCGTTGGTCGGACCCAATGGAACTCGATGCCACGTTCAAACCTGGACGACCCCGTGACCCTAAGAAAGACAGACAATTCAAGGAACGACTCTGTTTTAACTGCGACAAGCCAGGCCACATGGCCCGAGACTGCAGACAGCCAAAGAAAGGGAACGGCGGACGCAAAGTCGGCAAACAACTCAATGCTACCTGGCAAGGCCGGGGAGGTTACAACGCCTCAGGGATGCAGTTGAACGCCACATTTGTGAACAAACAGGACTGGGGAATAAACGGCGAAAGCACCCCAGAAGACGAGAGCTCAGACGAAGGGTCGGAGGCGGAATCATTCACCGTCTCGGAACAGGAAACCTTCGACGAGCTCGCACCTACGGAACCAATGAGTCCACGGTGCAAGAGCGTAGTAAGACGCATGGCAAAACACGCCCACGCAAAGATTAGGGCCGAACGAGACAAGCCCAGCGGCCAGAGGAGAATCCCCACGCTTAAGGGCATCTACGGGAACCTGTTACAGGGACTTCCGTTAGAGTGCAAGGTGGACGACTGCAAGGATGACCTCTGGAGATACTACGACCAACTAACGAATACCCGCAGGCTGCTTGGCACGTCCCCAGACGTAGCTAAGTTGGAAGCCCAAGAAGCGGAAGAACTGGAGAAGGATGTCGAGCATATGGCTAAACTGAAGAATATGAAAAGCGTCGAACTTTACTACCAGGACTGCAGGAGAGCCCTGGAGAAGTACGACGAGAAAGCCAGAGATATGCTCCGACGGGAAAATGCGAGACCCACTCCACGCATCGAAAGGAGAGCCATGGAGCAACTAGACACGTTCTCCACGCCTCCGAGGGAAGATAGTGCATGGGTGAGAGGACAGCGGGAACTATCAACGACAGACGCAACAGAGACTGATCATCCCTGGCACGCGTATGTCTACTGGGAGTATTGCAGCGAAGATGACTGCAAGCTCCACTGGAAAAAGAAACACCAGAATCAGTTGTTTCCCTGATCCTCGCCCAGGATACACTTCAGAGACGCAGAGCAAGTTCACGCCCTCAGGCGAAGCCAGTCTGAAGGGGACTTGCCTATCAAAAGCAAACAGGTATACGAAAGATATCCACACCTGCTGAACGACGCAGCAGAGACAGGGAGACGATCTCCCCCAGGACCTCCATTGGAAGCGGATGAATACTATCCCTCCTCGGACGAGTCAAAAAACTAGGAGTCCTCGACGGTAGGCCACCGGCGAGCGACACGAAGAGGCCTAGTACAGACCAGCTATGCGCCACGACGGGCAGCATGCAACTATATGTGGTCGCTAAAATACAACAGCGACACCTCTGAGCAATGATTGACTCCGGAGCGACGGGCAACTTTATGACAAAGAAAGTAGCAGACACGCAAGGCTTCAAAACAACAATGAAAGCCGAACCATACCCGTTAATGGTCGTAGATGGAGAGCCCATCTCGACTAATGAAGGAATGGTGACCCACGAAACGGTCCCATTGGAAATGGTCATGCTACACGGGCACAAGGAAACGATTCAGTTTGACATCGTGCACATGGACAACCATGCGTGCATCCTTGGTGTGCCATGGCTCAAGAAACACAACCCCCAGATCGACTGGTGGAACGAGAAAGTTGTGATGAGCCAGTGCGCGTGTGAACAACGGACGGACACGCGACAACGGGAGAAACCCTCCCAGGGCCGGAAGGAGTTATGTGCAACCTCCGAGCTCGATGACCTAGCCCAGGCATACTCACCGACGAGTATACCGGTGGAGTACAAGGAATACAAGCAATTATTCCAGGAAGGCCCTAAGAATGAGGCGCTTCCTAAGCACCAACCATGGGATCACGAGATACCTTTGGAGAAAGACAAGAGTCCACCGTTCGGACCAATATATCAGCTATCGGAAAAGGAGCTGAAGGTACTTAAGGAGTACATTGATGATAACCTAGCAAAAGGATTCATCAAACCATCCACATCACCTGCAGGAAGTCCGGTGCTTTTCGTACCAAAGAAAGACGGCTCCCTACGGTTATGTGTGGACTATCGAGCGTTGAACAACATCACAATCAAGGACAGGTATGCCCTGCCGTTAATAAATGAACTACACGATAGATTTCAAGGAGCAAAGATCTTCAGTAAGCTAGATCTGCGAGGAGCATACAACCTGATCCGAATCAAGGCTGGGGAAGAGTGGAAAACAGCATTCCGCACCCGCTATGGCCTATTCGAGTATCAAGTCATGCCCTTTGGGCTAACAAACGCACCCGCATCCATGCAACGACTGATGAATGATGCTTTGCACGAATACTTAGACATCTTTACCATTGTCTACCTAGACGACATCCTGGTGTATTCAGCAACCAAGGAGGAGCATGTCAAGCATGTCAAACTCGTCCTGAAGAAACTAAAGGAGTACAGCTTACTCCTCAAACCAGAGAAGTGCGAGTTCCATAAAAACCAAGTCGAATTCTTGGGTTACATTATTGGAACGCACGGCATCAAGATGGACCAAGCAAAAGTAACGGCAGTGTTGGAATGGCCAACACCGACCACGGTCAAGGAAGTGCAAGCCTTCCTAGGCTTCGCCAACTTCTACCGAAGATTCATCTCGGGATATTCCAAGGTAGCTCAACCACTCACGGAGCTTACCAGAAAGGATCTCGAATTCAAATGGACGGACAAGGCAGAGGCTGCTTTCCAGGAACTTAAGACGAAGTTCACGGAAGCACCTATCCTTGCTACATTTGACCCTGCAAAGAAGATCATCCTCGAAATGGACTCTTCTGACTTCGCAATTGGAGCATGTCTGAATCAACCAGACGAGAACGGTAAGTTCAAACCAATCGCGTACTACTCTAGGAAACTGTCACCCGCGGAACTCAATTACGACATCCATGACAAGGAGCTACTGGCTATTGTTGTTGCCTTTGAGCAGTGGCGAGTATATCTTGAGGGATCCACCTACCCTGTGCAGGTATGGACGGATCACAAGAACCTCATATACTTCACCACGACCAAGGTTTTAAACCGCAGACAAGTCCGCTGGGCAGAAACCCTCGCAGCCTACAACTTCACGATAACCTATCGCAAGGGCACCGAGAATGCAAGAGCAGACGCTCTCAGCAGACGGACCGACTACGCCAGCCCAAAGGAAGAAAGACCTAGAGCAATTCTGAAGAAAACAGATGCAGGAACATACTAGCGACGATCTCAGTCATCGAAGATACAGAACTCGAGGAAAGACTCAAGAAAGCTTACGCAACAGACGAATGCGCCAAGCGAGTCTTGTCCAAAGTCGAAGGCGACTTCGCCATCGACGAACAAGGATTGATTCGATACAAAGGGTTAGTGTATGTCCCAAGTCAAATGAGACGCCCACTGGTGCAAGAACAACACTCGTTACCAGCACACGGTCATCAGGGAGTAACACGAACCTTCGAACGAATCACCCGACACTACTACTTCCCAGGTATGAGGAAGCAGGTAGAGACAGTGGTAAGATAGTGCGACATTTGCAGCAAGTCAAAATCCAATAGGAATCTGCCATACGGACAACTCAAGTCGACACCAGTACCAAAAGGAGCATGGAAATCAATAGCTTTGGACTTCGTCGTCAAGCTTCCACCCTCCAAGGACCCGTTAACAGGAATAGAATACGACTCTATCCTCGTCATCACGGAAAGACTCACGAAATATGGGAAGTTTATACCATATCTAGAAGCTAGCGACGCCGAGGCACTCGCATATACCTTCATTTGAGTCATATTAGCCGATCATGGGATGCCAGAAGAAATCATCTCAGATAGAGACAAGCTCTTTACTTCGAAATTCTGGAAATCATTGATGGCGCTACTGGGAACAAACATAAGCTGTCAACAGCTTTTCATCCCCAGACAGACGGCCAAACAGAAAGATTAAATCAGACCCTTGAACAGTACCTGCAAAGCTATGTCAATCATCAACAGGATAACTGGGTTCAGATCTTACCCATCGCACAGTTTGCATATAACAGCGCGATGACAGAAGCAATGAAAGTCTCACCGTTCTTTGCCAATTACGGCTACCAGCCAGAAGCATATAGGCAACCAAGACCGGATGAATCACGAGCTGAACAAGCCCTGATCGTGGTGGAACAACTGAGATCGTTCCACGAACAAACTTGCGACGGACATCCAATTCTTAAATGAACGATCCGCCGCATACGCAAACAAGAAGCGCAGTATGGAACCTGCCTTCAAGGAGGGGGATAAAGTATACCTACTCCGGAAACATATCAAAACGAAATGACCAAGCACAAAGTTGGACTTCAAGAAATTGGGACCATTCAAAATATTAAACAAAGTCAGCTCAGTTAATTACAGACTGCAGCTACCCAAGAAGTCTAGACTACACCCGGTATTTCATGTCTCACTACTGGAACCAGCAAGAGGAAATACCCCAATTGCGACCGACACCGAACTCCAACCCGAGAATGAGATAATCGAATATGAGGTCGAAGCGATCCTAGACAGAAGGTTAGTAGGACGTCGAGAAGAGTTTTTGATAAAATGGGAAAATTACGAACCTACGGATAATTCGTGGGAACCAACAAGGAACATCAGCAAAGAACTGCTGGAGGAATATCGACGCCGCCATCCGCCAGCCATTGATCCCAAGATGCAGGGGAGTAGGCCAGTGGATCGGAGGAAGCGGGGGTCCCGGTCACAGATGAGGAGGCAGCGCTAACTGCCTGTTCCTCGACCTCAACAGCGTCACGCTTCTCAGCAGCCACACGTTCGGCCTCCTCTGCCGCATCAAGCTCGTCGAGGGTTTTCAAACCTCGCCGGAGCATATCTTTACCACGGGTTCGGATGAGGTGTTTCTGCTTCCGCAGACGAAGTAACTTCGAAAGGGTTTCTTCCTCTTCGCGATCCAGGCGATCCTCCTCCCGTTCGAGCTTCACCCAGTCGGGATGCTCAGGACCCATACAGTCACACTTTTCTTTCAAGTTGCGACGAACGCACTCGGCGCACCGCCGTGAATCATTTGGAGACGACACGCAAGTAACGTTTCGCCTCACGCAGTTCGAGCAAGAATCCATTTCGGGTAGTTCGTATCCGTGGTTCTTTATTCGACGGACAAGATCGTTGCGTTCCTGGAAGTTGCGGGCAGTGTCAGTAGGCATGTTGCATGTTGAAGGACTCGCTGAGGAGCAGCAGAGTCCCAGGGGCATGGACGTACTTATAGGATTCGAGACAAATGCCCAGAGGAAGGGAGCGAGTGTTACGACGGAACAAGAAGGCTGGCCAACTACAGGACAGGAAGGAGGGAGGTCGCATGAGACCGGCCCTGGTACCTGGAGGGGCAGCGGGGAATAGTAGTTCCGAAAGTATCACGTGACGGACTCGCAGGATGATGAGAAGAATCCTAAGAGTCCAGGACTCCGAGGACTCGAGTGAGTTCCCAGGAGTCCATTAGGCATGACGCCACTATATAAGTAGATAGTTAGTTCTTAGATAGGAGCTTCGTGCTCAACTCAATACAGTATTTGTTATATACTAGTAACGTGTTACTTGAAGCCTTTGTGTCTGATCCCCTGCCTCCTCTGATAGTATTAGATGGGCTTTACTATCACTATCTAGCTGTCGCCTACCAACTATCCAACCATGCTGTGGAATGACCTCCCAACCACGACTTTAATGACTCTAAGGCTTCTAATGTCTCCGCTTTCATCTGGTTTCTCTTATCTGTCATTGTAGCCTTTGCACTCGAGAATAGGCGCTCTGGTTCAGCCTCCATTGCTGGTATTGATAGAATATCTAATGCCATAACTGCGAGTGCAGGGTAGGTTGTCTTTTGCTCTAACCACCATGGGTCTACAATAGGTGTGCAGGCAGCGTCACAATATCGTATGTATTCGTCTATAGTAGGTGCTTGTTGTTGCTTCTGTTCTCTCCACTTCTGAAGGCCCGTCTTGGGTTTTGTGGCTTGTTCAATGGTAGTAAGAACTGGAAGCTCTGCCGCTTTGTATTGGCTCTTCCAAAGATCTTGCACTGCCTCTTTTGCTGCTATAACCCATTCAAGTGGCCAATGGGCATCAAAATAGGTCCACTTCTGTGATGGTATTAATACCATTGCAGCGGTATATACAGCTGACCTCTCTGTCAGGGTATAATATTGATTCAATTTGGCCCAACCCAAGTTTATCATTGGCGCCATAAATGCATCATCAATGTACTTGATTTTCTGCTGCTCAAGGTGATCTAAGAGGTAATCCATTGTAGGCAAGACTCTTTCAAGTGTAGCCTGTCGCCCTTCTGTTGCAAGGGTTGCCTCTTGAAAAGCCTGTAGGACCTCGTGGATATGCTCAAGCTTGGTCCACTCTTCAGGTGCTAGCGTATCCAACTGAATGTCAGCTTTGTATTGAAAGCAATAAAGGTCAATTGCAATCCTGATATCAGCCTGGATCGCGCGATCGATCATTGCAAACCAAGAGTTCCAGCGAGTCTGTTGATCTCTAATAAGACGCCTGCCATGGCTTAACTGTAAAAAGGTCTCTTCTCTCTGGGGACTACGTTGAATGAATACAACGATATTATGAAGCTTGCCAAGAGGACCCTTTTGACGCCACAGATCCATTTCTAACTCGGTAGGAGTAGTGTATATACCAGGGTTGCTTTCAGAAGAGAATGCCTCATTATCATATCCAAAGAGGAAAGCCTGGGCAACAAGATTGATAACATGGCCATTGCAACGAAGCCGATGATGTATAGCGTTATATTCAATGTTATACTCATTAAGTAGCAGGGCCGAAAGAGTTGCAATCATAGTATCATTATTAGTTGCGTTATCCATCATGAAGTAGCCTAGTTTTGAAGCAATTCCAAACTCTGCAATTACCTTCACAATTATGAGGGCTTGATTCTCTCCTGTATGCCTTCCGTGGATCTCTCGTAAGAAGCACTGATTGACAAAGATCTCCGTTCTCTGCAATATAGTGGCCAATAATGCCAACTAGAGGAAGCTTGTTCGGAGAAGTCCAAATATCCACGGTAAAGTGAATCTTTGAAAGTGCTGACTGTACACGTGCTATCACTTGGTTTCGTTCGTTGTCGTAGCATCTCATTGTCCATTTATGTATTGTACTGTGACTTGTTGGAAGCCAGTTATTGACCTCTGGATTAAGGTATGCAAGGAGGTTTCTGAATTCGGAGATTTCGACTATATTGAACGAGACCGAACAACGTGATATCCATTGAATAAAGAGCTGCTCAAGAGTTGATGGGTTGATTGTGGTTGATTGAACTGAGTCAAGACGACGTCATTTGTATTGCGTTTCAAGGCCTCGTGCCATCGCAGTAGATATACTTAATTGCTGAAGGGTGTTTTGTTGCTCCCGGCTATCAACAATCTCATGTACAGTCTGTAGATGAACTGCAATAAATGCTGTACCACCAGACTCTCTGTACTCCTTTGGACAATACTTGCAACGCCAGTATATAGCCTCAGAGCCTTCCTGTTGATATATTGTGTCAATTGGACCCGGCATATGCTTCCATACAAAGGATGTCCGTGCCCGACGCTTTTCTGTTGGTTTTCGTCTATATCGTTTGGTAGAAGAGGAGGATGTGACGGGATCGAACGATTCGAGGTCTGGAGTATCGTGGCTAGAAAGAACACTTGATTCAGGGGGTGGCGATGATGCGCCTGAAGGGTCCATTTTGTCTTGATACAATAGTATTTACATCAAAGGCTTCAATTTCTACAGGACAAGAGATCGGTGAAAACTCTATCTCATACCCTGTTAATATTGCAATATCCTAGTCATATATTGCGATAGGTAATTTTGAATATTGCACTGCAACAATATCGTAATTTTTATTATTGCAATAGATATTGCAATAGTCAAATACTACTGCCAACACTGCTGGTAAAGTCCTTGTAACATTGAAGGAGGTTTTGAAGCACTGAAGCCACCCCGGCGATTCCGAGGACAGTCTGCCATGATAGTGTTCGGGGTTTGCGAGGCTGTGAGCTATTTATATAGAAAATATAAGGCCCTCAAAGATAACTGATAGACTGATAAATTAGAGACAAGTAATGAAGAGACTTTTTACAAGAGGCGCCAGGTTTAATGAGCAACAGGAGCTGAGTTGAGACTGATGATAAAGAAAAGGAGGACAGCTGAAGTTAAACCCCCGTCTATCGATTCCTACCCAACGGTGAATGAACTGAGCCGCCTCATGAATGAGGCGACGAGTTCAAGAACTATCTCAGTTCACGGTTGGGCAGAAACCTATTCCTTTGTAGTTGCGAGGGCCTTGAAGCCGCCTTGAATCAAGGCTTGGAGATGAGCTGGAATTCTGCATTTAGCCACAACGTATCAGAATGAAACATTTTTTCTATAGTCGCAATCTACAAACTAGTTGGTTGCCTAGGGAGAATTTTATAACTGATGGACCTCTTTGAAAGAGGTCCATGCATGGGTGGATGACGGTGGGGTGCTTCACATGCAGACGTATGTGTTCGGTGAGCGACTAATGTGATGCCTTGCATCTTGCATGCCTCTCTTCCCATGACTTCCCGTCCCCCTCATTTCGACGAGAGCCTTGCGACCGTAAGCATTTATTCTGCACATATCTTCCATTCGATGGGTTGCTATCATCGTCGGACTGCATTGCAAAGTTTCTGAAATCAAAATGTCGCAGATCTACGGCCATAAGAGTAATTCATACGATAGCATCAGGCTCGATGGCACCAGCCGGCTCATTATTGGTGACACTTTCCGTACCACTGTTTGTATGTAAAACTTGCATCAAGGCTCGCATTTGCTGCCATATCCTCTGACATATCCAAGTCCAACAACCCGCGGCGCCGTTGCCAGTCCCCAAGCAGCATTTCAACGTTATCCTTCCAAGGGCGCAGAATTTTGTAGACGAGATGTAGAATTGGCACAACTTACAGGCTCTTGAGTCCGGAAGAAAGGCGGTGATGGCAGGACTGGGAGGCGTAGGGTATGTTACATCTTGTAGCAATATGATTAGAGCGGCTAACTTCTTACATAGAAAATCACAGATTGCATTAGAGTACTGCTACCACTACCGAAAGAAGTATCCGACTAGTTATGTATGGTGGATAGATGCTGTTAACACAGCCAGGATTGTCAAAGCATATTCCGACATAGCTGACACTCTCCATCTACCCATCTCAAGCAAGGAGAATCTGATGAGAGATGTCCGCCATTGGTTCTCGCAACCTGAGAATGGCCAGTGGCTATTTGTTTTTGACAATGTAAACGACCCGAAAGCGGTTTTCCAGAATACTATCGACGGGCAGACAGGATCAATGCTCGACTATGTGCCACACAATCATCTAGGGGGTCAGACAATAATTACCTCCACAAGAAAGGAGGCGGTAAACCTCGTCGATGCGGAGTTAATTGAGGTCGATATCCTCCCTAGTTCAGTAGCTCGCCAGCTGATCAGGTCATATCTGCCACAGCCCCCTGACAATTCAATATCCGAGGATCTTGATATGCTAGCAGATACGCTTAGCTGCATTCCTCTTGCACTCACGCAGGCTTCGAAGTATCTTAGACAGATGGAGAAAACAGTCAAATAATACCTCTCCATGCTAAAAAATGGTGCTCAAAAGGCTCTGCTGTTATCAAAGAACCTGGGCTCGCACCATCAACACCATGAGAATCAACATACAATATTTACGGTCTTGAATGTTTCATATACCACGCTCAAACACAAACATAGGCTGGGGTTTGAAATGCTGAACACTGCCTGTTGGCTTCATCGCGTCAACATCCCAGGAATCCTCCGCCAACACTGTCAAGGCGGCAAGGAGATGAGCAAAGTTGAATTTGACGAGGCAATATTGCCATTAATGCAATATTCTTTCTTGGAGAAGCAAAGCCGGGTTTCAGATTCAGACGAGGCTGTGTACTGTATGCACAGCTTAATACAAGCTGTAGTTCAGATTTTTCAGTCTGAAGAGGGCCTGGAAGACGCCTCAAAATCAAAAGCTCTGATGCTTATTGAACAGGAGACTATGCCTGTAGCTCGCAAACACGACTGGCGGGTCCTAGAGCATTGGCTGCCGCATATCCACTCTGTTATTCAGTGCAGCAATGACTCTACACTTATACAACATCAATCACGCTCGCCGCTCCTTCTTCTTCTTGGCACATACAGTTACAGCGTGCTATCTCGTAGGACGAATCTATGAAATACCTAGAGGCTAGTCTGCCTGACTTGCAGCGACCAGATGATATATCAAACGATGTCGTCTACCTTTCAGCTTGCTACGAGGAGAAACTCAATGGAAAATCGAAGGCTATAGAATTACTCAGGTCGACCCTAGGACGCCCAGAAATCAGCTCAGCTCCTATGGACCAAGCAATTAGATTAGAGGCCCGATTCAGGTGCAGGATTTCATCCCTACTCTGTGGAGTGTCGCCTCCTCAACCCATAGAAGCTCAAGACGAAGTGGTTAAAGCCGCGGAGCTATTGGGAAGATTTGAAATTGTGGGTCATCCTTATGAGAAACTCATCCCGTACATGATCACGCGGTGTCGTGGTAAAATTGCTCTTGTGCACGCTGCGAATAGCGACTCTAAAGAAGCTGACGAACTCCTCCGCGAATCAGAAATTGAGGTACTAGAGTACTGCAGTCGGCTCAAAGATATCAAGACACCATCTAATGCTTATAACAATCGAAAAATTGGCCTATTGTCCCTGCTTGGGCAGGTCTATATGGCACAGGCAGCACGTGGACAGCCTAAAGTAAAAAAACATTATAACTTTTGCAGGCATTATAGCGGCGATCTCAGTACATGGGCTCTAAGGGCTTTACATGAGCTGGCTGAATGTCTGCGGGAGAAAGGACGATACCACGACATGGAGGTGCTACTGAAGGTTCTGACGTCTAACTCGGACATAGCGGAGCATCAAGGCTATAGATCTTTTGAGTTGGGTGCTAATGGAACAGGGAAAGTTGCAAGACGCAATGGATATCTGTGAAACATTCTACCCGGCCATGGAAAAGGTTTGTGGTGAAGGTCATCGTTGCACTGTGGATGTTAGAAAGCGGCAGTCCGCGCTGAGGGTGGCTATTGATCGGCAGTGGGATAAGATGAATTGGGATAAGACGAATTGGGATGAAACGAATTGGGATACGATGAACTGGGGTAAGATGAAGTGGTTCTCTCCTGGATGTAATGAGTATTCTTATGGAAATCGAAGCAGATATTGCAAAACTTTCAGCTATATCTGCTTGGGTATAACGATATAACAACGGAGTTTTGGAGTTATAGTTAAGTTAGTGAGCAACCAATTTATTCCTAATTTGAAATTCTCATAATCCGATAGGATTGCTGGCCTTTCTACCCGACTACTCCGTAGAGATGGAAAGGTTTCATCATGATTGTGGGATAAGGAGCCACCAATATGAAAACCTTGGCGTACGTCACGCCACATCTTGGTGGTGCCAGGCACGAAACCCCGCCAACAACCAACAACGACCGCAAAGGAAAGGAGAGGAAAACAAATATAACTTCGACTTTTGACCTCAACTATGAAGAGATATATACTATTGCTTGGATAAATATAACGAAAGGTTTTGGATACCACGGCCGGGAAAGAGAGCGACTGTTGAGAGTAACGGTCGAATGACTACCAGTAGGGATTATCAGAAACCAACAACCCCACATCCACCATCGTCCCCTCAACCAACTATCACGAAATACCACTAAACAACCTCACACCTTTCACATCACCATCTACATCCTCAAACCCTAAAAAACCACCACAGCTGCAACAGCAATAATGACAGAAACCGCCTCCCAAATGGATACCACTACCGGCCCCCTCGCCTCCGGCTCCCCAACACCCACAGCCCTCATCTCACCCCCCACACCCACATCTGGGACATCGACACCGGACATGCCGTAGGTCCCCCCCATTGCCCCCCTCCACCCAGTCTACAGCTAACCGCTCCCCCAGAGGCACACCAACCTCAACAACAACCTCCCTCTCCACCCTCTCCACAACAGCCATCAAAGACGGCCACCGCGGCACCCACCCCCCAGCCCAAGACGCCGAGCGTGATGACCGCATCTCCCGTCTCACCGGGATGTCCAGCCTACGCCACTCCGGACCACGAGTCCTCTCCACCGTCGGCAGCGCGAGCGCCACGAGCGCCGGGGGCGGGCGCGGCAACGAGGATACCGGGTCAGTAGGCGGCTCAGCGGCCGGGGAAAGGGGCGATGGTGATGAAAGTGGGGTAGAGAGCGCGACGGGTGAGGGAACATTGAGTTTGGCGGGGAGTCAGGAGGGGGCGGGCAGGGAGGCGGAGAGGATCGTGAGGAGGCTTGATGGGAGGGGGTGGGGAACCAGCGGGGGGGAGGGCGATGGGGAGTCCGGAGGGGGAGGGGCTGGGGAGGTTTTATTTCGAGGATAAGAGGTGATTTCTGGGAGAGGGGTGCGGTGGTGGGTAATATTGGGGGAAGGAAAGGCAAAGTACAGACTATGGATGGATAAGCCCGGCACATGGCTGACGTGTAGACTGCAGATGGATAGGCAGAGATTCAAAATGTACTGGTATTGGAGAAAGCCGCAGAGCACTCTAGAGTAACGAGAATAATCCCCATTCCTGCCTTTAAAGTCTTTTTATGTAAGGAGCAATGTCAAATCTAAACTTGAAGTACTCCGCTCTCACCCCATCTCAACTACGGCGGACGGTACATGCGACAATGCACACAGAAAAGGTGATGATCGAGAGGCTGAGAAGCAGTTTGATGGTGCCCCGGGCGCTGATTTGATGCCATACTGCGGAGAGTTTGGTTTTGATGGTGGCGCGGACGGGGAGGGGGGTAGGTAGTTGTGATTCCTCGTCGTAGGGTAGGGGTTTGGCGGGGTTTAAGCTTGTGATTGGGTTCTGTGGCTTTGGGTCGGCCATTGTGAGATTCGTGGAGGGTAGAGTGGTGTGGGAGTTACTGGGAGGCATTATGAGCTGAGAGAGATAGTGAGGGTATTGGGTGTTTGATATTGTGATCAACCCATGGGGTTTTCTTGTGGGAGAGCTGGGTGGTTAATCTTTTAAGGGAAGGAGCAATGGTGATTCAAATAGTTATATAAATAAGGTCGAACGATGGTAGTAGCGCACTACCGGCGCGCCATAGTTATATTATAAGAGCGAAGCCTCCTAAAACCACGCCAGTTAGGGTGCCATGTCGCTTGTCCCCTCCCCATTATTTCCGGCAAAAGAGCAGGAATATGGATATCCAAGCCAAACTCCCGCAAAATTCACCCCCTTTGCGTCACGCCGTAGCTATCAGCTACCTATAAAACCACACTACATCTACAGCTCCACCCCTCTCTCATTTAAACAAACATCCTGTGGCACCGATCCTATTCCTTAGTTCCTGCAACATACAGATATTACATCAGTCACCCTCCAACCATGTCCTCCGGAAAATATCCACACTAAACTTCACCAAGTATGGAAATCCCATGAGCTCAGCCGCAAGCAGGCACAGGCAAAAAGCAATGAGCAGAGGCCGAGAAGCTGACTGATGGTATACTGGCACAAGCCTCGGGGGTAGAGAAGGAGGGAGAGTAGTTGTGATTCTTCGTCATAGAAGGAGGAGAGTCTAATAGATTCTCCGTGCTGGGCGGGGTTCTGCTGCTTTGAAGGTGCCAGTAATGCGTTCCCTTCTGCCTCTGCGACTTGACTTCGATGACGAGGAATGGGATGCGAACCTCCTTGTCCGGCATGGGGTAGTCATGCCCAGATACGCCTTCTACTAAGTGGAGCATACTTGCAATTTGGCTGGAAGCAAAGGCCCTCTGGGAGAACCCAAAGACGAAGTCAGGCTTCGGTATTGGCAGGAGAAGGGTGGATGGGGCGTCGACAAATTCGGGCGAAATTGGAATCGCTACGGCATGGGACCATAGCTCATTAGAAGTGCTTGCCAACCTGCAGGAATGAGTTTAGGGGCCCATTTCCTAGTAATGGAATTCTCATTTTCATTTTGGAGTGTGCGAATTGTCTGTATCAACTCTCGAGCAGCACCATCGTCCATCTGATGAGATTCTTTCGGCTGCCCTATCATATCTCTCACACGCTGCATTCTGCGCATTCGATGAAAATATGGCTGTAACTCAAGGACTCGCGATAATTCGGGTCATGGACGTCGACGGCGACCATTGCGGAGGTTCTTGTTGACACGCTTGGGGAGGTGAGACTATAATTATCTTCGCAAGAAAAAGAGGAGCGCTCGTCAGGGTGGTGAGATAACGCTTGCCTATCTTGCCGGGCCAACCAGCCTTGGATTTGTTTTTCTTTGTTAATTTGCAGAGTCGCTGTAGGATAGTAAGTAGATGGACGCTGCTAAACAATAGACAAACAGGTAAACAGCGCGAGAAATGGAAATATATAGGTAACAGACAACAATTCATTCCCTTAGGGGTTAACTTATAACACAACCCATCGCTGTTTAGGTCTCTGTCATTCCTATAGTCTTGCAATTTTGTTTCTAGATTACCTAGGGATAGTTAATGGCTATGAGGTGTATCATATAGGACTAGGAGGGTCTTACATAGGCTAGTAGCTTTTCTATTTTCATTTTCGTTATTCATCTTGATACTTATTAAATGATAAACAGGAGTACGGAGGTGGCATGGCAGGTTTTTAATCGGCGGATAGCAGTAGGGTATCGCCAGGGCACTAGAGTTATACTCCAAGAGTGAATCCATGTATGACGCCACTCAGGGTAACCATAATACGCCATCCCCACCATCCATTTCTAACAAACCTATTCACACCGTTAATCCGTATCAAACAGTGTTCGGCACGGATACCAATATACCCGTGGTATCCGGGTATATCCTCGAGTATATACCTACCCGGCGATATTTTAGGAGTATCCGGCGTATCCGGATACTCTCGAGTATATATCCGGATACATGCCAAGAATAGCCAAGCGCAGCCAAGACCTCTTTTTTCCAACGCCGTGAGATCTATATTGATGCTGTATAAAGTGATAATTATCCTCAGAATGAGCGACTCGTCGTTATCAGATATACCAACGGAGCCTGAGGGCTATAATAGCTATGATACTTATAATGAGCCAAGTCTGCCAACGCTGCCACCCCCTATTCATATTCAACAGGATATTAATCCTACACCGCTCCGGCTTCAGCCTCCAGGACGAATGCTGCCACCAACGTCGTCGGTACTATTTACGAAGCTATTATATTCGCGATTGATACTTGATAGTAACCCACCTACAGTCAAAGTAACTTGCTTACAACCAGGCTGCGGATATTCACCTACTCCGCAGCTATTAAGTCAGACTTCAACCGGTAATCTTTGGAAGCACTATACGCAGAAGCATCCAACAGTAGCATATACAATGAAAGGTCATACAATTACGCCGTCAAGCCCATCAAGTAGTGCATCGTTATTTTTTGAGCCACGGCCGCGGAACCCGCAAGTCCAGCCCGCTCAAGCTCAAGCATCAAATAGTAGAGCGAAATACCGAGAGTTATTACTCTCATTCGTTGTATCAAATAACCTCTCCTTACGACTTATTGAGAGCTATTCGTTCCATCAATTAGTACAGTTCTTAAGCCCAAGTACTCTATCGATATCGTCGCGAACACTACACCGAGAGCTACAGCGGCAATTCTCATATCACCGAGGATTGCTACAATTAGAACTCCAGGCTCATATTACCTATGGCGGCCGGATATCTATTACAACAGATGCATGGACTGCACGGAACTATACAGAGTACGCTGCTGTCACAGGCCATTGGATTAATGAGAAGTGGCAGCACCGGTGCGTATTACTTGATGTAATCCACCTTCAAGAGCCAATTCATAGCGGCGAATATCTCGCTCAAGAGTTAGCTGCAGTAACAGATAGCTTCGAAATTACAGGTGCTATATTTACTTGTACGCGGGATAATGCCTCAGCGAATACTGTGATGCTTTCAGAATATGAGAAAATAGCCAGTAAGCAGCAGACGACTATTCAACAGCCATGGACGTTTACTGTAAAGGAAGGGGACGTTCGGTGTATTGCTCATATTATCAATCTTGCAGTTCAAGCTACTCTAAAGAGCTTGAAAGCTAGCCCGGATACAGAAACAGAAGCGTACTGGTGTCAGCAAGGGCTTGCCCGGATTCCGCAGCGTATTGATAACTCTTCTACTGAAGTATCAGCTACGCTTGAGAAGCTCCGAAGGCATATTTATGTCTTTCGAAACCGAAGAGCATGGAAGGATGCTTTACAGAAGCAGATACAAGCTGCAGGCCAGAAGCCACGCCAGCTATCACTTGATATGCCTATACGCTGGAATTCAACGTACTATATGCTTGAAACAGCTATAAAGCTTCGAATACCAATTACTGCAGTATGCTCTACGCAGAAGCTTGATATCAGTATGAAGGATATTGCGTTAACAAGCAACGATTGGGCTATTATCGAAGCTCTTGAACGATTATTCTTAGTATTCTTAAAGCCGTCAAGACGGCTACAAAGCGATTCATATCCAACGCTCAACTTTACAATTCCTCTTTACTTAAAGATGATAAATAAGGTCACATTACTACAAGAAGAGCTTGGTAGAAGCTCTACGATCGGAGTAGCTTGTGGAGCTGCGCTTCAAAAGCTTAATGAGTATTATACTCTTACAACGAATCGGCAATGTAAGCACTCAGCTGTTGCTACAATTTGCGACCCACGAATGAATCATACAGTATTTAAGAAGATATATCCAAATGCTATAGACGATACACGAAGATTACGAGCAAGAGCGCAGTTCGAAGACGTTTGTAGAACGTACCAAAAGCGAGAGTATCACCTTGATACGGAGCGAATTACTCACGAAACAGCTCTTGCAGAAGCAATAGGTGCTACTGCTACAATAGATCAAGAACCTGATTCTGACGAAGATCTATTTGCGTCAGAAGGCTTGGCTTTTCAAGAGCCAGAATGGAGGCGCTGGATGCTTGAACCACGGCCCGGTGAGCATACTGATATTCTCAAATATTGGTGCGCAAAGCAATACCAATATCCAGTTATTGCCCGTATTGCTCGTGATCATCTAGCTATTCCAGCAACATCTGCAGCATCGGAACGAGTATTTAGTAATGGTAGTGATATTATTACAAAGAAGCGGAATAGGTTATCACCGCCAACTATTAGATATTTACTTTGCTTACGGAATTGGGGTAAAATACGGGAGGCTGATAGCGACGGCGATGATGCTGACGATGAAGCACCTGAATAGGGACTCGCAGAAAGGGGGGGTCTCACGGAAAGGGGGCTCGCGGAAAGGGGTTTACTACTATTATCAAAAGCTTCATTCTTTTTTATATACGCTATTCTATTTTTATATACAATATTCAGCCTCATGTATCCGGATATATACCCTACCCTACCCGTCAGATCGTCGCCGGGTATATACCCTACCCGTGAGCTTCACGGATACTACCCGGATATGTATCCGCCGAACACTGGTATCAAAAGGAAGGAGCGAGCGCAGTGGTTTAAATAAGTTCTCTGAATAAAATGGGCAGACGCGGTAACGTACCACTACCGCCCACACCAAAGCTATAATACAAGAGCCCTGCGAAACCTGCCTATGCGCACCACCACGCCACTCTCTGAGGTAGCCGCCACGCCATGCTCACACCACATCGCGCGCGCCAGTTCCCAAAAAAACACCCAAACCCAAAATCGCACACGAGTGGAAAACTCCACAGACTCACCACCATCACCAGCCAATAACGCCATAATCCGTAGTAACACATAATTTAGAAATCCATAAGCAGTAGTAGAAGAAGAAGACGACATAAAAACAGTCTAGCATTTGTATCCCTATCCTCTCCAGGGAGTTAAGCCTCACATCCCCCCACCATCGCCGTTGGTCTGCCCGCCATTAACACCCGCCTGCGCTACATTCCTCGCCGCCTGCTGTACTCCCTGCTGCTGCGCCAACTGCGCTCGCTGCCGCTCCATCATGCTTGACTGCTCCGCCGGCGTCATCACAGTGTGATACCCCGTCGGCCCGAGCGGCGCCGCCTGAGGCTGTGGCGTCGATGGCGCACCGCCATTAGGGTAGTACGACGCTGGGAACGGACGCGGCGCCGTCGCGGGGAGGTGCGATGTGTACCCCTGCTGCGGCTTCTGCGGGGATGCCTGCCGCGCGGGCGTCGTGTATGGGTAGGCTGCTAGGCCTTTCGGGGAGGGCTGCGGGCGCTGTCCGGCGTAGGCTGCGTTGGCGGGGGGTTGGTAGCGTTGTTGTGGCGCCGTTTGGGGGGGCTGGGCGTACTTCTGTGCGTTGGGGGTTTGGTAGTAGGCTTGTGGGCCAGAGGGGTATTGTTGGGGAGGGCCAGGGCGAGGGACCTGGTGGGGGTAGGTTGGTGTGCCGTAGGCTTGTTGTGGGCGGTATTTCGTGCCCGAGATGGTGCGGGGAGGGGCGTAGGGGGTGGGACCGACGGTTGAGGGAGGGCGGACCATGTTGGTTGAAGGGGCGCGGTTGGGGGTTTGGGATTGGTTGTAGTATTGCGCTGGTGGTGCGGAGGGACGTGCTGAAGCTGCCGCGTATTGGTTTCCGTATAGGGAGGAAGAGCGGTGTTGCGAGGTCGATGGTGTGTGTCTAGAGCTTGTAGCAGCTGTCATCGCGGCGACCTTGGCACGAGCTGCGTATTCGTCTTCCTCCAGTACCCCCTTGAAAGTATCTGTTAACACAGGGACCTTTGTGCTGATACTGAGATCAGACAATTGATCGGAATTCAATTTCGCAACGGCATAAGGCGGCAACGTCGCGATCATCAAAGCTAGTTGAGACTTTAGAATGCTGTAAGTGGCGGCTTCTGCCTCGCTTGGCTTGGAAGGGATTGATATGTCGGCGCCAGGCATGACGCCGGCACGTGGGACGGCGCTCAGAGAAAGATTGCGGTTTCTTTGGTACGAATTCAGCGTCTCCAGGAGGTCAGAAATACCGTCCAGCACCTCTGAAACGTCCTTATCCTCAATCGACTGCTCATTTGCGTCTGATGTGGAGCCCTCGAGGCTAGGGTCGATGACCTCCTCCCAATTATCAACGGCATCCTTGAACTTCTCGTCTTCGTCGTCAACAGAGTCAACAGCCATCTTATCCCAGCCAGATTGCTGGGCATCTAGTCCGATTAATGCCATAGTCTCCATATTGTTGGCGAGCCGTTGGAAAGTCTTCTCGCCGACCCGTTGCCACCAGATCTTGCTAACCACCCCTTGCGGGACAACAGCCGCCGCATCATCCTTTGTTGGAGCAAATGACGAATATGCACTTCGGAAGAGCGCGTCTAGTTTCGCGGCTTCTTGTTCCGCAGTCTCGGCGTCTGATGTGGAAGCCTTGACTCCGCTGAGGCTCAGAGCTCTCTCTCTTTGTCTTCGCTTTGGGTCTGGAAGGTTTGAGCTGCCGGTGTATTCAAGCCAATGGCCGGATGATATTGGCTGACTATAATAACTCTGGTTGTTGCGCGCTCGTTCGATATCTGAAACGGATGGTTCCGACCAACCGATCGCTAGGCCCTTGTTTGACGAAGCCCTTATCGGTTTGGGAGGCAAGAAGGGCAATGTGGATGTAGACGTAGAGAACAAGTCGCCCAGTGTCTGTAGTTGCTTCTTGTCGTCCACGGCCCCAGATGTATCTATCGGTACGACCTGTGTAGTGTTGATCCCATTCGGTAGACCGACCTCCCGTAAAGGCTGTGGCACTCTGATGGTTCCATTCGGCATCTTGGCCGTCTCTTGGAGACTCGAGAACAGCTGCTTCGCGCCCGGAGCATTGCCGTACAGAGTCAGAACGAGCTTATGCTCGCCGGGCGTCATCGATATTTGTGTCGAGGCTTTTGGAGAGGTTCCGTTTGTAGGGTAGTTCGAGACATTTGGGCTCTGTTCCCGCTCTTCTTTTGCCAACTTCAACTCGTCCTGCGTCTTCTGCCTATGCGCGAGATCTTCAGCCTTCTTTGTAAAAAGTTTGATGTTCGTGACGAGCTGCGATTCGCGGATAGACAAGGGTGTGCTGTGGGTTCTGGTTGACCCGTTGGGCAATTGAAGCTCGTCGGTCAAAGAGGTGGAGGCAGATTTGGCGTCGGAGATGACATCGTTGAGGCTCGAGTACGCGTGAGCAGCTGCGCGCGCGATGATGGTGTTGGCATTGTCGGTCTTCGATCGCTTTGCCTGTGGCTCTTTCGACTCTTCGCGTTTGGATAGCGGCCGTTCGAGGATGGAGGGGGAAGTATCGAATCTGTCAAAGCTTAGTTAGATATCGGGTGGATGACAGAATTCCGTGGCGGAATCTGCATGGGAGGTAAGTGGTGCGCGTACCTTTTGAGGATGGTGATGAAGTCGTCGATCTGTTCGTGCGAATTCATCTTGGGAGCTCCATTGGTTTTTGGCTCTGTCGCGCCGTTCACATGGATGAACGACTCTTCATTGCTATTAACGTGCTTCCGTTTTGCTGATGTTGAAAGAGGGGATTGTGGCCGTTCGTCTTGCGGTTGAGGGCTCAATAGGCCACTCGGCGACATGGCGACATCTGTCATCGTGCTGGAGAATATGGTATCCGCGATCTGTTGGGCGAAAGGCGCGTTTCGCGAATCGCGATGCGATCGCAAAAGTGTTGCGTGTGGTAGAATAAAAGTCCCTGGGGGCAACTCGATCTATCTGTCTGTCTCTGTAGAGGACAGGACAAAAGAGCCACAGAGAGGTTATTCCACGAGACTTATAGCCACCATGAAAGCAGTAGATGTTAGGAATCCAAAGAGACCTTCAAAATAACCACAATAATTAGAAAATATGATGTTCAACGTGATGAAGTCAGGGATGGGGAACATTTCCAGTACCGTTAAATCGATGAGGAGCCGCAAAAGGCACTGGTGGCTTATGTAAGCAACGCGACAGCACGATTGGGAAAAGGTACGAGTAGGGAAATGCTGTATAACAAATAATTTATAGGGAAACGACGACCGACATCAATCAACAACTCTATAGAGAAGAAGACGAAGAATATAAGAGATATAGAAACTACGACGTTCGACATTGCTCTTTTCGCTCCTACCTCCATTGACAGCCAGTCTACGCTGTGGAAGAGCTCCTGCTCCCGTCTTCATCAAATCAAGGTAAGACCCATTCCTCAATCCCCAAGTCCTTGTGATTTCTGCTTCGATGTCTTTACAATGCGAATCCAGTCTCGCTCATTATACAGGATCATATTATACACCCTACTGGCTTCAACTTCACACCTCCAAACGCTCTACCTGGCCACGAAAGTCGATTTTAGCTGGATCGGGCTTTCCAAAATGAACGGATGCAATCGCGTGTAGTTTACGGCAATGTCTACGGCAATTGTACCAATGTACGACGCCGACAGGTTGCAAGCGCCTTGACATTCGGCGAACTTCGCCCAACATGCATTTCAGCGAGGCGTGCCATCCCGCGGGGGGGTGACCAAGCCATTCGATGGGCGTCGCTTTCCTCAGCCGATGCGGTGAAGGTGGCGCATCAGTCAGTGGCGTACGAGCAGCCTCTTGTAGAAGCCAGACAATTGCAGCCAATTACTAGGCCGTCTTCGGATTATAGACCCTCGACACCTGACGCACGATCTGTCTCTCCAACGCAACAATCAACGACGGAGGTAGCCTCCAAATCCCGCGCAAGGAGAAACAGAGGCCCGACCTCAAGGGCCATTGTAGCCTCCAAATTCCGCACAAATAGAGCGCCGAACTCGATGGCAACCGCAGAGAGAAACAGAGCTCCAATTTCAAGGGCAGCTGAAGCCTCCAACCTACGCGCAAAGAAGAACAGAGCCCCGAACTCAGCAAACTACAACCCGGTTTCGCTTGACGTCAAGAAGGATAACAGTGGCCTAGAACACACCTCCGTCCAAAGTGTCTCTTTGCTGCATTCTTCAAAAAGACCAAATCGCCAGGTCATCGTCACGCCTCGCAGCAACAGGCAACTCAAAAGTCAACGCCCCTCTCCCGGCCGAATAATAACTGCGTGGCAATCTGGGACTGTAGACTTTCTATCTGGCGAGCATGTTCAGGCGTGGTCGAAGACGGATGCATTAACAAGCATATTCGTACGGTATATGAAGTATATGGAGTCGCCATATTTACCACAACTTTCTCAGGCCAACCCTGATCAACTGGAAAGTCTGTTAAGACCGTCTGCGCCCTTTTTTACTGAGGATATCACGGCCAGCCTTCAAAAACACGGATGCACACCTCAGGATGTACGAGGATGGGCTTGGATTGTCCTAGCGCCCAATGCGCAAGTTGCTGCTCAACGATACCTTTCAGCGGATACCACCTTTCCTCCGGTTGCAATCCTCACCAACATCCTGCGCATGAAGAAGATGCATATCAAAATTCTGCGAAAATTGGTTTTTAGAGTTGCGACTTTGCTAACCAAAATCTCCAACTCTCCGACCAGCAAGAATCGTGGTATACTGGAGGACAACTCGTTTCAGACGGTGGTCTGTGGCCTTCTGAGGCATGCTCGGGAAATCGATCCGCTTTCGTTCACGGGCATTGCCCGCTTGGTTAGCCAGTACTGTGGTATTGTTACATGCATTTCAGACGAGGCTCGAGGTTTTGGTGGGAAGGAGTACACCAGGCTGACCAACATCTGTCGAACTGTCATCTGCCGGCTCTCAATACCCGCGGCCAAGTCTCCGTATGCGTCAATGGGGTATGCTTGGGAGGCCCAGCAGGTCATCCTCGAGGCAGGGAACTCGCTCCAGCCAGCACTAGAGCTGGACGCCAGAAGCTACTGTGCTATAGCTTGTGTGCTACTTGCCGGCAAGAAGACTGAGGCGGAGGCTGAAGCGGTCGCGCATCTGCATCGGTCGTGGCCTCCTTGGAAGAAGGTCTTGGATGGAATGGATGCGCGCCGGCAGCCAGAGGACGATGCATCCCGAGCAACTCGCGTTCTTGAGAATATGAAGGCAGCAGGGTATCCCCCGACATCGTTCGAGAATGCCATAAGCATTCTCGCAGGACGGGATACTGACGGCACTCCGGCGATTCCTACGCGAACAATTATGAGTCTTGTCCGGCAAAAATTATCGAAGGATATCAAACACAACAAATCCCTCCAACCCGCTCACAAACGTCCATCAAACCTTGCTGGCAAACAACGCTCCAAACCCATCCAGAACAGCCCCTCCGAACCCGCCCCCACAAGCCCCCTCAAATATGCCGACGAAAGCACCTCCGCATCCGACGGCAACAGCTCCGCCGGCAAAAGCCCCGCGGAATGGGCTGCGCGCATCCGCGCAACTCGCGACGTACAAGAAGCCTGGGCAGCCTTCAGAGCCTACCAGGGCCTACCCTCGCAAGCAATGTTCCACGAGATGTTCCTCAAGCTTATCTACGACAAGGTGAACCGCTTTCGCCCGCGCATGCACCACCCCACCGTGGGCGACGGGCTTGAGGTCTTCCCGGTCGAGAACGACAACTTCAGCGATTTTGAGATTGAGCGCAAGGCCCCGCCGGACGTCAGGGGACTATACGAGCTCATGAGGGCGGCGCAGCTAACAGCAGCTGAGCGAACGCTCCGTCACCTCCTCACGCAAGCCGACTCACTCAGCTGGGCGCTCCGCCTCCTCCTCGACTCCGGCATCCCCAGCGACGCCGTAAGTGCGCTCGTCCGAGGGAACGATCGGAAGTGGCGAAACAAAGTCTCGCCCGCCTCGCCCAACCCCCTCAAACAAACGGAACCCGCCCTCGCCCGCGTGCCCCCCGGCATCTTCACAGCACACATCAAGCTCCTCGCCCGCCTCTCCCTCGCCACCCCCCACCCCAAACACCCCCCTCCAACAACACACCTCCACACCATCCTCGCGCTCCTCAAAGCTCATCCCTCCCCCCCAGATTCAGCATGGCACGCCTTTCTCCGCGCCGCAGCGGCGCCGAAAACCCTCGCGCAGCCAAACAACAGCTCCCCCGACACCGCGCTCCTACGCACATACAACCATAGAGTTGCGCCGTACTGGAACGCCGTCGTCCGGGAGACGGTCGCGCATCTAAGGGACGCGGGCGGGGAGGTGAGCCCAGATATCTTTCAATACGCTGCGTATGCTTTATACTCCACCATCTTCGCTGCGCGTCGTCGCGGCGTCGTCGGTGCGAGCGAGGAGGCGGAGAAGAGTCTCCCTACGCTCCATGACCTGTGGGATGCGATGGCGGAACCGTCGGAGGATGTAGGTGGCGTGGGGGGGGAATTGGTGCATCAGGTTATGGGAGTGCATATTTTATCGTACATACGCGTCCTCGCTGTCGCAGACTGCGACGCGGAGATCGAACGGGTGCTCGCGTGGGTGGTGCGCTACCAGGCTGCGCTAGGAGTGGTGGGACGGACGAGGGGGAATGGGGTGGCGAGTTTGAGGAGGGTGGTTGTTGCTGTGTGTGCGTATTCTGAGAGGAGGGATGCGGAACGAGAGCGCGATGGCTGGAGTGAGGATGGAGATAAAGGGATGACGCAGCGTTTAATGGCGCTGGCGGAGGAGATTGAAGATCAGTGGGGAGGATGGCCGGGGGAGGGGGAGGTGAGTGAGTATTTTAGGGAGGGGAAGGAGAGGTATGGTGGGGATTTTGGGGAGGGGGAGTGGGTTGTTGGGGGGTTGGTGGGGTAGTAACTTTACTGTGGTTGTGGTAGGTTTGGGGCCTTCTCAAGAGCTGAGGGGCTTGTATCTTGTGTGTGTGTGTATTATTGGGATTGGGGATTTTTGTATATAGGATGGAATCGGGGGGGGGGGGGGGTATTTGTAGATATAGAAGTTGTTGATAGTTAGATAAAAAGGTAATAGAATAATACCCGTTGTATTCGCTACTCTAGATCTAGTCGATCTACCTCTTGAAAGGCATCTTTACGAGTCGTAACACTCGTTCATTCAAATGGGGTATCATTTTTCATCATCCAAAACTCCCTTCCTCCCCCTCCTCTCTCTTCCGCCTTTTCCCATCCCCCAACAAACTAAACAACAATAGCAGCAACCAATATCCCCGCCCCCCACCCCCAAACCAATCCCCAACCCCCCCTCCACCAACAACCCCCCTCACCCCACCCCCCTGCGCACTAACCATCCCCCACAACATACCCGCCACCAAAACCGCCACAGCAATACGGCCTACGAAGTTTGGGACAACCGTGAACATAAGCACGGGGAGCAGGATTGATGCGAGTGCCGCGAGGAGGAGGGCGCGTTGGGTGTGTGGATGCTGCTGTTGGTGGTGGTATATAGGCGGGGGGATGAGGGTGCGCTGCACCGTCTCGGTGGCTGCTGTAGACGACGGCGCGGGTGTAGGGGCAAGAGATATCAAATCCCCTCCCCTCTCTAGGAATCTAGCCTCTTCATACACAACTGGCTGTGCACTAGCCAAAAACGCGCGGTATGCCTCTACATCCGCACTATCAGCAGCAGGGAGGCGCGAGGTCTTCGCGAAGGAGGTGAGAGACGCGTTGTACTGCGCCATCTTATACCCCACCCTCGCCAGCAGATCCGCGCGGTGGTGGTCTAATTGCGAGGGGTGCTGGGCTGCAGAGCGGCGGGAGGAGGGGGGGATGTGTGTCTTCATCCCCCTTTCCCTGCTGTCATCGTTCTTGTGGGACCGCCGACCACAGGGGGATCTGGCGATCGCGGAAGAGGGCGTGGGAGGGAGTGATAAAGTGCGCGACGCAGCGTCCGCGGCGTCGAGGGCGGAGAGATGGGATTCCAACTCGCAGAGCTCATCCTGCATGTGTAACAGCAATCTATGATTCAGCGTCGCGAACCGTCTATACACCGGCGGAGAGGTCGTCAAGTGCGTAGCTAGCGCGTCGTATCCGCTTGGTGGGGGTAAGCGCGGGGAGAGCGCTTGTGTATCTTGGTGAGGGTGCGGATGCAGCGATAGGGGCGTAGGCGTGTGCCGATGCTGATGCCGAGGGTGTTGATGGTTACCCCCCGGCCCGGAGTGGAAATCCTGCCTCATCTGCGCAGCCCTCATCTGCGCCGCTAATTTCGCCTCCGTCGGCGAAGCAAGCGGCTGTCCTGTCCCCGGCGGGGGGCGGGATAAGAGCAACCGCGGCGTCGGCGACGGCGACCCCTTAACACTGTGTTCAGGGCTCGTACTCCGATCAGTATCCATATCCACCAAGGATGAGGCATCAGACGCCATAAAGGAGGATGCGGAGCCAAGAGAGGGGGTGCGCGGATGGTGCGAGGAGAAGGTTGGGGCCATAGGGTTGGCATTATCGGCGGAGGAGGTGGGGGAGAGGGGGTGGAGCCAGGTGGGTTGGGGGGGAGGGTGGGAGTCGTCGGCGTGGTCGGAGTCGTCGGGGTCGGAGTGCGAGTCGGCGTCGTAATCTGGGGTTTCCGAGCCGGTGGGATGGGGAGAGGGGGAGGGGGCGTTCGGGGCGTATTGGATGGCGTCTTCGTTCTCATTCTCGTCTGCGTCTGAATCTGAGTCTGAGTCTGAGTCTTCTTCGTCCTCGTCGGAGCTGGAGGAGTCCTCGTCGAGGTATGCGAAGACGTTTGGTGGGTCAGGTGCAGCTACACCTGTTAGAGACGGAAAAAGTGAGGACTGTGAGAAACATACCAGGCGATAATGGACCCTCTTCCTCCTCCTCCGTAGTCCCTGAGATAGTAACCTCCTGCACAGTCTCAGTGCGCAACATCGACGCCTGCGTAATCGTAGAGTTACTCCCACTCGACCCGCCGGAATTATTCGTCGCCGTAGTGAGGGACGTCATCGTCGACAGCAGTGAAGGAGAGGTCAATCGTCCCCTCGCAGCAGCCAGCACCGACCTATAATCCTTTGGCTCCTCCTCCTCCTCTTCCTCCGAAGAAGAGTCACTATCCGCATCCCGCCTAGCATGACGCGGATGTTGCCGTACTAAACTCTGCGACGACTTCTCACCATGCGCCGCCGCGTACCGCTTCGCCAAATTGGCCTTTGGTTTGCTACTTTTCGAAACATGCTTGCTGCTGCTGCTGAATGATGAGCGATGATGCGATTTCCTCGATTTCTCCTTCGAATGTGGTGCTGCTGCTGATTTTGTGGTTGTGGGGGAGCGCTTCTTATCACTTATCGCATGTGTGCTCCGCGGCGTCGCACCCCTAGACCCAGCAAGGTCCTCGTCGGGGGACTCGATGATGGCGTCGATGGAGTGGGAGTGCTGGTATCTGGGAGCCATATTTTTGATAATAAGATTCTCGGGGTTGAGTAAGACCTGCGGGGGGTTTTGGTCAATATTTAATCAACCGCAGGTATTGTACTGAGGAGTTGGTGGTGGGATATAGGAGAGGGGTGTTAAGACTCCCTCTTACCATGTCCGGCATGTGCGAGTTTGGTGAGATTGGGGTGTCTTACTTGAGGTGATGCGAAGAGAAATGTGAGAGGTGATCAATGCGACCCGTCTGTCTCGTGGTAGAAATCGACAGAGTGGTATATTTCGAGATATCTTGAACCTAAACACCTTTTTTTTATGATTCCATGGCCATCAGCGAGGCCGCGTATGATATAATATAGCTTTTGATGGGGGAAGGTAAGTCGAGTTGCGACGTAGTGGCGGTTGGTGGTGTTCCAGACGTGTTTCAGCGCTTCATGGCCACGAGACGCACTCAAAGATTTGGCGGGGTGAGAAGCGGGTGAGCAGCGGGGGGTGATGTATTGGACAATTCGGGTTTTAAAACAAGATGTGAGGGTATTTTGTTTTGAGCTGATGAAAGGGAAGCTCGTGTCGATCGATCCTTGGGAAAACGCCTTGCGCCAATGATGGAAGTAGGGAAGGACGGGGGTGGTTTGGGGGGGTTGCAGTGATTTGCAGGTATCGTGATGGTGTTTGGTCTTTTTCTGGTCCTTTTCTGGTCCTTTTCTGGTCCTTTTCTGGTCCTTTTCTGTCGTTTTCTGATTGTTGCTGGTGGTTGTTCGTGGTGGTCGCTTACTATTCCCTTCCCCGAATCGTTTGTGTGGCTGTGAGTTGAAGCTGAAGCCGTAGCTTAGTTGTCGAGGATTCTATTGTTGGATCATAACTTGGATCATCGCGGGATCGTAGTGATGCAAGGTAAAAGCGCGCGGTTAGGTTGGTTGGTTGGTTGGTTGGTTGGTTGGTTGGTTGGTTGGTTGGTTGGCAAGGTTGATGAGGTACAGTTCGAGATATAGAGACTCCTGGCTGGCCCAAAAATAGTCGTACAGACGATGATGAGTGCAGACAAGATGATCAAGACGGTATTGTATTGTACAGACTGTAAGACGGCGGAACGGAGTAGCAAGTGAGTGAGAGACAAGTGTACGAAGTAGATCAGATGTCGTGATGAAGTCTGTGATGTCGTACTGTACAAAAGCGTACTGTACAGAGGAGGAGTGAGGAGTGGAGGGAGAAGGGTTGAAGAGTTGAAGGGTTGAAGAGTTGAAGAGTTGAAGGGTTGAAGAGTTGAAGGGTTGAAGAGTTGAAGGGTTGAAGAGTTGAAGGGTTGAAGAGTTGATGAGTTGAAGAGCTGAATAAATGAGGCCGTGGTGATGGTCGTGATAGTACTGCGCGTAACTGTGCGCACACACAAAATTGTACTGTCCGTCAGAGTCAAAACGTCAACAAACAGCAGTAACAGCAACTCTCCACCTCCTACTCTCCCCGGCGGGCTTCACCTTCTTTTCTACTCCACCACCAACGCCCAACCAGTATGAAGAAAACCTCAAAACATACATAATGCAAGAGAACAAACCGGGGCGCCTCCACGCTACCGACCAGAGCGCCAAAGAAAAAAAACAATCGCAGCCAGCAGCCAATGCACGGAAAACACATCGTGTCCCACTGTTGTACATACAAAGCATGTGCCTGTCTGTCTTCCTGCTGTGCACAAGAGGATCCCCTCCCCTCCTTCTCTGCCCATCCTGGACGTAAGAGGGAGTGTCATGCTGGATCTGCTGTGCATACACCCTGCACAACACTGGCCGCCCTGGATTCACAAACCTGCACTCCTCCTCATATCGTGCACAGTAGCCACCAAACAGACCAGAGGAAGAAAGTCACCGAGCTAAGTCAGCTGCACATCTACTCTTCTCGTCGCTGGGGGAGCGAATCATAGCACAGAGAGAAAGCTGACTGACTTTCTCCATTCAGGTGCCAGGGCAGGAGAACCCATGCAGAGGGTGGCAAGATAGATATGACTTGCTTACAAGCTGTGAAGCTTCCCCGTGGACTGGAAGCTCACGACGGTGAGGAAGGAAGGGAACGACATGCGCTACGGAGTACTGCTCGGGTACAACACAGTGGGGTCCTTTCTATCCCTTCACCGTCTCCCCACTCCCCCACGGTCCACCGCCAAAACCTTCACCAAACCCATGTTGTGTGGAGGGGCCTAATGTGGCGCCTCGCCTCGCCTGTGGCTGACCCCTCGCCATGCTACAACTACGTTGAAGAGCTCCATTGGGCGGACAAAGAACTCCAGTGCCAGTTAAATGACGATCTAGAGCACACCTTTCAAAACACCTTCAAGCAGAGATTAGCAGGCCTATCGAGCGAGGCTGTTCTAGAGTGGCATGAGAAATATCGCGCTCTATATAGCGACCAGCAGAGCTTGTACAATCATCTCTACGCTGGATCTGTGAAGCGAATGTTCAACATGGAGTGTTTTGTCAACCTGAAAAAGTTGACAATAACCAACGGTTGTGAAGCTGGAGCTGAGGAATACCCCCACAGCACTCGAGTCACCAGAAATCCTCGAACGTCCCGCCCGATGGAGCACTAAAGACAGTGCTCGCGGCTCCAGGGGAATGCGTATGTCGTGATTCTAAAATCCTTACTAGACAGGCTCACGCATTTGTCAGTCAAAACAGAAGGCGCGAGGTGGGAGAGAACATTCATGATTCCGCGCCCAACATGGAATGGAACCGTACCACCAGTATCACTGTTTGAAAACATCAAACACCTCGATATTGATTTGTGTCTGTGGGACGTGGATCCGTATGGCCATATACCAACTCCCCGATATCGACTCTCGAACCTTGGAGAGGCTAGAAACCTCGAGTCGCTGACATGGAAGACCCATCTCCATGCTATAAATGAGGCAGGGGACCTAGGCAGGCCCCTGACAGAGCTCCAGGCGGTTGAGCGGCCTCGTCCGTTTACACTTCGCCCTGAGCTTTTTCCTAAACTTCGCTACCTTGAGCTCCATTTCTTGTGCGTCTCCAACCATCGGCTCGCAAAGTGTTTAACTACTCTGCAATCTTCCCTCCAGTCCCTCATCCTGAGACGGTGTGTTTTAAACCTTCTCTTGCGGAGGTATTCGTGCAACTCCGGAGGGAAAAGGTCGTGCCGCCTGCGGCTATATTTGAGCATAGCCGAGATCAAGCAGTCGTCAACCAGATCCGGAGAAGCCAATCTTTTTGACTGAAATTGCTATTACACAATATCTAGTGTGGTTGGGGATGAAGGAAACCTTGTCTCTTCACTCCTGGGATGAGCGGATTGAGGCCTATGTGGAATCAAGCGCGAGAAGCGGGTGAAAAGATGGGTTTACGCCGCGTAAAACAGCGACAGAAACTGCCCTTTTCAGTTGCCTCCTTGCCATCCTACAGTTAAATAGAATAGAGTTGACCTAAGTGTCGCATTCCTCGTAATAAATTTGTTGTATCTTTGTTATAAGTTAGTTAAGTAATAATTCGTGATTATGTCATCACGGACCAGGCCCATCGGCGCGCTGACTAGGGAAACGCCGACCAAAATATCGTCGACCTCTATATCGGACTCCACAACTCCACGACTCTACCTCCCTCCTGTACGCCAACACCATGCTGCGAATCCCACCGCGGCTCATCCAGAGCTACATATTCGGGGGCAGCATCCGTTCACACCAATGTCTCCGCGCCGGCCGCACAGTCACTGCATCCCTCCTCCGCCCCCTCCACACCACCTCAGCGCGGCATAGCGCAGGAGTTGAACCTCCCTCCCCCAACGACGCCGCCGACGAACCATACGTCCCCCTCCGCAAACAAATCAAAGATGAGCTCAAGCGCCGCAAAGCCGCCGAGCGCGACCCCTCCTACAGCGCCCCCAATACCTCCGCCGAGCGCCTCTCAGACTGGGAACTCACAGTCGGCATCGAGATCCACGCCCAGCTCAACACCCTCACGAAGCTCTTCTCCATCGCCCCAACAGCGCCCTCTCCCACCCCAAACAAGAACGTCACGCCTTTCGACCTGGCCATCCCGGGCTCCCAGCCCATATTCCAGCCTACAACCCTCATCCCCGCCGTCCGCGCTGCCCTGGCCCTGAACTGCACCATCCACAACACCTCCACCTTCGACCGCAAACACTACTTCCACTGGGACCAACCCGCCGGCTACCAGCTGACGCAATTCTACCGCCCCTTCGCGACAGATGGGCATATCACGCTCTACGAACATGACGGCATCTCCCCCGAAGACTACCCCCAGGTGACCATCGGCATCAAACAAGTCCAAATGGAGCAAGACACGGCCAAAACACTCACCACCACCGGCCCCGACGGCACCGAATCCCACCTCATAGACTACTCCCGCGTCGGCACCCCCCTCATCGAAATCATCACACACCCCCACCTCCAGCACCCCCGCACAGCCGCTGCTCTCGTCCGCAAAATCCAGACCCTCCTCCACTCCGTCAACGCCTGCGTCATCGGTATGGAAAGCGGTGGTCTCCGCGCAGACGTCAATGTCTCCGTGCGCCCCCGCGACACCCCCTCAGCAGAGCTAGGCCAGCGCACGGAAATAAAGAATCTCTCCTCATACAAGAGTATCCGCGATGCCATTATCGCAGAGCGCACGCGCCAGATCGACGTCCTCGAGTCCGGCGGCGTCGTGTTAGGCGAGACTCGCGGCTTCAGCGTGGGCGACTCCGAGACGAGACGACTGCGCGCTAAAGAGGGAGAGGTAGATTACAGATACATGCCCGACCCCGACATCCCCCCCATCATCATCGGCACCGACCTCGTCACCCGCCTCTCCGAGACCCTCGGCACCCTCCCCGACGCCGAACTCGCAATCCTCACAGGCCAATACGGTATCTCGATCAAAGACGCCCTCTCCCTCGTCGCCCTCGAGAATGGAGGGAGGGCAGAGTACCTCTACGCCGTCGTCGAGGAACTACGTCCTTTCGTCCCCCCAGCTGCTACCAACGGCTTAGTCCTCCTCGCTCGCAAGGCAGGGAACTGGGTCCTCCATGAGCTCGGCGCCGCTGGTGCCTCCGCTGCCGAGGCAGGGAACGACGCACCCCTCTTTGATGACGAGGGCGTGTGTGTCGTCTCCCCCGCGCAAATGGCGCGGATCATCTACCACGTTGAGTGCGGCGCCGTGACCGGAGCGACGGGGAAGGAATTACTCGCCGGATTCGTAGCAGCAGCTGGTGACGGGGAGGGAGCGCCGATTACTAGTGGCGATGAAGTGGATGCGGTTATCGAGAGAGAGGGGATGTGGTTTAAGGGCTTGGATGAGGAGGGGTATAAGGCGCTTGCTGCAGCGACGAGGGAGGATCGGATTGTGGAGGATGTGAGGAAAAAAGGGTGGGAGAAGGGGAGGGGGAAGATCATGTATTGGGTTGGTAGGATGGTGAGGGAGGGGGGTGGGGGGGTTGATGCGAAGGTTGCGGAGGGGTGGGTTAGGAGGGCTTTAGAGGAGGAGATTGGGATTGATGGGAAGAAGGGGGAGTGAGGGGAGTGTGTAGAATACTGTAATTTATGTAATATACCATACAAATACCACGATTTTTTGACAACTTCAGCGCAACTACTCATCGTGCACGCATACCCCGTCTACAACTTCTTACACAAAACCACCCCTCCATCCCCCTTAACCCCCCTCTCCCCACTAACACCCCCATCCATAACAACCCCCCACCTCTCAAACCCCTGCCTCGCATAAAACCTCTCCGCCGCCCCATTCCCCGCTCCCATCACCAAATGCACACCCCACACCCCCCTCCCCCTCAACTCTGTTTCAAGCCTCTCTATCATCTTCGCCCCCAACCCCTTAGATTGGAAGGCGGGGAGAATATCGATGTGGAGGTGCGCTGGGTACTCCTCTACCAGTTCGGGGAAATCGGAATGCAGCATTGACGAGGGGTTGTGGAGAGCTTGTAACATCCCTCCCCCAAGCGTGGCTCCCTCCCATGGCAGCGAGGGTGGAGGGGGCGCAGCCCACCAAGGGGAGAGGGTGAGGAGGTAGGTTTCTTCGTATGCGGCGACGAAGGAGGGGGTGGAGGGGGCGCAGAGGATGTAGCCCACGCAGGACGCTGGTACGAGACTAGACGTGCCCGTTACATCTCCATCTGCGTTGCCAGTGGAGGCAGAGGCATCGAGCACGAAACATGTCCCAGGCTCTAACCGTACATACGGCAGCGCCCATAAATAAGGCGCCAGTGGTGCTGATGGCGCGGGGGCGAGGATGGCGCGTAGGTTTGGGGGGGCCGTGATTTCGCACTGAGGGTGTTAGGTATGCTCTAAGAATGCTGGGGATAGGGGCGTACGATGCGCGAGACGGCTACTTCGTCCCACGAGTCTGGCGCGGGATTGAAGGGCCTAATCACGATTCCTGACTCTGAGTCCATGGCCATCTTTTTTTCTGTCTCCCCAGCGGTCGTGTTTGGCGCTGCCATTGCTGTCAGGTTCGGTGTTGGCGGGGTAAGTGTAAGAACTAGCAGATGGAGGGGTAATTATGTCATTTCGATATCACCGCAAAACGACAGTGCTGGTGCGGGTGCGAATAGCCCTCTTTATACCCCCTCCCCATCCCACCTACCACCATCCCACCGGGAAAATCCCCGTGCAACTTCACCGTCGCCTACCTAGCCCCTCGGCGCCAGCTACCACGACGGCGGTGGCGGACGCACCCCACTTCGCTCTCGCTTTCACCACCAGAATGGGTCGAATTCCTTCTCATTTCCTCGGCAATCCCAACTTCACCGAAACCTACCGCTACTTCCTCGACTCGCTCGACCAGAGCGACTACGCCGCCTACAATGACCAAGTGTTCTACATAATCCCTAAAATCGTCAGCCTCGAGTCACGCAAGCGCCGCGGCCTAGTGGATCCCGTTAGACTATCTAGCAGCGCGTATATGCTCAATGAGCTAGTCCAGCTAGGCGTCACCGACGCCAACCCCGCCGTCTCAAGGTATGCCCGCCCGACAACCAGCTCCGCGTTGTCGGCGCCGACGCCGACGCTATAGGGGGATAGGGATGGGGGAGTGGGGGGATTGCTAGGGTTGGATTAGGTGGAGAGGGGTGGGGTTTGAAACGACGATGTAAATGTGCTGATTGATTGTTCATTTCTATATTATCATCCTCCCCCCTAACATCTAAACGAAAACATCAACCCTCCCGCCCTCTATCCCCTCTAACACTAACACATGCACCCTCCCGCCGGATATGTTAAGGAGAAGAAGGTCGCGCTATGGGATACGCTGGGTTTTGACCCTGGAATGACAGGTTCCCTTTGCAATCACAGCGGGCAGCTCCCCTATTGGCTTTCGTGCGCCATAGTATGGAGCCACCCGTTCAGTCGCCGACTGAACTCCTAGATCCTAAGCGCCTCAGAGGTTTGAGGATGGCCCCCGAAGCCTACAAATACGATACATAGGCCCATAGGTAGCGTGATAATTAAATTGATCTATTTATTCTACATACTGTACTGATTGAAGCCTCATATTCCGTTCTGCTAGCCACGATGCCCATCCCCACCGCCCACCCCTCCTCGCCCATCACCCCTGTACAAGAAATGGCTGATCTTCTACTCTCTAAACAAGGTAAGAGCCCTATTAGGAAGAACTAGACTACTAACTTTATTAAGCGTCATATAGAAATAAAAGCAAAGTTCAGTTAGAAGTACGATTATAAATGAGCAAAATGTGAACATCTAAAGATAATTAAAGGGTAGTTCTCCCTTGTACAAAACATAGTTGCAAAATACAGAATATTAGATAAGAACTAATGCCTTAGATTACTATAACCCATTCCTAATTACTAGGCTATACCTTCTTTGCTTTTACACGCCTAAAGCTTGTCATAACTATCACAGTTAAGATAACACCTATCATAAACCTAGTCTTATTAAAGTTGTAGATATCTACTTTATAGATGCTATATTTCGTAATTGTGTTGTAAACAAGCTTAAACCAGCTATAGATAACTTCTACGTCCTTACACTTAGCCCACTAGTAGTTGTATTTGCACTAGAAGCGTGTTGTAATGGTGGGTGCACCAGATGTGAGAATCTAGCCACCCAAGGAAGGGATGATTTTACTAAGACAACACACTGTCTTAGGAAAAAGAGCCAAAGGGTCGTAGCTTAGACTATTCCACAACGCAGCAATCAGGTGTATGATGTAGTGGAGTGGTTTAGACAAGTTGTAACAAATGTTGAGTCTGAGAACTCAGGGATAAGGGATAAGTCAGAGGTTAGCACCTCACTGACTTTTCAGAAACAAGGAGTAACAAGATCAATGCTTGGAAGCTTGGAAAAGACGTGGAAGTATGTGATAGTCGATTTACTGTATTGTCTGCTTGCCCTTTCTTAAGGAAAGGGCAATCCTATTTATGCCAAAGGAGTGTAGTTCTCTCATTTTCCAAGACCAGGCTTGGTAACTGTAGTCGACGTAAGAGAATCCCATAGAACCATCTCCTAGGTTCCTAGCCTATAGGAAGTGAAAGGAGGTCCAAGGTCAGAGTACCCCTATAGACAGATTATGTCATAACTTAACCAATCTTGTGGGTAACTAAGGAGCGATGACGTGTAATGAATCATAGACGGTTGTAGAAGCTTTTGGAGCTATCATTCATGTTCCTAGGCCTCTAGTTGATAGAGATATGTCATGTGTAGTATTAGCCCAGTGTAAGGACACAGGGCACCCAGCTCACAGTAATAGCATATTGTAATGGTGGGTGCACTGTAATGGTGGGTGCACCAGATATGAGAATCTAGCCACCCAAGGAAGGGATGAATTTACTAAGACAACACACTGTCTTAGGAAACAGAGCCAAAGGGTTGTAGCTTAGACTATTCCACAACGCAGCAATCAGGTGTATGATGTGGTGAAGTGGTTTAGACAAGTTGCAACAAATGTTGAGTCTGAGAACTCAGGGGTAAGTCAGAGGTTAGCACCTCACTGACTTTTCAAAAACAGAGAATAACAAGATCAATGCTTGGAAGCTTGGAAAAGACGTAGAAGTATGTGCTAGTCGATTTACTGTATTGTCTGCTTGCCCTTTCTTAAGGAAAGGGCAATCCTATTTATGCCAAAGGAGTGTAGTTCTCTCATTTTCCATGACTTTCCATGACTAACCAGGCTTGGTAAATGTATTAGAAATCAAGTGCGACCCACAACTAGCTTGCTAATCATGTAGTGAACGTAAGAGAATCCCATAGAACCATCTCTTGGGTTCCTAGCCTATAGGAAGTGAAAAGGAGGTCCAAGGTCAGAGTACCTATAGATAAATTATGTCATAACTTAACCAATCTTGTGGGTAACTAAGGAGCGATGACGTGTAATGAATCATAGAGGGTTGTAGAAGCTTCTAGAGCTATCGTTCATGTTCCTAGGCCTCTAGTTGGTAGATATATGCCATGTGGTAGTATTGGCCCACCCCCTTAAGGAGGAGATTTTCTTAATAACTTGTTCAATGAGTGTTCAAATGATATGCCGTGATGTATGTAGCATAAACAGATGTAGTAGAAGAGTTTGCAGCAATCGTTGAGTAGTATTGCTTCTGTTGTTGGTGTGATAAGCCAAGATATGTATGGTGACTTGTAGGTTTGAGGAGGAGATTTCTAAGTTTGCTCTTGAGTTTGATAGCAAACTGAGTGCAACGAATGTCAGTATGACATGATCCCCCTTTTAAGGACGTTTGTGGGCTGTCTGCTTGCCCTTTAGCCAGGTGGCTTTCTTAGAAAGAAATTCTAGAATGAGCTTAGATGCATTTTTTAGATTTCTCTTAGGCTCCCAAGTGTTGTCACTTGTAGGATAGCCTTTCCACTTAACGAGGAAGTAGTCCTGACCTCTAAGTGTCTTTTTGTCAAGGATAGACTCTACTTCATATTCTGGTTGATCCAAGATCAGAACAGGAGGTGGAGGAGACTGAAGTGGTCTTAAGGAACTTTCTTGTGCCTTAGACAAGAGAGATGCATGGAAGACATTATGGATAGTCCAAGTAGGTGGTAATGCAAGCTCGAAAGCATTCTTGCCAATAGTCCTTGTGATCTTAAAAGGTCCAAGTCTTTTAGTATCAAGTTTGTCTGAAGGTCTAGTAGTTGTGATATGTCTTCTAGACAAAAAGACTTGATCACCAACTTTGAATTGTGGTGCAACCACCCCCCTGTTAAAGGCCTGAGCCTGCTCGTCTTGTGCACGCTGTATTTGAACCTTGAGATAGTCCTGGAGGCCCTTAAGGTAGATGATTCTTTCAGTAGCAGAAGGGTTTTTGAAATTTTCAGGACAATTCAGTTCTGCCACTTCAAACCTAGGGTGATAACCATAGTTTGCATAGAAAGGTGTCTCTTTTGTGGTGTTAGAGACTGTGTTGTTGTAAGCAAATTCTGCAAGATGGAGAAGATCTGCCCAGTTGTCTTGAGCATAGTTTGTATAAATTCTTAGATATTGTTCAAGTACAGAGTTGACTCTCTCTGTCTGGCCATCTGTTTGAGGGTGATAAGCTGTAGAGAAGCGTTGTTCCATGTTTAAGAGTTTAGAGAACTCCTTAAAAAAGTTTGAAGTGAAAACTGCTCCCCTATCTGAGATCCAGTGTCCAGGAATTCCATGATATTTAAAGACCACCTTGAGGAATAGCCACGCAAGTTCAGAAGCTGTGATAGTCTCATTGCAAGGCTCAAAGTGTGCCATTTTTGTGAGCCTTTCTACCACCACAAGGATAGAGTCATAAGGGGTAGCACCCCCTTTTGGGATAGAAGGAGGCAACTTGACTATAAAGTCAATGGATATGGAGTCCCATGGGCGTTCTGGTATAGGTAGAGGCTGCAAGAGGCCATAGGGCTTTTGCCGTGTAGGTTTGTTCAAGTTGCAAGTAATGCAAGAAGATATATAGTCTTGAAGAGTAGTCCTTAGACTAGGCCAGTAGAACTTTCTTGTTAGAAGTTCATAAGTTTTTGCAAAGCCAAAGTGCCCTGCAGCTGGAGCATCATGGAACTGCTGTAGGAGGTGTAGCTGTAATCGTTTATCCCTTGGGACATAGATATAGTTCTTGAATAAGAGAAGTCCATGCTGATTTTTTGAGAAATTCTGTAGTCCAACTTTCTCAAGAGAGGAACCTTTCTTCTGGAGGTATTCCAAAGTTCTTTTCGCAAAGGGATCATGGTTGTAAGCATCTTTGAATGCTTTAAGAAGTGTTGCTGAGGGTGTATAGTCTTTAAAGGTCTCTGGTTCCTGAGAAGAGGTAATGGGGGCAACTTGGTCTTGAGGGGATAAGTTTACCCCTAAGTCCTCTGTAGTACTAGGGTTGCTTAAAGATGCTGCTATAAGCTTTGCTGAGTCTAGCAGAGCCTTTGTATTGCTAGTTTTAGCAGAATCTTGGTAGTCATGTCTTCTTGAGAGGAGATCTGCTCTTTGATTCTTGGCCCCTGAGACATGTTTTATAACAAAGTCAAAACCTCCTAGTTGTTCAGACCACCTTGCTTGTCGTCGATTGAGCTGTTTAGTGGTTGTAAAGGTCAAGAGATTTGAATGGTCACTGTAAATAGTGATAGGATAGTTTGCCCCTTCAAGGTAGCATCTCCAATGCTTTAGAGAACATACTATGGCAAGCAGTTCCTTGTCTGTAATGGGATAGTTTTGTTCGGCTGCTGATAGCTTTCTTGAGTAAAATGCCACAGGCTGTAGCTCTTCTTGTTTGTCTTTTGGAGCTTGGTATAAGATTCCAGAAATGGCAAAATCTGAGGCATCTGTCTCAAGAGTGGCAGGTTTCAAGGGGTTAAAGTGTAGTAACATTTTCCCTTCTTTAAATTCTCCTTTAAGAGCATCGAAAGCATCTTGCTGTGTCTTATCCCAGTGATACAAAGTGTCCTTGTGAAGTAATTGAGTAAGGGGTAAAGCCAAGGATGTATATCTTGGTATAAACCTCCTGTAATAGTTGGCAAACCCAAGGAAAGACTGAACCTCTTTAATGCTGGAAGGAATAGGCCACGTTTGTACTGCTTTTGTCTTTTCAGGGTCCATCTGAA